GGAGACGGCGAAGGCGAAAGGCGAAAAGGCAGTCATCTGGAGCAAGCAGAATCTTGAGCCCCCGGGGAAGACGGACGGCGGGGAGGAAGCTCGGGGAGTTGCCCATGTGCATTTGCATGCGACTCCATTGATGCTTATTCCCGTCCTGGTCGCAGTACAAGGGCAGAAACAACAGCACATGCCCATATATCGTTGCGGGCCTGGTAGAAGAAGAATGGGGCGTGGGTTGATGCCGGCATCGCTGGCCATTCAGGTGACATTCTTGCTGGGTGCTGGCCCTGTATACTTGCCCTGTGCTTGTACTACTAGTAGTATCTCCTCCTCGGTACTGTATGTATAGGACTCGATCCTTGATGATTGCCTGTACGAGTAATACACCTCGGGAGCAAACACGCTGCTGGCAACAGAGACCGACGCCGAGATGGGGGACACGCCGTCATGACATCCACGTCTACTACACAGCAAGTACCCATCATGCCGGGTACCAGTACTCGCAGCCAGCACCATGCTAAAGGAACAAGCTTCTCGATCCAGCATTAGCACAACGCCGCTGCTGCTGTGAAGCTCTCACCAAGCCCTTACTAGCCCGCCCGGATCTGGGCCTAGCGCCACGCTCTGGATGCGTGAAGCCTCTTACCCGGATGCACGTCGCCAGACCGGCTGCTTTTGAAGCTGCTGCGTGTACAGAGCGCACTATGACAACTAAGGCGGTTCTTTTGACGGCACTCCGACATTTTGACGCCAGGTGGAAGCATGGAAGAAGAACAAAGAAGCGGACTTTGTTGCAAGGATTCGTGTCTGAGCTGGATCCGCCGCCCATTGCGCTGGCACCGGGGCCCCTCTCATCTCATCTACCTACATGTGCCTCGTCCTCTCTTCTCACTTTGCAGCACAGCACCGGTGCAGGGGATCTGGGAGCCGGAAAGAGAGAAAAGCGAATTATGAGGGAGAGAATGCTGCGGTGCTACAAGCAAGGGGGGTCCCTCGCGAACTGATCGCGGCTCAACCCGAACAGGGTTTCTCACTTCACTCTCTCCATCCGTGCGTTTTTTTTTTTTTTTTTTTGCCTTTCTTCCTTTTAAAAATTTTGATGTTTGTCCAGGGTCTAGGGCAACTTCTTGAGCCTCCTTTTTTTTGAGAAGGGAAAGAAAAATATAATATACGGGCCCTGGCACGGGTGCGCCGACTCATTTTCCTTCTGGCCTCCATTGCCCCTATGCAAGAGCTGTTTCACTTCTGGCTGGGGTGACGGACAGACATCACTTTAGCGAGCTCTAAAGCCAGCCAGCGGAGACTTTTTTTTTTTTTTTTTTTTTTTTTTTTCAAACGAAGCAAAAGAGAGAGAGAGAAAAGCTGCGGTGAACGAGTGTTTCCCAATTGAACAGATTAAACTGGAATTGTCACATCATCATCATATGAGGGCAGGCCATATATGCTACCTTGTAATTTAGCGTTCTGACATTTTTTGCGATACATGATTCAGTAGGTGCTGCTGTGAGGTGAGAGTAGACCGCCGGTATGTATGAGTGGCATGATGACTGGCAGCACAGCCCCAGATGCATGAAATACCTACAACAGTCCGCGTATTGAACCCCGTACTCTGTGCATTTACGATTTACGACTTGTCGATTATTCGTGAGTTACTGTTAGGTGCTATATCTTATTCATTTTCGTTGATATGCCGATGCTGCTTGCATTCACCCTATTTGGCTCTTCAATAGCGGTGGTCCTGTGATTACTAAGCGTGTACATATACATGTACCTCGCAACTTGATATTGCACCGCCAAAAACCCAGTTACCCTATAAGCGGACTTCGACATGTTCATTCTCTCTGAACTCGGGGCCGTGATAAGATGTTTTTGGGATCACCGTTCAAGTGTTGATACTTCAGTTCCTTTCCCCCCTTCCCTCTTGGTGCCAAGGCTTGTCTTACTTTGTCGTGCTGGTGAATAGAGTGGGTGGCATATTCGTATCACCACCGCACGCGATTCCAAGAGTCATTTTGATTAAGCCATTCGGGGACGTCGCGTTGAGCTTAGGGGCGATTGCAGCTCCTCTACAAGAACGCATATTTGCAATTTACCATTTCAGATTGTCAATTGTAATTGTCATTTGCAAATTAAAGCACACCCTGTGTCCTGATGGGTGTTACCCCAACATTGTTTATCAAGCACACCACCAACATTGAAGTGATAACTAGGCCAAGCCCTCCAGAGAAGCGATATAGGAGTTTTGGTCGCCGAGGTGGATGCACCTTACCACTCCGTAGGATTAATCGAGACTATACTGTGGCGAGAGGCCGAAAAAAAAGTACAGACACATCCAGCACGAGCATATATTCCAGTTCCCCGTTTCACAACCTAGCCGTGAGGGGACCCCCAGATTTTCTCCCGCCTAGTGCTAAGCACTCTATCAAGATTTCTCCCCCCTTTACGCTCGTACAAAGGGGCTTACATAGACAGGGGGGGCATCCGGTTGGCTGTTGTACAACAAACACAGTATGTAATTGAATGGCTGAATCATCTGCCCTTTTGTTTTCCCCAATTTTGATCATGTTAATGTTTTAGTATCTCCGTAAACTGGAAAGGGAAGAAAACGTCAAACTCGGCGGAGTGATACGCCACAAATGTCATTTATTCCCCACCAAGGACCGCCCTTTCGACTGGACTTTCAACTTTTGATTAGCGCCCTACATACAGTACACAAAAATAAACACTTCGAATGCCTTTAGAAAAGGAACCGAAAAAAAGTGCCAACCTGCGACGGCGCCGTCTAGTCCCATAGAGCCACGTTTTTCTGGCCCGGCGTCCCGGCTGTACGGGATCAAAAGGGCCTTTGTAGCCCAATTCTTTTTTGGCTTTAAAGTTCTGAGCCTCCAATTCGACCATGACGACGACCTACTGCTGTATCGAGAAATCAAGTCCGGGGGCCTAGTTTGGCCTGTGGCTTGCCCTTTTTACTCGTTCGTCGTACATCCCACAAACACTCGTATTTTGCTTTTTGCTTCCCGTTTATCCGCTGCCGGTAAACGACTTAGTGTTTTTTTTTTTTTTTTTGTGAATCGGCGTCTTTTTTTTGGAGAAGGAGGGGGGGAAGAAGGGGGGACGCTTGCTGTTGGTGCCTTGCATGAGTTAGTTTTCCCGTAGTATCGGCACCTCGGACGCTGAGATACTACCTACTAGAAAGATGGCCGCCAACGGTGGCGTTCTTGTGGTGGTGCAGATATGGGGGGTTTATTCGGATTGACGGCATAGAATGGAGTACCTGCTTGCCATTTCTAGAGTCCACACTATACTACTACTACTACTATGTATGTACTGCGACTACGCTGTTTTTTTTTGAAGTAGTAGTTTACAGCATGTAGTACAGTACATGGCAATTTTTTGCCGTGTTTGTGCCGCGAGGCGCTCATAAGCTACAGCAGATTCTTTTTGATGTGGCCCGCCAGCTGGCGGATTCCATATGGGACATCTCCGTGGCCGGATGGAATCTCTGTTGTTGCGTGAATAGCCGACGTGCGAGTAGCCTTTTGTGTTGCATCGGTAACGATAATGGGCTTTTTGCTTATTGTATGTTTCCACTTTCTGCGCGCGTCCTGCCAAATGCTACCGTCTGCGTCTTCGTGTGCGGTGGCAAGTCACATCTTGACAGCTGATTTCCACATGCTCTGTACCCAGCTGGATGGGTTTAGCCAGCCTTTAGGAGGAAGAAACGTATGCTGCAGCTCTAGCCGAAGGCTCATGCCAGCTAGTGTCCTGTGTCTCCATGTCTCATGACATTTGATGTGCCGTGCCGTGTCTTGTATGGCTCTCATGGTGGGAGTGAATAGCTAGTGGTTGTAAAGGAGGTAGGTTCAGTTATCTGATATTGTTTCCTTTTTTGGAACATTGTCCTTGATAGACTGAGGCTGTATTACTATAGAGTTTCATTGAGATAACATTAGTACAGAAGAGTCTAATTCATTACTGAGATGATATTCCTGTAAGTCTTGCTATATTATCATTGCTATAGTGTCTGGTGATTGATGATATGTATTACCCCTTACAGCACAGGCAACATCATCCTAACTTGATGGATTAGCTATTAACATTTCTACATATCTGCTTCTCTCAAACTCCTCTAATACCATTGTCGAGTATTACTCTTTTCTGGATCTGAATTATATTAGACTATTCGACCCCTACTTGTCACTCTAGGCGACAAGTATGACATGCTTCTTATACAGGTAAGAGGTCAGATTTTGACAAAGTAAGCGCATTACCTTTACATGAAGAATAGGGAATTGGATTGTGGCGAAAACCGCGACGTGCTTGTAGTATACCCTCTGGGAGAAGTAGACGCATGTATTCAATTTACTGCGATGGTGAGAAGTTACAAAGCCCGCTAGCTGGAAACATAGTCAAGACGGCAATAATTTATGCAGCAACAACTATGCACCCTCGTTCAACATTCTAGCTCGGCAGGGGTACACAGCCCTCGCATCCATCATATAACTTGCTTTGTCTTCCCTTTACTCTGAAACATGGTTGAGTGCTGTGCTGTGTAATTCCGGTCCGAGCCGCATGCTGTGATTTCTAGATGGCCATGTACAACCATTTACTCGACGACAGAGGGCAGAGAGAAAAGGACAAAAGCCCTTTTGGAGAGCTGCCGGCAGCCTAATTCACGTTCATGTATTCACCAGTGTGGGAGCACGGTCTCTGGCAAAGGCCCGTCGTGACAGGCACAAGCTTCGAGCTTTGTTTTGCGGATATCGTAGCAATGTCGCACCAAATTGGCAAGTGGGGAGACAAGTGTGGGCAGGGCTGCCATGTGGTTGGCCAATCCACCCCCCCTGCAAATGGGTTGCAGTTCCAACCATCAGAGTGGAAAAAAAAAAAAAGGTCCTGTGCCTGGCAGTAGCCGAACTCTGTTTGCGTGCTAGGAAATGTTTCCGGTGGCAGAATTGTGTTGCTTTGGTAGCCATTGCTAGGGCATTGAACGACAAAAAAGCCTTTCTTTACTCGGGCAACACCTTCTGTTGGTACATTGACATCCTTTGATCCATGGCTGAACCCAATTGAGTTCTAATTCCGAGCACATTCACACACGCAAGTCGTTGTTGGAGGAGGGAGGCTTGTGACAGCGGGGTAACATTGCTTGCGACTACTGGATTCTCAAACCAGCTTCTGCTTGTACAGCCACTTGGAGCTTCCCAGCCCCGAGGCACAATGCAGTAGTACCCCAATGTGCCGCGCGGTCGCCGCCATCGGAAGTATCGGGGCAGTACTAGTACCGTAGCAGCGTAGACCTGTGAGATGATACTGTATGTAGTAGCGCAGAATTCTGCAGTCATACATCTGGGTAGCATTGCCCTGGTTTTGCAGCGTGATGTAGAAGCACTCGTGCAGTGGTGCCTTTGTCTGGCAAGAGACTGGCAGGTTTTTGGCATATGAAGACGAGAAGGGATCCTTGCTCTCGGTATATAGCGGAAGGAATATGGAAAAACTCTGCAATGGATGGCCATCTGATTGGCGATCCCAGATCCAAGCACCTGCAACGACCTCCACATGAATCCTTTGATGCCCTACCAACTCCACCTTTTTGACAAGTTCCGTCTTGCCGTCCGGAATGGGATGGAGAGGGATGGGATGATATTGGGGGAGGGTACCTGTACCTGTACCTGTACCTGTTCCTGTTCCTGTACCTGAGCTGTAGAGAGTGTCACAACAGCAGAGAGCCAATGAGACCAAGTATAGTAGGAGCCGTGGCGTTTGGGCAGCTCTGCGAGCTATTACTGCATCCGATCAAGTATCTTGATGAGCCAATTTGTACCTGCAAGGCGCAGCAGCCGTCATCTCAGCTCGGCCAATTGGCATCGTCTTGAATGAAGCTGCTTTCTCTCTGCGGCTTGGTGTTGAAGGCACGCAGCTCCGAGCATACCGTGGGCTATCATGCCTGCCGCTGGGCTACATATCACAGAGCGACCAAGAGCTCAAAGTACCAATAGCATCAACTTTACATGTCCTCATCGTAAGCTTCAACTGATGCCTACAAGCAGCTTCTAGCCCCATGCAGACGTGGACGCCGACGCTCATGCAGGCCGAGAGCCGTGTCGGGACCGCTGCCCACACGATATGGAGGCGCGGTATTTTCAAATTTCTGCGTACCTTGCATTAGATCGAACCGCTGGGAGGGCTGGGCAGGCGTGCCATTTGTCAGGGCCACGGCTCAAGCCCTTGTCAAGCAGCTTTTTTGCATGGCCTTCCCGGGCCCAACAGAAAAGCTTGAGTTTGCTTGCTGATGGGCCGATTTAGCCCGAGGAGGGAGGGAGGGAGGGGGTCTGTGCAATAATGGAGTGGATGGAGTGGAAGAATGAATATGATGTTGAAAGATTGGCTTGGGGGCCAAAGAAAGACAAAGGGAAAAAAAAAGAGAGACAACCATCATAAAAGTACCTGCACTATTTACTGTATGTAAGAGCTGTGGTAGAAAAAAAGGCAAAAAGTAACCGACACCTGCAGGATTCGAACCTGCGCGTGCGAACACAATGCCTAAGATACCAATTGATAGCAGGGCATCGCCTTAACCACTCGGCCAAAGTGTCTACGGTTGCTAGTGTCAGTACTATCCTATAATATGAGGGCTGCCAGCAAACAGTTGTACCCAAGTTCTCGTCTCACAAGGAGAATCAGCAGCATCTATCAAGATACTAATTGGTAGCTGAGAAGACACTCCTTGTATGTATAGTGCTAAGAATGCCTAATCAAGAAGGGCAGATTTTGTTCAAATCGAAAGAACATGAAAATGGGCACTTGTAATTACCTGATGCCACTAATTCGCTGACACTCAGCCTCTGACGGAGGGGGCTTCCATCAATAACAGCAGCCTTTTACGCGCGCAAAAAAAGACCTACAGCTGCACAATGCTTGCAACCAACCCGCATCAATCATAGGCCGCTAGAGTGCCCAATGATGACTCGATAGAAGGAAAAATTTTCATTCTTTATTTATTTTTTTCAATTTCCATCCGTCTTGATTCGCCTCTTCGGGGTATTATCTCTCACATCCTTGTGAAATCTTAGCACAGAAAAATGGAAAACTTTTTTTTCTCGTCATATTCGACTAAAAACTCGCTGTAGTAGCGCTGTAGAGGCCACTGCCGCTCCACTGTGGCTGGAAGCTGAGGGGGACCCGGTGCTGGAATTTTGATTTTTCCGCAGATGCTCAGGCTGGCGTCTCCGTTATCTCCCCGTTTTTAGTCCGGCTTCTAACGGTCTTCTGTCACCGAGTTTGGCACGAGCTTGGTGCGAATTGTGGATGAAGACGACCGTTTTCCACGACTAATAAAGATGGCTAGAGATATCGCCGTTACATACTAGACCTGGTCCTCTGCTAATCCCACCATATAGACTAACCGCGAGTCGATAACGGCGCTCTTCGCTCCACCCAGCTCTAGCGGCTATAAATAACCACGAAGATGTGAGTGGCTGGCTGCTAAGAGACCAACCTCGATCGAGCTGTGTGATCCGGTCCGGCCAGCTTACAGTATGCGGATCAAGAACCCAGCAAGAAGCAGCAGAAGCGGCCTGTGCTGGTATCCAGCCTGCTGTATTGATGGGCCAATCTGAGGACTGCCAAGTGGCAGCAGAAGCTCCTCCGTGGCCTCACGCAGATGCACAACCGTAAGCGAGAGCACCAACATCTGCCTCTCACCGCTGGACATGGGCCGACTTGCATCGAACTGGAACTCTTGTCTTCCATTCCGCAAGGCTCTCGCAGACGCTCCGCCGAAGTGTGGCGAGTCCTAATTCGCCGCTGCTGCGAGATAGCATGCCCCACAGCCTCTCTATTCGCGACGTGCTGTACTTGGACATGCACTGGGGACGGATGGCCGTTAGTTGGAAAGAGAAGAAAAATTCTGCAGCAGCGTCTCATTGCATCGGCGCATTGCATTTGTGTGCGTCTTCCATAGGGCGAACCATCAAAGCTGTGGATCGTCGGAAGTCCTCCCGCTTTGTGAAGCGATGTGGGCTCCTTCTACGCTGAGGTGGAGGGATCAATGCCACTTGGCTGGTTGCGCGTCTTGCTTGCTTGCTTCCTGTGTCCACCGTCGGTACGAGGACATGTGCAATTCATTAATTCCAACATTTCGGTGGTGTGCTCTCGGCAATTGGCCTTTCCGGGCTCGGGTAAACCACTCGTACGTACATGCATGATATTGTTTCAGGTCACAACATGGCTGGATAAACGTCTTCCACTGAGCAGGCGAGATGCAGATGCAGCTCTCAAAGCTGATTACAAGCGGGCATGTATGGTAGCAGTATCACTCATGCTCGTACACATGTAGTAGGTGGTACAGCATGTGCTTCCCTCCCTTTTGAGCTGGGATGGAAAAGTGTGACCACCAGCATGTGAAATCGTTCCAATCACCAACGATGTTGGGACGATAAGAGCCTAGTGTCAATTGGCACCGATGGAGCTTGTCGAATTGGCTTGATATGCTCTCCGATGAGTACAATCTCCGTGCCAGTAATACCTAGAATACGGCTACGAGGTGTAACAAGCCCTGACATTGTGTATGAAGACGAATACTTTACCTGCCAGTAGTTTTCCAAAAGCTACAGGCAAGTGTATCCGAAACGTTTGTCCTCCAGCCCAATGATCGTCAAGGCATAGTCTGGCGCTATAGGACAGCCGGAGCTTCATCGACCGATCGGTATGATGGTTGATCAACAGGATCGTCGGGAGCTCAGATGGAAAGCTGCTAAACTGCCTACTTCATAGCTTTGGAGCTAGAATAACGCCAAATTCCTTGTTTGGTGCACACATCCCGGAAGATGGTGGGCTGGCAATGAAGAGTTTTATGTGCTAAAACGCTCCATCGCAGCAAGTAATTGGGATGCTGGTGAACTTTCCCGCGGCAATGATGACGACACCATTACTCTTGTGCTTTGTGCAGAATACGAAGAGAATTGGAGTAGTTGAGGTAATTGTCATGACTTGGCAGCTGTGTGCTGTCCCCCACATGGTGCGACCTTATCATGATTGTTAGTGGAAAACTAGGAGAAGATGCATTGGATGGTATACAAAGCACATGATGGAAAGAACAAGAACAAGATACCTGATACCACAATTCAATTGAATGCAATATAAAAAAATGAATCAATATTGTCAAAAGCGTTTCTTGGACATTTTTCAGCTCTAATTAATCGTGAAAAACGACAAAAAGAATAATCTTGACCGAGACAGGGGTCGAACCTGCAACCTCCTGATGTACTTAATCGTAGTCAGACGCTCTGCCATTGAGCCACACGGCCTTTGATGTTTGGGTGACTCGTAAAATCATTCAAACAGCTATACGCTTCCACAAACGCACTCGTCGACGAGGAGATGAACATTCAACTCCGTGTCCTCATAAAGAGTTGTGGTTTGATATTGATAAAGGTGTGCTGACTTTTCTTTTTTCGACCAAGATAAAATATGAGATTGTAGCAGAGATAACTACTCACTGTGTAGCACGTCTCTTTGACTTTAGGTGGCGTAAGTACATGGTTGATAATGCCCAACAGCTGTAAGTCGCTTGATGTCAATTGTGCAATGCATCTACAGTTGTGCTGTACACAGTATTCATATTGACCGTTATAATAGAATGAATATTGACCTCTCTGCAGTAATCTCACGGGAAATACCAAGGTCATTCCATCTGTAACGTGAAATATTACTTACTGTCGCTAAAGATATCGTATTCCAAGTGTTTTCAACATACGCCTCTATATCACCTGTCAATCTCACTTACAAAACTAGCCAATAAATCAAGTCCAACCATGGAAATCACAAGCTTCGTTCGATCACTACATCCAGCCAGGCCCTATATCCAGCAAACATCCTCGAAACGCTAGGATTGCCCCATCTCTCACAGACCCTCCTCAACGCCTCATACCGATCCCTCACATACTTCTCTCTAATCGCCATGCTCCGCGCCTCATCGTTCCATCCATAGACAACACCCTCCCCTATCGCAGCACCAAGCTTCTCCAGACAAACAGGGCACACGTACGGCGGCTGCCGCTGTGCCTCCTCCACACTGCCGCACCCCTGCATCGCGCACGCAAAGTACACGCAGTGGTCCAGCCCCAGACAGTGACACAGCTCATGCGCCATGGTGATGGCAATCCTTCCGAGCCACTGGGCTGTTGGGGCTTCCGACGGGACGCTGCTTTCGTGACGGACAGTACCACTAGTCGCTTTTATTGCCGCGTGTAAAGGGCCGCTGTTGTGTTTGCGTCGGACGGGCTGCGGTTTTGTCGTGTAGCTTTCGAGATGGCAGAGCTGTTTGATGTAAGCTGCGCAATGTGAGGATGGCCATGCGTGACCATTGTCCCTTGGCGCACACAAGGGCTGGTCTCGGAACTTGGAGACGGCTGCGATGCGACTGCCTCCGTATGCTCGCCCCGCGCAGAAGATGTCCCCGTCGCCTTCGTACATGTCCTGATCTAGTAGTATCATGATGGAATGTGCGTCAGAGGGAATGTTTTCTGCCAGCGCATCTAGTACATCGTTCAAGTTGACTTGCATAGGAGATACCCCATCTGGTGAGGCGCGGCAGCGAATTCCAAAGAGCTCTTCGCTGGGAGTCCTGAGACCAATGCGTTTCTCTGTATTCGAGCTTTTCAAGACGGCACCCTCGTAGCTGTCCCATTTTTGCCAGTGAAAGGGCTGTTTGAAGATCTTGACGTCCATGCCGTAGAAGAATGCCGATAGATATTCAACAATGTCCCGTATATCTGGAGGGCTGACTGCCTCCGTATCTTGTTTCTTTGCTGAATTTCTAGAACTACAGACGGACCATGCCTGCATCTTGGACAAACTTTTCTCAATTAAAGGACTAGACACAATGTAGATAGTTTTCCTCTCTTGAGTCACCGGGTTCCTTTCCTCTTCATCCCTCCATTCGTTAAAGTCTTGTGGCGGCGACTCTGGGTCTTCAGCTAGATCGTCACCAGGAAGAACCAGTGGTCCCGGAAAGGCCATTTCATCTTCGACGAGCTCTTTGCAGGTTAGGAGCTCTATCTCTTTGAGAACGCGTCCTTCTTGAGTTGCCGCCGAGATGCGTTGTCTCTTATTTGGACGTTTAAATCCTGCTTTAGACGCGTGCGGTGAGACGTCCAAGTAGAGGGATGTGTGTTTGCAGGCGTCTTTTGCATCAGGGTTGGTCATGTCTTTTGGGCGTGCCGCGTACGAGCCTTGGCACAAACTGATTCGAAATATATAATTGATCACTGGTAACAATTTGGCATTGGGAAATAATGTGTTTTCTTTCGTTTTTGTAGAGTCCATGCTGTATAAATGCATCCTTGCTCTGATTGGCTTGGTAAAGGTCTGACGCCCCAAAGTAGCGCTGCTGCCTATCTCGAGTTTGAGCTAATAACAGGAGGCATAGGCGGTATGCTCAAGACAACGTCTTATTTAACCTTGGACTAGCCAATGTTTTTTTATATTTTCTTGAATTAACTTGCAAACAGTTACAAAAATCACTCTCTGCCCCTCTACATGGCCTTCTGTCATTCTAGGCATGGGGCAGCTTTAAGTCAACACACCATGACTAAGATTCAGACGTTGTCAAGCATCTAAATTGTTTCGTATCCAACACGCGAGATTAAGTTTGAGAATAACCCTTTAAACTCCATCTTCTCCATTATAATTTAATCATACACCATCTTCAAGACCCGGTAGAATTTTTTCGCGTGTAGCATCTCTGCCGTAAGTTACCCTATACACTTGGGCTTTTTCAGAAGGCTTCTATGGGGCTATTACTGTATTGGCGGTGTTAATACAATATCAAGATGCAAACGTTTTTGTCAGAAAGAACGTCTTATAATCCTTTTCCTACACATCCAATGACCAAGTCTTAGGTGTCATTACCATCCTGCAACTTGGCAATTGTTAATAAATGCCAAGATGCTGAGCGTGGGATGATCTGCCCTGGACTTCTTGGCTTTAGAGCTGCCGTTGCGCCACATTCGGCGCCACCCGAGGTGAGAGGCAGCAAACGGCAACGGCGTGATACTATTATCACTAACTGAAACTATATCTTTTGACTTTGAAGATCTGAAATACGAATAAACATGAAATCTTATGAACAAACTTTCAAATGGGTAAACCCAGGCCGAATACGTCTTATTGCTCTAATGTTACCGCGTGTAGATGAGCGTGAGGCGATTAATGCGAGAGGCTGACATTTGTGCCGTACATGCCATTTTCATAGATTCAAGTTCGCCGACGTCCCAACGTAGTAACCACAACGTAGAAACGATTGATTGGCAAGAGAACAGCTAAAACTTGCGCACTTTGCGGTGACAAGAATCGAATAGCTGAATGGAACCGCCATTTGTTCGTGTCTCAGTCTTGAGTGAGTTTCATATCCGGGATAACCGGTCGCCAGCCTCAAGCTTGAAGTATGCCCAACCTATCCATAACTACCACATAGAAGACCAATGAAAGGCCAGTAAGCGAGAGCTATGCCGTTGATCGCAATGCATGCTAGCAGTAGTCAAATTGATCCAAAAAGAGATGGCTTTGTAAATTGCAGTCTCAAAGAGGGTAGACAGACTGAGTATTACATACTAGTCAAAGATATTCAGGAACCGGTTATTTGGGCCGGGTAAGTGTCAACCCCTTTTCTCTGCTTCTCTGACGTCGCTATTCGCTCGTACAAGCTGCTGTCGCCGCCGTTGCTGGCACTATTTATGTTGGGTTATGTCTGGCCCCATACACGCATGTCGATCAGGTGGAGAGCTGTGATACTAATAGGAGCTCCCTCCGACTGCCGGGAAAGTCGGCCAGTCGCTTTTGTATAAAGAGCACCGTTATGCTTGCAAAGACATGAATTTGCTTTAAATGCTTTCTAATCTCAACAGAGCCCATACTTGTAGACCTATATGAAGGAGAATTTGATAGCCATATTGATGGTTGGCTTGATAAGAGCGCTGAGAGCTTTCTCTTGCGGGCCCACCACAGTTGCCGAAGGTTGGTGGCCTCTGATCAACTTATACTATCAATCGAGCATGACTCGATATCATCCTGGTAAGGCACTTGAAATGGCGTTTCCAATTCGCTCATCTATTCAATCATGTTACCTCTTTGGCCCAGGCTAGCCTCATGCTGTTGGCTTTAAATCTTTAGCGCCCAGCACTATGGAAGTGTCGATCGCGGGGCATCTTCTGGGGTATGAAGCTCTCGCCACAATTCCTCTTGAAGAAGTGTTTCATCCAACATCATATGACTCTCAATCCTCGCGCATTATGGTTGTAAAATCGATTCCGCAGTTTAAATTTCTACAACTATTCTCCCGCGCATATTGCATAACTCAACCCCCAAATTGTTCTTGCTCCTATGTGTAGATTCAGCGATCGCCCTTGATCCCTGACGAGCTGGGAAATTAGCTATGTAAAGCTACCCACCAAGCTACCCACACATGCTACTAGGAACAGAAGTTGCGATCTTCAGTTGAGCCCTTTGGCACTATGTCATACCGTCTAGTTGACGACTCGCGGGCTGCTTAGATCGGCAGATTGTGAGACTAACCCACGAAATGTCGTGCCATCCCTGATGTTTGGATACCATGTTGCTACTGTCAAGAGTCTAGCCGTGGGCTTGCATCGCGGCACTATGAGCCTTGATACCTAAGCGAGCTTGTCAAGGAAGATCTCAATAGTAATTGTGAATTTCTTGGGTTCAGGCATGGCCAAGCTTAATGTTATGACTGCCGATCGAAGAAGATGGTATAGGAGTACACTGTAGCGGTGTATCAAAGAGCAGAGAGGTTGAGAGATATAAAGAGGACTGCTTCGCCCACAGCTTCTCGTTGCTTTTTCTCATCAACAAGCAACTCGCTTTCAGTCACTCTTTTGCACAGCAAGCCTACAACTTCAGAAGTTCTCAACTTCAGTCACTCCTTTAGTTATTTTCTCACTTCCAATACCGCCAAAATGCGTTTCGGACTCGCCGCTGTTTTCCTTGCCACCATTGTCGGCACTGGTCTCACTGCCCCTCTGGCTTCCCAGCGACGCTCTCTCGTTGGTGATGTCGGCAACCTTCTCGGAGGCATCACCCAGGGCGTCGTTGTCGACGTTGTCGTCCTTGAGACCCAGCTGGTCTCTCTGCTCGGCCCCATCGTCCAGACGGTAAATAGAAGTTGACTAGTCACATTTCATGATGCACCAAGCTAAACATTGTATTTTCTAGATCGAGTCTGCTCTTCCTACCGCCACCACTCTGGCTTCCAAGCTTGTCAGCCTTGTTGATGGCGTTGGCGCTCAGGCCACCGATGCTCTTGGCCTGAACAACGTTGTCCAGATCGTTGGTGAGGCTATCGCCATGGTTGCCCAGGGCGTTGACTTGAACGCTGTCAACGCTTACCTCAACGCTGCTACTGGCGGTACCATTACCAGCCTTGAGGCCGCTCTTGGCATCAACAACCTTACTCAGGTTCTTGGCCTCTAAATGTGATGAGGCCTATTGGGGGATGCAAAAATCGACATCGGTTTTTGGGCATAGTATTTGCAGTTACGATTCTTGTTACCTAGCCTTATTTGCAATATACGAGCATTTTGGAGGTGTCTGGCGATTGAAGATACCCGTTTCCTAGAACTTTCTTCCCATGATATCGTGATTCCCACCCCTTTGCGTCTTGCAGTCTCATTTAAATCCACGGAGATTCGCATGGAGTCCCTATCGTGAGGTAATGTGTTGAACTGGCAAAATCCCCTTGTGGCAGGTTTCGTAAAAACTCAAGTAAACCGTTCTTAAACTGGTATTCTAAATGTCGTTTTGTGTCGTTTTGACTGCTGTTTTTTTTTTTTTTTTTTTTTTTCTCCGGATTTGTGTTGCGTGATTGCATACGGATTACGCTAAATTTGAACTGCTGTCGCTCAAGGGCCAGATTTAAGTGTTGGAAGTCAACGTTGAGAGAATACGGGATATCCATATCCAGCGGAATTAGTATATACTAGGTCTGAAATCATGACTTCCCTAGAAGTACTTTTTGTGGAAGTGCTTGGACGCCCTGCTGCTGCATAGCCACCCGAGTGTCGTGTACCTTGCGGTCAATGACCTTGAAGTCAAACACTCCGTCGAGATCTGCGCGAAACTTCAAAAGCTGGTCTTGCGCTTTCTTGATCTCATCCGGTTTATTGTCCTGGACGACATGCGCTTTGACCTGTAGTATCCACCGACTCTGCATATCAACCCGTGTCAGGGACCCCCAGGCTGGCAGACTTGATTTGGGTCCTGAAGGAGCTGCTGGCATGGTTGCAAGGGGAACGTAGTCGCCGATTGGGCCGACAAAGTAGTGCCTAGTTAAACAGAACTCGATATCATCACGAAAGAAACGAAACGTCTCTTCCACCGTTTCTGTTTTGAACCTAGACTTTATTAGACCATGGCAGAAATTAACCAAAAAGACTAAATACTGACTGATAGTTGTTTTCCTGAAGTATAGACGGCAGCTTCCTTTGTTCCCAAAGCTCAACTTTCTTGCGCTGGGTAAGAATCGGCTGACCACGAGGAGGATCTGGAAAATCCGTCCATCTCAGTATGCCTGGGACGAGATTGAGATCGACTGACTCAGCCTGGGGGCCTAGGTCTCGGTCTTTCAGGATTTCATAGCGAGCTTGGAGGACAAATGACTGGCGAGAGAGATTCTGATGTAATTCCTTCCAGAGCAGAGCAGAGTCTTTGCGCATGGGCTTCTCAAAGGAGCGTTGATTGGTGATGCCAGATGGTCGGGGAGGGCCTTGAAAATAGAGAACTCGGCTCACAGATTCCCATGGCTGCATCGAACAGAAACCGCTTAAAACGGCGAGGGCTGTATTGATGTCGCTGTCCTCGACCAGTGCGGTGAGGAATAGCTCGTACATGATGAAGCAAGATTGTACACTCCAGCAATAAATTGAGGATCAAGTTGTCTCCGAAACCAAAAAAACTCGGAATTTTATCGGTTCAAAAGCGAGAATTCGGTTGAATCATAAGGTGATCAAAGCATGAAATGTCGATTCGTCGACGTAAGCTCTGAAATGCCGTAGCAGTCTAAGCTTCCTGAAGCAATTTAGGCGTGTTGGCGATAGCTTAGTTAAAGAGGATTTGGAGATGCACGTGACCACGCGCCACAGTCGCATTTGCGCCGCGTCTGGGCTTCCGTCTGTCTTGAATCCGTCAAACCGGCATCTTGCGAAAGCTGCCACTAATGCTCGTATTGCGCAGAGCAGCTCTTTTACGCGATATCAATCCCTATAGAAACCTCTGTAGCTCGCTCTTTAAGCGGAAAATGGCTACGCAAAATCCACCAAAGAAGCGCAAGGATCCCGGTGCTCCAATCTCCCCACCTCCCCTCAAAAAGACCGTGAAGAGCACTACTACAAGTACGGCTGGGTATTCTTGAATAACTGGCCGGCTACCGGTGGCTAATATTCGCTTACAGAGTCAGCTATTGCAGGCTTTTTTACACCAATTTCTCAAAAGCCCAAAGATCGAACGGTCTGGTCAGAACGAAGTCCTTCAGAGGATGCTCCCCCGACACTGCTTGTTGGCAGATACCAGCCGGAAAATAACGACAAGGGACCCCCAGACAAGCGGAGGAAGATAGCTGCGTTCGATCTCGACTCGACTCTTATTACTACCTCATCAGGAAAGAAGCATGCGTCCAACGCAGCAGATTGGAAGTGGTGGGATAGTACAGTCCCGGATCGACTACGCAAGCTCTATGAGAAAGAAGACTATCATGTGGTGATTCTTTCAAACCAGGCCGGATTAACGCTTCACTTTGACGCAAACCACAAAGGACCAAAAGCTAATGCTCAGAAACGCGTCACTGAATTTAAACAAAAGTGCAGTGCTGTATTAACTAGCCTTGATCTCCCGATAACGGTTTATGCGGCCACGGAGAAAGACATTTATCGAAAACCTAGGAGGGGTATGTGGAAAGAAGTCTGCGACGATCTAGAAATTTCCGAAGACGAGGTAAATCTGAAGGATAGCTTCTTCGTTGGCGATGCAGGTGGTCGAATCGCCAGTCTTGGCAAAGGAGCCGGTGGTGCAGCAGCACCGGCAGCAAAAGACTTCAGCTGCTCTGATCGCAATCTCGCACATAATGTTGGCATCGACTACTTGACACCCGAAGAGTTCTTTAGAGGAGAGAAGCCCAGAGACTTTGTTCGTGAGTTTGACCTATTAAGCTATACATTCCCAGAGGAGGACGGGTCTCTCGACATTGCTGAAGACGTCTATGAACGGAAAAATGATCAAGATGTCGTTATGTTTTGCGGCCCTCCCGGAGCTGGGAAAAGCACATTTTACTTCAAAGTCCTCAAGCCTCTTGGGTATGAGCGAGTGAATCAAGATACGCTAAAATCTCGCGACAAATGCATACAAGCCGCCAGAGAACTACTCAAAGATGGCAAATCTATAGCTGTTGGTACGCGCCATCTCATACTCTTATACTGTAGTGTTGTTGCAAGGCCACGTGCATTCCAGCTTTATCTGCCACTTGGATCTGATATAAGGCTAATATAAGGGAACAGACAACACCAATGCCGATCCTGACACGCGGGCGCTATGGATTGACGTAGCTAAAAAGGCCGGTGTCCCTATTCGGTGTCTCTGGTTCTCAACACCCGTTATAGTGTGTGAGCATAATGACGCTGTTCGAGCGAATAATGCCCTATTAAATCCAGAAGCTCGACAGAGTCTTCCTAAACTGGCTTTCACTGGATTTCAATCAAGATTTAAAGAGCCGAAGGAAAGAGAGGGCTTTCAAGATGTCACAGAAGTCAAGTTTAAATTCCGAGGCACCAAGGAGGAGTATGTGCTTTGGGGCCAGTACTGGATCTGAACGGACAGTGCATGGCAAGGCTGCTGTTGCAGGCCTGCTCCTCGCCGTGTGGCCATCCGGTCGGCCAAGCCGACGGTGTTGGTGCCCACCAATTACCACCAACTGCCATTAGACTACTCGTGATTTCTTATAAATCAACATACACAGCAGTCTACACAACAACACTCCAATCACATTGATAGATAGCCACCATCACCGGACGAAAAAATGACAGCCTATCACTGGCCACTTCTGTGGACTATGACCGGGTTCGCTGCACTTGCTCTGAGCAATTGTTTTGTGAGACTTCAAACGATAAGCTCAGCGAGAGATGAGAGCACCACCGTTTAGAGCAAAAGGCTATTGCGATATAGGGCCCAGGAGCCACTCTTTCTACATTTCCTATATTATATGCAACCGGCTTTTTTTCTTCGCCGAAGAGCGGCAATTGATTTCTCTCCACCACACCATTGATGACGAAATGTTCGATTCCCAAAGCAGCTCAATGCGACATGGTCTAATGCAACCAAAGATCTGGGGTTGCTGCCCGGCCAGGTTCACCCCAGTCGCATAATACGTGAGTGCTACTTGCGCTTCCACATCAGCCAGGATAGCGATAATCAGCTAGAAGATAATACGGATATGGATTGCAAAGTTAGAAACATATTTTCAGCGAACGTACACCGGAGGTTGTCCGATCCCCCGCACTCTCCAACTTCGTGGCTTCCCCCTCACTTTTCAAGGCCCCAGATTAATTAGATTTAGACTACTTGGCGGGCCGCCAGACTGCAGACTAGTAAAACGGATCACCAACAAGCCACAGCTAGGCACTGATATTGGTCGCTCCGTTCTATGTAAGACCGGCGCTGGGAATCCGGCATGAACAGCATACGATGCGTGGAGCTGCTGTGGAGTGTGGAGTGCATGCTGGCGGCTAGCTGAACGGTTTTAGAAGGACGATATGCGGGGCTGGGCCAGTTTTGCTGGTCTATTAGCCAGGGATTGACATCATGGCGGTGCGTTGTTCGAGGCATCGGCCAGCCTTAGGCCACGAGTTGAATGCAACTCAGCAGCTCGGCTGCAGGCACTGAGTGGTCTTGAACTATTAGAGGCTAACTCTGGTATGGCAACACAACCGTCCGAGACGCTCCGACATTTTGCAAGTGTGGACACCTCTAGCTGAGAAAAAGGCTCCTCGTGTGACCATCTGGGGCTTCCCTTGGTCTAAGGATTCTGAAAACTGTGCGATGTGGGCGAAATAGGTATATAATGAGATCTCCCTCCTCTGCTGTGAGATTCTTAGACCAGCACTCTCTGCCCGTGCGCATCTCAAGTTTTGTCTTTAGCTTCTGTAGCTACCAGATGCTTCCCTTGCTCGTCTTTACCACGGTGTCAGTTTCTTATTAATTACTTGCGTCAAGACCGCCACCATGGGTGTCGGGGGGAAGAAACCCGTCAATATCTTCAAGTTGAAAGACTTGGGAGAGCCAGAGGGAGCTCTGAACTGGCGCCTCTGGTTTGCCGTCTTTTCTTTTGGCCTACTCGGCGCTGCGCGAGGTATCGACGAGGGACTGATCTCTGGTGCCTTCAACTCGGCCAATTTCAAATCATCTATTCACTATGCCTCATACGATACTGTCGAGCAGGCCAACATCAAAGCCAATGTCTCTGCCATGGTCCAGATTGGATCCGTCGGCGGTGCGTTGTTGTAAGTCACGTCACCGCCTCTTTTATGCATGGTTTAGTTCTCCACAATCGCTTCCATCGGTTGCTAACGAATGACCACTATTGTTTTTGCTATAGTGCCTTCCTAATTTGTGATCGTATTGGCCGACTCAATGCTACGCGAGTGCTGTGCCTCATCTGGGCTGTTGGCATTGCTATTTTTATGGCTGGCGGAGTGAAGGGAAATTTGGGCGCCATCTATGCCGGTAGATTTATCGCCGGCCTTGGCGTGGGACAGACGCCGGTCGTAGGGTGAGTCAAGAACCCGAGTTAAACCCCCACTTGTGTCCTTTACTTGTGCATAGTTGTGTACGACTAACACGATGCATCGTTGCGCAGCCCCATTTACATTGCTGAAATTGCGCCCGCATCAATTCGTGGTCTCTGCACATGCTTCTTCACTGGTGCTGTCTATCTCGGCATATTGCTTGCTTATTTCGCCAACTATGGATGCCAGCTTCATATCGTCAGTGGCAGCCCGAATCAATGGCTTGTCCCCACCAGTTTACATATCATGATGAGTGGAATCATTTTCATTCTTTCCTTCTTCCAATACGAATCGCCGCGCTTTCTCGTCAAAGAGGGTAAAATTGAGCAAGCTGTCTACAGCATGGCTCGCTTGCGCCAGCAGTCTCCCGACAGCGAGTACGTCAATCGCGAGATAGCTATGATTCAGATTGGCCTTGACCGTGAGCTGGAAGCTAGCCAAGGTGTTGGCTGGTTTGGTAAAGTCAAGGAGCTGCTTCTCAACAAGAGCAACCTGTACCGAGTGTATCTGTCATCCATGGTTCAGCTGCTTGGTCAGTGGTCTGGCGCTGGATCCATCACCCTGTATGCGCCGGATCTGTTCAAAATTTTGGGCGTTACTGGAAACAGCGAGTCTCTTCTTGTTACTGGCGTCTTCGGCATCGTCAAATTCGTGGCGGCAATGATCTGCGCCCTCTTCCTCGTTGATGTTATCGGCCGCAAGCGTGCTTTGCTATGTGGTATTACACTCCAGACCATTTCCATGATCTATGTTGCCGGTTTTCTTACTGCCGTACCTCAACTCGGAACTGTCAAAAACTTTGTCTTGCCTGAGTCTATGAAGGGACCTAGCCGAGGCGCAGTTGCCATGATCTACCTATCAGGCGTCGGCTGGGCGCTTGGTTGGAATTCTATGCAGTACCTGCTTACGGCTGAATTGTATCCCCTTCGAGTTCGTGCTCTTGCTACCTCGTGGGCTATGACCCTTCACTTTGCCAACCAATATGGTAACTCGCGCGCTTTACCCGTTATGCTGCTCAGCACTTCAGAAGGAGGAATCTCGCCCATGGGTACTTTCTGGTGTTTTTCAGCTGTTACCTTGCTAGGTGGTATCTGGGTGTGGTTCTTCGTCCCCGAAACTGGCGGCCGTTCTCTTGAGAGCATGGACCGCCTGTTTGACCTACCGTGGTACAAGATCGGTCTGTATGGTAACAAGGATGCCGAAGAAAAAGATATGGCTGTTGATGAAAAGCAGCGGGCTGCCGAGGAAGAGTTTGGCAACGCGCAGCAGGTTGAGTATAAGGCATAAAGTGTAGATGAGATTTGAAGCTGGTTCTTACAATACTACTCGCTGGTATGGCCTAGAGATGATAGCAACTGGACTATCTAGCTACAATGATGAATGATATTATGACAAAATATTTATATTTTCTGAACCTCATGATTGTGATATGTTGACTATTTCTCATAATCGACGAAATAGCGTTGAAGCATCATCTACGGACTATTTTCGTTCCTATTACTCTGTAAGTACGATTTCTTCCGACTCTTCTTTCTTTATTGACCCACATATCTAAAATAGAAATAGTGGCGCTGGATATCAAGCTGTTCTTGACCAACACTGGTAATCGCCACTAGCTACCTTGTTGGTTGCCATATGAGGCTTATTCGTCTCGGAGGTTGTCCGGACGGCTCAGGACTTTTAATGTTCAATGTAATCTCTTAAAGGGCGAAATTTTTTTTTAAGCTGCTAGTGAAGGGACTAATAAAACAGTAACATTATCCCTTTTTTAGATGAGATTGAAAGATCTAGATACCTTCTTTTCCTGATGGACAATGAATGATTTCACCATTATCAACACCTGGATCTATCTTTTTCTGTACATGTCCTTTATTCTAGGCTGTGGCGATACAGTAAGAGCGCTATCCTCTCCCCTTTCGGCCCTTACTTATTAGCTCAAAGTTGAATCAGACTTAAACAAGCCACCAGATGATCTCCGAAATCCCCATCCAACATGCTCCGTGTTTGGCTGCTTGGCAAACTGCTACGCGCCTTCTCCAACATTTGTCCTCCACTAGCCCCTCATTCTTCCCCACGTTTCTTATGGAGGTAACATTTGATACCAATTATGGATATGTATATGCAACTTATCGGGACAGGTGGCTATAGAGAGTGTGCAAGAGAGACTTTAAGTACATCACGGCGATTACTTACCTCGATTTTTTAAACGGGTTTAATGACTACTTAATATTGTATTGATTTATCTCCAGGTCGCATTAATGAATGAAAGGATGATTAAATGTGCGGAGACTTCTTGTGAGAGAATAAGAAGAATTGGAGAACAGGCCGATCATCTCCGTCATATTATCGTGCGAAAGCCGACGCTAATATCCTTCTTCACAAGTGGCTAGATCCGGCGAGGATCCAGGTTTCTGAGACTCGTTCTCCAGCTAAGATATTAGCGGCTTGTCTGCCTAAAGAATAATCCGGTAGTAGGTTTTAGTCTGCTCGTTCATCGCTTCACGTCTTCTATGCCAGACACTATAGTCTACCAGATATCCTATTGGAAAATATACTCTATGCTGCTGACAGCGGCAATAGGAGACCTTTGAAATGGTACTGTCTATAATTTTACAGCTACTTCTGTCAAAGAGTGCTTGTCCCTTGTATTATTGTACTAGGCCGACTAAATAAATCTGGATGGCTCACGCTCTCTCGGCTTCTTCACGGCTCTCCATTCGAAACACCATGAGTACATAAGACCTCACCCTTTCTCACCCCTCTTTCTCCTCTTCTTTTGCCTACAAGACCTTTATTCTCTCAGTTGTACCCTCTGGACAATGCCCTCTCTAAGGTTTGAAAGTGACCATATAACATGGAAGCTAAATATGTCTTCACGTCTTGGCATTTTTACCCCTCGTAAAAAGTCTGCAGACTGCCCTTTTGGATGCCGAAGACGGTGTTTTCTCACTCTTTAATGATGTCAGACGCTTAGTTAAGGTAGTGGCGATGTATATGCTTAAAATAAGGCTCATACAACGCAGATAGTTTGCGCGTGAGTCTTCTCTCTTTTTGGAGGCATGATCCAGCTGTTATTGCGCTTTACAGTTATTCAAAATATCTCACGTGGGTTCAGGATATGGCATGAATGGTTGTTTTCTCCGAAAATGAGCAATTTAGAATTTATTTGTTCAAAGACCTGGGATGTAAGCCAAGACGACCCTGGGAGGATCCATTCCCTTTGCTGAGCTGGTGATGCCATGCCTCTGTGCTACCTTCGAGAGTACTGTATGAGAAATCAGCGTCACAGCGGATATATTGCGTTTACTGGTAGGAATATTACGGTATGATTTGTGTCATACAAGGGTTCCACCACATTTTCTTGGCCATAAGCACATATATAAAGAATGGCACGCCCAGCACCCTTGTACGAAGAAGGCAAAGCGAATAGTTTATAAATTTGGTCAATACCTCTACTGGCTACTCAATTATGAGGTCAATCATGCGCCCACTATACTATCTCAATTTTGCCTTTCTCTGCATTCACATCTGCTGCCAAATACGACGATAGTAAAGCGACAAGGAAATCGTTTGACCTGAAGTAGCTCACGCTCAGAGAGTCCAGAACCCGAAATACAGTGGTCAATTGTCGAAATCACCAATTCAAGGGAGTAGAGGCATAGAATTTATCGACTAATGGCAAACAGGACTGGCGCGTTTGGCTTGAGCAGGATTGCAACCCAATTTCCTTCTGGCACGACATTCCTCTCTATCCTGACGAGAAGAACAATAATATTGTCAATATCTACGTAGAAATCCTCCGATGGACAGATGCCAAGATTGAGACGAAGCGCAATAACCTTATGAGTGAGTGATGCGTATTAAGTTGTTGTCTGTGTCTGTTGCTGGTCAACAAACGAGATGCTCATATGCAGTTCCCATAGATCCCATCTATCATGACGACAAAGATGCTGTTCCTCGATACGTGGCTGGCATTTGGCCGCATAAATCCTACCCGTTCCTTTACGGTTCACTTCCTCAGACCTGGGAGAACTCTAACATTAAGCATAACTTTACTGGATATCCTGGTGATAATGATCCTATGGATGTGAAAGATATAAGTGCAACCGAGTCAGTGCTAGAGAAACGTGATTGAAGAACTGATCAGCTAAAGGGTTGTCTTCAAGCCTTTGATGTGATCGATAGTAAGTCACTACTTTATATACCGCTGAGTACCAAAACTGAACTGGGTTTAGCCATCAACGATCTAGAGGAATATCGACCTGACCTTAAGCAAACCTTTTATGACTGGTTCGTCGTAAGTACACCCTTTGGAGAAAACCCTTCACTGTATATCAAAAAAAGATACCATTTTAATTACAACTAGTGCTACAAAGTTCTTCGCAGTGGCAGTCTCAATACTATATTTGGAGACAAATTCCAAGACTCCAATACGGCACGCGAAATCGTTGGCGAAAGTCACGGCTTCTGGCAAGACCTTATCAGCGGCAGAAAAGACGCCGGGAAGATTAGCAATTCGCAGACTTCGCAACCAAGCATGTGTGAGAGTTATATCGCAAGCAAAGATGCAAGCAAAGAGTTTGGCCTTCCGAAGAAATCCAAGATTGAACCTGCTGCGCTGAGGCCTGTGAAGTACGGTAAGTGGTTCTATTTAGATGAAAACTTTGAGGTAATGCCGGAGCAGGATATTGATGTTGATTGAGAACAAAGGATATCAAGGCAGAAACATAGACATAAATTATTAAGTAAAGAGATTTGGCAATATATAAACGTTGTAGGCGTAATATTTACAATTCTTTTTGCCTCGGTCTATTAATCTACTCATGATGATCTAAATGCTATTTATGCGTCCCATATTACCACAGATCTTATCAGTTAAATGCCACTTCAGATGCTTATTATTTGTCTAGATGCAATGAATACCCAGAAATGAATGAGGGTAGAGGGAAATAAAAGGGAAAGGGCCATTATTAGTAGAGACACTACAGTCGTCTTCGTCGGTGGTCGTTATTTTAGTCGTACTTGTGAGTCTCAAACTTGCTTTTCGCCCGGATAGTAGGACCGAATCTGTAAAGAACAAAGGGAATTGGAATCAAAGCTAGAGCAATGAATCCTAGCAAACTGGTAGCCCAGTGAATTCCAAGGCCTTCATACACTAGGGACAATGTTAGTAATTTGCGGCGAAGATTTTCCTAACTGCGATTCAATTACTTACTTTGGATGGTGAAAAGAGGAAACACTCCTGCGAAACCATATCGCGCCAAACTATTGGCACTAGAAGCACTCGCGACAACGTTGCCGGTATACGTGTCGGAAATGTATTGGATAGTGCTAACAAAGACGCACAAGTTGCCCCAAGCAAAAGGAATGATGGCTACTGCAGGGCTTGCCCAGGAGATGTCCTTTCGCGCGGTCCAAGCGAACCAGAAGAGACCAATGGGCAGTCCAAAGCAGCCCATCATGGCGGGATAAAGCCGGTGCTCCGGAGGAATTTTGTTAGGAGGGTAGTTGGGAACTTGCTTTCGGTAGAAGAAGATTTCGCAGGCCATGATGGTGGCAAGGCCGAGGAAACAACCAATGACAATAGCTAGGAAAACCAAGCCGGACTGTTCAGTATCAAAGTGATATACCATACCAAAGGAGTAGGGAACGCCACCAAAGAAGCTGAAAAGGGTACCAAAGTTTATGGCGACGTAGAGGCAGATGAACGAAACGATAGGCTCGGTAAAAAGCATAAGGAGAGGCCGAACAGCGGCCACTACGGCGAAGGTCTTGATGCGCTCGCTCACGGGAGGAAGTGGAGGTACCTCAAGGCCACGCTTCTTAGCCAGACGGCGCTTGAGAATGGGGTGGAAAGTTTCTCCAATGAAGCAGCCCAAGGTGATGGCGAAGGCGGCGAAGAAGAGCATTGTCCATTCGGTCCAACGCCAGCCCTTGTCGACAGAAACAAAGGAGCCAATAACCGGTCTATGGAAAGCAATTAGAACCATGGATCCAACCTAATGCTGGGTAGAAAAAGGGATGAAAGGCTTACCCTAGGCCAGGTCCTAAGAATGGAGTGAGGATGAACATGGCACTCACAGGCCCTCTTGTCTTTGGCAAAAACGTCTCTGAAAGCGATCCAGGGGCATTGGCCAGCACAGGAGCCCATAAGAACCCGGTAAGGAAACGGAAGAAGCACAAGGCGCCAAAGTTGTGGACAAATCCTGCTCCAATGGTGAAGAAAGAGCCGAGAAGCATGCCTCCCATGATAACAGGATAGCGACCAATCGTTTCGGAAAGGGGGCCACCAATTACGGGGCCAAGGCCAAGGGCGACGACGTAGAGAGTAAGAGGCAGTAAGGCGACGGTTCGGCTTACACCAAATTCCTCTTGTAGAAGGCCGACAGAGGAACTGGAGATGGATGTGGCTATTGATCTGTGCGTTTGCCATGTCAGTATTGCTTCTTGAGAGCACTTTCTTCCAGCTCTTGCGAGTACAAAAACACGGTGGCCGGCGTATGACGGCTAGTACAGTAAAACTCACATTGTGAGACCCATTGTAGATATAGTAAACACCATCAACCCTTTCCTCCACGCAGGCCAGTTATACGGATTATGAGGGTCATTGTCCCAGTCGAGAACTTCCTGCGAAACCTGCCCCTTCTCAGCATCGCTGTTGCTGTTGCTGTCGCTGTTGCCAAACTGGTCTTCCGGCTTTGTCACCAACGTTTTGTCGTCCGCCTGTATATCCGACAAGGAGGAGCCATTCAGCACTCCTTCTGGAGATGCCATTCTGCCTATCTTTGTTTCCCCGCAGAGGAGATTGGTCTAGTTGAATAGCCTGCGCGAGCTGAGCCAGTTGTTGGAGAGCTTCTACTTGCCCCCTTGGCCCCCGTGGATGATTTGCTCGATAAGTCGTATTTGTAGAACCAAGATCTCCCCACTCTTTTCTTCTTTGCTGTTTCTTTCCTTTTACTTTTCCTTTATTTTTTTTGCAGGCCCCTTTAATATGCTGTGTTATTGATGTATTTCGGCGAATAGGTTGAAGGACGAGCTTCTAGTAGCAAGACTGCTTGTCGTCCATCCCATCTAGAACCAGGCCTACCTCAGGAGATGGAACACACCTGCTATAAAAGAAATCGCACTCGCCCTGCTCTCCCTGCTCAGCTTCCCTCTTTATCCCTTCATTGCTAAGCATGTACTATGGCACAATAGACACCGGCCAAATGGGGCAAAGCCTAAGATCACCGGCGACGGCCCGGGTCCGGAAAAGTGAACATTTTATGATTACTGAGCAGAATCATTGCCGAGGCAGAGACTTTGAATTTTGTCGAATAGCAAGGCGCGAATGAGCGCCGCTATGCCACTTTGGAGATTTATGATTACTATTCAATATTTTCGGTGGTGTTGCTTAGGCGCAACAAGCAGCGTATTTGATTAGCCATTGCGGCTTCGATTTTATGCCTGAATGATTCCATTGGGGGCACGCTTTGTAATAACGTAACAGCTGAAGGCCAAATGGAGTAGCAAAGCCCGAAAGTTTTAACGCCAGACTTGGTAAAGAACATTTTGGCTTCAAGGAGGAAAAAAGATCTTAGCGGATCCGAGTGCGAGCGTTAGTCTGGCGGCTTGCAAGCCGACAAAGAAACAATTTACAGCTACGAAGAATAGGCATGACCACAATATTGGCCGGTGTCTGAACTTTTGCGTTGATAAGCTAGTATTGGATAGGGATTTTCAAGACTCGATAAAAACGCCCGTGGAGATGGCAATCTCCCACGTGCGTGAGCTGGATGGAGACTCGTTAGACGCTTCAGCCCAGGCAGCTTCATTTTCAAGAGGGGCGTATCTCTTCTATTTTCGTTCGTACAACGCCGTGTCAAGGTTTGGAGCATCAAAAGCATGTATCTATCCATTAAGTCATGCGACTGCCATATATTTGGCTGCAGCAATACGCGGCCTAACTTCAGTAATCATCGGCCATGCAGCTGGAAGCAACGCAACCGAGAAGCAAAATGATGGTCGAATCAGTACGGTAACATAAAAAAACTTAATCTGAGCTCATATGAGATTCAGTGGAGCTTAGAAATCATTGAGAACAGTCTGGCTCAATCCTGCAGTGTACTAGACATTTGTTGAGCTTAGTGCGTTGCGCAAGTGGTGAAGGCCAAATTCTAGATTACTATATATATATGCCCGAGACTAATCGCTGGAGGCACATCTGACGGCTTCCGGACATGCATAAGAGCCGGGCCGTAGCGTCGATGACAGACTGGATTACGAAAGAGGCGTTATATAGACATATCAGGCTCAGAATAAAACGTCTAACCTTGAATCTCTTGATTTATCAATCTGCTAGCCACTAGAAGAAGAAAATGTACATGTAGTCTACCTAATATCCTCGTATTATGTCATTTCAAATTGTTGCTTCATCTCTCATACTGGACATGCTTACAAAGTACCCAGATTCAAACCACAACCCTTGCTAATAACAGCTCCTTTACCCAAATTAGAAGCAGCCAAATCGGATAGCACAGAAAAGAGGCAATAGCCATGCCTAGGAAGCGGTTCGTATCCCAGCTGGCGATGTGCTAATCTCTCAGTTTCTGAGGATGACTGCTAGCAAACTAGTGAATTATTTCCTGTTTAGTAGATCAACTAAAAAGTGTTCGGAAGTTGCCAGAGAGGGCTTAACAGTATATTCACACAATCAATATGGAAGCTGAGGCTAAATTTCCTTTTTGGTATTGCTTCCTGAAATCTTTTTTTCGCCGGCATATATATTAAATGAGATATTTATATAGCTCTAGCGCATAAAGATGCAACCTTTCAATTCTCCTCTGCTTACTTTTTATTTAATAATACTAATACTATCACAAATTATTTTGAATTCTTTTTTTTAAGACTCTGTAAAGACACGATAAATGAAACAAATGAAAAGAGGCGCTGCTGTAAAATTGGCACAAATTATTCAGTAGATACGAGATTATTGAGATATGAAGCCAGTATATGCAAATAAAAAGCGATGATAGCGAGGACTATGAGAAGTCAGGGGACAACAACTCCTCCTCCTCGGGAAATAACAACACTTCTAGCGGCGGGGATCAGGGCGGCAATAATTAGTCGCATTGGGGAATAAGGATGCAGCTTTGTTAATGTGAAGAATGCAAACGGGCCAAGATCATAACTAGCAGATCACGCTTTCTGCGCCTTTCTTTTGTGTTAGACGTTTAATAGCTTGCACTTTATTAAATACTTTATATCGCTTCTCTGTATTTTCTTATAAGAAAATGAGATAGCCGTGATCTATTACGAAATATACACTACAGACAGGGCATTTGCTTAAGTCAGTGGAATTGCTTGTAATCTATCCTGTATTTACACGCTATTGTCGGGGCAGAATCATCTATGCATATCGACATGTTCGTTATTATAGATTCAGATGACAATGGAAGGTTTTTAAATATTTTATCTGTGTAAGCTTCAAACCCGTTATCCTATTGCCTGTTGGTTTTAATGCTAGGCGCAGCTGCGTGCGTTATGTCAGCAATCGCTGCTGCCTAGTTACATTCCTTACGCTCGATATTTATGCTTGAACCACAATGCCCAGGAAGAAGATCAAGAAAGTGTACTCTCTATTCTATATTCTCTCTGGAAGATCCGTTTCTGTGTTTTGATATCATCAGAAGAGTAATGAGAACTTCTGAGAAAATGTGGAAGCAAATCGCCCAAGAAGCGCAGGCGCTTCGTGACGAAACACTTGCTGAAGTTGGAGTAAATATTGAAATCTCGGATGAGCTTTCAGGAGACATTACCCATATCCCTAATATAATGTTATCCACAAGCAGCGCTAGAATAACATCTTTAGTGCCTCAAGAGATTGTGTCCTTAGTGTCTAAACGCATAATCTCCGCTCAAGAGGTGGCTCGGGCCTTTCTGGAAAGAGCCGTCCTTGCTCAGAAGCTTGTAAGTAATTTACACCTTAGTCACAAAGTTAATTGCCAACCAATATTGGTAGACAAATTGTCTCACTGAACTTCTCACTGAACGAGCCATCTCTTGTGCTATTGAGCTTGATGCTCACCTCTTGCATAATTCTGTTCCGCTTGGAGCGCTTCATGGTTTGCCAGTGAGCATCAAGTCTCACATCGGCATTGCAAATCGACCTCTTTCTTTTGGCTACTGTGCCCCATTCTGTTCACGTCCACGCCCTGTTGCTGATGCGCTAGTGGTCCAAATTCTTACGCGAGCTGGAGCCATTGTCCATGCTCGAACAACAGAGCCCCAGAGCATGATGCAACTTGAATGCGCGTCCAATCTCTATGGTGTCACCACGAATCCATATTCCAACATCCTTATGTCTTCAGGCGGTTCTTCAGGAGGAGAAGCTGCGCTGATTGGATTGCGCGGCTCCGTATTAGGCGTGGGAAGTGATGTAGGCGGATCAATTCGCGTCCCAGCTGCTGCTTGTGGAATTTATGGGCTCAAGCCAACCGCATTTCGGGTGCCAACTACTGGCTGGAGTAGCACTCCGCCAGGAGCTGATCCAATAGTCACTGTGTTAGGACCGATGAGCGTCAGCTTGGAAGGCATAGAAATGTTCATGAAAGTCGTGGCGGCTGCAGAGCCATGGCACATTGAGCCAGCAATAATACCACTACCTTGGAGGGCGGTCGATATTGCTCCAAGCAGGGAAAAGCCATTGCGTTTGGGGATTATATGGCACGACGAAGTCGTCAAGCCCCACCCGCCAATAACAAGAGCGCTGAGAGAGTTTGTAGATAGAGTGAGCAGTGTGCCACATGTGGAAGTGGTGAAACTTTCGCCATATAAACATGATGAGGCATGGGCCATTGCATCAAGCCTTTATTTTACTGATGGAGGTGAAGCCGATATGGCTATTATGGCTGAATCTGGTGAACCATTGCTACCCTTGACGGAGTGGATTATGAAAGGCAACCCAGGTGTAAAAAAGTTGGATCGAGATGAGTTAGAATACTGGCTAGAAGAACGAGAAGAATTCAGGTTGGAATACTCGCAGCACTGGAACAACACTGGAATTATGAATAAAGCTTCGGGTACTTGGGAAAACACTGTGGATGCCATTATCTGTCCCGTTGCGCCCGGGGTGGCTACGAAGCATAACACAGCTAAATACTGGACATACACTGCCGTGTGGAACTTGCTCGACTATCCAGCCCTGGCCTTTCCGACTGGTCTAGTTGACAAAGCAAAAGATGTCAAGGAGAATAGAAAGCGTTTCATGAGCAATTTGGATAAAGAAAACTGGAAATTGTGTGAGTCAATCCCCGATTACGCTACTTCCCGTAAAATTGCCAAGCATGGACTGAAAGCGGAGGATTGCAGATGACCCCGAGCTATTTCATAATATGCCAATCGGTTTGCAGATGGTTGGCCGAAGATTTGATGATGAAAAGATTATTGCCATTCTACAGTTTTTGAAAGGACACATTTAACATCTATTAATTATCTACGGAAAAAAAAAATTCCAACATGAAAATAGTTAACTATAATATTGCATCGTAGGCTACATTCTTCCATTTATATGAGAGGTTAACGGTTGAGAATAGCATGTGCGGTGGAATAAATAACCTGTATTTGCCAAATCACGCACTGCTTGATACACTCTCAATTTGCATACAGAATAGTTGGTTATAATATTGCCTAAACGACAAAGTTCTTTCGCGATTTTTGTTTCCACACTTCGACTTTTAGAACATGATTTTGACTTCTGATACTGCATCTCCAAAAATACACCATCCTGCGGGGCTACATGAGCCGCAAGATGTAAGATAAGCAGTGAAGCGCCCAGCCTATGAGAAATGACGTACTTGAATTCACCAACTGTTGAGACTTATCATACTTCTTGGAGCCTCTTCGCACACTTTGACTGCTAATCCTTCAATATTATATCGCAAAAAGCGGTGATAATTTCCTGTCCAGATAAGACCGGATATCTTTAGCCACAATTGTAGTGAAATTCGCTGTAGAAATTCTCTCTGTCCGAATTGTGCGTTGAAAGTACATGGTCTAGTGGGGGTTTCGACACGGTTCAGCGTAATAGTTATAAGCTCAGTAATCATTCATCTAATGCCGATCGTCGTGCTACTTAATTTAATATTTAATTCTCAGCGGCGCTTGTGTGGCTTTTACAAAGAATTTAAGAATTATAAATGTAAAAATTAAAATAAAAGAAGTTTGTTATATCACGAAAGATGAAAGCCAAGACGACATCACCATAAACAGTTCGCGAGACGTTGACGTTACATATTCTGATAGATTAGTAGCTATGAGTTTGGACGTCCTCAACATCGCTTTAGTACCCCAAATCAGAAACTAAAAACTTAAACGAGTCTCTTGATTTTGATCAATAGATAATAATTCACTTTCTTCTAGTGCTTACTGAGCGAGCTATTCAGTAGAAGTGATGTAACAGTGAGAGGTGAAGTCTATAACAAAGACCCCCTTCTACTTGCTTTCGCAATTCAATTTTCATTTCCATCCTTTCGCGTCTCTATACATCAATTTTTCGAAATATGGCGAACCAGAAGGAAATAGAGGCTCTTATATACGAGGCCCTTAATAAGCAGAAACAGGGCAATCAACATTCATTGTGGGACTGTCTTGTGGTACGAAGCTCTGAGGCTTGTTTTCTTCGGCTTGGACTAATTACGACAAGCTTGTAGGACTTACATCTATCAACCAAGGGCATTATGCGGCATACCTATATAAATCGGCCCTAGAGACTACTGCTATTGAGTCTAAACAATTATTGTGGCGGCGCTACGCGGATGCACTCTCAGAAATGCTTATAGTTGTTGGATTGCCAAAGACATTGAACGCGCTTTACTCAATGATGCCCATGGTTGAAAAGAGCGATCTAATCAATTTGAAAAAGTCAGACTGGGAAGCCGATACGTCAGCGAGAGGCTGGCAGTACGCAACACTAACACATCATGACTTGGCCGACCGCTATAAGGAGATTGCCCTGTACGCACCTGACGTAGTAAGTGCATGCTATTTCTAAATACTACTAAGGGATAAGGCTAAAACATCTCAGCACATATTACACTGAATCTTTCGATAGAGAAGTTGCTGTCAGATTACTCTATGCATGATGGACTTGCAACAATGGCATTACTATTAACGGTACTGGTCACAATGAATTGTTCAATCCAGGCTTCATGGTATGCGGATGGATACCTAAGGCACGGCGGTGAGAAAGAGAGCCTTCGTGGTGTTGTTGAGTTTGCGAAAAAGATCGCGCATGATGCCGGTAGCGAACTCCCTGCGGACTTTCCCAGTGTAGAGAACATGCTGGGCGGAACACCACCATGATTCGAAGGCAGAAGTGGAAAAGCCTCGGCGCCTTCAAAATGCGATAACTCTGGCCTTTTTAGCAATAAATTTGGCTAGTTTGATTGGCATGCGATCATTCCAAGCATGCATAGCGCGATAGTAGCTTTCTGAGATGCTTTCGCCATTACAAATAAAAATAAAACAAGTGATAAGCTCGAAAAGCTTTCTTCTTTCAGTTCTATATGCAGGCTAAATTTGTCTGAAACTAAAATACGGAATACATGCAAGTTCTTGTTACCATCGTCTTTAACGAGGCAGTGAAATCGTTGCTATTAGAACTAAATCCGATCCTGCGACCCACTTGCGGTGACAAACGCCGATAGATGTTCAAAGCCCATCCTAGCTTTCGGAGCGAGCACCTCACTCAAGGTGGTTCACAGCCGGGTATCCCGCGAAATCGTCTGAGTCTCGTTATTGAACACTTTGATGTCATGTAATTATTGATAGGTGGATAGTATCTCCGTCTTAAACTCCGGAATAAAACGAAGGGACAGAAAGATGGATAGCGGTGATAGCTTCGGCGCTACGACTCGTCGGCTTCTAGAGTTAAAAAAAGCTCTCTAGAATTTATATATATATATATATTCCATTGTCATATTGAAGGATAAAGTTCATTCGTGTCTCAAATATTAAATCTTCAGCGTAAAGAAAAAGAAAGCAGCAACAAGAGAAGCTCATCTTGCTCACTCCCTCGGCCCAGATATCATCACACTTCTACGCCTGCAATCCGAAATCAGCAAAAAGGCCATTCAAATATGTCGAAAGGAACAGTCCTCATTACTGGAGCTTCCAGCTTTGTCGGTGCTCATGTTCTGGAGCAGTTTCTCTCTGAGGGTACTCCGGTCAGGGGAGTCGCTCGTTCTCAGTCTTCAGCAGATCGCATTCTTAAGATGAACGCTCAATATGCTTCACTTCTAAGTTTCGTCATTGTACCGGATATTACGGCTCCAGGAGCCTTCGATGATGCAGTTAAAGATGTTGAGGGAGTCATCCACATCGCTCCCCCATTTACCATCGACATTAAAGACAATGAGAAAAATTTGCTTATTCCTGCGATCGAGGGCACTACTCAAATACTAGAATCGCGAGGCGGCCAAACGTAATGTAGGTGAAATTGACGTTTACTGGCACCACTTCATGGGGCAAATAGACTGCGAAGTGATGGGTCCCAGGCGTGGCAGGTATATCAACCTCGACAAAGTCCAGCCAATCGCCAAAGCCATTGCGGATTGCAGCCTTCCCAAAGGCTTATGTCTTCAGATAATGCCTTTGTAATGAGAGCTCGAACGTCACTGATAGATTGCTCTAACCTTTTCCTTAACTTCTCTTATGTGTGCTTATTAAAAAAAACCCATGACGTGCTGTATCTTTGATCGAGAAACATTTGCTTAATTACCTGAATTGTTAACTTACCTCTTACCTTTTGCAGGTAATCTTCATCCTTTACTATACATTAAGCAGCCTAGGTGGCTTTACAATTCCTCTTCTTTTGGAATATTTCCTTGACAAGTACGGGTTCAGAACTACATTACGGATATAGTCTCTCAGCGTGTATAGTCTCTCAGCGTGTTTTGTACCTCCAAGGCGCTGGCTGAATCAACTGCCTGGAAGTTCGTTGAAGAAAAACAGCCTCGATTTACCATCTCTGTCATCAACCCACCTGTTATCTACGGCCCTAACCACCATTACATAGTTAATCTCAGTGAGCTCAACACTTCATCCGGCATGTTCTATTCTCTTATGAACGGCTCTCGCACTGAAGTACCACCAACCTCGACCTGGGCCATTGTCGATGTGCGAGATGTTGCTCTTGCTCATAAGATAGCCTATTATAAACACGAGGCAGGTGGCCAGCGATATCTCACCACACTGGGCATCTTTAGTTTCCAGCAAATTTGTGACATTCTGCGGGAAGAATTCCCCGAGCTTCGCAACCGCGTCCCAATTGGCAACCCTGGGGAGCCGATCCCTGACGTTTACAATGTGGATAACACAAAGGCGAAATCAGAGCTGGGCATAGACTTTATCTCACTGCGACAGATGGTTATTGACACTGCCAAGAATTTTTTGGACATTGAAAAACGTATCGCCGCATCTGCTTAGAATGTTGATTTAGCTGCTTTTTGGGCCGAAATGGAGAAATGGAGCTGAGCTTATATGATATCTAAAAGCACTCTGGATATTTAGCCTGTACGCAATAGAATGTAGAATCCAATTAATAGAGTAGATACAATAAGATTCATATATAGAAATAGAAGTGTATTTGAGCACCCATGAATTGTATATATTGTGTGCTCTTGATAATTGTGTTGGAGAATAGAAAGAATATGGATCAAGTTACTAGGTACATGGAGCTTATATGTTGATCCCGCAAAGACAGGCCGTGTGCTGTTTTCTGTACACTTTTCTCTATCCTTTAAGAATACTTATTCAATAGAAAGAAAGGACACATAGTATATACATACACAGAGTACAGTAGAGTAATAGGCCCCCCGGGGTCACTGTATGTAGCACTCTATTAAGCGGCATCCCATGGTAGAAGGGATTGTTTTTGGATCTATCTTTGCTAAACCAGAATATGTCTCGTATTTTGTTTAGTGCATTTACTTTAGATAAAAGACTTTCGTGGAAAGTGATGGAGTGGAGATGCAATGTTGACATTGTATGGAGATGGTTGAGTGTAAATGGCCAATGTCCGCTGTAAAACTGTCGCCAACAGCGCTACAGAGCTGGAACCTTCATTGGGCTGCTTAGGTAAGTCAAGGCAAATGCGCTGGCCAATCAATCAGCTCAGCCGGGCTTAGAGATTAATCGCTGGCGGTGAGCCCATCACGTGATTCTATTTACGGCGCTCGTCCTCTGGCATCGCGACACTGCGGGCATTTCTGCTCACGGCTGCTGGCATCCACCGTCATTCACCATCGCCAACGCCAACACCGACGCCTCGCAGCATTCGATACCAGGTCTCGTCTCGCTCGTCTCGCTCGTTCGCGCTTCCTTCGCATCCGGCCCACATGCCTCGTCTTCTGCCATGACGGACGCTGCAGCACCGCCCGTCCAGGGCGCTCACGCCAGCGAAAGCGATGATGCGACGCAGCCTGTTTCCTCGCCTGGGTCAGTGAAATAGTTCTTAGGCGCCTATCGAGCCATGTGCTTGTGTGGAGAGCCGTGCCGCTCCGCTCATGGCATTTCTGCAGTCGACAGTTGTCTGTGAAGCAAGACCGGGAAATTCCTATACATACCTGACACGCTTGTCGTCACCGCCAAATCTGTCAGAATGGTAGGGGTCTTGTTGGCCGCGGATAGTGAGTAGCGGTCCGTCGTGATATACGATGGACCTGCGTAAGGCACTTGTTCGCGATTTGCGTCGCTGTGCGATACCTTGCTCCTATCTTGCCTCCTTATGCCAGTACTCTCTCTGCAGCAAATGCCATCTTGCGATGAGCGGCGAGACTTTTCCTAAGCGCCCTCTCAATTGGACCTGGCATTCTTCACCAAGATTGACGCGAATACACGACCGAGTTTGCTCTCGCTACTGTCTGGATCGCTGACACGTGAATTTCTAGATACCCTTATGCGACTCAAGACGTCCAACATGCGGATGATTCTGATTATGATGAAAACAAAATGAAGAATGAGCACGATGACGGAGAGTCGACCGAGTCGGATTCTAGTCAAGAGAATGAAGAGGCTTCGGAAGTCGATGTGACGTGTAGAAATACTGTGGTAGCTTGGAAGAACGCTGATGGCCGGACCGAATGCACTGACGATCTATCCTTTGATCTATATATGGATATCTCAACCAACACTGCTATTTTCAAGCTGTATGGCTATATCCTTCTAAAAGGCAATAGAGGCAAAAGCGGCAAGCAGGCCATTTATTTATTCGTATATCCTGAGAGCATCCGATCCATCACGTTGGAGACTGTCCATGACACGCCATCTCAACCATTGACCAATCTTGAGGCCAACTACCACTCGTTGTGTTTTTCTCTGACGAAAGAGCCGTGTCTCGTTGTCCCTAAAAGCAGTATTCTAGAGTCTCGACCGAAGACTGCAGCCCTCCTAGATTCAATTCGAGCTCTAGCCACCGCGGCAAATTTTACCGTTTCCTTGAGCAACACCGAGACTATCACATCGACGCTGCAGAGTTTAGGATTAGTCGCCTCAGTCTTTTCGTCGACATACACTGGCCATCGGCCGTCTACGAATGCCAGACGTGCCAACCTCACTGCACTGTATGCTGGCAGAGGTGGTGAAATTGTTCACACGAATGATGCTACTGCAAGTGCTGCCGTACAACCACCTCCATTATATAGCGAAGCTGCGCCCGGCCCCAGCCAAATCTCCAGTTCGTCCCCGCCACTCCGGCTTCTGATGAATTTCCAAAGGCTAACGTAGCATTTTAGATAAACGTAAACGCGAAATCTCCGACATCGACCATGATCGCTCTCCATCAGCTAACAGTCAAATCTTACTCATTCTCAAAAATATCTGTGCTCGCCTCGATACTATAGAAAACCGTATGATTCGGCTTGAGGACAAAGTGACGGAGGCATTGGACGTTGACCGCACCACATGCCGATACGGAACAGAAGAAAGAACAGAGATAATAGAAGTGGTCGACAATAGAATTGATGACTGCATAACTGACCTAAAGGTCGAATCTCATGACATACTTCAAGAGCTTAAAGACGAGGTCGATGATACACTAGAGCGACTAGATAATGAGACGAGCGAGAAGATTGAGCTGCTAGAAAATGAGATTGAGGAAAATACGACGAAGCTAGTGAAGAAATATTTGAAGGAGAAGCTATCAAATGCTAGCTTGCGAGTGGACGGGACTGTATTCTTGGACATTTAGACGTCACAGAGCTGCTCGGTCAATCTGTTGCAGCCACAATATATAATATGAGCTATAGGGCTTTCGTTTCTGTTCATTCATTTTGTGATCTGAACGCAATACTTCATGACTCATTTCACCACGAGATGTCATATCATACCTATTCACTATTATCTGTAGTTGCCACGACCATGTTTCAAGTAGTTCTGCTGAAGCAAGTCCAAAATTTGTTCGCCTTGCAAAGTTTCTTGAGGCAGTTAACTCATCTCTGCTACCCGCAGTTTCTGTTCGATTAGATGTGTACCCATCCTCGCGAAGATCCAGTACGATGAAGGCATAGCTTAATCTAGAATGCGCATTACGACCGAGACGACACTCAGAAGAAGATTTTGATGAATGCAATGCGAAAGGGAACTACTTACATAAAATAATGGACAAATTTACTGTCAGCCATGCAGCTACAGGGTTGCTCATCTACTGTGAGTTTTGAGACATGGCTCTTGTTGTTGATTTGGAGAGAGCGATTATGCCAAACAGCGGTTGAGATATAAAAGGCCATTGCTCAAAAAAAAAAAAAAAAAAAAAAAAAAAAAAAGTTCAANAAAAAAAAAAAAAAAAAAAAAAAAAAAACTGTACCGAAAGAAGAGGATTGTTACATATTCGTATAATGATGCATTGAACATTGATTATTTATTATCGCAAAACTTTCCCTCCTTTTCCACCAATTATTTTCGGTTACTTGGTGTATATTTGTCTCGGTATTGTCTTATTTTTGACCGTGAAACACGGCAGCTCCATTCAACAGTTTTCACAGTCATTTATGTATATTAATAACCCTTAATATACCTGTATCATGGGATTTAAAGCTAGTTACACAGAAGATATTGTATTACTACTGGTCTTTTGTTTCTGCGCTAGAGCAGCAGCCTCAAGTTCGTGAGACGCTGCATTCGCAATACCATTGTTGGGTCAAGGTCATAGTATGAGTCGAGTCTTGCAAGACACGCGTAAACGCCAAAGTTGTATGTAGACTAGGCAGCCCCAAAAACGATTACCAGTCTCGTGCAGGAACATACGCAAATCGGTTTTCCAGCACAACCTTACGGTGCACTGTCAAACATAGGCATTGGGGATTTGAGAACATCGGCTAGTGGCAAGGAAACACAACGTAAATTAACACCTCGCCCCTGGTCTTAGCCTGTTGATGTGGAGATTGCTTTTCTTCTTCTCTTATAATATATGTCATGCTTGACCATCATGTACATCATATCCATCACGATTGTTACATATAACAGCTAATTTTCTCAGCCATTGTTGTATAAGAGCCTACAGGCACGTTAAATTTCAAGAATGAAATCACGCGATAATAATAAATTAGAACGGTATTTAAACCTTCCATGGCATATATCTAGTGATTCTTTCATTGATGTGCATAAAGAACATAAATAGTTCCAGTCTTTTTAATTTCCTGTTGTGCTTTTCGCCAAGATCTCTACCGAAATGAGAACCGAACGCCTCTATATCCGCTTGCTCACTTCATCTTTCCTAATATACCCACGGCAGTTCATTTCCGTACTGGTGCTCAAAAGGGACATACTCGAATTTAAAAGACTTAGAAACCATAGTTGGTACGCGAGCAGCAGCATTCGCACTTATAGCGTCAAGTAACGGCCCGCTACTATCCACGGCTGATTCAAGATTAAAGCGGGATAACCGTTGCCAAACTCCTACTTTACCTTCCAATTCGCTCTGATACGTACTAAACGCCTTGTTGACCTCTTGCGTAGTGGGATTTGGGTTGTTCTGCAGGAGGGATGCAAGTTTATTTGTGAGAGTTGCAGCCGCTTCCATGCCAACATTTGCAGCTACGCCCTGTTTCGGTGAGATCTGGACCCCATGTGCGGTTAGCTTGCAGGAAACAACAGAAGAGGAAAAAGGGAAATAATTAGAAGGAGAAGATGAGTCAATATACTTGCCTTATGCACAGCGTCTCCAACCAGAGCAATTCTTTCATGATGCCAGAGCTGTGCAATTCCTTCTTCGTAGTTTGCAGTGCCCTGGGCGTAGCGCTTGTCCCAGATCTCTTTAAATGAAACCTGAGGTGTTAGTTTAGCATCATAAAACTCTGCAATATCGCTCTCTGTGACAACTGATGAAAAGGGGATTTTTGTAGTGGTTGGCGGAATGCGTTTGTAAATAAACATGTGAGTTTCCTTTTGAGAGGGAAACGCTTGAATTAACCACCCATCGCCGTGCACTTCAATACCCTGTCCTGATGTTATACCGTCTACTAACGGCCCTCTTCCGAAAATTCCTTTATATGAAGCTTCATAAGGGTTTTTCAAAAACAGGCCGCTAGGCGCATGTTGGCGAATCTGGTCACGAACTGTGCTCCAAATTCCATCTGCACCAATAACAATGGATCCATTATAACTGGTGCCGTCTGAAAATTCCGCTGTTACGCTATCTTCTTGAGGGATAATGTTTTTAAGCTGTTTCCCGGTGAAAACATGGTTATCGGGGTCATTAAGACCGCTAAGAAGTGTATTGGCAAGGCTGCCGCGATCCGTAACAACGACAGGGTATCCATGGCTAATAAAGAAAGAGTCAGTTGAGAGAAACCGAATGAAGAGAAAAGAAAAAAAAAGAAAAGAAAGGGAGAGAGGGAGGGGAAGGGAAAGACTATTTTATAACTCTTACATCTGATGAGTCTTAGAAAAGATCGTATCTGCACTAAGTTGCTCTCCTGAAGGTGCACTGTGAATTATGCCCGTCATTGGATGAGAAACTTCTCTCAGTCTGTCGAGAAGACCTAATTGATGCATCATCCTAGTGACTTGGGGCCACAGAAAAATACCAAAGGCAGTGGTTGGGGGAATAGTAGGTCGCTTTTCAAAAAGCAAATAATCGATCCCAGAGGCTTGCAGACCATTAGCTAGGAAAAGCCCAACAGGGCCCCCCCCAATGATAATCACTTTGAAAGCCATGGATAGAAGTAAAAGATAAAAGAAAAAGTAGTCAAACTACTATACTATAGTGTTCAAGCTTTATAATAGAGCAGTGCTAGAAACCACGTCAATGGAAAATAATACAATGAGTGGTTTGATAAGCAGTACTTTGCAAAGAAAACGAGACAGAGAGAAATAGAAGACCATAAGGCCTTTATTTATAAGCGCTTAGACTAGAATAGAATGGCCAACAATACGCCTAATAATATGTTGCAAACAATAATTGTTGAATCATACGCCATCTAGATTACAGACAAACGGAACGTTATTTCAACCGAAATCTCATAAATTAGCTTTCTTAAGTCTAGTGCTTATTATGATATCATAAATGATTGAAATAGGCCACAACCTATTGGATATATTGTATACACTAGATAAAGCAGTTACAGTTGCAGCTTTTAGAAAATTTTTAAACCCTTGTTTCTCTCTTGATCTCTTTCTGTCTTCGGTGTTATTCTCCTCTTACTACGCCCAATCAGCTGTTAGAATTGAACTACTGGCTTTACCGCACGTTGCTGTTTCTTCAACGTTGTATTATTTCGTATATGTGAGTAAAGTGGAATTGCAATCTAGTCTTGTCCCTGCCCAAGTACAACCCTAAAAGTGGTAAAGACTGCGAGGCCGATCACAGCGCTAACGCTATAAAGGAAGAAACCATAACACAACATCTGCAAAGTAACTGTATTACATACTAGTATAATGATAACATGACTCGTATGGTGCAATAACAGCTCCTACTGGATGAGACATTGGAGTCTCCTACGGAAAACCTGTCTCTGTGTTAATAGTCTTAGCGGCTTGTGTATAAAGTGCACATCAACAATGTGAATGTATATAGTATTGGAAAATAGGCAGGCTTGTTGAATGTGCTATTTTCGGGCCGAAACCATTTACGGATGTGAACATATAAAGCAGAGTATTTTTTTTTTGGCGGTATGTTTAAAATATATTTCAAAAAGAAATTAAAAAAATTCATGAAATACAGACGTATTACATATGTTTTGTAAATATAACATTTTCTATTCATTTAAAAAAAATATACATTTTTAATAACCAAGATGCGTACATGGAGATTCTATTTGATAACATAAGATACATAGTGTACTACAAGTTACATAAACCAGCAATGTACTTCGTACTTCGTGTAAAACTGGATAAATGGCTAAATACTATGTATGACAAGACTAGCTGAAAATGACTAAAATCTTATGTAACTAGATATTTTGCGCGGTCTCATCCTGGGTTGTGGCACGGATAAAATTGTCCTGGCAAGCAAGCGGAAAAAAGAATGGCACTGCAAGATGAATACGTGCATATGATGATGATAAATATGAGCACTAGCGTGAGCAGTTTAGTGCGGTTGGTATGTGCGTGCTGTGGACTTTTGTGTGCTGATTAGTTGTCCTGTCTTGGTTTTGTTTCAAACCCCTTGCCTATGTGCAAAAGTCTCTATCCAAGCCCTTGTCAGAATCCTAGGCCTAGTAGGTGCCTGCATGGTGATGACAGCTATACCCCAATAAACCCTAGTATAAATACTAAGTAAAAAAGATTGTCGGGAAGGAAGAGAGCCGGCTATCCGAAGTGAATCAGCCGTAATAAAATAGTTTAAACAGTTGCTAACTAGACATGACGTCCTGCAGGATTTCAAAAGCGCGGGTCAGCTATACCAATAGGTGGTTAAAGTAGAGTAGGATTGGAAGGTGTGCGAGGCTAAGCAAAGGATTGTATTGCAAATAGCGTAGGACTGGAAGGTGGCTGATTTTGCGTGACAGACTATCTTACAAAGTGAGTAACGGCAATAGGACATGAAAGTGACTAAGTTATGCAAGAGGTTGTTTTGGTAAAAACAAAGGATGCGCTAATTCTAGCTGATAGCGATCGTATCTTACGCCAGCTGATCGGTCTTGCTTTTAGCTTCCTATTGCAGCAAAAGACAAGCAGACATAAGCGCTTTATTGCTTAGGGTGTTACAACCCGGTCGCTTGTAAAAGTTGGATGCCTCATAAGCACCTAGTTGCGTTATAGTAGTTGCTTTAATACTAGTGATTATTAGCCTAATATTTTGCCCTTTTTGGCTTAACGGGATAACGGATCGTTGTATAGAGACAATCTAAAAGACTTGCCTTATCTAAAGTGACACAAAGCGCTAGCTAGAAAATTAAACATGCAATTATGTATATCGATACAGGTCGGAATACTTTTGAGTTGTAATAGGCTCCCTTGTAAATTGATAACGGATAATACAGGGTCTATTTGCTACAGCAAGCCGCTCCCGCAATACAAAAGAGACAAGAACTGAGAGAAGATGGAAAGTCAGCTCAAAGGCGGAAAATAATAGGCAAGGATCCTAATAGGATTGAAGGATCCAAGGATGGATAGCAGGGATGAATCTTGGAAAAATATGAGAAATCGAGAGGCAGTGCGAGTAATAAAGAAGGTATAAAGTAAAATGCTAGAAAAGAAACTATTACTTGGTATCCAGGGTAAATAGTTGAGGACTAAGAGGTACTGACCGGGGTCATGACAAGGATTACAACAAAGATCTTCTGTGTATCTAGGCAAGTTCTTATAACGCGTTTAAAGGAAACAAACAACTAGTATTTTATATGCAGCCCGTTTGCTGCAATAACTGCCTCGCAACGGTCGTGCATAGTCTCTAGACGCTCATAAAGGAATTCTATTAGCACCGCTTCCCACGCCTCCTTTACAATAACCCATAGGCAATCGTAGGTCATAGTCTCTTGCGGGTAATGCTATTAAATCCAATCCTTCATCCAATTCCACACATCTTCTATTAGATTTAAATCTAGTGAGAAAGGCAGCTAGGTTATATAGGTTACGCCACGGCTCTTAAGCTCTGCAATTATCTCTGGTACTGTGTATGCTCTTGCGTTATCCTGCATCAACTTATAATTTAAATGGAGTTAAGCCCAGCCGGCGATTAAAGGCATAATTCTATTATAATACAACTCGCCAGTAATATTACCCCATTCCTTTTCCTAGAATAAACAAGGTCCTTTCTCAGCAAGGCTAGAAAAGCAGCCCCAGAACATCCAACTGCTCTTCCAGCAGAGGCATTCTATAATACAGGTTGACTTATATTCCTCGCCGGGCTTCCTAGTGATCTAGACCTTCGCGTGCTTGCCGGGAGAGACCCAGGTTTCGTCAGTCCATAAGATATATGCCCACTGCTCGAGAATCTAGTTGTAATGCTTAAGAGCCCAGGCCAGCCGCGCCAGGCAATTATTCTTACTAATAGGAGGCTTAACGCGGGCAACGCATGACGAATACAGTATTCTCCCACATTCCAGCCAAGAACGCCGGGTATTCTATTTTATAGTAGTTGCCGGTTGTATGAGCTAGCCGTCACAAACGCCTCGAGGTCTTCTGGTTGGGTTGGAGTCAGGGTGCTCGGCCGACCGGGTCATCTTACAGGATCATCGCCGTGTGCAAGGGCGTATTAGATTTGCCTTTCTAATAATCATAAACCTAGACCAGTCGCGTTTTACGTATAACCAAGCCGGTACATCAGTCGGGCATTACGGCGTTAGTTATGGGTTATATCAGGTCTTCTTAACCGGCCAGACATCGTAAAAAGGATCTAGGAATGCCTAGGAAGCAGGAAGGTTAGCAGGAATCAATAGGAACATAAAAAAAAAACGCGTTTTTGGAGGTACTTTGTCCCCTGACCGACCCCCCGGTCGAGATACCCTTGTCGGTACGTATGCATCCTCAACTAATTACGCCGGGTACTATAGTAAGAAAAGAGGAAACAGTACCATATGATTTTCTTGTTAATTATAAATATATTAATAAAACTGTATAAAAAAAGGACGTCAGCTTATAAGCACGCTAGGCATATACAGCATATGTATGAGACAATTTACACTAAAACTATGTGAATGAGAGTATATGGTTAGAAAAGGAAGTAAGATTAGTTATCCACGCATTCCTAAAAGCTTATATGCAAATGCATCTCTAAATTCTTACAAGAGCACGAGTTAGTAACTAGTTCGAGCATGCATACAATATAGCCAATAATTCGAAAAAAGGATTCGGGCACATATTAATAATAATTGATAACACACTATCAACGTGTAATAACTAGTGAGAACTTCAACAGGTAGTGGGGGTGGAGTTATCATTCCTTGCACTGATTTAGACCATATTTGAACTATTTAAACATTGGCATAGTTTGACACCTCTCATATTTATTCTTCAGTCCTAGTTCCATAATCTTGGTAGCTTGTTCACAATTCACACTAGAAACTCTGTGTAATCATTCTAGAATACTTCATCATGGCTGAAATTAGCAACGATCCCGCCCCTCCAAGCGGCGTTGATATCTTGAAACCTTCAGTTGCCCGAATGGTATGTTCTATGATGTTTAAGCTAATTTAATTTACTGATCAAATTAAGTACGATTATTATCTTGGTGGAAAAAACAACTTTGCGTCAGATAGAGCTGCTGTTCTTGCTGCCAAAGAGGCGAACCCGCAAATCTTTGAGATGGCTATTGAAGGTCGCCATTTTTTACGCCGGGTTATTCGATATATGTGCTACCAGGGAATTGATCAATTTATTGATATAGGCTCTGGCCTGCCCAGTGCAGATAACACGCACCAAATAGCCCAGAGAGTTATCCCTAGCGCCCGTGTTGTCTACGTGGATATTGACGAAGCTGCTGTTGCCTATGGCCAGCAAATACTCAGTGAAAATCCGTCAACTACATTTATACACGGATCAGTGCTTGAACTAGATCATATTTTGGGTCATCCAGAAACCAAGAATCTTATTGACTTTTCGAAGCCAGTTGGTGTTGTAATGATGGGACTGGTACATTTCTTTTCAATTGACACCGGCCGCGACATTTTCTCAACCTTGAGAAAGAATCTCGCTCCAGGCAGCATGATTAGCATAACTCACGGCGTAACAGATAACCTAAGCGAAGAGGTAGTGCAGAAGGTTCTCGCTGCATATGCAAGAACGCCTACACCATTGATTATGCGACCACTGGCCGACGTTGAACAAATCATAGAAGGCTTTGAGGCTGTGGAGCCAGGTGTTACTTTGATTCATGAGTGGAAGCCGGATATGGCTGAAGAGGGAGAGGCTGAGCCTCCGAAAACATATGTTTGGGGAGGAGTTGTGGTGAGGGTATAGCTTGGTACTTCAACACTATGTACTCATTGTCGGATATGGTAGAATATTATGGTCTTCTAGATTATAGATTAATTCAAGTCAAATGTCTTAAACCCCCTTATTTATAATAATTACAACGATCAAGGTACAGTCTTAATAACAGCGGATGAGAAAGCCGTACTTCAGAGAATCGCCGACTTCATTGCTCCCAGCCTGAATTAGCACTATTCGAGTATGAGTACTTTTCTAATCGAGAAATGCTGACTTTGAATGCCTGTTGACTAATGCGTCAGACCAATATTATCTCATAACAGCTTCCCTTGCGGGGTCTTGCAGCCTTGCTAGCTCTAGTAGCATACGATATGTATAAATACTAAAATCTACAGTCCTGAAAGCCTTGCGGAACCACTCATGGCCTTGCTCTGCAATTTCTTTAGCTCTTTGTTGTCCTCGCTGAGTTGACGTAAGATAAAGTATCAGCTCAGGAAGTTCATCCATGCTTTGGCTCACAGGTACATAATGAACCCATGGAATAAGGCGGTCGTCATGCCACTCTTTGAGAAGAGTCTGCTTTAGTGGGGTTGACTTAGACGCCAAGAGCTTATAATATCGCCCACTGATGCCGTTTCCATCGATATCAAACACGAGCTTTGACCGTAATGCTTCATCTTTATGGGCCCATGATTTAAGGCTGAAAAAGTTGCGCTGATTTTTGCACTGTTTCCAAGTGCACTGAAAGATTCGAGTAAAAAAGACGTCGAATAGCCTCCGATCCAAAATGGATGATTTTATTCGTTTAATGTATCCATCGCTTTTTTGTAGATAAGAATGTTGTCTGTTGCCTAAATTCTGACACAGTGAAATAAATCGTTGTCTGTGGTAGCTTCGCCAGTTACCGTCCGTGGCAAAACCTCCTGTTGTCGAACCAGCCCAGTAGAGTTTGTTGACTTTCTCATCCCAAGGGATATCGGAGCTTTCTTCGTATTGGAATTCGGGCTCCAAGTAAGCAGGGCTAGGATATAGTATATCGGCCATAGTTGAGAGAGTACCTGTTGATAGAACAGGTACTGGCCCTTCAATCAGCTTAAAAGATACCGGGCTCATGATAAGACCGTGTTGATGTTCGTATTCGGGGTGTTGGCACAAATCCATCGCCGAGCTAAAATTGGTGATAAACGGTAAACCAAATGTTAACGCATCGTTTTTCTCGCTCTGGTATCCATTCTTGTCTGTTGCGCATGGTTTAATTATAGCGTCGTAAACGGACTGATGAGAAAAGTTTCTTAAACTGAGCCATCGGTCTTGATAATGCCCCTTCTCTGTCAATCGTGGTGGAACAACGACTCTTGGCTCATCCAAGTGATTTACAAAGAACCTAATGTTTGGAACTTCAATCTGCAAGTTTCCAAGCAGCGTGTTGAACATCCATTGAATGTGTCTGTCCCAGTAGCGATGAGAATGAGAACACCGAGTTTGTGCTTCTCGCGTCCCAAACGTGCAGTCCCATATTTCGCTGCGCGTGTCATTTTGCAAAGAGTTCATCATCTCCATGACCTCTTTGCCACTCAATCTTAAGAAAGGTAAAATGCCTTTCGTCATCGTGTCGAATTCGTCAATGATAGGAGAATTATTTGAGACAGCAAACTCGTACCATGCTTGAAAACCAGGCGGAGGCTCCACCCCATATCGACGAGTATATTCGTTATGAGCGGCAATGTAGCTTTGGGATTGCACTCGCTTCATATTTTCGAAACCATCTTTGGCGCTGTTTACAATAGCCTCGACTGGGTGATCAGGAGAACCATCAAAGCTTAGTTGAGCTGCGGATTTCAGCGAACTGATAGCGACAGTATTCTCCATATACGGAACAATGACAAGGAGAGGAAGAATCCACACAACTTGCTTGTATTTCATCTGCTTGGGCAGCATATGGACGAGCTGACCGAGAGCAAAGACTGTACTTGAAATGCATAAAATTGCTTGCATATGTGTAGAGAGCACAGATAAGTCAATCGTGGCGGTGATGCCTACTGTTTGTATGGCAGTGGCAACAGCCACCGAGGTTTGCTGAGTCTTTGTAACATGTCAAAAAGCTTTCCATGTGAATGTTAAGAAAGTGCATAACGTAGACTTACTGTACGGATTAAAAATACCCAGGATAGAGCCTTTCCAACGCCCGGTGCTATTGCAACCACTAAGTTACTCAAGCTGAAGCCGAATAAACAGGTTTCTAACCCTACCCCAATGAGCAGAATGACAACAACTCGCGATGAGAGAGATGAAACAGAATTTTCATCCACAATAAGTGGGAAGGTGTTGGTAGATGATTTCCTTCTGGGAATCAACGTTATGTAAACAAGAAGAAGAGCAGTAGCCGGAAGGATAGAGATAATGAACTTGTGATAGTCTCTACTCGCCAAACCAAGCATAGCAAATGTAGAGAATGTTACTACCTTCCACGTCCCAACTTTACTATCTCGTGCTTGTATAGAAACAGGAATCGCCGTCATGAAAGAGTCAGTCTGAAACCGTCTTTGTAATATCAGTAGCACAGGAGTTAAAACCGGCTAAGCATTGTTTAGTCAAGTATGCATATCCTATCATAAAGGCAACCTACAAAAAAATGGATCACCCTGTTCTCTGTTTTATACGCGCATGAAAAGGCAACAGATAGAGCAACTATCCACAAAGAGCGTAGCGATTTGCTTTGAGTAATGTTCTTTTCCGAGTAAGAGCTGCTAATTTCGGATTTTAAATCGCTATATTTCACAGTTCTGAAAAGGATAGGCAATAGCATCCAGCAGAGCAATTCAGAGTATGCCTCCGACCTCGTTGACGAGGTGTATTCTGTGAAAAGGGTGCAGAGTAGAGCCGACCATACCGTCCCTGTGATAGGATCTCTGAACTTCACACGGGGGTCCCACATTGTCGCCATTTGCTCTGTCCAGCGTGCGGTCTGATGGAAAAAAAAGTCCAAGATTGTTAAGTAAAATTCTGTCGGATTTGAAATCGTCTACTCGATGTATGTATCAAGTCAAACTTGCCCTTTCTTCCTCATTCCTGGACTCGGTATTGGTGCCATGTTTCGCATTCAACTACGTTATGCACGGCGTAGCAATTAGATCCACTTTAATGGACAGCCGTGTAGGGGCTGTGTAGCTTCTTTATAAGCTTTTGCGAAAACTGTTTTGACACACAACTTTCTTCTCATTTCTTCTTTAACGACTCCAAGATCCACTACGGACATGGCCCAAAAGGGCTAAGCTGTTAGCCCCTGAAAGCATTCTCCAGTGGCCAACAGTTCGTGGCAGAGAATAGCTCAAGTTCAGTACTCTGTAGATATAATCTCAATGAAATGTTGACTGTCAGGTCGCTATAGAGATGCTCAGCTCACACATACGTGTGCAGTTCCATCAAGGTGAGAAATGAGCGCACATTGATCAGTAAACTGGAGGCAGAGAAAATGTGGTGGGATTCTACGCCAGAATAACACAGAGCAGGGATACGGTCAGTTAACTACAGACCATTTTTGCTGATACAAGAGCAGATGATGCTGAGGATTCCACGTATATTATTCAGAGTATGGAATTGATCAACAGATTGACATCGGACAATCCCACCGACGCCCGCTGGGAAGGGCTGTGTTGCTGCATCGCTGCGGCAGCGTTTCAAGCAGAATGCGACGTCTCGCCTTCCCCCTTTCTAGCAGCATAGCCACTAACTGAGCTCTAGGCAGATAAGAAGAGTGCCCAGACCTTGAAATCATGGGAGACAGGCTACATGTAGCTAGATCAGGGAATTTGATTTGAAGTGGGGTAATCAATTTTGCGAGATGACCTGTTTCATTGGCTGATAATAGGTCTGGTGAGAAGTAATACTTTCTCAATACGAGATAATCGAGGGCTATAGCGCTTGGCATTTCCACCGCGGCATTTTGGTCTTTTTTGCTATGCCATCTGAATTTTACAACTGTTGTTAAAATGCATTGCTGCCACGCTAAGGCCAATACGGAGTACGGAGTAGAGCAGGCGGAAACCAAACCCTTGCATCCCACAAAAGGAGGGAGGATAACAGCGGGCATGGCTAAGAGCAGCAACCAGAGAGCTTTTCGCGCTCTACAATCTCCAGTACGAAGCCGTTATTTTTACGTTTAGCGGATCTGGTTTCTTGGCTGTGGGTGATGAAGATCGAGGATCGAGGATCATTACCTCTTTGTTTATTTTTGTGCATTGGTCGGTATCCATATTCCTGGGGAGCATCTCCACTCGGACTTGACTTTATAGCTAGTGCTTTTAATCCAGTCGTTTGTACAGAGTTCAGATCTTAATGTTAAGATATGTATTTACGCAGCATCTTTGTGTCAGAGGCCAAAGAATTATATAACGGATGATGCTAAAAAGAAAAGGCATCATTTTCCTACAGATACTATATGTGCTGTTGGTAGGGATCCAGGAAAAAATAGACTTGTAAATAAGACGCCAGTCAAGTCTGTCATCACACCTGGGACAATTTGCCTGGAGCTGAACCCAGTTACATCTTGGAAACAGTCGGCACATTTAGTCGCGCTAGATGCTTCAAAATAGGAACTCTGCGCTGAATTCATGTAATGATGTAAGGATAGGTCGACATCAGTTGCCTGATCTACCTAGATGTTCGGCCCATAAATAATTGATCAGGCGCTTTCCATAAGTAGCCATGCGCATGCAAATCGCCAGGGAGTGGACCATTCAAGCGCATGTACAATATGATGAATGATCAAAACTGTTGTTGGGGGCTGGTTACCGGATAGTTTCTAGACCAGCGCGCGGTCGAACTGCCAAACCGAGGTGTCCTAGTGACGCTGTGGTTCGAGAGACAAATGCGATACTCGAGGACACTCTCACAATTGATCCCCTTGAGGGGCAATTTTGGCCGGTCAGTCGCTGCATTAAATCCACAAAGGGTTCTGAATTCCAATTCCGACCGGCTACGATTTTGCTATGACACTGAGTGCTAACATGCATTACCTCGATTTGTTCTCAGCAAGTTGTCGGTAAATCGAATCACTTCGACAGATGATAATTGTTAGGATATATAGATTCCACCGTGGAGGGTTTTTTATGCTAGGCCAGCCTTAGTTTTTCACACTGCGGCCACTGGCCGATCGTCCCTAGCAAATCAATTCTCACATCTTATATGTCTAATCATTTATCCTCATGGCAGTCATTTGCTATTATTTTTGCGACTTGACCTATGTATTCCCAATGACCTAGTAAGCACGGGTCGCGTAGTATCGCTTAAACACGAAGGGCTGCATCCCCCGCTAATGTATTTACCATAATCGTTACAAAGCGTTGCGTTTACAGCTCTTCAGCTTCTTGGGAGCCGGCCGTCTCAATGAGCCTCATGCTCACCTCTGGCGCATCCAGGTTGCCCTTTGTTAGCCTGTGATTTCATTGAAACACCGCCAGTCCTCCGTCCTCATTCTCAGTGTTACCGCCGCATCTAATGCAATAATCGGCGCTTTCTCAGTGTCCTAATGATGCTTCTGACTAAGCAATAAGCGAAAATGATGATAACCCAGGCAGCATTTCGACGGCTACGACGGCGAGAGAGATGAAGGATGCTATTAGACTAGGTTGAGTGTGTTTCAATGTTTAGGGTCCGTCAGGAGTGTCACACCGAAACATCAAGTTAGTCACGGCAAGCTCGATTGTAAATGGCTCTACAATAGCTCCCAGCCGACACGAGCGAAGGTCAAAGGTTTAGGAAAGATGCAAGTTAGAAGAACGTCCATTTACTCTCAAGAGAGCTCAAATGGTAGACGCTCCGCCGACCGCCAAAACCAATACTTCGTTTATGAGGGACGCTTCTTGAGGGAGGAGGCCACCGCCGCCACTAAGAAGCAAGTGTTTGCGAAACGAGTGGCGAGGAAGGCGTTCTTGGGCGGATGTTAATGTCCTAGGGAGGAGTAAGCAGGCGAAAAAAAAGAGAGTATCATATCAAACAATATCAAGTGTCTTTCAAGCTTATGATCCAATAGGAGCGTCGCGCCGAAACGTCAAATCAGTTACAGCGAGCTCTGCTGCACATAACTCCATCAGAACTCCTAGACGCCACCACATTGCGGCTTGACATACGTATTACTTGAGTGACGAGGTGCCTATTCCCTACCACCACCATCGTCACGGTGCTGCATACTGCTGTCGCTCCATGTTAGCAATGGATCACCGTCGGTTTACGTTGAACTTTTCATATGCCCACAGATCCAGCGGCACCTTGATGTAGAGATATCCCGAGCCCTCCTCGCACGCGTCAGTTCACTTTTCGCTATTTCACCCTTTCTTCCTCCTCTAGTTCATCCTCATTGCTCCATAGATAGCAGCATATATCCAAGGCGGCTCTTCTCTGCACTATGTCCAACCAGCAATCCCGATACGATCTTCGTATGTCACCAGCTTCGCTCCTCCATCTCCAGATATTAACTTGGAGCACTATTACAGTTCTGATTCATCGGAGACGTCACATCTAATTAACAACGAGAAGAAGATGAATAGTACGTTCACCGCCGCAAGAGCAGCAGCAGTATACCTCTCCCACCTAGCAGCAATAGGTTGCGCCCCTCCTCATCTTTCTTAGGCAACGATCAGACATGTTCCACCGCCGCAGCAGACACCGTCCTCAACATCGTTTGCGCGATAACTCAATTAAGGCATTTCTTGCCAGTATATGGCAAACAGCTTAACCACTATCACCGTCACAGCTCCTTGTGTTTGTGGCCTGGTCGCTCCGATACTGTGAATGGATTATTATCTGCTTTACGATAATAGTTTTCTTTTTATCCTAAACACTAGCAGCAGCTCCAGATGGAGATGCTCTGAGCTACTACCCGCCCACTGTTACCATCATCTATCGCGGCCCCACGGTCATTCCTGATGATCACCATGGCCCATTGCGCCCTCTTCCTGCTGCTCCCAATATCAACAAGCACTTTGTAAGTTACACACGGCTTACGGAGTGCACTAGATTCCTATAACAATCTTTCCAAAACGCCTTGTCCGTTTGTTCATTGCGTATGTCTCAGAATCAAATTAAATTATCATTTTCCCCAAGACAACACAGACATTGTCATCGCCAATATTTTCAAAGCCCTAACCTCGCTCCTGAATGAAGATTCGGCATCAGTGGAGGTTTTTGTGCTTGAAAATATCACAGATGTCGCTGTATGCCAGCTGTGGGTGAACGCTAGCGATGTGGTGAATATCATGGCCACCGTTGCCGTACTGGAGCATCTGGAGATTACCTTGGTTCGCCGCCAAAATAAAATCCAAGTGGATTGCTACGTCTTGCCCTTGTCGACTGATATAAGCCTACGCCCAACTATACGGCCGGCTTTGAAGACATATATATCACCAATTGGGGAGTAGCATTCACAGATGCTCCTGTCGGTCTATATAAGCCTGCACTCAGCTTTATAGCTACTCCCGAGGGTATATAAATTATTAAACGAAGAACCTTTATAGATACTATGCGTCCTGTCCAACTTAGGCTCTTTTGGAAGCGAAACGGCGCAACTCTATTTTATGTTTTCATACCGTATGCAGGACCCCAGTCGCTGCCGTGTGGGATGATGATCAAGTAGATGCCACGGTTGGTGCTTAAAGAAATGTATTTAAGCAGTGGGACGGGGGCGAGAAATGGGTTGCCCGTGCAGGGTGAACGTTGGTACTTCTGAGAGTAGAATGGTATTGTTGCCAGGACGGACTGTGCGGGTTTGGAAGGGAATAGCGGAATGGACAAAGACATTTGAAGAAAATGATGGAATTTTACTTTGCAGTTGGGATTTATGACTTGAAGAGAGCTTGAAAGGGGATAGAGGAAGGATCCCCATTCTGCTCAATCACTGGGCTCGTCATACTCTTCGCGGTCCCAAGCTCTGCATCAGGCTAAACAAGTAGTGGCGGCTGTCCTCGCTTTAGCCCCAGGTTCAATGGTTACAAGCAGACATTAAACGCTATAAAGGCAACGATGTTCAGTTAGCTTCGTCAGATCAAGGCTCAACCGCAGACAGGTTGTCTGGATCGCTACACCAATAAGGTTCAAGATAGAGTTCACGACCTTGGCCCGACCTTGCGCTCCTTGTGAGGAGCAACCGCCTTCTAAATATTACCCTCTTTTCCTTCTTCCTCTTTCACAATCATTTTCCTTCTTAGTATTGGCAGTGTGGTTCATGCGATCTCACGTCTGGACCCGTCCACCCTATAACGCCAGTGCCACTGAATCGCTATGGGAAGGCGAGCTACTTGCATCATCTATCGAGCTGGAGCTGATTATGGTGCTGATGATGATGCTTCTGTTTCTTGTCGACGGCGATTCTGCTCTCGCCGCTGTCTGGCTTGATGATATAATGGGCTGCAATTAGTTCCCACCATCCAATAAGAAGACACGCTCTCAACCTACACAAACCAGCCTCGGTGGATGAAGCTCAGGAGGAGCTGGAGCTGGAACTGCGGCTGCAGAGGCAGGAGAAATTTGGCGTTGCATGGAAAATTTACGCGAACCCACCGCTGTGGTGTGCACCGGGGTGCGATGGGATAGCGGGAGGCGCTGGAGTAACATCTAGTACCAGACAGCGAGCATTAAATTGCTGGCTTTGGGCATGAAATTCAATGCAATTAGACAAGGAAGAACCTACAAGGGATGTTGATGGACGGGGCAAAAAAGCGAGGAGCAGTAGAAATTGTGTCTTACCATAAAAAGAATGGCTACAGCTGGTCTAATCAATACTCGCCAATGCGATAGCCCATATACCCAAGTATCAAGACTCAAGTGCAGAGATTTTTTTCCCTTCATCATCGTCATCGTTGTCGTCAATTGCCAGTAGTCATCTCATGATTTTGTGTTTCCACAGAAACATGCCTACTATGAACTATCTAGCAGTCCTTTTTTGCCAACCTTTTCCAATAGTCAGTAGCTGTTCCTGTTGTCAGAAGTCAGTCTCCAATTCTCCATCCCAATTGTGACAGTGTGCTTTCATATTGTTTTACCTCTGGAATCACTGTCTCTGTTCACCAATGAATCAAATCAAATTAGTGTCCAGTCCAAGCTTGGTGTTGCACGGAAGTGGTGAACAAAGCTGACATTGACCAGTTGCCACACTCTGGTTGAAGTGGCTGATCATCGCAATTGTAAAGATCATTTTCGTCCCTTTAAAAAATGGATAGCAAGTCGAGATGAAGAATAGACTTCTCGCTGGCGCTCACCACACCGCCACCGTCACCGTCACCATCGCCGCCGCATGTCTTCCCCGCCCACAGGCCGCGGCTCCTCCTCTACCTCCCCCGCCGTGCTGCTGTCTCCCCTTCCCCCGCAATAACTCTAGCTGGGGCCTCGGCCGTGTTAACGCGTGGGCTATGAACCGATGGCGCCCATGGCGAAAGGGCCGACTAACTGGGCGCAAGGCGTCATTTGATAAGTTAAGACATACCTTGCAGAGAACATGTAAACTACCTATTACACACAAAATGTCTATACCAAATGTATATTTACAGGTCCTCTTAATCTACTAGATGATGCAAGGCATTTAAGTAGCAGGGGTAGAGGAGGTAGGAGAGGTAACTACTACATTTCCACTAGTTTTATCTTTACTCTGTCTGTATTTATAATTGCCTAATCTTACGCAACTGGGAGACTCTTCTTGATATTACAACCATTCTTCTCTCTATGTAGACAAATCTTAAGTTAGGTTAGTGAATAATTGCCTGCAAACATATTATAATTAGAACGACAAGCTGCCGAAAAAAGTTGCGTATTTGGGTTATATTACAACAGCCACGAGTTACACAATTGGGTCTATAGACCTTTTTGTTCATGCACAAAGAATCTCTCTACTGCAAAGTATGATAGTCGAATACTGATATTATTTTTTCCATTATATGTAGTAGCGCTTTTGGTGATTGTTGGTACATGACCCGGCGTCCATTGCCGCAGCCCGAGTACCAAACATTGCAATTGCTGATGGCTTAAGCAAAGCCGGAAGAGATTACGAAGCTCACATCGTCATTGAACAGGCTGGTGGCATCGAAAGTATCAACACCACCGTTGCTTGCAATGTACAGAACATTGTTATAATGCCTGAAATATCTCGTAGGGTAGCTCCATGATCGGATAGAATTGCCTTGGCCATTGAGACCAGCCTGCGGACAGAACGTGGCATCTTCGTTGAACTGCTTGCTGCCGTCACTAGCGTTCACTTGTAGTGCAAAGTTATAATGCCTGATATAACTTCCAGGGGTATCAACAGACTCAAATGAATAGCAGGCGCTGTTTCCAAGGCCGGCATGAACGATCCAGCTAGCCTGCTGTTTGAGAGCAGTGGCGCTGGAAGATGATACAACCTGCGTATTCACAGTAGAGCCGGTGTGAGCGATGTAGCGAGTGGTGCAGCAAGATGTTGTGGCACGCAGAGAGATGTGCGATCCGACACTGAGACCTGGTCCACTTGTTAGGGAAGTTGTAGCATACTTCGCCGCTACAATGTTGGCCTGAACCGAGTTTTCAGTAGCATCGGATGGATAACCAGAGGTCATTACGCCTTCATAGAAGGTACCTTGTGATCCGTGGCTGTTATCCCCACCAATTCCCAGAATGATAGCACCCTCTTTGCTCATGGGGTTATAGCCAGAGACGCTGGGGCGCACGCCGCTATAGTATGTTGATAGAGAGCCAGAAGCAGCGTTTCCACCGCGAAGCGCCCATTGGTTGGATTCTCCCTTCAGAGCTGTTGTAACAAATCGGTACGAGAGTGATGGATCCGCAGCATTGTTCTTTGGGTTGGCTCCACTGAATAGGCCGTTTTCCAAGTCTGCCATAAGCCATGGTCCTGAGCCAGATCCTGAGCCCCAAACATCGCAATTACCATAGTAGATAGCCTCCATATGGCCATTGCCAGTGTCTCGGCTGCTTGTCTCGGCGTTGCCATAGTCAAAGCAACTAGGTTACAAGTCAGCATAACTTCAGCATAACTCAGCTATACGGCAAATGATAGACAAACCATTGATCATTATAATGAGAGCCGTCAAGCACAGCATACAGGCCCTCCGCCGCGTCACCTGTCGCAGTCCCGGAAACAGCGTTGTTTCTGTACCCTGTGCCTGGAGAGATGAACACGCCATATGCCTTTTGCCCATTCAGTGTAACCGGCGCTCCAATTGCACTGGCCAGGTTATCATACCCCCCTGAGTCTGGTCCGCTGAAGCCACCGGGAGGAGCCTGGGTGAGATGGTTGCCTCGGCCAGACTGATCATAAATGATTGTAATAAGGCAAGTTGTGCTAGCGCAGAAAGAATCTTGGGCGGCAGCATTGGCCACTCCTCCAGCAGAAAGCGGCGCAATGTTAGTCGTGGCATTATCAGAGCCACGTTTCACCTGGTAGAGTGATCCGCTGTATGCGCTGTAGAGAGCTCGAGTGGTGCTGTGTGCTGCGACGCAAGGAGTACCCCCAGAAGAGTAAATATCGCAGGGCCCAGCAGTTACAAGAGAGCCTGTGGCCAGAAGAGCTAAGGCGAGCGCATGGGCTCGGTGAGGGGTTGTTTGAGAGACCATTATGAGTGTATGCCAGTATCAGCTACTTGGCGTATCACAACTGCAGAAAACTTGAACTATGAATTGACATGAACCTTTAAAATATCCACTGCAATAGAAAGGATTCTATAAAACTTTGAAGTTACGTCGGGTCAAATTGGGCATTTTATACTTGTTATTCAGTCTACCATGACGCTTGTTTTCTAATCCCAGGGTTGCATACGAAGTACATTTCTCATGTAAGATGAATTTCCTCCAATAGTCGAAGACCTTTATTCTTCATCGAATGCTACCTACCAATATTCCGGTTGTATTTAAAGTAGCCTAAATAATCCTGTTGAAATAGTGTTATTGCTCCTTGATTCTGCATGAACAAGAGCTTGTGATACCATGAAGCAGCAGCTCTCCATAGGCCGTAAAGAGGTGGAACAACGATTCCGCCCAACTCGCGGCGGGTATTTTTTTTGGCATATTTACCCCAGATGTGGAGATGGAATATGCGCACCAATTAGCGGCACGCGAAACAACATCCAATAGTTAGATCTGCAGACTCCGGAAGCGAATCCGGGTGATATACAACTATTTTATTCGTATTTCGTTTAATCTCAAGCTCTATTGAGTAATAGTTCTTGAATGTTAGTCAAAATGCAGAATGGGTGGATAATAGTATTGGTTAGCAATTAGTTCTTCTCCGCCCTGCTCTTATATGGAACTAGACAACGCTTCGGCTTCATACGGATATCATTGTGTACATGTCAGTGCCCAAAAGTCCATAAGTCAATTACTAGTAAGAATATCTTGATCCGCGCCAATGACTGAATCAGATTGCGTGCTTTGTGTTTATATATCCATGTATGTTTTTCCCTAGTTATTTTCGCGTTCTTACTTGGTTAAAGCCTCGGATTTTATGGTAAAAGGTATTGCTCCTTCAATCCACAAAGGTGTAATTATAAAATACTCGGAAGCATGGACAGATGGAACATAAAGTTCAACTCACGAGGTTCAGGGCTGAGAGATAATAGAATTGGTACCGGATAAACGTTTAAGCACCTCTAGAGAGAGACATTAATAGGTCTAATTCTTCTCTGAGCCAACTGCGCGAGTCGAAATTGAACCTTTCCGTCGCTTCATTATGTAGCTCAATCGGACTAAATTCGAGTTTGGAGGCTTTGAATATATAAACAATGTTCACCTTGCATTCGATTACCAATGAGGACGAGTAGTGCTATTAGTCTAGCATTTATACCTACCTACCGAGCTATTCCGTGATCTTCAACTTACAAGATGTGGGTCAATAGAGCCTAATGCAGGGAGTGAGTGGATGCGGATACGATACTAGGGGGATTATAATTTCATGTGGCTTTAGGTTATACAAAGTGATGCCACTGAGCAAACAGTCCCCACATGGCTTGGTGGTGATGGTTTCATAGCAAGAAAAGCTGGTCACTTTGAATGTACCAGAAAGTGATCTCTAAGCACGAGATCGTACCGATATGTAATAGAGAAGTTACAACAAACTCCGACAGTATCTTTCAGGGAAGCGTGGAGTATACTTGAGTACAAACTGGAAAACAATGATAAATGAAGAAGGGGGGAAAGATATAGCTGAGAGTATAGTATATACCATAGAGGCTAGTGGAATATCAGGCAACAAAGATTCCTCAAAGATATCGGAGACTGTTCAGATAGTTGGAGCTTAGGAGCTCATAAATTGGCATAGTTACTTAGAAGAAACCAAATAAGGCCAACTTCAGTCAGTACCAAGTTAAGAGCAATATGCTGTAAATTTGGGTAGAATAAGATATTATTTAGGTTCTCTATATACATAAACTACAACGGATGAATATGGGCTTTGGTACGCTCATATAATTTCTTATTCGAATAACTCAGCCGTCGTATGCAATGAATTTATTATATTACCAAACAATCCAAAGTCTCATATTCATATGGCTCCAATTGATACTTTTATAGAAGTTTATAAACGAAGCAGCAGTAACATGCCGGTGCGGCGTAAGTTATCCAAAAAAAGAAAAAGAAATCTTATAACTTACATCAGAGATAGTCAACAAAAAAATGCCCTCATTGGTGAGTCCCATGCCCTAGATCAAGTGCAGTGAGAACCAGCTCTTACTATTAAACAATTGTGCTTCGATAGGGTATAAGTCTGTGATTTCCATCAGTATCTCATTACGAGATATTGTCCTATATATGGGCTAGTACTTCTTTATCAAAACTTTTTTTTTCTAAGTTAATACTGACACAATTTCGTTAATTATTTCCGCAGTAAGAGTCAATAGTTGCATTAATCGAGATAAGTCCGCAGGGCATTGCCTCCCTCTTGGGAGCTATTTCTTCAGCTCGAGTTCTACATACTTAGCCATCCGATTGAACTGAGACATGATCAAGCTAATATTGCGAAGTAGCTCTTGTACAAGTGTAACAACTTCTGGCCGTCGCTATTTATATCTAATTACTGTTTTACATTGTTGAGATCTTATTACCATTAATATTCATTATTCTCTCATCTTGGTGTGATTAATGTGCGTGTAGTTTCTAAAGCTTATTAAGGGGCTCGGCAAAGCGGCCATCGGGTACGTTACTTATCAAAGTGCTATCTATACTTTACCCAACTCCACTAGCTTACACAGTAAATCTGGTTTATTGCTATCAACCTAGCATACCACCTGGTAATTAGTCAGGAAGATAAAGGGGGAGAAACCCCGAGGCGAACGAATAGGATGGCAATTAGTCAGGAAGATAAAGGGGGAGAAACCCCGAGGCGAACGAATAGGATGGCTTGAATAGCTTGTTGCACAAAATCGCGATTTAAAGCACCTTAGGTTATACATTAAAGAGGATTTGTATATACAACTGCAGCGCCCGAGTTGTTTCAAATTGCTTCGACTAAAACATGCCTCGGTAGACTCGTTCCGTTGTTCCACAAATGCCCAGATTCGACGTAAACAGTGGCCAAAATTGCTGGATTATAACGTCTCCCATTACCGCTGCCTCTATGAGACATCGATATTAAGCGTCTCCGTCGTTCAATGCGATATCGACATCAGCAACGGATATGTGGACAACGGTGACGAACCGCCAGTGCCTGTCTTGGATATTGGGGAAGAGGATAACTGCGTCGCATATAATGGTGCGAATGATCATAACTAGAGCCTTCAAATCATCACACATGTGCCTGTTCTCTCGTACTGTCCATGAATAAGTGGATTTTTAGCGATTTATTATTTATGGCTTCTTATATACACGCCATATTAGAAATGGCTACAATGATAATGGCTCAAGTTTTAACAGTATTGGCAAGCTCCTTCGGGGCAGTAACTATAATACAATTAGCAAATTGTTCATCCTTATAGACAAGTGGATACCAACCCGTGATTGCAGGTAAAGCTGCAAAGACCATCGTAAGATGATGGTTCACCGGCAATTGGGCAGCCGTTGCGGCCATTCGTCGGTGGTGGCGTTGAAGGGCCAGTGCTGGTACAGACACAAGGGCCCGGCGGGCAGTAGCCATAACTAAGAATGTGAGTTCTAGATGACCAGAAGTAAATGGAGAGTGTGTCTTACGAGCAAGCGAATTGGCAGAGGCCAGTGAAGTTTCCGGACTCGCCCGGAGCCACAGTTCCGGCATTGCAGTTAGTAGGCGTGGGAGAGCCAGGAGAGCCGCCGCCAGTTGTGCTTGTGGGAGGGTTCGTTCCCAGTGAAGGGGTAGGCTTGCAAGTTGTAACCTGCAGTCCGGCAGTCAACTGAGTGAGACCGTCAGGAGGGAGAGGGTCGGAGAAACCAGCAGGGAGAGTGCCGACGTAAGCATTGAAGTTGTAAAGACCACAAGTGCAAACAGCAGTAATATCCATCAGCGAGGTTCCAGACAACACATTCGCGCCGTTACGTGCCAGAGTGAAAGTCTGTTGACCAAGGGCAGCAGGGACAGTAAAGATATTGGCGCCTGCAGCTGCGTTGAAAGTTTGGGAGTTGCTACCCGACTTAACAGTGAGGGTACCGGCAGACTTAAGGAGGGTGACAACGTAGACGGTATCACTCAAAGTCTGGTAACCATCAGGACGACCTAAGGAATCAGTAGAATCGCAGTTAAGGCTGTTCAAGTTTCGGCGGTACCAGTAAATAACCTGATCCTGGGTGATGTAGTTGGCAACATTAGTGTCGCCATTCTTATAGGCAGCAATGAAAGGCTTGGAAAGATCAAGGAAGCCGTCATGAGGCATATCATTGGCCCACTTGGAAGAGCCATCATCGCTATGCTCAGAGCTGAGAGGTCCGACGTAATGAGACTCGCCGTAATCATTCCAAGTGACAATCTCCACCATGGGGAAGCCCTGTTGAATGACCTCGTTCCATCGGGTGAAGAGCAGATCACCAGAGGGAAAGACCCAGTTCTTGCTAGAAAAGTGGGTAGAGAACCAGGGAGAAACGGGAGCGAGATAAGTCTTTCCGTTGAGCCAGCTCTCGTAAGCAGAATCACCTTCAGCAACAGTGATATTCACACCATTGGAGGGAGCCCGGTTGTTGCCGTTGCTGTCCCAAGCCTATTGGAGAGTGAGCAAGACTTCCACTTATACGTCGTAATTAATCAAGGCGATGTACTCACCTGCCAGTTCAAAGCACCATCAATGGCAGAAGTATCGGTGTTAGGGTGGAAGTTGGGAACAAAGTAGACATTAGAGCCAGCACCAGAGCGGACGGCATTAACATCGAGACCATCGCCAATGAAGGACGAGGCAAAGACTCGGCCATTGACTTGGAGCTGGGCAGCGTTGCCAGCATATTGAGCAATCTTCTGGCCCACGCCGGTGCCGTTGGAAGTACTCCAATAGCTAAAGTCAAAGGAAAGGAAGACTTTCATGCCATTGTTGGCGGCGGACTGATAAGCATAGCCGAGTTGCGTGTCGGTATAAGAATCAAGACCAATGTTCAAGGCAAAGGCATCAATGCCATAGGCCTTGGCACGCTGCATATCAGCATCATAGTCGCTTGGGCCGGTACGTTGTCCAACAATGCCAATCTATATAAAACGTTAGATTGTGTATATGCCATAAATTCAACTGTAAACCAACCATGAAATGAGCAAAGACCAGGCGGTTGCCAGAAGCTGCACGCTCTTCGAGAGATCGGACCTCGACTTCGGCGCTAGCCAGGGAGGACAAGGCTGCGGCCACAGCGAAGGCGGTCAAGCCAGCGCGGCGGAGAGCCCCTACTATCGATTTCATTATGAATGTGCCAAAGAGGTGACTGCGAGAAGATTTGGCGAGCCGCTTGGCATGGTCGAGTCTCTTTCTCCTTCACGGGCTTCATCCTGTCCTTTATATTTCTGCGACAAATCCGATATCCGACGATGGTGAGATGATTATCCTTCCAGAATAGCTTTGATGCCTATTGATAGTAAACCTGGCGAATAGGCGGACGAAAGGGGCAGGAGTCTGCGGGAACATCGTGCCAGCCCCCTATCGCTTTAGGAAGCTGAAATCCGCCACTAGATCGGTCCGAAGCCATTTTGCGGGCTGAGTTCGCTGGAACACAGTCATCATGCTACTAATAGATGCCCACAGGAGCCTAGTGTACGGAATAAATTAATGCCTGCCTGTTAGCGCCATATTTCGCTGCCGAACTGAGGGCCACAAGCTATGAGCGTTCCTCTGAGCCATGAGGCAATGCCGAATAACTGGTTATTAAACGCGGGATCGGCGGAGACTTGCAGGGTTTCTTCTCTGAATTGATTACTATGTTAGGTATATGATTACAGGACCTGTCCCTCACAATTTGGTGCTATTGTTTCTTCACTCATGAAACAACGACGTTATCTAATTTTCAGAATCAGATCTTGGCCTTAAATTCCAATTTCCCGCCATTCTTCTTATTATGATCAATAGCTACAAAGCTTGGAGGTTTTAAAATCACAGATGTTTAATAGTCCAACACTGCTAACAAATGCAATTGACCGAATATATTTCCGCCTGAGACCGGCAATTTAAAATCTCGGCAATTCGACCCAGAGCTTCACATATCCGTGTCCCCACAAATTATGCATGCTGCTGGACTGAGCATTCTCGTAGCTGCTGATGCCAACGTTACTAGCTAGCCTATTTTCGAACAGTTTTGCTCAATAAGAATTTAGCAATACAACTCAATGAACACTGCGAGAACCTAGAATGATCCATCAATTGCCATATCAATGCGACTCATGATACTTGAGACAGAATAAAATAAACCAATCCCATAATACTTGACATTCGAGACCGCCTTTTAGTTACCTAGCTGAAGCCAGGATCTAGAATTATCTTCCCCTACGGAGTAGATGCTATGGAGTAGTCAGACAGCTTCGACTAGGAACCAATTTCAAGGAACGTGTTGTTAACTCAGCAACGCTATGGCTACTGGAGACAGGTGCACAGACGGAATGTCAGAGCGGAGACAACTCTGGGTGATTAGAACAAAAGACAAGATGGTCATGCGATCCGTACACATTCCTAAATTTCTTACGAAGTACAAGTATTCTTTATATTAACTTCAGGCATAATAATAACCCCAAATGCAGTTAGAGCCATGCAGATTCGAATCTGCAGCAGCGACTGTTTATACATTCGCCAGGAGCGGCGCGCGCGCACCGGTTTAGGGCTATGAAAACGAAGATTTGTGGGCGTTGAATATGAATTCGAATAAACTTCAAGCAAAGGAGGAGGGATGAGATTTTGTAAAAGTAAAAGCTATATAGTTGAGTTGATCGGGCCTAAGGCTATTATAATAACGTTACCAAAAAAATGTTTGTAATATGCGAGAGTGTCTCTTCCAACATCCGTCTCTATGAGATGAGAAACAAATATCGGGTTGCGTTTTGCACTATTACCCACGGATAACTCCAACGCTGGGTTTGCAATATCCCTGCTCTAGGCAGAAGTTAAAGCCGGTTTACAGATGCATACCGCTTGATTGCTTATAAGCATTTGTAACGAGGCTGGAGTCGGAAGGGTTACGGCATCGGGTCGGGAATATCGGGGGGTGGGGAAGTCATACATACACAGCGATTCTAAATAGCGTCTTGTCCCATGAAGGACGGACTCTTACATCGAATGTTGTTGATGGGAATATTACTGGGACTAGCTGAGCTGTCAGTTGGTAGACCCACTCAAATAGCCTGTTGCCCTAATATATTTGGGGGGCGATTTTGCGCGATTGGTGGAATATGACAACCGGATATATGATGCCAAGTCGAAACATCAGCTAGCAGTATTAGTGTCTACTCCGAATACAGCACGATCGTATTAGAAAAGTAAAGTTAACCTTACAACATTAGTATAATCTCTTATGATATATTTATTTACTGACTAACCCGCACAGGCAGCCTTCAAAGTGATTACAATATACAGGGCCGGCATAAGCAAAACTATTTTCTTTTTTTGTCAGCGTCTCGATTCCGGGCTTTCTGGCTGCCGCATAGAGACTACTATCATAGCCATTACAAACAGCTGACGCAGAAGTCATCGATATTAATGCTTACATAGTTGCCGTATGTAATACAGTGACTATATTGGGTAATACGTAGAAGCATACTCGAGCTAATACGGAGAATCTATTTCTCTGAAAGCTTTGCCTCACTCCCCCAATGCATATTGGTGCTAGACTTCCTCTGGCAGACTAGCTCAAGATAACTAGGTAATATACCCTCGGCAAAATCCGGCCATAGGGCTTGCGGCATGCCAGTACGCTAAACCGTACGGGATTTTATAGATTGAAATTATGCATAGTCTGCAGGTACCAAAGAGTGTGCCACGCATTACCTGCGCTGAAAGCGCTAGGAACGCATAGCTGAGGAGATCTACAGGGCTCCTGGCTATCTCGGATACAACTCTCGCATTTGTGGCCTCGATATACATTACTATCGGAAGAAAGACTTTCAAAATGCCCTCTTCACAGACTATGGTTATCCTATAGTATTATATCTTCTCCAGGATACCATTCAAGTCAACCTAACAGCTGTACACAGAACCTTGTGCCAAGCCACCAAGTTCAATTACCTTCAAAATACATGGTGAGAAAATGCGGCGAAAAAAATAACAGTTGATTTAGTTACACTAGCAGGCTAATGAAGCTACTTTCTGATTATTTCTTCTTGTGCAGGTAAAATAGCTGTATTCTGCAAGACGATAAGCTGGGCTGGCTTCGACTTTTGGGAGATAATTTTGTAGCTGCTTTGTCATCGGGCTAAGACGAAAACCTGCCTAGTTTAGACTAGATTCTAGAGCGATGTTTAATGGTCACAGGTGGCTCGGATTCACTAATAATAGAATGGCCGTGTTTCTCAGAAGATATTGCCGCAAAATACTTGGGTAGCGCATTAAACTCTAGCTCTCTCTAAAGTGCTATGACGAATTTCAGTCTCTTTATCAACAAGAAATATCTTTAAAGTTAGGAGGAGATCAGGGGAAGATGATTTCAACGTTCCCAAACCCGCTACCAGGTCTAGTAAGTCAGCTTTTGTTACCTTCAGCTGAAATCTCACTGAGCCCCGTAATTCAGCGCTGTATTATAACACGACATAATGAGATAGATGTACAACAGCATCGGATGTAATAACCCTGTATATCGGAGTTAAAGAACAAGCTGTAAATTTTTTCGATCATAAGAATCACTTTTGCGTCTTTTCTTGCCTTTTTCTTCCCCTCCCCTCAGCACTAGCTTTTCATCACAGGGAAATGCCGAGCAGGTTTAGAAGCCGCATAGCCCTAAGGGTACCATATGGGCCTAAGAGTCGTCCATTTAGTAGTAGCAACAAGATGCTTTCCGGTTCTAAATTATGAAATCTCTTTGCTGGCATCCAGGGCGTAAAGGTCCGGAAACTGCGTAAATATTTTCTGTAGCTGTTTCCGTATTTTTGTTTTCTTTCTTTCTTTCTTTCTTTCTTTCTTTCTTTCTTTCTTTCTTTCTTTCTTTCTTTCTNTTTCTTTCTTTCTTTCTTTCTTTCTTTCTTTCTTTCTTTCTTTCTTTCTTTCTTTCTTTCTGTTTCTTACGGTACTTAATGCTTTCACAAGGCTGTGGACGTATTTACTTAGGAATGAGGCGAATGAAGTAGCGTAGCAATTACTTACAAAACGTAGAACAGCTCATGCGAGTCACTACACCGTTATTTCTTCCCAAATAGGAAACTTTGCTAGCCGGCTGTTTCAATCTCAAAGTCTCTCAGTCGTAACCTATTACATGATTATCATTTATGCTATATTCATGTGTATGGTTTTTTGAATGCAGGATTTAGCGGAATCTTTTGGCTTACCAACGGTCTTGTCGCGAAATTTGCCCGAGTTTCTCCGCCGCTCTTGAGCTACTGCCTCGCTTTGCGACAAGTGATATAATGACGGAAGATCTCGGAGAGCCGTATACTTCACTGATCTTCTTTAAAGTTCCTACTCCCTCCTTGTAACCATTAGAAGCATCTCAGATTCTACCCTTCACAATCTATACTTTCCGATATATTTTTTTTTAATCATGTTCGCGCCCGTCCAGCGCATCACAAAATCCCTCAAGCCACAGACTGTTGTATTAGGTGCTACGCTCGTGTTTGCTGCTGTAGCTAGCGGCACATACAGCTTTAGAATATACAATCGATATATTCGAAAATACCAGATACATATTCGACCAGAGATAGGTGTGTCGGACTCACTTACCAACTCAAACATAGTCCGCACCCTAGTCAACCCTCACAGCCATGTTGCCATGGGAGACTCTCGCTCAGTCGTTTTGACAACGCACTCAGGACAGGAGGCGCCATCGGATGAGGCCATCCTCTCCGCACTTGTAAATGGCTTTTTCTCAGGTCCAGTTTTTACGCCAGAAAGAATTGCACTTCGACTTTTAGGACTCCAATTGGTGAAGTTTGAAGGTGGGTTTGCTAAGAGCAATGATAATTCCTGCAGGGCTCATCATGGAATAGGCTTGGCACCGACATCACAACATATCTGGAATACTTCACAGATGCCCAATACTCATCTTCCTGCCAAAACAGCAATATTATGGGGATGTTTCCAAGTCGCCAATATTGAGTTATCGAGCTCTACATATGGAGATAATAAAAGTATAATTGATATTGTCTTCGGTAATAATAAGGGGCAGTTTGCTGGCTGCCATCGATTTTCTATCAAACGACTCGAGGCAAAGTCTCATTCCCAGAGAGAGCCTACACAATTTCACATACAGTTGGAATGCATTGTCTGTAATCCAACCGTTAATAAGCCGATTGGTATTAGCTTTCTGGGAGGATTTCACATCATATACGCAAATATGCTTTTTAGGGATGCTGTGACAGAGGCAAAGCACAGGCTAAGTCTTAGCAGTGCGTAATAAATGCCATGCCGAAAAGTGAAGTTTTTCTGGCAAAAGAAAAGTTCACAATTTGTAAAACTAATGTACATTAAAAACTCTCCATTTCACAGCTGCCGGCAACAGCTATTACAACTCTACATAGATTTAGAAGATGATTGGGCTTCAAATGGATGGCGGAAAAGTAAAACTGTGGCTGCCTGGCTTACTGTCTCCATCAGACCTACAAACATATCATATTAAACAGAGTATTTCGGGACATAGCCGGTTCGAAGTCATGCTAATTTGAACTGGTTTTATGAACATGAAATAGGGACTATAATTAATTTCTACTGCACAGAGGTTTAAAATATAAATTATCTCTATAGCCATAATGTTTCGAACTACACGCTGTGTTTGGTCCTTTCATTTAGCTTTGTTGTATTACTCGTTCTCCCTCACATCGATCACGGTCGATTTGAACTTCCGAGCAGCAATACGACGATTGAATAAGATGTCGCTTTCACGGTAAGTGCGGTGCTTCAGCTCAGGGAGGAAGAAGTAGGCCATAACCCAGCAGACACAAGCAGTGCTTCCCCAGACGTAACCACATTTACCCGCAAGATTCCATCCGGTGGGGTTTAGGAGCCGTGAGGCCAGGTAAATCATGGGAATTTCCGCAACATAGTATGCAGCACGACCGACGCCAGTGCTTAGAGCTCGAAGCCGGACAGAGGATGTCTCAGAAATAATCGTATACGAGATTGGTCCAAGACTACCAGCAAAAACGAAAGAGATGATGATACCGAGACAGGCTTGGGCATAGTTGGTTGATTGGCTCTGAGGAATGGAGGCGCAAATGCCAAGAATGAATAGAAGGGTGATATTGGTGGCAGTTCCCCATAGATAGATAGTTCGTCGGCCAAACCATGCAGTTAAAAACCAAGAACAAGCGTTGGCAACAAATTGAAGACAAGAATTGATCAAGTTTAGCTGGAAGGCACGATCGGATCCGATGCCAGCTTCTAATCAGGGGGTTAGCGATCTATGCTGGAAGACAGTCACACGGAAAGTATGCTACTCACGCTCGAAGAAGAAAGTTGCCTGATTGGCGATCAAATTACCAGCAAAGTTCTGAGACGCGTACATCAAACAGGTAATGGTTGTTCGTCGTAAATCAGTACCTTTGAAGAGATCAAGAATTGTGGGAGCACCGCCCATCTGTTTTTCGATCTCAACTGTACGTTCCATCATGGCCAATGTGTTTGCTGAATTCTGTCCAGATTTACCGCCAAGGCGCTCAATGGACCGAAGGGCTTCGTCTTTGCGTCCGCGACGAATCAGCCACCATGGAGATTCAGGAGCTATAAAGATAAGGACTAAGAGAGGAGTCTATTCAAGTCAGTACTTGTCTCTGCTAAATTTAAAACTCGATACTCACGGGGAAAATCCACTGAAGTGCAAGAGGTACTCGCCACGCCCACTGATCATCACGTTTATTATAACCAAGGGTAGCAGCCGCGACGATGATCGAACCGATAGACCACGCCATCTGGAGGGTAGCTGTGCAGGCGCCTCGAAGGGGGAGGGGAACAATTTCGCTAGCATATGCAGGGGCGTTCGCAATGAAGAACCCCCAAGGGACACCTTCCAAGGCTTGTCCGACAACAAGCAGTGTAAGTGAGTTGGCCTTTGAGATCCTAGTTAGATATTGAAATCAAAAAGCGGTCAATGCTACTCACAAAGAAAGATATAAAAATCGTAGCGTTCATAAGAACCAGCCCCAGAATAGTAGTCCAACGGTATCCGAGACGGTTTGTAATAGGACCAGCGAGGAAAACACCGACAAAGGCACCGCATTGGCCGGATTGGAAAAGAGCACTCTGCCATTTGGTTGGAATTGTCCAACCGGAACCTTCAACGAAAACACCGAATTCTTTTTGAAAGGCACTTTGTGCGACAAAGTTACCGTTCAAGAACATATCGAAGGATTCCATAACCTAGCAGGCATTAGTTGCTATATTACGCAGACTATGGCTCGATGATGGAGAATAGACTCACAATAGTAAAACACATGATGAAAGCCCATAGGCACGCCCAGGGATGTGTCTTTACCGCCTCCCAAACACCCATCTCATGCTCTTGGTTTTCACCATCGATGGCATCACTTATCAGATCCTTGTTACCAAGAACCTCTGAATTCGGAACATCGACATGAGCTGCACCGACGTGCAGGTCATCCTGTTTTTCTGATGACATTGTGTCTTGGGTGCTCACTGTCTCTCACTTGATTAAACGCAATGTCACCTTTGAGAACAGAATAGCTTTCGAAGAGAATGGGGAAAAGGACAAGCATGGGGTTTATATATTTTGATATCCACGATTCTCGGCCTTATCCAGTTCACTGTGTCTTATAATACGCGCTTCAGCTTTCAAGGTTATGCGCGATGTTGCTTAGTACACAGGCCAATATGCAGGTCCCTGTCTGAGTCCGCAGATGTGATAGGTGCGCATCTGAAGGACCAATAAATTTCCGCGCCTCTGCTTACTGGGGCAAGCGTTGCCTCTCTGTGGCCAGTGCCTCGTCGTCTCAGATTGGACCGCTTCTCTTACTGAGGATCCCCATCCTTGCCCCGTTTGGGCAATTGACCAATAGTTGGCTTTGCCGAGCGAAATATCCCCGTTTTCTCCGTATAGATTCTGGAAGAATCTAACCGATACAAGTCAAGTGCGGGGAACTAGACTCTTTGCAAGTCTGGAGAAACTGGGCTACCCCAAGGCTAACGCCTATGAGGCCATGACGAATACCTATATGCTTGGTTGTACTCTGGGGTAGTTGTACTCCATAGTTGCCTAACAGCGAGAAAATTAACTCAAAAGACAGCAACAAAGTTAAAATTGACATGTGCTTCTCACCATAATCCAAGTCTTGGAGCTATTTTAGCTGAATACTACGTATTACACAATTTCTGTTTCTCCATCAGTTTGACCGAGAGAACCGTCAGGTAATATTACGCCTCACACGATGTCCCTAGCAGCTACAAGGCATACACTGGTGGCAAAAAGAAAACAGCTCTTTAATTGATCGGATGATTCTCTGGATCTTTTGATATATCCCCAATCTCCTCGCATGAACTTGATAGCAAATTACAAGGCAAGCAGCAATACTCCGCATATGCGGAGTAAATATGGGCTCAAGAGAGAGAGAGTGGGGGAGGGGTGTGGGGGAGGGTCGATTGATGCGTTCTCCAGTTGCCAGCTCAGATGAATGCAACGTTTTGATGGAAGGAAAACACGTTTATTCGGCAGCAATGATCTCCAAACCCCAGTCTTAGCGGGTGGAAAGCCGCATAAACTATTCAAAAATCTCGACTAGCGTATCGTCCAATCCCAGCTCAAAACGGCTCCTCGTCTGGTTCTCAAAACTTGCCCTCGAGAATTGCATTAGAGCTTCAGTAATGGCTAGTTCTTGTTCTAGAGCAGTTGTGCTGGAATTGTCTGCTTCAGCCCAATTTTGGTACTACTGATACGAAATCGCGCGATATGGTGCACTAACGTGTCAACAGCCTCTCTTAAATCCGCAGCGTTGTCATGGTAGTAGTTTGCTCAGCCTATATAGCAACTGCAGTAAGCCAATCGATATTGTCCCCCTCGGGATGTATTCGGAGTTTCTATCTCACTTTACAAGCTAATTCATGAATTTAAGCCCTCAGCACTCTAAGTAATCCCAAATGCGATTTCTGTGGCTTCGACTCGCGTCCTCGGGCCTATAAACTGCATGCTCATCTAGACTAGGCGCTCATTGGCAAAGTTAAAGCTTTGTCTATTCATTTCGCCGATAATGATCGCGGAAGCCATGTTCCATAGTAATCTCATACAATCAAGATACATGTCACAGTGTGCATATTTGTTGCGAGCTTATAGTTAAAGAGACTGTAGGCAGATTGGAAATCGTTGCCCTTGTCACGCTGCTATTCGTTTGAAAGGAAATTGTACCGTAATCAGCCTGTACCTTAGTTTACCGTATTGAGTCTATGGTGGGGCTTCCCCTTCCAAGCTTGAAGCATTTCGAACGCTATCAAGCGATGTACTTACTTAGTTGCAGTAATAACTGACTCTGCTCTTGAATAACTCTTTTCTAACAACATAATCATTTTCTAATATGTGAAAGAAGCATTTTAAACTTTCGGAAGCTTTAACATAAAAAAAAACACTTACGCGGTAGCACGTGGCGACAGATACCAATAATTACTTGAAAATGCAAACACATATCGAAGAAATGATCTGGCGTGATAGATTCTGCGCTAAAATATATGCGCTTCTTAGAAGAACGTCAATGGAAATAGTTGAGATGCCTGCCTCTGTAGCTATCACGATAAAGAACTCACTAGATTTAGCTGCATAACTTGAGCGGCTTACCCTCCAGTGCACCAATTCCTAGCTAACTGCTAGGTAAATCCGGGGATCCTAGTCCATTTCTTGTTACCGACATTTTTTCCTTGAAGCGGTGTAGATAATCGGTGGGATCAAATTTGCTGAGATGAAGGCCGCCTTTCCAGGGTAAATGATTCACATCTAGTGAAGTACCGCACGTGTACCTAATGCGCAGCTTGCATATGAAAAACTTTCGGTGTTGCGACGACGACGACGACGACGACGACGACGATCATGAGTTAAATGACTTGCTACCTCGAGAAAGCAATTATTCTTCCATAGAGGTAATGACGATTCATTACTAACATAGCTATCTGTAACTATATGATAACTATGCGGTTGGGTTTAAAATTTCTACGAAAAATAAAATTATTAAATCAACAAAGGAATTTCATAGACTGACTTTGCACTTGACAATCCGCTAGACCGCCATGACAAGCTACTTTCAGCCTATAGTTCGATCTCACCTCCTGCAATCTCGTTTCGGCTGTCAACTCTGTCGTGATCTGCCAGCCCACAGCTGGAGGCTCAAATTGCCATCGCTAGCTGTTTTGGGACCGCTACAGACAGCCCCTACAACTGAGAGGAGATGTCTGACGACTATTGTCGTAGGATGAACTCTTCTGCTAGTAGTATATAGGATTCGCGCTCTTACATACCGATAATTCCTTTGAATCAACGCAGCAGCCGATGGATGGTAGATCATTAGAGGAGCTACTTCTCTTGTTTACGCCACGGTACATGCATTGTACCAAGGCCAATGCACAAAGTGCGTCATGGATAATGTCGCCTGCTTTCAATGGACTGTTATGGTGTCTGAGCCAGCAAGGCATGCATAAATGGCGATGAAGTCAATAAGAGGACGAAAAGTAGGCCATGTAATTCGATTTTTTTAGAAGACTATTATACAGTTGCTCTTTCCCTCATCAATCTGCTTCTAAATTCAGCGATCGCGAGGAGATGAAATATCGTATCTGTGATTTGGGAAGTGTCATTGAAGATCGCTGCGGGGCTTCAGGCAAACTGCTTTGCAAAAGTGCCAACTGAAGGCAGCCTCCGAAAGTGGGCGATGAAAATTCATAACAGCAAGGTATAAGATCCTTCAAACGCAGCTTTTCTCTAGGCCTCGGACTTCGGGCTAACTGCCCTATGTACAGGTCTACGGTGCAGACGAAGATGCGCTGTTTTATGAGATTTCGCATCGATTCAGTCGATAGTAGCGCGAAATACTAGCACTAACTTGGCGAGACCAGCTGTCAATCCGCCGAGGATCTCGAAAAATTGTTGTGAGGAAGGCGATGGAGCCGTTAACGGCGATTACTGCCCGATTCAATGGACAAGCAGCTGGGATGTGACGCACTACGGCAGGAATCAATGCAAGTGTTCTATAACAGACCAAATGTCCCTGGTAGCCTCGGCCGTCTTTAGGCACTGCTCCGTTGACAACGCAGCAATTGTTCTTATGCAGGGAGTAGCTCTGTAACCGGCAAACAGCTAATCATGTTTGTACCACCAGTAAAGTCGTATCCGCTTTTCGACGAATAACTATAGTGGATGAATCTCCCTTCTCAATTGCAGTTGTCTACCTACACCTGTATTCTACTTTGACTGACTTGCTCAGTTTCGTAGGATGCGTCTCTTCGGCCTCGCCCTGCCGCTGCTCCTGCGGTCGGAAATTGTTAATGCAGCATACACCTTGAGCGACGTTGAGGCTCAGATATCATCACACCTTGCCCGTAATACCGCCTACACTGCAGTATCCACTCCCCCATCGGGCTGTCAGCTGGCAGTAAGCTTTCCTGGCCCAGACTGCCAATCCTGATAAGTGTTGACATATCTTAGTGCGGCTTCTTAGCCTTCTCTTTACCGTCGCAGCTGTCGTATCCCGACAGCTCAACATATGAATTCGAGGAATCGCGATACTGGTCACAACAGCAAGCTCTCACTAGACCTGCTTGTCGATTCTCCCCCGCATCACCAGAGGAAGTGTCTTTGGCCGTTCTAACTTTTCGCGTCACTCAGTGCAAGTTTGCCGTCAAAAGTGGTGGGCATGCTGCTTTCGCAGGCGCCTCAAATATTGACAATGGCGTGACAATCGATCTTATTAACCTGAACCAAATTGTGCTCTCTCCTGACAAGACACAGGTCTCTGTTGGCCCTGGAAACGTCTGGTATGACGTTTATAATTACCTCCAGCCTCACAACGTCACTGTGATTGGCGGGAGGGTATCGGCTATTGGCGTAGGAGGTCTGACCTTGGGAGGTGGAATGTCGTTTTTTTCTAGTCAGCATGGATGGGCATGTGACAACGTCAATTCTTTTGAGGTGCTACCTACTCTGCATGACGTCTAGGGAGAATTGGAAGACTGACGAATTCATGAATAGGTCGTACTTGCAGACGGCTCAATCCGCCAAGTGAGCTACTCGTCCCCGTATTCTGATTTGTACTGGGCGCTTCGCGGCGGAGGGAATAACTTTGGCATTGTAACACGATTTGATCTCGCGGCCTACCCCCAAGGCGATCTTTGGGCGGGCTCAGATACTTTTCTGTATACAAATCAGACGGCAGCTGCTATCAACGACGCTTTCTATTACCTTGGCATTAATGCTCCCTCGGATCCGTATGCTCAAGTTATCATTGCGTACGCTTATGCCCAGTCGGAAGATCTCTTTGTTATTGCCTCAGATCTACAATACGCAAAACCAGTCGCCAATCCTCCAATTTTACAGAATTTCACTTCGGTTCCCGGTGCTATCGCCAGCACACTCCGTATCACAGACCTCTCTAATCTCACAGTCGAGTTCAACAACTCCAACCCAGGTGGTTTCCGGTATGCTTTCACTATTCAGAGGTGACTTGCTGGCTTAGGCTGATCTGTTTATGATAGGCAAACATACTGGACCTTTACAGTCCAAAACAATGCTGCTTTAATGGCTGACATGGTTGCCATCTACATGGAAGAAATTGGGCCAATCAAGAACGTCACAGGAATTGGGCCTTCTATCATCTTTCAGCTCATCACTACTGATATGACCGACCAATTTTCCAAGAATGGTGGCAATGCACTTGGGCTCGCTGGCCAAGGTCCTCTAAACCGTGAGTCACTTCCTTCTTTTCACATTCTATCCCTCTATTAACTATGGTAATAGTAATAAATGTTGATATATCTTGGTCTAATGCTTCGGATGATGATAAAGTCCTCGCGGCCGCGCAAAACATTGTCAACCGCTCCGTCGCGGTTGCACGTGCTAAAGGCCTCGATCATCCATATCTTTACCAAAACTACGCTTCATATCAGCAAGATGTCTTTGCTAGCTATGGAGCAGATAATCTCGCAAAGTTAAGATCAATAAGTACTAAATACGATCCGCAGCGAGTGTGGCAGAAGTTACAACCAGGATACTTTAAGCTAGGATAGTTTATATTCACAACCTCTAACTTGCATTGAATGGAACGAATGATGCCAACTCTACTTCTATTGTAGCTTGTGTCTATACTGATTCTATCTCAAGAGGTAGAACTCCACTAGAGGTCGCAGCGCATCGATTAACTCCGTTTTGCCGTAGTGAACTTTGCTGAGGTCAGACTCAACGTCGACCACACCACCTTTATTTTGAGCGTCATTAGCCTTAATTAGCAGTTCAGCAAGAGTTGAGCTCATTACTCGCTCAAATGCTTCCTTCCATTGTGAGCGAGGAACAGCTTCCACCCGGATTGTCCTCCCCAGTAGCTCGCTTAGAGCCGCGGCCGCGTCATTGGCGCTATATCGGCGTGGACCCTCAGCATGGATTATCTCAACATCTTCCGCAGCAGCGGGCCGCAACAAGATATTCGCAGCAATCAAACCAAGGTCTGGAGCCGAAATGGTAGGGAAGAGCATATCAACCGGGTCGTGAAAGCTTGGTAGGATACCGGACTCTTTGGCTGCTGGGATAGCTCGTCCCCATCCTTGCATATGTTCCGCAGATCGTAGAAACACTTTCTTGCCGGGAACTTTGCTGAGCCGCGTTTCAAAATCACGGCACATTGTCGGCATGCCAATATCATCCGTGATATGAGCACCATAGTCAGAAACTGCGAGCACACGTTGGGGTCGCGCCTCTTCAAGCGCAGTGGCGAGGCTTTCGATAGCTTGTCTCATCTGTCCAGCGGTGTCCTTTAACTGTGGCGCTGGTGGAAGGATAACCTGAACCGTATCTGCACTGCCAATTACCTCCGCGAGGGCTTTGGGATCCTGTAGGTCGGCTACAGAGATCTCACAACCGATCTCTCGTAGCTTGGCTGCTTTTGATGCGTCACGTAGAATTGCTCTAACCGGCTTGCCCGCCTCTCGCAGTGCCTGCGACGTTGCAAAGCCGACTTTTCCGGCAGCCCCGACAATTGCAAACATTTTCAATGTTAATAAATGGAATTGGTAGAGAAAAATAGTTATAAAAGCAGCAAGACTGTATCATACAATGCGCAACTAGGAAGAAGGAAGACTTTCGGAATCAAATATGTCGAGGGGGGGAAGAGTTGGTATTTTCGCTGCCATTGTGCTTGGCCGCTCGTTCATGTGCCGCTAATTTGCTCTTTATATCTAATTGATATCTAACAGCACAACTCTTATTTTAGTGAGTGTCGGTTTTTATATAACTACGTGCATCCTAAAACCGATGAGTAGAATGAAGTTTTGCTGTTCTGCTGCCAGCGGATTAGCGCCTCAAATGATGTAAATCCGACCACCGCTGATCCAGGACAATGTTTCTCCTCGGAGCTGTCACAGTGCTTGGAAAGTCGTGCAGTTAAGGATCATATGTTTTTTTGAGTGCCGCTACAACTTGCTTTTGCTACCCCGCCACAGCTTTATAAACAGTATAGCATAATTTTGCACTGCCTACCTAATATTTGATAGTTTGAGATGGCGCTAGAATCAGCGCACTTTAGCATTCGCATTGAAACATGCTACATTTACGATTAGTGACCTCTATATACATGTACTCAGTTTTGTATATACGCACCAGACCTGTACAGAACCACCAAGTCCAGTGGCCTTGATAATTGGTTGTATTTGTGCTTTTTCTTTTCCTACATACAAGTATTAAATCCTAGTCTATAAAAAACCCTCGAGTCTATAGTGCCTTTTCCATTTATTAATGATATTTTAACTAGATTTAATATTAATCTCCATTTGGATAATACGATATTAATGTCGCGACCAAATTGTGTATGTTTTTAGCCAACTCTTGTCAATGTTATGTTGAAAGCAGCGTTCGAAATCCGACTTAGCCTGCCTCCTTGTCCATAGCTGAATATAAAATTCTCTATACTTTTGAGGTCATATGCCGCTCGATCCAATTCGAGCCAGGACTGGCAACTACCATTTTTCCACACCAATTTTGCTTCCTCTGCGGATTCCTCTGCATCAGTGGTAGTATCATAAACAGCGCGCCATGACCTTTGAGTCATGCCATCTGAATTTTGACCGACGAGATTTGTTGGATAAAATAGAGCGTTAACATAAGAAACTTTGGCGATGGAATTCTGGTTTGCTGAGAGGGCGTTAAGGCTATATAAGTCGGGGTGATGAAGCACATCGAAACCCCGAACGATAAATTTCTCCATCGTCAAATTATTTTCTGTGTCGACATTCAACGTGATGGTGGAGTTTGTTGAATCATCAGCATACGTGCCATTTAGCGCCTCCAGTGCGGTAGCTTCGGTCCGCCCTGCCTTGTCTACCGCTGGAATAAGCTCTTCGATAATGGCACTGAAAATTTCAGATGGCATGTTTTCGCTGACTTCAGCACCAGCAACAAGAAGTGCAACCGAGATATCGAAATCAGGAATCAGTCCAAAAACAGCATGATAAAGGCCCAGATCGCCACTCTTGGTATACAAGTCAACAATACGACCATCGGCTGCTAGCTGGTCACTCCGAAGAATCTCCCAGGGTGCGCCAACGGAATATCCCCACGAAGAAGTGTGACTGCGTGGTTTCATCCATTCTCGGGTTCGGCGTGGGCTAAGAAAGCGATTACTAAGGATACCTTCAGCAAAAGCGATAAGATCTGAAGTACTTGAAAACATGCCACCGGCACTATAAATGGGTTAATACAATCGTTTGTCATATTCTGGATAGCGAGATTGAGGAGAGAGCTTTACATACCTTTCGAAAACACCTAAAGTAACATTCCATGTAGTTTCTCCAACCGGAACAAAGCCATTTTCTGAAAATGATTCTACAAATCCGTTGAATGAAGAGCTGTTCATATTGACAATGTCGAAGATATCGTTTTGGATATTGTCAATATAGCTCTTATTAGTGGCGGCATCAATAACCATTCCAAGGATGGCAAAGCCAACGTTAGAATAAGAGGGGCTAGTGTATGGTAGATATACTGGCTCTCTTTGCTGTAAATCTTTGACAAGATCGCCTTTTGTACATGGTGGACTGCCGGGAAGTCCCGAACAATTCGGGCCGGTCCCTTGAGGAATAACCGGTAGCCCAATTGTTTGCCATAGCTGGATAGGAAAGAGTCCCATATCCATAGCCGCTGCATTCAAGTTAGTTTTTAAAATACCACGATGAATGAAAACAAGGGATGCAAAGAGCTCTTACTATCAGTGGCAAGACCAGAAAGATGTGTCATCAAAGAATCGACCGTTACATCTTCCCATCGAATTGCCTCTGCAGGATCACTAGCCACAACATTCTTGAGCTGAGGAATATATTCAAGCACTGAATCATCCAACTGAATAGAAGTTGATTGTAAAGCTGCTAATGCAGGAAATATCTTCGACAAACTTCCCACCCGGAAAATCGTTTTATCATCAATGGCTGCAGTGCCGATATCTGAGAGAACTGGTGGTGTAAAATGATAGCTAAACAGCGGTTCGTCTTCATGTATAGATTTGACCATAATAGAGATACCGCTGGTGTTTAGTTTTGAACTGAAGCTTGAATCGATTCTTGATTTGAGCTTCTGATTGGCCCATTTGACTGCTTCGTTATTGCTAGGAGCCTGTGGCGGTGGAAGTACAGCTCCAAGAGGTGGACATGAACTTGCTATGACAGACGAGAATAGAGGAAAAACAGCTACTGCTGTCGTGGATACAACGGATTTCATGGCTGGATGTGATGGGGGAATTGAAGGAGCCGTGCAAAAGTGTCCAAAAGACTGATAGAAGTTCAATGAGCATAGATGCTGTTTGCAAGTCTGAGGATAATAACACTCTTTTATAGGAACTGGCTTAATAGTTAAATAATCGAAATATAAAGAATAGAAGGATACTGAATACCTAATGCTGCACTACGGCGCGTCAACAGTTAGCGATACTAGGGGAGAGAAATAAGCGCTAAGTTGGATCAGGACACCAAGCCTCAGGGGACAACAAATGTCACTGACGATGTCAAAGTGGCTGAGATTGACGGATTTTGCACTGCCTTTGGAGATTTTACTAGGCTTACAGGCTACATAGCTACGCAACCTAGTTTATTGCTATTTATACATGCAATCCTGAGTATACGTTTTGAACCGAATTGATTGATATATCATACAAAACGTACATTTCTGCGCATATAGCTGATCGATTGCGTGTACTTAATCAATTCAACAGCGGATAAGCCCCGACGTCCTGGCTGCTTATATATGGCACTGACGCAAGTTTTACCCGTACTTTTTCTTTTGAACGCTGAAAAATGATCTATGAAAGTATCATAGGTCATTGAATCTTCATGCAGTTTAACGCACGGTATATCCCGAGTATATTCAGAAGCAGAGATTATTTCGAATCCAATATTTTAGACCGAGATTTTGCTGGTGTCTCTCTCCGATACGCTCATAGAGTCATATAATGGGATGAAAAACTCTATAGTTTCTGTACTACGTCGTTCACTCTAAACCTAGCAAACAAGATCAGCCTAACAGCCATGTTAAACGGAAATAGTAAGCTTGGCTACCAGAAAACATAATGCATCCGATTTTTAGAATGTTAAATGATTCTTCTTTTTATTTTTGACAGAGATAGTAAAGACTGTAAAGCGATACATTTCCGCTCATACGCTACTCATCATGTCTGAGGACTAAGATACTGAAGAGTAGTTAAGTAACTCGCCATCAATGAGAATGGGATTTCGTGGTATTAAGAACGAAAATTCCAAACGAGATAAAACATTTCCAGGAATAATAACTACAAACGGTATAACCTATTTCCTTTAACACAGAGCGGCCTCTAGCCACTTTGATTCCTAAATAGGAAAAAAGGCACATACAGCTCATATTGATTCTGGCTATAGTGCCATGAGATCCATTTAGCCATATTTGTCCGGATATTTAAAAGATTTATGGTTAATAAATCTCCGACCGCTTATATTTCGCTATCTGCGAGCATGCCGAGTTGTCTCCATCACAACTGAATATGTTTGCAACATCAATTGAGGCACGTGGTCCAAATATGTTCTTGGCAGGGCGGTTAATTTGGTCGCCTTCAACCTTCCAATATGGCTAATATTGCGGCAAAATAACCCCTCAGGGATTTTTAAATTCAAGCTTAATGCGAAAGTGTAGATTGACATGACGAAGCTTTGGATACAACACACTCTTACTCTCGTCCAGTGAGCTGGTTCCATATCATGGGAAACAAGAAGTCTTCTTAAACGCTTTAACGGAAATTTAGAAGATCACACTCAGATTTATCCACAGCGGCTATTTAATCTATGTATTTATTTTCATGTTTATAGTTCAATAATATTTTCTCAATATATGCTACTCTTCTAAACTATAAATTGCTAACTATTCCGCTATCATTGGGAAACAGCAATCGCACACCTCTACAAGTTTCATCCTCAAAGGTGTTTTGACTCCATCAGCTACAATGAGAACAAGCCTCATATTTTGCCTTTTGGCACCTCTTGTAGCGTCGTTGCCGGCTGAGTTTATTCAGCTGGAGCCAGATCTGGCCGCACGTCGTGTCAACATCACCGAGCGAACAGCCGATCTCGAAGATCGTCAAGCTTCTGTGAGCATCGATCAGCGCTTTAAAAACCGGGGTAAAATTTATTTCGGAACTGCCACTGATCGTGGCCTTCTGCAACGAGATCGAAATGCAGCCATTGTCCAAGCAAATCTTGGGCAAGTGACGCCAGAAAATAGTATGAAATGGCAGTCGCTTGAGCCCAATCAAGGACAGTACAACTGGGGGGATGCAGATTATCTCGTCAACTTTGCGCAGCAAAACGGCAAGGTTATACGTGGGCATACACTTATTTGGCATTCGCAGCTCCCCAATTGGGTCAACAATATTAATAATGCAGACACTTTGCGCCAAGTCATCCGTACTCATGTTTCTACTGTTGTTGGGCGATATAAAGGAAAAATTCGTGCATGGGTAAGCTCGATGTGTTCCTAACCACAGCTATAAGATGCACTTAAAAGATATGGCTCCATTGTGCTGAGAGAGAGCTGACCAAAGTATCTATCAGGACGTGGTAAATGAGATTTTCAACGAAGATGGAACACTTCGCTCTTCTGTCTTTTCCAGATTATTGGGCGAAGAGTTCGTGTCCATTGCTTTCAAAGCTGCCCGAGACGCTGATCCGTCCGCTCGTCTCTATATCAATGATTATAACCTTGATAGCGCCGGATATAGTAAAGTTAATCTAATGAGATATTATGTCGATAAATGGATTTCTCAAGGAGTCCCAATTGACGGTATCGGTATGTAAACAGTCCTTTTATGGCCCTGCAGATATTTTGTGTCATAATGTCGTGAGCAATGCTAAATTCACTATATAGGAACTCAAACTCATATTGGTGCTGGAGGAGGCTCGTCTATACTAGGCGCTCTTCAGCAGCTAGCTACTGCGCCTGTTACCGAATTGGCTATCACTGAACTCGACATCGCAGGAGCACCATCGAATGACTATACAGCCGTAGTTCAAGCATGCTTGAATGTCTCCAAATGCATTGGCATCACCGTTTGGGGTGTTAGTGACAAGGTAAAGAAATACCCATAGTTTCATCACGTTCGAGATCATGCATTTAACATAGTATAATAGGACTCGTGGCGCACCGGCGCCAATCCCCTTTTATTTGACAGCAACTTCAATCCCAAAGCTGCATACAATGCCATTGTGAACATTTTGTAATGAGCTATATAGTAGTTTATATATAAAGTTTTCCAATTGCATTTTTGAATGCCATTAACGTACTGTAATATTTGCATTAAATTTTGTGTGAATTCTCAAGTCTATGAATATGAATCGTTGTTACACCAAACTTTCCGCCACGTCATATGCCTATAATTCATCACATATATTTCATCCCAAATCAGCCAATCTAGGGGCGAAACACACCATACGCGCGAATATTAGAAGATATGTCGTTGATCAATTATTGATTTGCAACTCTAAGATCCTTAATTTGGTACGCGAATTCCACTTGTTGTCGCACAAGCCCCAGGGCCAACCTCTCCTTCTAGCAGTAGACTTCCAATCTTGAATGCTGGCATCTCTTTGAAATCCGTTTTTGCAGGGTGATTTTTAGGACACCAGTATAGAGTACCGTATCTCAGCCAGTGGGCGTATGTGCCAGGAGCGTTGTCGCTACCATCGTGTTTCTTCCAAAGAGAGCTCAAAGTATCTCCCATGACTCTAACAATCATTCCAGTTGCTAACTTCATACCAAAGCTTTTGGTTAAGCAATCTTCGACGATCTTGCGCGCAAGCTTTTGATCGTCGCTTTCTTTTTCATCGCCCTTCGGAACATGTAAAGACATGAGTTCGAATTGCTTCGGGCCGTTCCAAGCGGTAATTTCGTTAATCAGCTGGGATCCAATCATAAAATCGTATGCGTAAACGTGCTCTGCTACGTATTTAGGGCCATTCCAGCCACCCTCAACATCAATAAGGCCCATAAGCATGGTGATGACATGGCCCTGAATGATATAGTCCGTCAACATCTTTGCAGTCTCTTCACGTCCATATGTGATGCCATTCTCTTCCATCGAAAGCCCGGTGTCCATTAGAGGGAGTCCTTTCAGCAAGGGACTTGCATGCATTCCTTCAGTACTTGTCTTCCCCGCCCATAGCGTCAGTAACAGCTTATGGCACCTAAGAAAGAAAGGATTATTTCGTCCCGAAGCCAGGAAGTAGTTTGTCATGCTCCGATCTTCGGCGCTACCAGTATTATATGTTAAAATCTCATATGGAGAGCTTGGATTGCCGACAGTTTCGTTCCATACGCTGTCGAGGTCTCCAATCTGAACCAAGCCCACGTCTGCATAGACGCCGCCGTACTTCAATAGTAAGGGGAACCTTACAAGATCTGATATGTGCTGATTCACGTGATGGCCGCCGATGGTGCCATCTGTGAAGGCCTTTGGAAACACATCCGGATCTTGTACGTCGAGATAATTTGCCACGTTCAGAGAGGAGCCCGGCTCAACATTCATGACGCGCACAACCCATCCCTTCTTGGAAAATCTCCTGTGCCAGTTTCGTACAGTGCGTTGATGGTAGCCGTGCATTTTCTGGAATCCGCTATTCCAAAAAAACCAAAGATTCTTCTCGTCCGTTACAGGTTTGGGATTAAGAAGCTCGTAATCTACTTCGGCATCCGACCGAAGATCCAGCTCATCGTGAGGAATAGCATAGACGCCGTCTGGTATCGGGTATGTGGTGAATGAGTCCATGATGGCTTAAAAGAAGGAGGTAAACGACAGTAAACAGAGAAAGAGGCTTTCTAAATGCAATGCTCTATGCGTTGATCAATACTTGGAAACAAGATGGCTATGAGATGTAAATAAAAGTCTGAGAAATGGTCGAGATATATACATGTATTCGATCACAGAAAGTCCCCCCAGCGCTAGTGGCTTAGACGGCGGCTGCTCCTGAAGCTACGGAAGTTCCCCCGCTAGTCCGACTTTCAGTGGCGATAACCAACCAGCAGATAAGGCAGATAAGGGATTGGCAGCATTAAAATTACGGCCTGAAAATGCGGGGCAATATGTGTCCATTTCTCTCCGGGAATTTCTCTCCGGGAATGAGTCACCAAGAGTCCCGCAACTATACTAGACGGCCTAAAGTGATGCTTTCCGTCCATTTAAAATTGCTTATTGGGCGTATCAATGGAAGAGTCATCGCTGCAAGGGGCTACAAGAGAGTCATTCTTAAGTGGACTGAGATCCAGATTTAAGACTCATGGTCAACCAATTTGTAGTATCTTATGTTTAGTTCCAGTGTGACTACAAACCGCAGCGAAAAACTCTGCTCAAGAGACAAATGATCATTTCTAAGCACTAATACATCAAGCAGTATTTGGCGGCAGGAGTCCCCACTCGATAGTACAAAGTGTTGATAAGCACAGTTATGGGCAGACAAAAGCTCTTGTTGATTGCGGCTGTGATGGTATTACACGGGCATGTCCGGCCCTAATTTCACCAGCCAATAGGCTTTAGACACCGTGTCGAACAATCCAAATACTTTGTGATAAAGAAGCACATACAAATGGACCATCATCACCGTCATTGATAAAAAAAAAAAAAACAGAGACCCCGCTTTGTTCATTTTCAGAAAACAGCACATTGTTCTTATTTAGACTGCCTGTATCGGAAAATAAAAATATTAACACCGACAGGAGATTGGTAGCATTCTTGAAACTGGTCTAAACAGAGTCTCTCTTGTTACACTAAATGTCTGTGTCTACTTGTAAACCATGTACTGTATTTATCGCGCTGGCCCACATGTTTGCTCACTCTATCTAAAGAAGCCAGAACTGGATAACCGTTGGTAAAACGCTTGGCGCTATTCATGTGCCTAGAACGGTAGACCATAGCATAGCATAATGTTCTAGAGTATTGTAGGAGCAGCATTGAAGTACATTTATGATTATAGTAAATGGCATTGTATGTGGGTGGTTCGGCAGGAATTCTATGTTTACAAGGCATGTATCTTTTTGACAGCGTGTTCAAGTTCGACACACAAGTTTTCAGCATACGCGGAGCGACCTTTTAAACAATCAAATTGCTATTTATGAAGTATAATTATGTTCTGATCTCTAGTACGAGAGGGATCCTGCTGAGCTTATAAGTAAAAAGTAGTCAGAAAAGATGCAGGTATTTGAGAGGATAACTATATCTTGAGAAGTGCCATCTTGATGGCTAGATATTGAAAGCCAAACTACAAGACACGCATATTGAAGCCATTTAAGGATAAACATACATGAATAAACTGATGAACTTCATTTAAATCTTGTCTGTGTTTTTGAACCTTTTTTGTGGTTACTCCACCCGCTCTGTCAATGCTCTGCGATCCTGATTTGGACGAGGACCCGATTTCGCCACCATTGTACAAAATAAACGCAGCGAATCCATCAAAATCTAGGGATCAAGTGCATTCCGAGGGTCACACGAATTATATCGTTGTTATTAACTCTAATGAAGACTGAGTAAAGATCGATGCAGGACTCGCCGTTATGTATACAGAAGGCATAGTGGAGCGAAATAGCACGGACGTCTTAGTTGGAAGGCTCATAAAAAATAGGAACGTAGTGATTTAGTACAATCCCGGTATCACGTACGCAGTATTACAAAGTCTTAGAGCAGATCAGCCACTGAAGCTTCTATACCTACATACAAGATTCGCAATTCAACATAGGGATGGCAGAATGGCTGATTGATCAGCAGCCCCTTGAAAGGCTAGCTATCCATGCGTTGAAGTTCAATATAGAACCATGTGAAATGATGAAACGCTCTCGCTGAATCATCCGGAGACTTTTCAGCCCGGGATAGATGTGGGATGGCCACGATCTGTCTTTTGTATTGCACTCGTTTATTGGAGTATCAGTTATAAGCGCCATTGTGCCATGTGGGGGGATCCAGGATCGCATAGTTGGGTTTTCCCTTTTAGGCACCGCGCGGTGAAACCACCAGCACGAGTGTTCTGCAGATGAATTTCCACGCGGAAAAGCGCAATCATCACAAAATTAAACAATGCCGGGCTTATAAATCAACAATTAAATACCAGATGGAGGTATCACTCAAGGTGTACTCTCAGCTCTATTTAAAGGCAATATCCACCCCCCATTTGCTGCTTTGGTCGATTCAGTCGCAGACAACAAGAGATCAAGCATTGGCATAAAAGATACCCTTGCAAACACAATATTTGACTAAAATTTTAAATCATGTCAAAAGTTATTGCAGTCGCTGGTGGTACTGGCAGCGTTGGCCGCACCATTGTGGATGAACTAGAGAGATCGTCTCTTTATGATACCATTGTCTTAGCCCGCAATGTAAGTGGCATACAATTGCCGGACGTCAAGTAAACGTTTGATAGCTAAGCTAACAACCAAGGTCCCGGAACATAAAGAAAACAAGTCTCCTGTTTTTGCGGTCGATTACAACAATGTCACGGAAACAGCCCAGCTTCTAGAGAGCCAAAAGGTAGATGTGGTTATCTCTACCATTCATATTATGGAGGAGATTGCTTCGACAGCGCAAATTAATTTGATCAAGGCTGCCAGCCAGTCTGGTACGGTCAAGCGCTTCATCGTTAGCGAATGGGGCATTGTCCACACGGAAGCGTGCGCTCGCATCTATTCCTTAATTTCTTGGAGATTATTTGTATCTAACAGGATTATAGATCTCCTCTCTATAAATTTCGAGAAGATGCTGTATCCGAGCTTCGCCAGTCCAAATTAGAGTGGACCCGAGTCGCCAACGGCTATTTCATGGATTATTACGGATATCCTCACGTCAAAACGTACCTGAAGCCGCTGTCTTTCGTGATTGACGTGAAAAACAAGGCTGCTGGCATTCCTGGCACTGGAGATGACATTGTTGCTTTTACTTATACGGCTGATGTAGCCAAGTTTGTTGTCGCATCTCTGGGCTTGCCAAAGTGGGAAGAGATAACTTACTGCTACGGTGAAAAATCCTCATACAACAAGATTCTTGCCCTTGCTGAAGAGGCTCGGGGTATGTCATTTTGTTTTCACTTGATCTCTGCGAGTTGAAAGTAATATTAACACCATTCTAGGTACGAAGTTCAATGTTACTCACGATTCAGTCGAAAAACTTAATAAAGGCGAGGTTACAGAATTACCTTCTCACCCTGCCATGTATTCCATCGCACCAAAGGAAGTATTCCAAGGAATACTTTCACTATTTGGCAAGTGGATAATCGACGGGGGGTTTGATGTACCTGAGGAGATTAGCTTGAATGCCAAATTTCCCGATATCAAGACAACCAAGCTGAGCGAAATCGTTGGGGCATGGAAGGGACATTAATGCAGTCTAGTTATTTATTTATCAAGCAAATAATAGCTAAATATAGTTCAAAGAGAGATAAAATATGCCGAAAAGAGATACTATCATCATACGTATTATTATATAAGCAATGGTATTGATCCCATTATACTAAAACAACAAATGAAATCCCATGTTTCGGCGTCTTTCTCTCCACGAGTGTTCCATACTCTCTCCATTATCTTCAATGCCTCATTTAGTGTGCCAAATGCTGACAACGAACCCATTTTGGAAGCAATCTGCCTAAACTCGGCTTCTTGACTTTTGGGAGCAAGGCAACCAGCGACACAAAAAGGCCAAGCAAGACTACGCAAGATTGCCGGAGAATGAATCTGTTGTAAAAGGTGTAATACTGATGAAACATTTTCCCGAACCTCTTGGTCTTGCTCTTGCCACCCGGAAGTAGCGACGTATAGGTAGAGGACGGCTGCGTGTGCCCATATTAGGCTAATCGATATGGTGTCTAAACTTTGTAGTAGAGTCTCAGGATGGACATAAGCCTGAGGAAGAGCTGGAGTGGCCATAGGCTGCTGCATATTGGCATTAAGACCAGCTATGCCATTCTGAAGGTCTGCAGAAAGTTTTTTGCCCTTAGAAAGCAGATCTTCTCCGAGTACACGCCTGGATTTTTTGCCTTCTATAAAAACGGCAATATCAGCTATTAAAAGAAGAACCCAACCTTGGCAGCCAACAAAGTCTCCCAATTCTAATATTTGACTTGGATGAGTCACTTCAGCTCTAGGTTTAATTAGGCGCGTATAATGCTCTCGCAATTTAGGCACATCTCCCAGTGTGGTCGCAGATATTATGTCCGCAAAAATGATAAAAGCAACGTGAAATCGTAGGGCACTTTGATCGCTGTTCCACATTCTATGACTTGGTGTCTCAGTCGACCATCCGGGCCGCTGCATCATAACAAATATCGAGGTGAGATCAGCTAGCTGGCCACGAGGCTCGGGCAGTTCCAACAGCTCTTTGAGCAGTGAGACGGCAGCAGTTATGTGGACGCTCCATTCTGTAGTCCTTGCAATGTTTGTGTCAAATACTAACAACTGTACGACACCTTCCAGGAGATGTGCCTTTCCAAAAACCGATATCGGGACCGGGCTAGCATGGAGATCTTGTATTCCCTTTCGTATGGAGCTGATTGCATTATCAATATGAGAAGTGAGTTTGCGCTCAATCAATCGCCTGCAGGCCTCATGTTCATCATGACCATTAGCAATATTCGCCATAACTAAGGTGAAGAAATAGGTCGAAAAGCCCATGGCGGTATGGAATAGTGGCATGCTGTTTCTCAATGTCGCTAACAGCCAGCCGCGTCCTCCTTCAAAGATTGAAGGGCGGTAGAAGGGAAAGAGAAAAGGAAAGGCATAATCCAGAAAAATGATCTCGAGATCAAGATCTATGTCGTTGTTTACTCCAAGTAAAACTGGGTTAGTAACGTCCCTATCCGGTTTAACATCTTCAACCTGTGGTATATAATTCCCCAAAGGCACATTTTCGGGTGATAACACTTGAGCATCTTGCTCAGCCTTATCCGCTTTAGGTGCCTGAGCAGCTGCTTTTAGGCTGCTTTTCGACCGTTTCATTCTTCCAAGGGGCATTACTTTCACATAGCTTTTCTCGCGACGACTTTCTGCTTTTTCCTTGACTTGCGCTTTGATTTGATCTGCAACTTCATCGCGCTCGCGATCATTATTAATCCAGCTTGGATGGCTATTGCCATCATGACATGTTATGTCAAGCGAGCGACAGGCACTGCAAGCCGGTCGTTTTCGGTCGCATCGCTTCTTGCGAATCCGGCAAGTCCAGCACGTTTTGGAAGACAAGTGGCTCATTAGGAAGGCAAAGACAGAGAATGATAATAACCAACGAGATGATGTTGCTCCATTACAACCTTGTAATGGCTGCTTGAAGAAGCTAAAGAATGTATACCGCCGTGGAGCAGGGGAAGACACCATCACTAAACCATGTATCCGCGCGGTCACCAATCTAGGATTACTGGGTTACCAATACCATCTAGCTCAAATCCAGGGAGCTACTAACACGGAGCTTGCGGAGCGAGGCTCAGACAAATAATTGTTCTACAGCGAGCTTTTGCTGGATGACATACAGTATTCAACGCTTAGTGTAGTAACAGTTTTGATGGAGATTCGCAATTTCTTCAAATAGGATAATTCATTTAATGATGACTCTTCGAATGCTTCCAAGCTGCTATCGATCACTGTGCCGCTCACTTTCCGCCTTATAAGGTGATTAGACAAATAAATTCGCTTAAAGCCTAGCCTAGTCCGCCCATCGCTGCGACGGAGCGGAGATACAGTTCAAATGTTAGACATATCATGCCCGGTACCAGGAGTTGCTTATAAAATACATTCCTTAATATTCAAACCATATAGAGTATAAACTTGTTATAAAAGCTTCATGGACGACTACAGAAACCAACATAGAGACTTTTATTCAAGGATCACTTGACCCAGCCAGACATTTTGATATTGCTATCAGGCTTTACGATCAGTGGATACATCTCGCCGTACAAATCATCTCCCATGGCTTCTTTCTCTAGCGACCTCTCCAAGAAGCATGTCCTAGTGACAGGTAACACCTCCATCGATTTGGTAATTCCTATATCCATTAATAACAGATTACAGGCGGCTCGAAGGGCATCGGCAGATCTATCGTAGAAGCTTTCCTAGCAGAGGGAGCAAATGTCTCGTTTTGCGCTCGTACAATTCGTGGGGATGAATTTTCATCTTTTGCGGGTGCCAGTCATGGAGCACAGGCCGTTGGCTCAGTTGTTGACATTGGAAACCCGGAAAAGATTAAAGCCTGGATAAGTCAAACAGCCGGGAGATTTGGTCGAATTGATTCCATTATTGCCAATGGTAAGCTATGCCAACAAGATTTCATCCTCTTAAACCGTTACCCAGAACAAACTCTAACCGAAGAGCTTCCGGATAGCATCTCCTATCATTGTGGAAGCAACAAGCGAAAACTGGGAGAAGAGTTTTCGCGCAGATATCTTAGGCTTGATTACTTTGATTGAAGCCTCTATACCTTTCCTCGAAGAGCGATCAAAAGCTTCTGAGAATGCGTCTATCGTCGTAATCAGCTCCATGGCGGGGTTTGAGGCGAGGCACCCGGTAGCTGTTTCTCCCTATTCTACGTTAAAGAGAGCTCAGGCTGTCTTGGCTAAAGATTATGCCCGAAAGCTTGGTGCTCTTGGCATTCGAATTAACTCCATTGCACCAGGTTCTATTGAGAACCCCAATATCACATTACCTGACGGTACGATACAGTGGAGTTCTTATCAAATTGTTAAGAGGGACAACTATCCATTCTACAAAGCTTTGCTGGATGCTGTTCCACTTGGAAGAACGGGTAGGCCAGAGGAGATTGCCAACACCGTCATCTTTCTTGCCAGCAGGCTCTCTAGCTATGTCAATGGGGCTAATATTGTAGTGGATGGTGGTATGTCTATCACATTTTAGACTATTAAGTGCTCATCATAAATGAGATAGTCTAGACAATGAACGCTTGTTCTCCTGTACCCTACGACCCCTTTACCATGGAATCTCTGCGCCATCATATTGGTTTACTCCTTCGTTATGCTCCCAGCCTGAGACGTGTATGTTGTAAAACTTTCCGTTGTAGCTAGCATCCGCCTTATTGAAAAGATTCACTACCGCTGTAACTCCTGTTGCGACATCGAGATCGGCCTTATCAGAGCCCATGTCTGTTTTCAACCACTATGCCAAACATTAGAAGTTGAGGGAATATCAGATACTAGAGAGATACCTACCCCTGGGCTTATGGCTAAGAAGGTAAATCCCTCTTTTTTATACTCCATTGCATATTGAACTGTCAACATACTCATCGCAGTTTTGGTGATTTTATACGCGTATGCCGGCGACCAGTTGTAACGGTCCGCCCACGCAACTGACCCGACTGCCGAAGAACTTGATTCTTATTAGCCAAAATGCTGAACAACCCATCTGAAAATCAAGAAGACAAATTCCAGAAATTCTTACACCATGATAACCTTCTTTTGTTTCCCTCGTTTCAAGGATGGAATAAGTGCAGCAGTAACTCTATGGGCTGCGACGACGTTGACATCAAAAACTTGTATCAACTCTTCCGCGTCCATGGTATGAATTCCTGCAGGAGTAGTTGGCGCTGTCTAATGTGAATTTTGTTAATATGAAATATGTACGCAAAATTTTAGAATTTTCACGTACAGCGATATTATTGATTAAGATGTCGAGGCCTTCTCCTTCGAGCTTTTCTTCTACTTCGGCTGCAGCACGCCGAACACTTGCGGTTTCGACAACTTCGCACAATATGTGGATCACTTTTTTCCCAGCAGCATCAATAATTTTGCTTAGTTCAGTTGACGGGTTTCCTCTCGTGGTAACGAAAAGCTTTGCAATACTTGAATCGTTTGCTAGTTGACGGACAATGCCAAGGCCAAGGCCACGCCCTCCTCCAGTAATTAGTACATTCGCCATCTGGTGGTTTTTTGACTCTTTTTATCGTAATGGAGAAATGTTAATACAAGAAGAGTTGTTTCTCAGTAGAACTACCTCTGTCTGTATCTAGATATAAGTATATATATGAGTTTTCTTGGCGGAGATAAGAGGAAGTGATCTTTAACTCCGACTTATAGAAGACATTATTTGTTACTCAGTTCATATATATCTACTTGACTAGCAAGTATCGGACGAATTTTGGAATTTCCTATGACTTATTAAATCCGACTTATAAATGTCATCATTTATTACTTAGCTTATGTACATTCGTTTAACTGACAAGTGTCGGACGACCCTTGGATTTTCCTATGATTTATTAAGTCCGACTTATAAAAGTTATCGTTTATTACTTAGTTCATGTATATTCGTTTAACTAACAAGTATCGGACGACCCTTGGAATTTTTTTGTAACGTATTAATGTTACATTGAAAGGATGCGATGTACATACTAATTCCTTCTTCAATTATTAAGCAACTTTTGCTTTATGCTGATTAATTAACATATGAAACTAGGCGAAACACGATCTTCAAGAAACCTCTTATTGCTTGGGAACACAGATCCCGTAAAGCTTTTAGTAATACATATTGTTGAGAAGTAAATCTTATCTAGTTCCATGAATTTATCTCGTGGTTGAATCTACCTCCCTTGTTGTCTCCTCCTAACCCATACTTCTTTATCAGCGATATCTAATACTTTACTATTGTCAACTTCTGTCTGCCGCGGATCTACGCTTTTGGTTTCGCGCAATTGTGTTTCCCATATATCAAGTTGGTAGTTCCCACGGTCCGCTGTTCCAGTAAATATATCGAACGACCATCCATGTTTTGGACAGGTCAGTCCAGCGCTTAAAATGACTCCAAAATCCTCAATATCAAAGGGGGTGCCTTGCGAGAGGGGGTATGAGGAATGGGGGCATATCTCGTAAAAAGTCATTATCGGTTGCCTAAACATATAAAAGTGTGGCTATCAATTTGCCTCGTTGTCTAACTTACATGATCAACCGCGTGAAACTTTCCTTTGTATCGAAACACCAGAACCTGATCTTTAAGCCCCTTCAAATCCGATCGTTGGAGGGTACCATCTTCTCTAATGGTGACCTCTGCGCTTTGAAGGCTATCTTCTCTGGGCACTTGGAAAACTTTGCATCCTGGTTTGGCATCCCCACCACATGTTCTATATTTCGCCAAGTTATCATCGTCGAGTCCCAGGTCGGGAAACGATGAAGCGAGGCCGACAGAGAACCATTCTGCACCAAGTTGAGATGTTTCCTCGAATGCTTTCATATCCAGACAAACCGGGATATCGCGGTTTTAAAATCCACCCAAAAAGCACTCCGCAGGCCTTGCATCAGATGATTAATGCGTATTCAATGTGGATTTCAGTTGGTGCGCCAACGAAGAAGTTTACATGGCTTAGATAATCCTAACTCCACCAGAATCAGAGGTCACGTGGTACGATTACGTGAAGCCTATCTTGGAGCACTGAATACAAGTCAGTTGCGCCCATTCCACGCGCCCATCATGAGTCTATAATAGATAGAACTCGGCAATCATTATCCATACATTGATGTGATTATATAGTTGCCTTCTGGTATTCGGAATTGTATTTAAAAATTAGAACTGATTTGTGTTTTCCTTATTACTGGTGGCTTTGTGGAGAAAAACATTAGCCAGGTTAATAGTTGAAAGAATAAACGCACTGGGCGATCATAGACAACTCTGGTGCCTGTATGAAGTGAGCATCCCATCAATAGGTCTCCTTTATGTGCTAGAAAGGAGCGTAAGGCTGAGACAGAGCGTCTCCCGTTTTTCATCTAGCTGTGTCATTTTGAAAACCCTTTTTTTCTTCTCTACCTTCACGGTATTTGCATGCCATTTAATATACTTTGTTTAAATAGTGCGAGCATTCGAATAATTCATTGAATTGAATTGAATTGACAGGACTGTCGTACATTTCTATTTATTAGCCTTCATTCTTAGCTTACTCACAATTATCTAGCTAGGTTCGGCAATTTCTCTTTTTAAGAGCATCATTACTGCGCTTGTCGGTGAAGACATAAACTATCACCGCATTTGTCGCCCCTGGCAGTCCTCGGTTCCAGATTAGTGGAAGTAAAAAACCCGTAGGGTTATAAAGTGACCTTCCCCTGCAGACTCAAGGTCGTAATGTAACGGCGCCCACGGCAAACTCGGCATGATTATGTGCGCTAACAACACGATATAAAGTGTCAATCACACATATTAGAGCTGGCCCACAAGACATAGGTACCGCCAAAAGTAAGCCCTAGCGTAAACCACAAGCATCAAGTCTGCCTGGAGATCTTAAAGATCGCTTAAGGCGCATCGCAGCTAATGGGAGCGATGTATAAAGATGTCACCTTCACTAGCTATGCAAAGTACTACGCAAAGTACTACGTATCAATAGCGAGTTCATTGTATATTGACTCCCCAATAGCATTGAGATCCAAAACCACGTGCCCATTACTCATTGCGAGCGCCAACCGCCTCTTAGCTAAATGGCATCAGCTACTCCGTATTCGTAGCCACAATGGGAGTGTTTCCTGTTCTGGCAAGTCAAAAGCATCGCGAATTCGGCCATTAATTAGTAAATATCCGTGAAAAATTTAGCGATACGCAGGGACAATATATTCAGCGCAGGGTGAGTTGTATTGCCCAAAAGTGCACATACAAATTTAATGGAGAAAGTGATGCATATTGTCGCTAATATGGATCAGCATACCACTAGCCAGCCTCCTTCCTATTATGGCTTGCTGTCAAGGTGAAGATCGTTGATCTCCCGCCATTTGTGAGGTATAGCCGTACGATGTCGTATAGGAAAGTTATATAAAGATTGCTCGATATCGCCAAGATACGCCGACATCTTGGCATCTCAATCATATTTCCATCAACAGAGGCTAATAAGTTTGTTTACACTGTCCGTTTTCATCATGGGTTTCGCCAAACTTGTACCCTTATTACTTCTTGCTACCAAGAATGCTTTAGCGGATACGCCGATTGCCGTGAGCGACTTCACCGAGAATGGGGGTTTAGCAGCTGCGCAAGCCGCCGCGCCCATGTGGTATATGCCTTCTGGCACATGTATGCCCTCAGCTGCTGAAGATGGCGAAGGCAACCAAACAAACGGCGTTGACACAGACAACTGCAATATCAACGCTCTAGCAAATGGCTGTCCAGTGCAGCCCACTTGGGAGGGACCCAACACATTCTATGGCAATGTTTCGGGTGAACCATTCGTCACTATTCCGACGTACTGGGCATCGACCTTTTGCAATGGCGACTCCTCCGGTTCTGATGCTTCATATCGTATCATCTACTACGTATATTTCAAGAAGGACACTGGCCATAAAAGCGATTGGGAAGGAATTGTGATGAGATTCACTTCTCCTGACGGAGGCAACACTTACACTCGCGAATCGGTCATTATGGAGCAAGGTCGGTGGCATCTGATTGCACACTGGATTATTTCTTATACTCGAAGCTTTACTAACACTTCAACAGACGGCAACCATGTGCACATTAGCTGGTCCGATGTCGATGATACTTTCGAGGGGTAAGTTGGTAGCTCGAAGATAGCACAGTAATAGGCCGGCAGCTAATTTTAGCATCACAGGGATAATGACTGGGAGAACTTTGCTCAGAAGAATCTTGATCACGGCAAGTTCTACTTTGGTAAATTCCACCACTCTGTTCACCAGAACTGGTACACCGCAGCTTTCAAGAACACCTGCCCCCCTCTCTCAGCTGATGACTACCGCAACGATGACTATCAGTTCTGGGCATATAACAACCTGCGCCCCGTTTCTGTCTTGAATCCTAACTGGGTTTGGGGCCAAGCAGATTCACCTGCCAACATCGACATCTGTTCTTATTAAAATAGTTGAGTCGTGAGGATACTTGGAAAAATATTTATGGTGGATACGAATGTGTATATAATGCGAAAGTATGGCGGATCCAGAAATAATGCCTCATCAGGCCCCGGGCTACAGAGGGGTCCAGCAATGCCAGAGCGGAATCTGCCTTGTGGAAATATGAAAATAGCTATGTCAATGAGAGTGACGCAGAGTAGGTACATGTAACATTGCATCATAGCCAGCCAATAGACAAATTCAATTCCAAGTTGCTTGAGACCTTGCTAATTATACTGGCTCAGAACCCCCTGTATCTGCATATTGGGAAGAAAAACCGCTGGAAATATCGTTTGTGCGCGTTCAAACTGCCTTGAATTGGCATCTACGACCAACTCTCCACTGCAGCGCCGCCAGTCTCCCCCATCACTTTATCTTGTAAACTAAATCTTCTTTGTGCAGGTAGAGTATGTTATAATTTCTGCTCGCTCTCAGAGAAGCCATTAAAGCAGCTGTAAGGCAAGATTCTCACGTCTTTGAATGCCACGGATCTCTAGCTGCCACTTATCCGACACGAGTGTACGTCTTATCCCGCGATATAAATAGCCCTGTGTCAAAGCCAACAACCGAATGACGATACATCAGTTGAAAGAGTCCACGGAGATCAGGCAAGCTAAACCAGATCCTTGATGGCTTTAGCAAAAGCATTATAGCAATGCTCGGCAGAGCACAGCTACTAGAGGCTATCTCGGTGACAATGGTGGCAAAGGAGGATATCACTCAAATAGCTGCACTTTCTTTATAAACGCGCGTAGCCGAAGGGCTCGACTAGCTAGCTGCTTCTAATATGATCACTGAAAAATGTCAAGAATGATGATAAGGAACGAATAAGCAATAATATGCCTTTGTATGCCAATACTATATCACTAGCAAGTTCGACCACAGCTAAGGTACTGGTATTTTTGTGGAATCCCACGAATTCGATAAGGATAATCAACAGCTTCAGAGAATTTTTGGGCAGCGGTCAGAGATTCGGCCATATGGGACTCAAAACCAGGGCCTATTGCGAGCCGAGGAGAACATGGAGTGGGTGGAAACCCGCGTCTCACTACTACTTCTCGTCGACAGTCGGCAAACACAACTTCAACTCACTATTTGTCGGTCCTCTGCTCATTTTCGACGACAGTTCCTTTGAATCGATTCTCGTATTGCGTCGTTTCTACAGAACAGACTTTCTATCAAGATCAACAATTCCGGACCCTTATTCAAGCACTTATGGTCCAGATGCTCAAGCAGCCCAAAGTCATTTGGCCACAAACTTGCCGGCCTCACTAGAGATTTTACCGGCAACATGCTTGAACTGTGGAAGCTGTTTCTCAAGTCTCCGAGTCGATTGTGTTTTCATCATCACCGACAGCATCGACTATCTCCAGGATGCCCATGCCAGTGACGGCTCAGGCGAGGAAGAGGCAGTACTGGCAAATATGCGCACCCTCGTACGGGACAGGGTAACATTCTCATCAGGCTCCTCCTCAGAAGGAGATCAGGCCTTGGGTTGCCCGATTTGACGGAAGAGAAAATGGCCCTCATGACGACAACGAACTTGCACTCTAGGGCAACGATGCGCTGGCTGTCTCTGGCCATAATGCAAGACGAAATGCTACTAGTGCCACAAAGGTTGGTGGAGATTCAAGGAAGGTGGTGCCCCAGAGTCTTACGTTCTCGCAACTATCCCTAATCTATCCTCGTCCAATTCCGCAGAAGCAAGTCTTAGCAGCAATACTAACTTATTCAACGTATCCCACGTGGTTATACAGCAGCCCCCTCTCAGTAAGAAGCCAATGTGATTTTTACAGAAACTAAAAGCTTGTACGTATTAGATGTCCAGACAAGAGTTTGACTACGGGAACTTCCAACAGGTGTGCTAACACATATATATCTATTCTGGGGTATCTTGCTGCCAAATGTTGAGTGACAGCGCCCATGGAATTAACTTATAAAATGTTGAAAAAAAAGGAAAAAAAGAAAAGACCAGATATTTATACCACCAAATACTCCGTTGAGAATGAGTATTAGTATTGTTGAACTCCTTGAAAAAACCAACGCAGACCCCGTATCCCTATATCGCTTACAAACTGTTCAATTATATTTTTTCTCATTTGTTTCAACAATCCATTGACAGAATTCTGTCCATTTGGTACTATAGTCGTTTAGCATCTCTTTCTTTTTTGCTTCACTGGTGCAACTGTATGAGATGCTCCATTCGGCAATAGTTCGCCAGCCCATGAGCGTCATGTTTTCACTGCCCATCATTGCTTGATGAAAATCATGAGATAGCATACTCGCCCTGCATATGTTAGTGCTAGCATCATAATTTAGTTGGTAACGGTAGGGCTTACTCCCAAGATCCAGGGTCGTCGCTGTTAACAGTGCAGGGTACACAATTTGCCAAAAGCACTGGTAAATGGTGGGATTTTGTTGTAGGGACTAGTCCCAACACTTCGTTAGATATAGGGCAAGTCTCAATGGCTATTTGCCTCTCTTTGCAAAGTTGCATTAGAAGTGGGTGCTTGGTGATGCTGAAACCGTGACCGATGCGCTTAGTATCTAGAAGGATGGCATCGTACAAGTTTGAATCAGTTTCTCCACCGTGATCAAGTGTCTCTCCAGCGTGAAAGACGAATGGCAAATCGAGATTAAGTTGGGTGATTTTAGTGCGCATTTCAAGCAAATCAGGAACCCAGTATGAAAGCGGGTGGCCGGTATCTTCCTGGCCTTGCATATCAAATGCTTACTACTGTGTTAGCTTTCGGGGAGTAGATGGAAGATATATCACGCCTCACCGCAAATCAAGTCAGGGAAAAGCTGCTTCATTTCGATGCAATTGTTCATGCACCAAAGCATGGCCTCTCTTGAGGAAGATCTCATGCATGCATAGATGATTTTGATACCATAAAATATATGCCCCGCGGCGTGTATTTTGGGAACTTCTTCTTCCAATACGCTTTGGAAAATCTCCAAAGCTTCCTTTTGCTTGAGTTCTCGTGTACCATCATCAGATTTTATGGCGAAGCCATGATTGAGGGCTACTCGAATCTCTGCATACATGATGCCGTCTTGTGCAAACTTCCACAATACTCTTCGAAAATGTTCTCTATATGCGGTTTCATATCCGAGCATTGATCGGATGACTGTAACTGCCCGGATGAACTGCTGCCAAATGCTAACAACATTGAACGTTAGCACTTTTGACTCTTATACTTGGTAGGTTTTACCCCATAATTACCCATCAACTGTCTGCTTCGGGTGATAAGCATCTTCTGGCTTCAACACCATTCGCTTATGGAGCCATGCTTCTGCTTTCTCGGTTCCACCTGGAAATTTGGCCAGGAAATCAGAATAGCGCATCCAAGATCCGGCTATATAACCCTTGCTGAACATGTTGGTAGAATCTATTAATGGTATGTCTTGGCTAAAGACGTCAAACTGAGGTAATGCGTATGAAAAGAGCCCTTCAGAGACTAATGGTACGTCAGCCTTGATATAAAGATTCGGCTGGTTGCGAGCATCGCTGAGGACGGTATCAGGAGGTAGAAGGCAGTCATAATGGCAGTGTAAAAGACAGCCTTTGGGGGCCTTGACGGCAACTTCAAACAGCTTGCTTGTTGGTGCTACATCCAACCCATGAAAAAACCGATGGCCAGCCTCGTAACCAGAGCCGTCGCTCTTGATTCCATAAATATTTTCATCTTCCCAAGTTTTGAGTTGTTGAATGATTTCTTCGGCTGCTGATTCTAGACTCGTTCTCTGGACTAGGCTTTCATAGCCATATGCCTTTTCGGCCCTCACAAGGGACTCTCTGGCTTTGAAATACTCATCCAAAGATCCTGATTTGAAAAGCGGGAAAGAGGTTTTGGACATGGTAAGATAATGCGTGTTCAATGGGCCATCCCAAAATGATGTTTCTAGAGAGAGAAAAAAAAAAAAGAAATGATGCGGGGAAACAGCTTTGGCAAAACTCCGTATCGGAATTAATATGAGATGAGTAAACAAGCTGCGTCCTTCTGGTTGGAACTGGTTGAGCTTGTCGCTTCTATGACTCTAACTCTACCCCACCAATGGCGCTGGCATGTACCGACAGCGAGCCTATATGACAAGCCGTCTATGAGTTTCGAGTAAGCCAGTATCGGTGGTATTATTCATCACATGGCTTTTGACTTCTAAGATCTCTTTGTAATTGAGATAAGCAGAACAATTAACTTGACATTTATATATCTCTAAATTTACAATATCTCGGACCATCCTAATCATGGTGGGGATGCAGCATTAAAAGAGCATTAGAGCTGCCACTACAATTAACAAGGCGCCCCATATACGCGCTGTGCATACAGCGCGGGTGCTTGAAAATGAAAAGAGTTCTAGAGTGTGATGGGCTATCTTCTATGGAATTATTCAAGACATGTATCTTTCAACTGGTTGATCTTATTTAAGCCAATAACATTTTTATTCTAACTTCCCAGTATAATTTTGCGCCTGCTTCCATTTTATGAGGCAAATTCTATTTTTAAAAAAATATTACGGTGTTTTAGTAATAGGCTCAATTTCCCTGATCAAATTGCTCTCAGCGTCATTCTCAACGCCGAACAAGCGTTGCTCTTGTTCTTCATAGGATTGCTAGCTAAGTTTTTCTTTTTAAACCTAAAGGTGATATAGGAACAGTTTTATCCCGAATTCGAAACAACAATACCATAACTAGCACAGAAAAAGACGGTTAATTCATCACTCACGCCACACCTCAAGGTGAAACGTTGGACATGCAATGACATTCATGTCTCTCCATTCTCACATACAATATATATATATTCAGTCTATCTTGTTCTTTATTCCTCTCTTGTCCTACTAACACATGCGCACATGAACCTTTCGAGCATCGATTACAGATTCTCTTTGCAAGAGGCGATGAGCCAATGCTGCGTATAAAGGGTAAACAGTGTCCATGTCGATGTTAAACCTGATTCCCCATAGATAGAATACCAATAGAAAGGCATCTACGCCTTTAAAAGAATTTCCCACAGAGTTGGTGCTCTTGGCGTCTCTGAGTTTGCCGTCTACAAACGCGCAACAATCTTTGATGGTCTGTCTCGCTTTCTCTTGGACTGCCGGATACAACGACTCATCGCTTACAAATCTTTCTGGCCTCCAGAGACCTCCAAATCCTTGTCCGTGGAACGTACCAGAGAGATAGTTTAACCACTCGTATGGACGGACAATCTCTGTTGTATTCTGTCCCAGTAATTGGCAATCGGGGTTCAACGCTGAGATAGCTGTAAGGATAGCCGGCATTTCGGTGATGACTTCGTCGCCAACTGCCAATACTGGCACTCATTTTTGGATTCGCGCGAGCAAACTCTTCCGTCATCTTGATTGTTTGAGCAAGGATCAACTCGGGTTGAAGTCCGGCTTCAAGCAGCGCTATATGTGCGGCAATGCGGCAAAAGAGCACGCGCCAGGTGAATACCATAGTTTTACAGGTGAATGGGAACAGATAGCCATGGTGAAAATAGCTGAATAGTCGGACTGGCGAATTAGATATCTTGGGTATATCGTCAATTGAAAGGTTTAAACTACCATGCGCTGGCGGTTAAATCTTACTATACAGCAATGCGTAGAGGAGGTTGCAATGTTCGATGTGAAAGTTTATAAGAGATACAAATGAGGCTAGAGAGAGAAAAAGCCGTAAAACAGTCCCTGTTATCAGCATTTAATTAAGCTGTTCTCCACGCACCAAAACATACCAATTAGGATAATCTCACTAGTTTTACTAAATCGCGTATCTCCTTTATATCGCGTATACCGCACAATAGTCGAGATCGATCTCTCTCGCTCTCTCTAATGTCTAATGCGCGTTTAAATGACCACTTTTTAGGGAGCTATGTTATTATGCCTCTGTTATAGCAATCAATACTTTATTGTTCATGAAAGGCAAGTTCTATAGCATTGGGGCCATCCTCGTCAGCTGCGACCAAGCTATCGTGCCGAACGCAACTATGATAACAATCAAAAATTAAGAGTTATATTCAAAAGCTCATACATCTCATTCAACATCAATTTAACGAAATGCATATGCCCTCGCATGTCGCTTGCATTCCATAACGCCGAATATCCTGCTTTTTCCCTTCGTTTCCATATCAATAAAACCCTTCTCGCAACATTTTATCGTCCGATACACCTGCGGCTCTCAGCCCGTCCATTGCCAAATCGCCGAATCCCCCTGGACCACATATTAAAATGTCTCTATCGCTTGCCACCTCGGGGAAATAATTCGGTGTTATTCGTCCCTTGTGTATTTTAATCCGTATGTTGCCCTGATCAATGCCGTCCATATCCACGTGGTCCTGCCTTGTGAAGATGTCGATTCGTAGCCTGAGCTTCAAAAGAGCATTTCGGAGAGAAGCTTGGACTAGTTTCAGCATCATTTCGGGTTCTCGTGTCGATAAGGCAAGTACAACATCGCCATTTTCTTTTGCTCTTCGTTCAGACAACGCGCTGAGCATGGCGAGGAAGGGAGTGATGCCAATGCCGCCAGCAACCCAGAGCATATTAACGTTGCCTTGCCCCAAGAAAAAGTCGCCTGTTACACCGACAACTTCGCAAACAACATCTTCTGTAATTGTTATTGGCGTTTCCCACTTATTTGAGGAATGCCTCAACACATCGAATAACGCCCCCGTCACTGCGCCTCCTTTCATCTCACGCATCGTTAGATCGAACCAAGTGACATCCCGATCCTCGTGGGTACTTGAAACAGTCCAGGTCCGTACTCTATCATCGTTGATCGACCCAGGAGCAGAGTTAGCCATATGTTGATACGCCGGAGGGCCTATCCATTCCATGAAGTCTAAAGCGATAGCTTGTCCAGGTCGTATTTTAATTGGTTCAGCGCCAGGCTTCGAAGTAACCTTGAATCGAAAGACAGCAAGGTCATGCGAGAGTTGCGTTGCGCTGGATAGCGTAGCCTTGTGCACACCACCGGCGCTTGCTTGGCCCTTGGGTTCTTCAACAAGATATTTGACTTTAGGACTGTATGGGCTGCGCTCAACCTCTGTGCCAAACTGTTGTCGTACGGGAAGAGCGTCTCGAATGAAGATGAATCCTGTTGTTTTCATCACAGTGATGCTTGCGTGTTTAACCATTACCTCGAGGGCGGGAGGGCCGACAAGGTTTTCCGCCGTTCCGGTGAGATATAGAACGTTGCCAGTTGTAAATGAGACAATTGTAAGAGCAATCTGTTTGCTCGACTCAACATTTCCAAGACTAGACAAGAACCTGTTCCCGGAGTAGTCAGGTAGGACCACTGAACGTCCGTCGGTTGGACTGACACGCGTGAATCCTGGCAATCCACCTCGCGCATTCATTCCAGTATGTGAGGGGAATTTCGCTGCTGTGGCTGGGTCGGATCTATAGACTGATCCAACAAACACGGTATCAGCATTCGTAATGAATTCGATAACTTCTTTCGGAAGTCTCTCAAACTGCGTCATGTGCCGTTTCTCGTATGCAATGGATGGGTTGGTGGTTTTACAGCCAACAAGTTGTCTAGTGTTGATATATTTCGGGCAGTTTCTATAGTTGTAACAAGTTGAAATCAGCTTTAGAAGTCAAAATTACAATTAATAAGCTGATTCGGCACCGAAACTTACCCCGTAGTTTGATTGACCTGCAAATTCAGTCTAAAATCCAACTTTGTGATTCGTTTTACGTCTTCAATATATCCCGCAAACTTATTGCGCCTTCGGGTGGGAAACTCAATTCCTATGCCGGCGGTCAAATATCTCTCTGGTGAGGTCGGATTCTGGCCATTCCCATCAACCCATTTATTGAGAGTGTCCAACAACGGCTCTCCGGGCCACAATCTAGCATTTACAATGAGGGTTTTTAGATCAGGACCCTCTACGAATCCAATCTCTCCATCGGCCCCAGCAACAAGTGAAGCCCATGGTCGCCCTTCATCGTCTATGGTAGTTATCGGAATAAAAGGTAAATTGCCGGTGTGGAAAATGCGATGCTGTTCGCGCATTCTGTCTTCGATCTTCTGCCATGTAGAAGACATTGCCTCGGCAAAGCCTAATTTCGATTGCATGGCAACTTCCCCGGGATGCCATCCCCGAAGGCCTGATATTGATACAGCCATGAGGGCGAAGATATGAAACTATTACAGCTCCTAAAAGCACTGGGTTTACCTTCTTTCACAGTGGTATAATTCGCATTGACCGAGTATTAAATTTCTTCTTGTTGCTTTGTGAATGAGATTTACTGAATATCCATATTGACAAGAGATGGTATATACCTAGCACGCAATGCAGATAAAGCGCACATATAAACCACGACACCAGAAATGACACCACCGAATGACGTACTGCGATGATTAATTATAGGACTGCGAAGCAACACTGCAGGCCATAGAAGCCCTGTAATCGGGCGGAAGCCATGTCGGTAAATCTGATCTATGTTAGCTGGGCGACAACTATTACATAAAGCCAAACTAACTAAAAAGATTCCTCATGCTTAAAAAATCAGCCCTAGTGCCGCTTTCGCCGCTTGCTGGATGCCGCAGCAGTGATGCCAGAAGCCAGGCCCTATGCGCGATGCGATTTAGCTTTTGCTTACCGGAGAAGCCGGAAGCCGAATATTGATCAATGCCTTAGCACTGGCTACAAATATCTAATTGCTAATTTTTAATTAGGCATTACAGCAAATATAGACCTTCAAGAGGCACATTGTTGCGCTACGACTCACTATCTAGGCACATGTATCTAGCTATTACTCCTCTTTCGGAGAATTTCCCTGTGTACCGATTCGTAGAAAAGAAACAAACAAGCAAGCTAGAGCAGCAAACCCTAGAGAAACATAAAATGCGCTCTTGAAAGGCTTGAAGCGTCATTTTTCCCCTCCTGAGCGGTTTTAACTGAACTATATACTGCAGTAGACATTCCGAAAATAATAGTCGCCCCTAAGCGAATGAACATATTGAAGATGCCACCGGCTAACGACTGTTGCTGAGATGGTAATAACTGCATAACATACATCTGTAAAGTAGTTAGACAAAAGTATGGCCATTGGCATTCGACTACTCCTGTTTGTGACGTTGAATTGCAAATCCAGCTCCATAACACTTGTCAGTAATGACGGGAAAATAAAGGCCCAGTATGTTGCTGAGGGATTCTGAATAGTAAGTAATAGGTTTGCAACCAGATACATAGCCGCACCAAACGCCATGATAAGGCTGTTATTGACTCGGTGCAGAATATTTGCAGCTACGATATTAGAAATGATAGCTGATATGACTTGCGGTAAAAGCTGCACAGCAACCGCCAGAGCGGAACGATGGTGGACTTCTTGTAAGAATAGGGCGAGCCAAAGGTTGGAAGAAAGCATTGCCGTGATGCCAAATATTGAAACAGGCATTAACTAGAGGCAAGTTAGGCTTCAAGTTGCAACAGAGTGGCCAAGTGGAAGTAGACAAACTCACGAAGGAAAATCCCATATCTTTCCATATATGAAGCGGTATCAAAGGATTTGGGCAAATTCTTTCCCAAATGACAAATCCCACGAGTAAGAAGGAGCCGACAATTAACATTGCAATTACATGGGCAGATTTCCAGCCGTCTCCTGGCCCAAGACTATTGATCATATTAGCAAATATCTTTGACGTATCAGCTGTGAACTAACATACGTCAGACTCGTTGTAAAAAGCCCAACACCAACAATTTTCAGAGCCGTCCCGACTACATCGAATTTCTTCAGGCCTGTACGTAATCTTTACCCAAACGGTCCAGGTTTACAGGCTTCAATGTCAGGCACAACCCAGACAGAAAGGATGGCTCGTACACTCGGATTTTCTCCAGCGGAGTTTTCCCAAAGTTGTGCGCTTCTGGTGTAACCGTTGCGATAGCCGTAAGAACGGCTGACATTTCAGTAATGACTTCTTTTTCCATTATCAGCACAGGCACCCGGCGTTTGGGGTTTATGGCCTCAAATTCCTTCGCCATGTGTCCACTCTCGCGAGGACTAGTTGAAATTCTAGTCCAGCCTCGCAGAGGACGACATGGGGAACAAAGGAGCAAGCCCATGGAGAGTAGAATAGTGTCAATTAAGAAGCCTGAGATGTTGACATTGAGAAAGTATTATCCTGGATGGAAATCAGTCAACATTTCATCTTCTTTCGTTTACGATGCTACACTGACCGATGTTAAGTGTTGGAGATTTTTTTCCTTTTCCATTCACTCTGCAATCCAAGTACCTCAGATGTGTTCAGGACTAGGTATAGAACATTAAAAGTAGGGCAGAATTTGGTATCATTATTCTTATCGTTATTCTTTTCACAGTTAATTGTTCATCCTATGATTCCATATTAGTAGCCATTACCACAGCATAGTGGGTTCGCTACTTGGCCATTGGCCTCGGCTATCTCGTCTAATTCGCTCGAGATCAGTCCAATCGTCAAATGATTGCGGTAATTTAATTACTCGCGTAATGAAAATGCATTGATGTCCATATTGGTAGTTTAATCGAGTTTAGCGACCTGGATTTATAATACAGCATAGCTGGCTTTATTTTCTTGTCAATGGCGCCCTTTATGTAACGCACACATTAGTAGAGGGATAAATCCACCTCGTATGAAGACTGCGATTCAGAATTGGGCAACAAAAACTACGTAACTACTTTCCAGTACACATACATTGCGAAGTATCACATATGAACTTGTTATTAAACTCCGTTATGGCGGCTAAACCATCCGTCTCTATTCATCACTATTTGGCTATTGGCCGATTGGGTCGTGGCGAAGTAACTAAGTGAGTATTCTAACTTATCTGCCCGATAAATTGCAAAAATGATTGCTTGCATTAATCACTGATCACTTCGTATTTTTGTTGAAGTCTTTTTTTGAAAGATGCGGGAATTGAATACCAAGACATACGATATGCGTATGATGACACTTGGCCCAATACTAGCAAGGAATTGAAGGAGAAGGGCCTTACAAGGACCGGTAAAGTCCCTGCAGTAGAATACAAGGGTGTAATTTTGAATCAAGTATTGTATTCTACCTTTTGATTAATAACGCTCTGAGATACTGATTACTTTGACAGCACATTCCAACTTTACGTTATATCGCCCGAGACATTGGCCGCTACGATGGAGAAACAAACTGGGAAAAATTTATTGTAGACGCAGTATCAGATGTCTACATCGACTGGAGAGTGAGCATCTCCACTACGTTGATTAGATGACAGAATTAACATAAGAAGTATAAATGGGTCCAAAATCTTGGGCAAGCAACAGACGAGTATAAGAACAACTATGCGCCAAGTTATTACGACACAATAGCGCAGTATTACGGCGAAACTGATGGTCCTTACTTGCTGGGCGACAAAATCACCTACGCTGATTTTGCTGTTTATCAGTCTATTGACAATGATCAAAGGACAGGGACTCTACCTGTAAGCGCTATCACTGGGCATGATATATCGAATATACTGTCGCTAACATCACCTCAACAGTCAAACTTGTCCACTTCTATAACCAAGTTCAAGGAGACATTTGAACAACGTCCGAATATTGCACAGTATATCAAAGAGAATTTGCCTAAGCTTTAGCTAATGTATTAGTTGCTAGTATCAGACTATGAATAAATAATTTAGCAAGATATAAATTTTTTTTCATGCACTATGAGGTTTCTTCTAGCTCTAATATCTCGCCAATGTACCTATTTTTAGATAAGCCATCCACATCGCCATATGCCATAAGTGGTGACCTCGGTGTTGCGGGATACTCAAATTGCTTGTTAAGCAAAGACTTTAACCCAGGGACCTATCAAATTTTTAGTGTTGATGAATAATAAGTGTGGTCATGTAATGGAGCTTACACCGCTCTTTAACAACGCAGCCTCTCCTAAGGAAGCTACTCCTTGAGCAAACTGTGCGTTCTTGAAATCTGCCTTTGTTTCTAGATTTTGTGTCAATTTCCACAGCTTCATGGAGAATTTCTAAGCCTAGCGTTAGCTCTTATTCCCCAATGGATTACAGCTGACAGACCGGCGCAATATTGGGCAGAGGACTAATAGCTCCGGCGGATCCCACTACCACAGAAGGGAGGAGAAAGTCAATTAGACCAGCCAGTGTTGTGAAAGAGGTACCGCCGAGCAAGGCAGCGACCCTTGCAAGCTTGCCTACATTGCCGCATCTATGTTTGCGTTAGCAGTGACAGCTACTACAGGCGGCAGATAGGCCATATAAAGAGCGCCGAATATGGTACTTACGACAGCATGATGCCGCATACATTGGGCGCGAGTCTTGCTATCTCCGCCACATCATCGCTACCCAAATCTATCCCCCCTGCTACGGGAGGGAAATTGTATATGACTCTATTTCCGACAAGGTTAGTAGATAACCAGCATTGCGACAGACGCGACGGAAGCGTACACTGGAATTGGAGAGGCGGCAGCCACATCAACAAAGAACTTTCTTGTCGCTGCTGGATTTCCTTTGAGATAACTGGCCCAGTATCCTGGAGCGATGACAAGAGCAAAATTTGCGCCGGCTGCGGCAGCATCGCGAGCCAACTGGATTGTTTCACGGGTGCTATTGCCTCCCACACCGGCAAGAATAGGCGTCTCTTGTAAGCCAATAGAGTCGAGAGCATTCCGTAGAGTCTGGATTAGCTTTACACGCTCTTGCGGAGTCTAAAATCCAGTATTAACGAAAACCAGAAAATGCAAATATTAGAATTACGACGAACCAAGTGTACGGCCTCGCCCATGCTTGCAGAAACAACCGGCAAGACTCCAGGGGCGGTAACATCTTATGTTCTTCACATTAGTACACCCGTGATATTCCCTTCTTTGCGCCTTCTATGCTCTATTTGGACCGGATAAACTCACATCTCGCATGCTTTGCGAATGCTTCATAATCTAAAATTCTTTAGTAGATGAAAGATCAAGCCTTTACAAAGATGGTATATGCCCGCTTACCGATTTCATCTTGGTCATTAAAAAATACAGGAAGAGGGACGTAGAGGCCCTTGGGAAGTATTTTGGCCATTATAGCGAGGTCTCAAGTCTCCAGCGAGCACAAGTATGAGCGTAGTCGACTGTTAAGTTAGGTAGTATTCGACATTAAGATATAACTAATGCTAAGAGCTAGAGTATATATATGTCGAATTTAAGTGAGCAAAAGAAGTTGAACAATCGACGTCACGGTGTAGGTAAGGACGTTAAATTTCTTCCCCCATGCGATAGCATTTCCTAGTGGGTTGGTAGCCAATCGGTACAATTATAAACCCTAGCTAAAGCAAAATCATAATCTAGCCACAGTCTACAGTGCTGGTTACTGGATCGGAAAACTCGGCTTGGCTTAAACTTACCCCAAGGCTCTTTACATGCTGCCTATTACTCGAGTGCTAGATCCCACCAAACTCGAGCGGAACTCTCCGTCGATCGGCTACAAGACAAATGCCAATAGAAAGGTGTGGAGTACAGGCAAACACACATCAACCCTGAATTCTCAGTGCTATATTTCGTATTGTGTATAGCTTCATTTTTAGCCCGATTATTAAGCGAGTATCTGCTTCATAAGCAATAATGCTCTCCAAGCGAATTCTACTTGTGATGTAACATCGATAGCATGAAAAACGCATCTCCGCGGGGAGTAAGAGGCAGATTAGATCATCTTGCTGACAGCGAAGGTGTGCAAGTTTTGCCAATGTCAAGAGTCAGTTGTGCAAAGGGGGAAGAAGAACCAAAGTCTACGCTCTTCGCCTAAATTTTCGACTAGACTGCTGAGCCAAATGCGGCAGACTTATGAGCAATTGTCCTGTGTAATACTTGTTAGCTTCTTTACAAAGGTACCGGCTTTAGGCTCTGTCAAAACATAACTCTTCAATGTTTTTCTCCCTCTTCTTCTTTAAATGCGTTTGCGTTTTCATATCATGAAGTCCTCATATCTAACCCGTCGACGGTGAAAACAAAGTCATCATTCTTCGAATGAGCCATCGCCACCTAGTCATCTCCTGGTAGTTCACAATCCGCAAAATCAACTTCTGCGATGAAAAATCTCATCCTCATTATCCCACCCTGGGCCCCCGAGAACATCGCCGCTGGGAGACACGATCACCGATCCTCCTCTGCTCACTATTTCGTCCCCACGCTCAGCTGATTCAGTTATCCATTCTGGGAGATCACTTGCCCTGATACAGGGTGTTGCTGATAAAACAAAGGCGTTGCACTCAATTCCGATTGTCTGCATTAATGGAACCCAAATCTCTGTAGCATGAGCAGTTGGTCCGAGAAACAGGTTTATGCCCTGTTCATAGATGCTTTGTCGCAACAGTGGCATCCAATTTTCCCAACAAATTGCAGCTATTCCCTCGTCTTTAGCATTCTCCGTCTCGATAAAGAGCTAGGAGATGCTTCATAACTTACCTGACATCCTCAACTTCACTACTTTGATTGTCGTTGAGACCGCTTCAAGCGTTGATGGGCTTCCCTGGCCCCACGCAACTCTCTCTAATCCTGTTGGCATCACCTTGCGTCTCTTACCAATTACTCCCAGCCTGGGGCATATATAGACAATAGAACTGTATAATGTTCCACCGCATCTTTCAACAACACCAACTATTATAAAGACGCCGGTATCAGTTGCTATCTTCTCTAGTCGTTCCCTCGTTCCCTCTCCCCTGTGAGTGCGGTTGGGAGGTCGAGGCAATTCCCGTTTCATCCATTTTTGATCAGCTCCTTTAGGCGTATCTCCAAGATCAGCAGATGCTCGCCAATGATTCGTATATGGGTTGTGATCCTTTTCATCACAAAACGTTCCGACTGCAGAATTGCCAAAAGTAGATAGTCGTGGAAACCCGCCGAGAAAACTTCTGGGAAGAGGGCAAGATCCACATGTTCAGAGCTCAATTCTCTTACTCTGGTTTCAAGCACATCGAGTGCCCGTTCAGGATCATGAAGTGTATGAACTTGCGCTGTCACAATCTTTAGTGTTTGATCTTTTGGAGCCATATCCTCCAGCTGGTGATGGCCTTTTTGACGTGCTGAGTTACTGTTTTGAAGAAGCCTGAGTTGTCCAATCCCACGGCCTTTGATGAGCATATAGTCACAATATTGACGATTGATAACTATATAATTACTATTTACATGTTATATAAGCTAAGTATTGCGACATTCAATAAGAACATCGTGATTACGCTGGAAATTGCCTAATTCGGTAAGGGAGGATCCGTAAGTACGCGCCGTCTGTCTCGCTTAAGTCGCTTCCACCATGAACCACGGAAGGCAGCGGAAACTAAACACAATTGCTAACTACATTTCGTGGGGTAGTCATATGGCAGCTTTGAAAAGAGATATCAGAATATTGACAATCCGTTAGATAAAAGACTGAAAGGGTTGCCCCAGTCTTATCTAAAGACTTCACATTCACGATTCCATCTTTCATATCCTTGAGGGCGAAAGTTCTGCTAGTTTCGTAAATCATACCAACATCCCGCTATACTCGTTTCTCCCGAGGGAGGAGAAAAGAAAATCAGCCACCATGCCCAAGGTCATCAAAGTTGCTGCGGCGCAGTGTCGAACTCTTGACACAAATGCAAACACTCTTAAGCAACTCGAGACCAAAGTCAAAGAGGCTGCCGCTAAAGGCGTCGACCTCATCCTGTTCCCAGAGGTTTACCTAGGCGGATATCCGCGATTCGCAACCTTTGGTGCCAAGATTGGCCAGAGGACTCCAGATGGCTATCAGCAGTTTTTGACATATTTCCAAGGAGCTATTGATCTGGGAGATACGCCTCAAGGTGCGGATGATGATTGGATCCATCGTCGACTGCCCACTCTTGAAAACGGGCAACGGGGAGACGGTACCCGTGAAGAGCTGGAGAGAATTGCTCAAGATACTGGAGTGTATATTGTCACTGGCGTTCTGGAGCGTTCTGGAGGTACTCTATATTGCTCTATAGTCTTTGTTGACCCTACCAAAGGCATTGTGGGAAAGCGACGCAAGATTCAACCTACTGCTTCTGAACGGCTCATTTGGGGCCAGGGCCAACCAAAGTCGCTCAAAGCTGTCAGTACCACAATTAAGGGGGTCAAGATTTGTCTTGCAGCTGCCATCTGCTGGGAGAACTTCATGCCTCTGTTGCGCCAGGCCCTATACCAGCAGAATGTAAATCTATATCTCGCACCAACCGCTGATGCAAGGCCGACATGGCTGCCTCTCATGGAAACAATTGCATACGAAGGTCGTTGCTTTCTTTTAAGTGCTAATCAAGCTGTTCGTGATGATCAGCTGCCTGAGTGGATTACTGAGGTAAAGCGAGAGGGCAAAATGGTCAGCCCTGGAGGATCTTGTATCATCTCACCTTTTGGCCAAGTTTTAGCAGGCCCACTATGGGATAAGGATGGTGAGCTTCTCATCCAAGAGTTGGATTTTGAAGAGTGCGAGAGAGGCCGATTGGATTTGGATGTTGCTGGATCTTATTCGCGGAATGATTCTTTCCATCTAGAGGTCAAAGGTCTTGATTTAATTCCTCCGCCGTAGAGACGAAAATAGCAATACATACTCTTGAAACTCGTGGACCTTGATTTGATTCCTCAGCCCTAGATCCGAAAATAGTAATACACACTCTATAAACTCTGACAAGATATTTGGTCAGAAAATAAGATGCGCCATCAGCTGATTAATGGACATGCAAATCTTCCCAATACAGCATTATCGCGAGATGTATAAGTGGGTTGTCTTATATCGATGGTGTATTAAACGTATGATGAATGTATAGTAAGCACTGTGGGATTGAGAACCAGGACAGTTTACAATCGTTTAGAGCACTTTAGAATAGGAGCATTTACCTGCTGCCTATTTAGGAATATGTACTAATATTTTGAAAATTTCTATAGATAACTATTTGTCTACTATTTTGCTATTAACCAATTGCAGCTTGCTTATGGGTTAATTCTAATCTCCTCAGTCCAGGCACTCTTTTCCTGGTTGTACAAATCCCAGGCCTTGCTAGCAACGTTTTTGTTGTTGAGGTTGGGGTTTTCATCACCAACTGTTCCAGCGACAGCAAGTAAACAGATGTGAATACCCTGAGAGGCAAATTTTTCGCGAAGGGAGAGGGTCAAGTTCTTCTGAGAAGCCTTGGTAAGAGAGAGAGAGAATAGGTCGGCAATCGGAGTCTCAGGAAGGTGAGAGTTCGTCACCATAAGTGTCGGCTTAGCCGTGGGATCTTGCTTAGCCACGGCAGAAAGTTCTGGGATAGCCCACTTGGCAGTGTTGTACAGAGCAATAGTGGAGATTTGGAAATCTTGCACAATGCCCTCGTCGTTGAACTCCAATAGCGGAGTTAGAGCTATAATAGCAGCGTTGAATAAGATAAACTCGGGAGTTCCCAAATCATTCTTGATTTGTGCAAGAGTAGTGGCCAACTTCTTGCTATCGATGATGTCGGTAGGATAGGTTTTGACTTGAACCTGTCCTGGGGCGGCGCTGCTCACAAAAGCTGCGTCCTTTTCTAATTGGGCAGGATTTCTAGCCACAAGAGCAACTTTGTTAAATCGCTTGGAAGCGAAAATGGAGGCGGTGTGGGAACCAATACCCGGGCCGGAGCCGATGATGACCACAGTGTTGTTGGAACGAGCAGACATGGTGTTGAAGATTTAAGAGAATGCTTTTAAGTTTGCTATGTGAAACTTGATAAGCACTCTATGAATGCTTAGATTGAAACGCAAAAGAGATGAAACTACTGATAATGCTGATGTTGTTTATTGATTGACGCGAGTTCTAAATCATGATACACATGCCTTAATCTTTATAGACGTTTTCCTTGTCGCTTTCTGTCAATCTAGTTTCGATTTCATCTAAGCACTTGTTCAACACGACGTTTCTAATGATGTCTTTGGTGGGCATTAATCAGCCACAGTATAGTGTCCAGCTGATTAATGAAGCCGGGTAGGCTCTGTTCCTTGAATTGCAATTCGTGGCATCTCCGCGGAGTCCACTTAGTAGTACTATTTCAGTCCCGTATTACGCTAGATTTAGAACGCCCAAATGTTTGCTCCATGCCGACCCAATGGCTCGGCCGTAGGGCGGCTTTTACCGCGAGGCCAGTAAGTGCCTCATTGGCCGGTCGAACTCGGCCGAATTTGCTTAATAACTTGGGGTGTAGACGGCTACCTCGCTTGACTCGATTATCTCGATACTACTAAAAGGTTGTTTGATCCGTAACAACTCAATTATACACGCGTATTGACAGCATCGTGAACATGGCTGAGAGACGTAGGAGACGGACAGGCTGCCTCACCTGCAGAGCACGACATGTCAAGTGCGATGAACGAAAGCCTGAATGTGAACGCTGCGAGGCTGGAAATATTGAATGCGCAGGCTATCTTCCGAAAAAGCAAGTAGAAGTGCGGGAGTCGCAACGCCGTGGCCGTCGTGCTCGTCCTGGATCATCTTCAGCTCTCAGCAATATTGCTACACCCCCACATTCTCTTTCTCCAGACGCTTCATCACTTTCATTGACTGGGGAAATCGCCAATTATCCCCACCAGCTCTTTCGCAGCGATGGACTTCCACTCGTCGGTTTACCCAGCAACCCACGTCCCTCTCAGAGGCCATTAGCAGGTGCTCGAGAAGTACTTGCGTATCACCAATTTCTCTTTCGCACGCTGCCAATTCTCTTTCCTGCAGAACACTTGTGGTTTTGGAGAGACAGATTATGCGAAGAAGGATGGGGAATCGAATACTTATACATGACGTTTTCATCGCTCGGCAGCATGCATCGTGCTGTATTAATGATGTCGATGCCGGGTGAAAGCGACCGGGATCGAGGACTAGACACTAAAGTGATTGCTATCCAAGCATACACTTTTGCTCTTCAGGAGCTAAGCCGATATTTAGAAGAGGCAAAGAAAACGCAGGATGTTTTCATTGCCACTCTTATACTAATGGCCTATTTCGAGGTAATGAGACATATATGCATTGAAATCATTTAGGAGCTACGATCTAATGAACAAACAACAGTGCTTCTCTTGCAATATAACGGCAGCATACAGCCATATACGTTCAGCAAGCTATTATTTCGAAATATACAAGGCTCGTGTTTCACGTCAAAAAGCTAAGAACACTCCTGCTCTAGACTGTCTTGATACAGCTCTTCAGAATTTGAGTTGGATGTGCTTCATGGCACTACCTCTACAAAACAAGATGCCCTCAACTTGGCAAGCCCTTACGGTATCCGAAGAGGCTCCCGGGACACCGACGTCTTTGCGACAAAATCTACTCAACATCCTGGCTGAGTCTGGGTTAGGAGATTTCATATGGAACCTAGTGCCACGGTACTCGAAGTCTATGGCCCTTGCTAAAATTTACTGGCTACAACAAAAGCTGCAAGCGTGGAGAAACGTAAATAAACCAATTCTACAGCCTTTGGCCTCAGACATGGTAGAGTCAAATGAAGTGAAGCTTTTAGAGGATCCCTTCCTTATCCCACCTCCCCTCTATCCGACAACGACACCATACGATTCCTCTGCTTCTCTCTGTAGCTTTCTTTTAGGCCGCACCTTTTGGCTTTTATCGATCCTCGAAGATGGCGTAAATGCAGAAGCACACAAACAGCGGGCATTTTTGCACTTTTACGAGGCATTGCAATTTGCGGTGACAGACAGAGCTTGTAAAGCAGTACGTCCGAGTAACGGGAGTGCGAAATATTCATCTCCATTGCCTTGCGAAGACCTCGAAAACGGAATGTTATCTATGCTTTACATAATTGGGCAATGTTCCCCTGAGCCCTCCTGGCTGCTTTGGATCATACAGTTTATGAAGCATTCCGGAAGGCAAGGCCTATATAATGGGCTCGTCTATGCCGCTAGCCTCGAAACTTGGCATTCATTCGAGGTGAATAATAGTGATTTGCAAGACGATTTTCTAGTGCAGTACCCAGAGCCCCCATCACGAACGATATCAGTCCTCGTTCCAGACGCGAATGGGACTGATTATGTCACGTACTATGCTAAGCCGGCTGCAATAGATGAGTTGCTTATAAGCAATGGCGGCTTGATGTATTATCTCCTTGGCGACACACATTTGTCACGTCGACTATCGGACGACCACATTGAGCAAAGTGTCCATATATATCACCAACAAGGTCTAGATATGGAATTATTCACGCCTGATTGGCTCCAAAGCCAAGCTATTTGCCTCGACTGGCAGCATCGATCGCTCCAAGTAGAATTTGATTTAAATTGTATCCTTCAAGACCATGTAAACGGGGGAGAGTTTTCCACACCGATGGACTTTAGCTGCTAATTCTATTGTTATATACTTTCAATATATGCCTTGGGCCTATTTCTGGTTTTATTTTCCCACTTATAAATCTATTCTTGATTCAAGATGCACCTATAAATCACACCTTGGCCAATCATTCACCAATCTAAAGCTAGTACAGAACAATTCCACTTGGATCATGCATTACGGGTAGCTCGCGATGCTCTTGCTTCAGCTCTCCAACTAGATCTTTGTTAAAACAATAATATTGCACATCAGTCTAACGACATGGAGACTTCGGGCGAATCGCAATTCGAAATACTGCTGCTCATATTGCTTAGATAAGTGGCGAAAATAGCTAGTGACCACGCGGCGACAGGGGCCACGCGACAAAAAGACCCGAGGACCTTACATGGCTAGCATTTACTTACATAAGATGTTTGCATTGACAGGCCCAGAGCTATTAGTCTAAGAAGGGAGGAAAAGCTCAAAATAGATCCCTATATCAGTAATAAGAAAGTTGAATATGGCTGTTCAAACACCTTGCTAAAGTTCCACTGTATGCGCAATACGCTAGACAAGTAGCTGACTACATATATATAATCCTTATTAGGCTAGTGATGCGTTAGAGCTTACGGGAAGGCCTAGTCCCCGTAATCTAGCGTTCAAGTTTAGCTGTATTAGCGCCACCAGTTTGTTAGGAGTCTTCCATGAGTTTTGAGGAGAATCTCGAGTCTTCAGTAAAGCTGGAAAAACAAGCCAAGGATGAGCCTAAGACTAATCTCGGCTTATAATATGCGTCTTAAAAGGCAAAAAAGAACACTAGAGTACCATTCTAATAGACTCGTTGGCTTACGCGGCTACTATCTGTAGTTGTCACTCCTAAAACCACACTACCAGCCTCTGGTTCTGGTTCACTCTGACAGCAACTCTCTGAGAGATGCCTGCTTTAGAATACATGTACCACGCTAGCCCATCAATTACTCTTAAAAAAATTTAGTTGCGACTGGTGGTGTCCTGAGCCTTGTTTTTCACGCGCCGTTCTGCGCCATGGTCGTGATTCATAGTCTAAAACGACAGGGCTATGTCATAATGCTCAGATTTTGCACAAATAGAGCCTTTTATTATAAATCTAGCCAACTTCGAATTATCAATCATTCTTGATAGTACTAATTACGAGGCTTTTTGTATTGACTTCTTAGACGATAATGTCGCCGTTTACGGGGTAACAGTGCATGTTGAGGTAATATTTGGTGATGCCGACATCACAGTTTGAGAGTGCGTGCTAACACTGAGGCTTACAAATGGTCGAAGACGAATTTGCTGGCCTTTGATACTAGATGGTCTAGCTATCAGCGGGGTAAAAATAAAGGGCATCGAATAAATAGGATCAAGATTCCGATTCGTCTAAAAGTTGCTAAATTACCCGTTGTGGTAAACTGTCCCGTATACATTTAGCGTCGAGCTGCTATTATATGGTCTTCACCCCGCAGCCATCCATCAGAACTCTTTCATCCAACTTCCTTCAGATTCTTTTCTATTTTCTTTCTTAATCTAAATTTAATATACAGTGAAACGTTACGATGAAGGCGCTCATTCTCACTCCTGCAACGAAAGATGTCTCTATTCAAGAGCTCCCCGTTCCCGAACCTCGCGATGGCGAAGTCCTCATTCGAGTTCATGCTGTGGCACTTAATCCCATAGATTCTATATATGTGGTCCATCCAATTGCAGAACAAGAGCATCGAATTATCGGAACGGACTTTGCCGGAGTGATAACCGCTGTTGGGCCTGGTTTGAGTTCTTCAACCGATCTCCGCGCCAAAGTTGGCGGCCGCGTGGCAGGATTCCATCAAGGTGGTGAGTTATTGTTAAGGCTGCATATTTACTTGAACAATAGCATGTACAGGATAGACTGACATCTTTGATGTTGAAGCCTGCTCTACCAATGATCGCCCCGGAGCGTTTGCGGAGTACATCACTGCACCATATGATCTTCTCTGGTCAGTGCCAGATAGCATGTCGCTCGAGGATGCTTCAGCCATCAGCATGTGCGGATTGACTGCTGCACAAGGAGTCTACTCGCGCCTCAACCTTCCATGTCCCTTTGATGATCAAACTGGAGCCTTAATAGACAATGGACATGATGTCACCAATGTGCTCATCTATAGTGCATCCACCTCTCTTGGCCTATACGCTGCTCAGCTGGTTCAACATGCGGCTCGCACTTCTGGCCGCAAAATACGTCTCATTGGGGCTGCAAGTCCTTCAAAACATGATTTGCTTCGCAAAGCGCCTTATAATTACGATACATTGGTTGACTACCGCGATCCTGAGTGGGTTGAAAAAGTCAAAATGGCTACGGAGGGCAAGGGGGTTGACCTTGCAGTGGACACCATATCGGAAGGACAGACTGTGTATAGTGTCCATGACACTCTAGCTGCTACCGCAAAGATGGCTGTATTCCGCGGACCCAAGGGAGGTCAATATGATCCATCTGAACTACGCATTAAGCCCATCTATGGAGCCGTATGGGAGGGACTGGGCCATGAGATTGGATATAACGGTAGGTTGAGAAATGCCCATCGTTCATTCCCACATGGTGTTTTATAATAACTACCATGATGACAAGGCTCCATAATGCTAATAATTGTAATAGGGGCCATCTTTCCTGCTAACCCGGAAGCGCGAATGTTTGCCACAAAGTTCTTCAACTTCTTAAGCACAGCCGCAGCTGATGGGAAAGTGAAACTGGAGCCGAATCCCGTGCGACTTATGCCAGGAGGCTTAGAGAGAATTGTGCCGGACGGTTTCACACTCTTGGGTAGCGGTCTTGTGTCGAAGAGGCCAGATACAAGCCGCACAGAGAATTACATGCGACCTATTAGCGGAGAAAAGATTGTATATAAAATCTCAAGCAAAGCGTAAATGAGTGAGTAGCGACAGACTACAGTTTTCAGCGTTACAATAGGATATACGAAATATTGCGAAAGAGATCTTCCAACTAGAATCCAATATTGCATTGCCGCCTTACATACCCAGGGGCAAGGTTGAGGCGGAATAATCCGAATGGTTAAGTGGAGTGAGATACCGAACTATGCTGAACCGACAAGGTTTTGTTTATGTCATGACTTTAGTAGCTGACGTTGGCACCATATCGCAGCCATATGAGCGACAAGAGATGTTCGCTCGTACAGCGTTTCATACGATGATAGTCGTTGTGTTATACCAATTTATAAGCGTTGTGCCCTTTAAAATCGCGTAAAGTCAACTGCAAAGTTGAATGCAAGGAGTGAGTTATAAAGCCTCTACCAAAGCTCACTTTGTTTTCCCAACGTATAGTGGCGACATTGGATGATGAAAGAACAAAATTCACTTGAGCAATGAATGATCGAGACACTATTTCTACGGGCTCATAGGCGAAACTTTGGAAGGGCACACGGTGTGCTAGTCCATTCCCGGGCATTGTAGCAATGGATGATGCCGTAGAATGCCAAAATTATAGGATAAGAAACTATACAGCTTGATAGTAGTCTGTCTACTTTACCTTCATTGTGTTTATCCCGCATATTTGTTTCGACCCCTTCCCCCTTTATCCCTCACCCTCTCAAATCTTGGCGATGCGTCTAGCACCAAAAACTCACTGAGTATTACACACGGAGATATGGACTTGATAACACTTGATAAGTCGCGCGTAAATAGTAGCAGCGCCAAGGGGTCTGACGAAGGATGGATTATGAAGACTAAGGTTCTAGGAGTATCTGTCAGAATCCAAAGGGGCAGGCGGTAATGCGGGAAATAACATAGTATTGATAAAGAAGAGTGAACCCTTGGCATGTAGGTATTGAACCATGTTTTCTGCCTGCCCTTATGGTAGAACTCTTTGGGTCCTCGCATGATGTACAAGTAGTAGTACCTGTGCAGAGTACGTAAGGCACGCATCCTCGTCGTCACTGGGCCACTTATCCCCTGAACATGTATATATACTTCATACACTCTAAACATGGCCCAGCGATGAAAACGGGCCTTCTGACCCGGCTATAGATGATGCCAAGCAGCCTGATTCGATTTACTGCACCCCATATCCCTCCTGGCGATGCCTCTATGCGGTAGTTGCAGGCAACAGCGGGGTACAGGATCGGCCACCCATGGCGACACTAAATGCAAAGTCCAGGCACCTGAGCAGTTAAGGTACGGCGCATGCGGGTGATTTAGCCATTCCGGGCCTGGCAATTAGATGCCCACTGATATCCACGAAATACTCCGTACTTGCTTGCTTCTCTGCTTGGTAAATACTATGATCAAGGGGTTACAGAGCCTATAAAGGATCAGTACTAGTAACCGGTGCCTTGCGTGTTAGCTTAGGGGCATGAATTGAAGATACTTGTAATAGCACTAGCACTTCATGTGAGCGGAGCCCAGGCATAATGCTAAAGTAGCAGCATATGCCTCTCATGGGATGACGAGAACCCATCTTCGCCCATCTGATATCGACGATCAGAAGCCGTGACACCTTTCAAGAGTTCACCTGAGCTCCAGGTCCTTATCATCTTGTTTAGGGTGCGTTTTTCTCTCTCGTTTTGCCTGTCTCGGCGGAGTTTGGCACCGCAAAGCTTCCGGAAGAGGTCAAACGAAGCTTTAGCGCCTGACCACCTATTAGGAAATCCACCTTCCTGATTGGGACTCATATCGGCACATCTTTCGGTCAAAATGCATATTACTATGCGTCTCGCGCGAACCTACATGGAGCAGGAGACAAACCTGGGGTTGTGAACAGCCGGATGAGGTGCTTTGACGAATTGCTTGGCTCAGGAGGTTCTTCGATTGGTAGCATCTATATAGGAGCGGTGCTTCTCGCCCCCAGACTGTGGTCAACCTCTTGAAGTCTTGCCCCGGATTTTGCATAGTAGGAATAAAGCTTTGGAACCAGTCTTCTTACATTGAACTCTTCACTTCAGCAATCATGAAGACCGCCACCTTCATCGCCGCTGCCCTCGCCGGCCTCGCCCTCGCTGCACCAGCCAGCAAGCAGGGCAAGGAGGTCGCTGCCCTCAGATACGCCAACTCGAGGCCCCTTGACGCTGCTGCCATCCACGGTCCTGCTTCCAAGCGCGCTGAGGCTGGTGCTACTACTGCCACCCGAGAGAAGAACCTCGTCGACCTCAAGTATGCCAACAAGAGGCCCATTCCCGAGGGTCACGCTCCCAAGGCTGCGGCATCCAAGCGTGATACTACCTCCACTACTGCTACTCGTCAGAAGGATCTTGTCGACCTCAAGTACGCCAACAAGCGTCCTATTCCCGAGGGTCACGCTCCCAAGGCTTCCGCATAAAAAAAAGCAAATTTACCTCTATAATGTGAGGCTTCCTTCTTGTATATAACCTCTTTTTGATGGTTCGTCAATATGCTCTCCTCCGCCGGTCGCGGTCATGCTGTTTTCATGTGGCTAACAAAAAGATTTGTGAACAGACACACCACATATGATTCGTCGCCGCCAGTTGTACATATTGTTGACGGCGATGCCGATACGTTAGATGTGGATGTATATATGACTCGCAATGTATATATGAATTGCACGATATTACTCTGCAGAGACCTTTGCGCTTTGCTGTTCTCCGACCACGCCAGTGACATGATGTAATGTGAAGAGTGTTATGGAGTGCCAATGTAACAAAGTCGTAGAAGCGGCTTGCTATTACCTGTGCGGGAACCTCATCCGACGTTTGTTTCGTCCATGTGGCGCCGTCCCGAATAATGTGGGCATTGGTTTACTTCATTAAGCAATTAATGCCTCACAACCACGGAGCTCTATCTACTACGCGCAGTACTGAAATGGCTGTGGTTTCCATGCAGTTCAGCTGAGATTACTGGGATTGGAGTTGCGGACCTCAAAATTCTAGAAACTTTTTGACATGTTTTGCGCTGTGTTTCAAGTGCTGATGGCCACATAGCCGACTAAATTTAAGATACTTACCGAACAACATATCAGTAATCAGCCATCAATAAGATCATCAGACACACAAAGGCAAGTTTCAACATCACGGAAAGGAACCCGTTCTCATCAACATGCATCATATTCTTGCTCGAAATACACGCTATCATAAAGTATATACAGTTGGCGGCGCATGGCACCATCCATATACAATTAAGTAAAGTAAACCAAGTCATACTTCATCCGAGCAATGCCGTAAAACCTTTTGTCTCGGCCACCAATTGGCTCCAAAAGTATGACCTCATACAACCCGCCTTTGAAACCCAATACCAATTGCCGCGGAATTAGTTGTCTTTGGCACACTTGCCGCTCTTGCAGACCAAGTCATCAGAACAGTCATCGTCGCTGCTGCACTTGGCTCCAGCACAGTGACCAGACCAGGAGCAGGTAGGCTGGCTGCCAGAGGGCTTGGTGGAGGACGCAGGAGGAGGAGTAGAGCCGCCAGAGCTGCCAATGCGGGCAACGAGGCTGTCACCAAGGGCGCCGAGAGAAGCCTCGAACTCATCGAAAGAGGAAGCTGACCAGTCGGCTCCCTTAGCACCGGGAACAGCACTGGCACCGGTGAAGGCAATGTAGAGGACGTCGTTGGCATCGTGGGCTGCGTTGCCGTTGACGGCATTGCCATAGCAGGCTCGGCCGAGAGCATCAGAGACCTCACCAACCAATGGTGGGCCGTCGTCACCGTTGGTGTCACCCCAGACGCCGTAGAACTGATGATGTTAGAATAGTCTTCCAGAGAGCAATGTTTTATATGTGCCTGTTGCATGCTTACCATCTTGTTGCCACACACCACGGCAACGACAGACAGAGGGTCAACGCCAACCGACTCCGGCTCGAAGGTCACGTAGCCAGACTTGCTGCCCTCGTTACCCAGCACCACGTAGGAGTGGACATAGGCGTTGAGATCCTTGATACCGGCCTTATAGCTTTTGATGGTGTCCTTGAAGGCAGTGTCGCCCTGAGTATCCTGGGAGCTGTCACAGCTGCCGTCGCCAGTGCCAAGAGCACCGTCACAGTCGATGTCCATGTTAACCAGGTTGCCGTTGGTGCCCTGGAGGTACATGATGCCGTAGTCTTTCAAGTGGTCACCACAGTAGCTGAAGTCTGAAGCCCCAGTCAGTAAATTACTAAAGCACAAAGGATATACTATCTTGTTGACTAACTCTTGGAGTCGCCCTCCTGGCTGTAGAAGCCGCCCTTGAGGATGTTCTTGCAAGAACCCTGAGCACGGATCGAGTTGTACAAGCTCTGGACATTGGCAGGAATCTGGCGAGCCAGAGCCGGCGAGGCCGCAAGGGCAGTGAACAGAAGAGTATCGAAGCTGCGCATCTTGATCGAGTGGTTCTTGTCGACTTGTGTTGAGTTGACTGGTGGGTGAAGAGCAAGCTCTGGGTTTCAACAGAGGAAACACGAGTGCTTTATATAAACATCGGACTGAATAGTGTCATCTCTCCTCGGCACCTCCACACAAGGTTCCAATTGTTTTACAATCATTGGCCCAGCGATGCTCCATTCGTCTGTACGAGCAGGTGCAGCTGTTTCTGGCAAGGGAACCCTCCGAGCCCAGAGAGCATTAGCCAGAGCCCTGTTGGCATACCACTACTATTGCAAACCCAATAGTATTTCCGTCATATTAGTGGCGCTCCTCGGCCCCCTGCGCTAGGCCTTCTCTAACTTCGGCTTTCGCGACAGGCCACAGCCACAGTTCTATGCGCTGAATCGGCCATCGCCCCTTGTTTTCCGTTACTAGTTGTAACGTTAATAAGAGGCTTACATCCAGCTTCCTTTTTCAGCCAGAGCAAAGTCCTCTTGTACGAGAAATGGGCTTTCTGTACGTTTTTCCGTGTTGGAACTCATACAGGAGGCTAGTGATATCCAGCCGTCTCGTATGGGATAACCAGCTCAGTAGAGTATATGGCGTGGGCAGATCCCAATACTGAAAGTGGTTAGTAAGCATGACTTCTAACCTACAGAAGGAAGCTGAAGCTTAAAATTAAGAAGGGAAGGAGCTTAATCCACCAACCGCTGACCAACCTTCACTGCACTATCATTCTGACTCAATCCAGTGTCAGAACAGAGCTCTTACAGTAGACGTCAGAATAGCCAACCAGCGAAATATCCGCCTTTCTGTAGCAGCTGTTCTCAACGTTACGCCAAGTAGGAGGGTTGAGAGAGAGATGCAAGACTGATTCAAGGCATTAGGCATGATCAGTCGTGCAATGGCGCAGATCTCTACCCTGAGAGGTCCTCTCATTAAACGCCTCGGCAGCCACGGTATCAGGATCATGTGGAGAGCATTAGCTTGCCGCAGGAATCGGTTCTCAACTAGAAACGATCTAGCAACTCGCTAGCCTGCCAGCATGGATACAAGCCGTGAGCTGTACCGGACATACACATGTTTGCATCGGCGATTCCACCAATCACGATGCTGGAGATGGCTATTCCATTTAACCACAAAAAGAACTTAGATTGACGGCTTGGCTTTTATCGGTAGTCGGCACGTTTGTTTGCTATAGTGCAGACGTCTTTGCAACAGGAGGAGTTTGCATATGATGTTCCGGCCATGGCCGAACAAAGTGGAGATGGACTGTCGCTCTTCCGTGCAGCCCACGTGTCATGAGCCGGAAATATATGGCTTACAGGGCACAATGGCTAGCAATGCTTGCACTGGAAGTTGTATTCCATCATAGAATCCCACCTCGTACGCAAGCTCAGTTAAACTCTTTAGTGAGGTCTGCTCTACCTTACACAGCGTATACCCATAGTCCTTGCTAGTAACATAAATCATAAGCGTTTTCATTCTAGGGAGACGGATTTTTGCACATACAATCAATGTGGACATGGCAGAATCTGCGTTAGAGACCAAATACACGTCAGAGGTTCCGTCGGCGAATTGTACGTAAAGATAACCTAATACTACTTAATAGTTGACAAGCTTTTACTTAGCTCTTCTCTAATATGGAGCAACGTTAAATGCATGCGGGAAGGTATTACAACCCCCACTGAAGGATTCTAGTTCATCACTAACCAACAATTTCCAGAAGAGGGAGAGTCAATTGTGATGCTATGAAGCATAGTAATATAGGATAGCCAAAGATGCATAAAAATTTCTATTGGCCGAGGCAACTCTGCTCTTTCTGTGGGCGTTTAATTGTCCACCAATGAGATATACTTTGGCAGGTGTTTCAGTTCATAATGGGTAACGAACGATGTGAGTCCACAACAGCCTCACGACTAACCTTCTAGAATCTCTCGGCTTCCGTCGAGGCATGATATTTAAACGTAATTAGACAGGGATGCGCTCAGGAGTCAAATTTTATTTTGATATTTTTGCTTCATGACACAAAGTGATGTAGAACAGCCATAGTGGGAGGTTGACTCAAGCTAAGTCTCTTTTCTTCTCAGACAACGTCCCCTTCAAGACAGATAGTAGAGAACGTATAAGTGGTATAAATGGTATAAACAAGCGGCTTACTGAGATGTATGATCAGCATACGGAACTAGGCCGATCCACATCTTACACCCCAACACCTAGCACGTGGACCGCGAATCAAACAGGAAATAATAGGAGGAGCATCACAATTTCGACGGCTTGATCCGAGAACGCTACTGCACGCGGTATAAACAGGAAATTAACAACGGTAATAGTACGGAATACTGCTTCGTATTTCGTGTGTATATACGGCAACTAGCGTGCTCAAGGTAGCATCGAATCCTTCCTCTGCGCCCCCCCGGACAACTATTTACGCATCCTCTAATCCCTATATCCCACCTTTGCCGAAACCATTCAAATCACAATACACCGCAACAATCGTTCCAAGTTTTCAAGAGTGCACCACTTTAATAGACCGGATGTGCACCTCTGAGGTAACGGCAGTCTTGCCCTGGTTATAGTTGCCAGTCTTGAAGTAGCAGTTGGGGGAATCCCAGTCAAAAGTAGAAAGCGTCGTCTTGTTTCCGTTGATAGAAATGCTCAAGACGTTTTTGGAATAAGACATGACATAGGTAAAGTACGTTCCCACAGGAACGTTTCCGAGCTTTGTGACAACTTGATCGCTATCCTCATCGCGCTTTACACCAACGACAATATCGCCTTTGGTGCTGTAGTACATCTCGGCAAGAGGCTTGCTGGCTTCGGCGGCAAAGACCTGGCCAATGGCGGTGCCGTGAGTGCCGTCGTCTGCCTTGACAACCTTCAGCGTCACGGTATTGGTGTTTGTGCCAGTAGGAGCCCAATTAGTGTTTTGACCGTTCTTGTTCACTTCTCGCAGCTCCGTCCGGCAGTGCTGGCTACCGGAAGTGGTAGCACAGCCAGTGATGTCCGGGTTGCCCGGTGCCGTCAGAATGAGCTCACCATTGGACTTGTCGGTGTAGAACGTAGGACCAGTGTAGCCGTTGCAACCTTGAAGGGCTTTGCTCTTGATGGTATCGACGCTGCCATCGCTGCCTGTTGGGAGCTGAAGACTCCAAACAGTGAAGTCGAAATTGCCACCAGGAGCACAGCTCGGATTCAAGGCAAGAACAGCCGTTATAGGCAGAAGGGAGAAAAGGCTAATAATAAACTTGGGAGCCATGATGAACAATGTTTTTGTTGATACGTCTTAGTTTTGCTCTGTTTTGAAAGACGCTGTGAGAGTGATATGATCGACAAGTGATCTTCAATGTCGAATCTCAAATCTCATTGCCTTTTATAACTATTGCCACGAGCAGTTCGTAGCTTGTTTCTGCTCAAAGATCATCTTATAAACCTATACGCCTAGCCTATTCTCTCCCTTTTTTCCACCAATTGCTTCTCATTCCTTCTCAGAAAAGCGAATAAGCCATTTTTTTCTACTCGAAATGCTTCCCAAATTATGCTCCGTAAGCCTAAGACAGGTCTCCAATGCCCCTCTACTCTAACACCAATGATAATCCCTTCTTCAACCAGCGCCAAGTAACGTGGCTCAACACCAAGATCAGCTAGGCAGCAGAATGCTAATGCGATCTACATATCCACTCCGCCTTTTTGTCAACCTTTTCCCCCCCGCATAAATAGTAGTAGCAGATTCGGTACCCCTTCTGTCAGATCGAAAGGCCATCACCAAGTGCCGCGGCGGTAAAATTGTTGATTGGTGGGAATTCTTAGTGAATCTGTCAATGCAGCCGCTTCGGGCAGCAGCTACGGCAGAGCTGCCGTACAGATATCAAGATACTAACCTCTGGCTTTCACGTAAGCCGAATATGGGTGCAGCTTTGAGCATGAAATGTCTGAAAAAGGAACTAGTTCAGCCGAAAATTCCATAGAGTAGTAATAAGGATAAATATTCTGCCTGACTAACACGCAAGCAAATAGTTTATGACATAATACGCGGAATACTTGCTGGCTTTCAAAGCACACGGCCCTTTCTGGATGTCCCATCATCATTATCATCATGTATTTCTTTTTTTGTTGAGCTCCCATAGACGATAATATCATATTCAAACTCAGTCTTCCTTTTCCTTTGAAGGTGTCGGTATTTTATAGATCCAGCTCACTCTTCCGGCAAATGGCTCTTCTGATTCTACATAATCAAGAACCAGCATCCGTCTATCAATCGGAGGGAAAATCCAGTTCTGCAAGATATGGTCCGCTATTAATGAGGGAAGTATGTAGAGTGATAGGAAGTAATGAAAGAGGTTAGCCCAGACAGTCAGCCGAATCAAAAATGCGGATAACTTGGCATCTATATTAGCAGGTCCTTGCCGAAAGGCATGATACGATTGGAACACTTGGTTCAAGGCGAGAGTACTGGGTATTCCATCTGGTGCTTGGGCAACGGCCAAATGGAGTCGATTGCACAAAGCAACTACGTCTTGTAGCCCACTCTGATAGCCAAGACCCAGGTTTGGCGCGAATTTGTGACAGCTATCTCCAGCGAGCACAATGCGGCCGCAGCTCCAGTGGCGAGTCATTCCTTCTTCTATAGAGGCCATAGAAGAGCTTATCCTCTTATTATAAGCCTCTCTCACCTTCACAAACTCAGTAATGGGAAAATCGGTAAACGTATTCACCATTTCCTCCATATCCTCCTTGGTATAAGTGAGGCGTTGCGTCGTCGGCTGCGGCAACTTTTTATAAAGAAAGGTCCAGCAACGCAGCTTACCGCTCAAGCACATGATGGAGTGATCCTTGTGATATGTTTCATAAACCGTCATGTCTGGGCATCCAGAAAGGTTCTGTTCGCTGAGAAGTGAAGGAGTGGAAAACCAGAGGCACTTGTACGTTGTCAAGAACGGATTTTCTGCGTCCCAGCTTCTCGTCGGGTCCTCTTCTAGAGCCATCCGGCGCATTACGCGGCGCACTTTGCTGTGGACGCCATCTGCGCCAATCACAATTGACCCTTCATAAATAGTTCCATCGACACACTTTACTGTAACGCCGGAATTGCTATTTATAATATCGACAATATCCTTTCCTGTCAGTACCTTGGCCTGATCGCTTCCGAGTCTTTCATACAAAAGCCGCAAGTAATCAACGCGATTGAATGCTATCGATGTGGAACCAGTACTTGGAGGTTGGTGATGAGTTAAATGTCAGCTTATTACATATTTGACCGTTGAGCCATGGCATACTTGTTTTTTAAATGATGGTAAAACGGAGTATCTTTAACGACGCGCCCGTCAATAGTAAGCGCTTTTCTGCGTTCAGACTTATGGCTAACCTCCAAAAGGCTCTCTAGTAGGCCAAGCTGGTGCATTACCCGCATGCTCGCAGGACCAACAGCTAAGGAAGCACCAACATCAATGACAACATTTTGTCTCTTTTCAAGGACGAGGAAGTCGATATTGGCTAGACGAAGGGCATGGGCCGCCGAGAGTCCAACAGGACCGGCACCCGCAATGATGACTTTGAACTTTGGTGCAGACATTGAAATTATAGCAGCGGTATATCTTGCAATGCGATTGAAGGGAACGACACTGAATACAGGACAGAGTTTACGTTAAATTGGGGAAGCAGAGGCTAAATAGACTGCATTTATGTGAAAACGAAGAAACAGAAAGTATCTCTACTAGTATTCGGGGTTGCTTACTATTTCATGTAGCGACCTCGGTTATTACTACCCCGATTATCTACAGCCTTGCTGGTTGTATCTTGATACAGTAACTTTGCTGAAGGTCCTGCGGGATTAACGCAATCGTGGCCTGATGCAGATGCAGCGTGGAGTACCTAGGTAGGAAGGACATTGAGTCCTGCGGGACATGACAAGCATTCTGTTTAGGTAGGTACATGTAGTTGCTATGATTGCCAAGATCGGTACATGTAATCGTATCTTCTGGCTTGTGGAGCGTTAAAATTGAGATGTTAGATCTTCCAAAAGACATGGCATTGACAGGTTTTACAAGAAGCATCCAAAGCTAGGAATTAGAAACTAACACATATTAATGGATCAAGTTGATATAACGATTGGCATCAAGTTTAACTGCGCAAATGCCGTTGATCATCGAGTCTCTCTGAGCCGCGACAACTGCTGGTATATCGCTTAGGGTAAGCGAAATATACGCTTTGCCATGAAACTGTCCCCGCTACGATACGCCTGCAAGGACGATGCCCAGCTCTCTATTGTCCACATGGAACGTCATTACATAAGGATTTTTTTTTTCTTTTCTTCTTTTCTTCTGCTCAATTGCTCTATAGAATAATATGTAAACTACGTGGTGGGTGATGAGTGAAACATTAGTCTTAGTTAAAATGTATTGTTATGATTTCCCCTTGTAAAAGACTATATTTTGTCTTTTTGCGATATCCATTCGACGTGCTGCTGATTTCTGCGACTGATGCAGTTGCATGACTGATGGATATTAAATCGTCAGATTCGCTGCTTGGGATCTACACCCCTTATCGTCTATTTGAGAGTGTATGCACAATACGGAGGCATCCCAGGAGGAGGAAAAGTTGCTTACCAGGTACCTCCTCAGTTGTTAAGGGTATTATTAGCAGGGAGTATTTGAAGCATGAGGGCAAAACATGTGCGTCAGAAGGTACCGCGGAGCAGCCCTGAAATTACAGCGCATCTCCGCGCGCGTTGTGACGAAGCTTAGTGCATGAGTCGCTGACTAAGTGCGAGTGAAACCAATTGCCATGCTCCAGACAGCGCTCTGTGATAGATACTAGATAGGTATTAATCCCAATACAACTTTGGCACAAGATGGGAGAAAGTTGAGTATCCACGATGCCTGTTTCCAATTTGCCCTGTTGATACTATTATCGGTCCATTTAGACTTTAGAGGCCGTCGTTCGCCTAGCCACGTCAAAATAACAATAAAAGGGTACCTTCAACCTTGACTTTGAATTCGTGACTAAGCGTAAAGACACCCATGCAAAGTGAATTTTATTTCAGGGCCACTTCTCATCTAAAGCAGACCAGGCCGTAGCAAACCCTTGATTCACACAGTGTCTGCTACAAGTACCTATATACCATGGATCCAATACCAGAGTAGGTAGCAGCAGTATGCATGTACAGAAGCATGGAACGCAGCAGAGCTGCAGCCTCTGCCATCGGCGCTTATGCCAGTGCTCAAGCTCTACAACTACCTGAACTCTATTTGTGGCTGTGCCGGGGTTGATCAGCACTGATAATCCATAGCTGGAGCTGATCATGACTGCTGCCCCTCATTCTGCCCGCTCATAGGTACAAATCGCATAGCCGCCGGCGTCAGCCGTAATGCCGCAGGCCAAAGCCAAGATGGTTCCTGGACAGAACAATCTGACCGTCTGCGCTCCAATGCAGGATAGACTTTTGCGCAGCGGCGCATATACAGCCCGACCGACGGGCACAGCGCAGCCTACTGCAGCCTGCTGTAGCCGACTGTAGCAGGCCGTAGCAGGTACGTGCACATGGCACTGCTGCGACACTTCACCACGCATAGTACAGAGCAGGTAGCGTGTACAGTGCCGTGGCGCCGAAATAACCCTCAACCCCGATGCAGAAATTAGGCTGGCCAATGCGCTGTCCCCTCCCGCCCAAGGCCTAGCCGCCCATTTCGGCGCTCTGCTGGCTGCTATAAACAGACGCTGGCTCCACTCGGGCCCCCGTTAGCACCCAATAATTCGGAGCGGCACCTGCATGCATGGTCCTTTGCTGCTGTACTTTGTACTTTGGCGCTACTCCCGTGCCTCGCCTCGCTTCGTTTCGCTTCGCCTCTCGTCCTCCTGCTCCTGATTCCATTCCATCTCGCCGCCTCAGAGTCTCCTCATCCAACAATCGATACCCAAAAGGCAGCGCCACGCCCAGCACGCGTCCCCGCGACAAAGACGACTCTACGCGATACCTCAGGCCAGCACAGACGAGCCCGCGCAATCGATCCAACTGCTGCCGTACAGCCTCGACGCCTAATTTCCTTTCTGCTTCATCTTCATCTTCATACTTCATCTCCATACTCTACACACAGCACAATGCCTCTCTGCGGTGGATCCAAGACGGTGCAGCGCAAGCTGGTTCTTCTGTATGTGGTCAACTCAACTCCAAGCCTCTCTAGCCGGCTACGAGATGCGATGCCTTGCTAATCTCTTTTTCTTGCCTGTCTATAGGGGCGATGGTGCCAGTGGAAAGACTTCGCTGCTCAACGTCTTCACGAGAGGGTATGTCGCCGATTCGCCCGTGTCTAGCGATCGATCTGACCTAACGCTTGCCCGATAGATACTTCCCGACCGTATACGAGCCTACCGTCTTCGAAAACTACGTTCATGGTACGACACTGTGTGCCACGCAAGCAGCTCTACCCTCGGGCTCTTTTCTTTTTTTTTTTTTTGTTCTTTGGGCAGAGTAGACAATCATGGTCATGGGGCTAATTAACTCGCGGCGCAGACATCTTCGTCGACAACGTGCATATCGAGCTCTCGCTCTGGGATACAGCTGGTCAAGAAGAATTCGACCGTTTGCGATCGCTCTCCTACGGTACTACGCCCTGTTCATTTCCTGGCAGCCCCACTTCCATTCCATGCTTTGCATTGCGTGGCTAACGTTGCATGCTCTCAGATGACACCGATTTGATTGTGCTCTGTTACTCGGTCGATAGCAAAGACTCGCTAGAAAACGTCGAATCCAAATGGGTCGGAGAGATTGCTGACAACTGCCCCGGCGTCAAGCTGGTTCTCATCGCCCTCAAGTGCGATCTCCGCCAGACGGGCGACGAGGAGCCTGAAGAGGCCGACGCAGCAGCCGCAGCAGACGGCAACGCACAGCGCGAGAAGCCCCCGACTATTTCCTACGACGAGGGCCTCGAGGTCGCCAAGCGAATAGGCGCATCCCGCTATCTCGAATGCTCGGCCATGAAGAACCGCGGTGTCAACGAGGCTTTCACAGAGGCCGCCCGAGTAGCGCTAAGCGTCAAGAAGGAGAGGGAAGACAACAAATGCACACTCATGTAAGGATTTGTAGCTTCTGACGCTCCGTTTTATATCGTGGTCCTCTTCTTGATACCCTCCCTCGATATACTTTTCAAACCGCCACTCGAGGCGGAAAGGCAATATTTCAGCAGCAACGACGCATTCAATTTTTTTAACCGCCTTTTATTTCCTTTATTTCCTTTTTCTTTATCACATGGTGTTTTCTTAGGTCTTCACCACTTGCTTTTCTTTGTTTCTTCCAACAACTTTTTTTTTTATCAATCTATCATGGACCTTCACCGTACATATTTGACTGCGGAATGACCGCTTTGCGGTTTTTTATTTTGTTGTAATTTTCCTGGAATGGAGCGAAGGAGCTGAGGCTGGAGAAAAATGTTTGATACACACTACATGCTTCTGCAGCGTATTTTCGACGCAGGCTAGATTTCTCATCACATTTTTTTTGTTCTTTGTACAGCTTTGTATTAAAGAGGAGATTATTGCTTGTGTCTTAGACCAGGATCGAATGCTAACGTTTCGTTTGTTTTCACGGGTGTGACGTGCAAATTTGCCGGCTCGAAGACTATCTATTTAGTGTCGAGACATGACGCTGCGCTGCTGTATGAGCTGTGAGAGTGGTGTGAAGTACAATGCGCTAAACGACAGGTTTTATGTAGCCCAATGCAAGGAAAGAAGACGTCGCTATTATTAGCAGCATCTCGATGGCATCTTTTGTTACTTACAGCCATCGGCATGAGCTATCGACCCTGTTCTGTTCAACTGCCCGATCCTGAGAAGCGGTGATGACATCTAGTCTGAGGCTGATGCGGCCAACGCAGTAGCTGCTGCATGCATAAATTGCTTCTCTCGTCGCCTCTACACCAATACCGTCATGCTCGTAGCCTGATTGGTTCTTGACCATCGCAAGCAGTCGTTTGTTGTGGTTAGCTACACCAAGATTTGACGTCACCGCGGCGATCGTGCGATCATCGCTTCAAGGGATCAAGCAGGTTTGCCCAGCGACATTATCATCGGCGTCATCACCAGGACTGTGCGCAGGTAGAAGAAAGGAATGCCAAGAAAAAAATAAATATCGAAAAGGACCCTGAGGATACAACCCTTTATACTTGTTCTTTTTTTCATTATTTATTCATTACACATTTCTGTCTCACAATTACATACACAAGGCACAATACGTTTTGCCACCTACCTACCTAACATATACTACACCACACAAGGATCTACACAGCCACCAATACAACCATCATGCCTTTCTTCAGCCGCAGTGAGCCCTCCCCAGAGCCCGTCTATCAGCCCGAGCCCGTGGCTGCCGAACCACCGGCCCGCAAGCACAGCCTCTTTCACCGCAACCGGGACGTGTCGCCGGCCTCGTCCCGCCGAACCGGCTCCATCGCCAGCTCGGCCGGCAGCGCAGGCCCGGGCCACACCAAGGGCTACACCAACAACACCTCCGGCAGCAACTCTGGCGGCGGCCTCTTCCGCCACAGCACCGACAGCTCGGCCAGCAGGGGCCGCCGCAGCCTGTTCCACCGCGACAACGGCGCCAATGCCCTGGACCCCAGCATCCTCCAGGCGAGGGAGCATGTGATGCAGGCTGAGGCGGCCGAGGTCGACGCTGATCGAGCACTTGGCGAGGCGAGGATGCGGGTGAGGGCTGCAAAGGACCACGTCTGGAGACTCGAGGAGGAGGCCAAGGAGGAGGCGAGGAGGGCCAAGATCAAGCAGGAGCAGGCTCGTGAGGTGTCCAAGAGAGGACAAGGCCTTGGACGTAAGTTGTTGTCATATTATCCTCATCATCAACATGGTCCATCCTGTGTTACATGTTTGCTGACTATTGCCCTAGGCCATGGCTTGTAAAAGAAACGAGACGCAATGCCACTGCTGTATTATTTAACTAATTCACTTACACAATGTTACGATACCTTCTCGGATGGTTGTACGAATGCCCGGAGTAGGATATGATGAATGATGTATTAATATTGCGCTGCGATGAAATTGGAAAAAATAAATAAGATACTGCGTTATTAGTATTATTAGCTGTAATTTTATACTTTTTTTTTTTATTCTTTTCTTGATGGATCCAAGCTTCATACCCAAGCTACCACTTTAGTACCTACTTACCTCTGATCTATTCATGTTGCACAGCCGCAAGTACTGATTGATGTGCAACCACCGCTTATCAATGACGCAACGCCATCTACTAATCGACCAATAGCTTCCATCCACTCCATCAGGCACTGCTGATGCCCGTTTCCCACCACCCGTTGATTTAGCTTTTGTAAACAATCCACCCGCCCACGCCAGGCAAAACAACAATCTTCCAGATCAATGGCCGTGTATCTTCTCTAAGCAAATGGCGTCCACTCGAGATCCCGCCAAGGAGGGCCTCCTGCGGGAGCATGAACTCGCCCAACAGCGCAGCTCAATCGACTCCAGAGAAGACGACCTCGATCTTGATGAGCTGAACCCGCCCCTCAAAGATGGAGATTTCACGCAAGACTCGTCGCGATTGAGCGGCGCGAGGCAGCAGAGCGCGGTCCCTGGACGTCTGTCATGGATGCTGCCTCGGCGACTTCGCAGGAGCCGCTGCTGTATTGCCGTCCTCAGTGTTGTCGGCATCATCGTCCTGTTAATGGCCGCCGGGGGCGTATTCGGGATCAAAAAGCTCAGAATCACCCCTCTGGATGGGAAATCGCCGCCATGGTATCCTACGCCTAGGGGAGGCACCGTTCGCCAGTGGGCCGACAGCTACAAAAAAGCCGCTGACGTGGTGTCCAAGATGACGCTGCCGGAAAAGGTCAACATCACGACTGGCACGGGATGGAGCATGGGCCTCGCAGTGGGCAACACGGCGCCAGCAATTCACGTTGGATTCCCTGCACTGGCTCTGCAGGATGGACCGCTGGGCATTCGCTTTGCAGACAATGCTACGGCTTTTCCGGCTGGTATTACCGTTGGCGCAACATGGAATAGGCAGCTCATGTATGAGCGCGGCAAGGCTCACGCACTGGAAGCTCGTGGCAAAGGAATCAATGTGCTGTTGGGTCCTGCCATTGGCCCCTTGGGGAGAATGCCTGCTGGCGGGCGCAACTGGGAGGGCTTCGGCTCGGATCCGTATCTCCAGGGCGTTGCTGGCTCTCAGACCATCAAGGGTATCCAGGATCAGGGCGTCATGGCCACCATCAAGCACTTTATCGCCAACGAGCAAGAGCATTTCCGCCAGGCGTGGGAATGGGTGCTGCCGAATGCCCTGTCGTCCAACATCGATGACCGCACCCTGCACGAGATTTATGCCTGGCCATTTGGAGACGCCGTCAAGGCCGGTGTTGCTAGCGTCATGTGCTCCTATAACATGGTGAACAATTCATACGCCTGTGGTAACTCGAAGCTGCTCAATGGCATTCTCAAGGACGAACTTGGATTTCAGGGCTTCGTCATGTCGGACTGGCTGGCACAGCGATCAGGCGTGGGTAGTGCCCTGGCTGGATTAGATATGAGCATGCCAGGAGATGGCCTGCGTTGGCAGGATGGCAATTCTCTCTGGGGACCCAATCTCTCCCGCGCTGTCCTGAACGGTTCGCTGCCCCTTGAACGACTCAACGACATGGTTGTTCGAATAGTCGCATCGTGGTATCAGCTTGGGCAAGATGATGAATCTCTGTTCGATAGGAAAGGACCCAACTTTTCTTCGTGGACAAATGAGAAGATGGGTGTCACATCGCCCGCTAGTCCATCGCCTCAAGATAAGATTGAAGTTAACAAATTTGTCAACGTGCAGGCCAATCATTCGATACTGTCTCGCCAGGTGGCCACGGAAGGGACCGTTCTGCTTAAGAATGAAGGCGTTCTCCCCCTTAGCCTTGATGGGGAACTGGGCGAAAACGACCAAAAGTCAACCAAGAGAGATGGTAAAGTAAGGATAGGCATTTTTGGAGAAGATGCTGGTCCTGGCAATGGTCCGAATTATTGCGAAGACAGATCGTGCAATCAAGGCACTCTGGGATCTGGCTGGGGAAGCGGTGCGGTCGAGTTTCCTTACTTGATATCTCCTGTCGAGGCTCTCCGAGGCAAATTTAACAAGGAAAAGGTCCAGTTCACGGAGCATCTAAAGAATGATAAACCAGCAGCAGATCTCGTCAAGAATCAAGATATATGCTTGGTCTTCATCAACTCCGACTCGGGCGAAGGATATCGTAACTGGGATGGGGTTCGTGGTGACCGCAACGACCTCCTGGCGCAAAAGGGAGGCGAAAAGCTTGTCACTGAAGTTGCGGCCAACTGCGGCGATGGTTCAGGCACGACGATTGTCATTATTCACTCTGTCGGACCCGTGTCTGTAGATGGATGGATTGACATTCCCAGCGTCAAGGCGCTCATTTCTGCCAACCTACCCGCACAAGAGAGCGGAAATGCCCTCGCGAGCATCATATTTGGAGAGGAAAACCCGAGCGGCAAGCTCCCATATACTATTGGCAAATCTCTCAGCGATTACGGAGAAGGTGGACAAATCATGTATTTGCCAAACGGAGCTGTCCCGCAGCAAGATTTTAACGAAGGCCTGTACATCGACTATAGACACTTTGACAAGTATAACATCGAGCCGCGTTACGAATTTGGATTCGGACTTTCATATACGAGGTTTGATTACAACAATATCCAAGTTACGGGGACCAAACCGAAATCACCTCTGCCAGATGAGCGACCACCACCTGAGGTCCAGCCACCGCAGTTTGACTCCACCATTCCTGATGCTAAAGAAGCGTTGTACCCAACGGGTATTCGCAAACTAAAGAAGTACATCTACCCGTACATCGAATCTGTTGATGACATTAAGAAGGGCAAGTATCCTTATCCCGACGGCTACGATGCTCAACAACCCCTATCCGGCGCAGGCGGTGGCGAAGGCGGCAATCCATCACTATGGGAACCCCTCGTAACTGTGGCTGTCCAAGTGACCAACTCAGGGCAGCGTGGCGGCAAAGCCGTCCCTCAGCTCTATCTCTCGTACCCCGAATCGGACACGATTGACTTCCCCGTCAGGGTTCTGCGCGGATTTGACAAGCTGTTCATTAAAGAAGGAGAAACGAAGACGGTGGAGTTTGTGCTGACAAGGAGAGATTTGAGTTATTGGGATGTAGAGAGGCAGAATTGGGTTATTCCAGATGGGCAGTTTACGTTTGCGGTTGGCGAGAGTTCAAGGGATTTGCGAGTGACCGGCACATGGTGACACATGACAGAGTATTATTAAAAGACGTGATTGGGATATGATTGATACGATTGGGATATTAAGGTACTACTACTTGGATATTTGACCACATACAGCAACATAGAAGGCTATAAAGAAATACATCTATCTACAAATTGTCAGAGGTTTAAAGCATGGCACCAGATATCAATTAACCAATCAGTCTAAAAGAGAGGAATACGCGTTCAACGCCAACTGTCCTCCCAAATGGGCATACAATACATTCCCACCAGCAATCTCGCCGTTTCTAATCAGTCCCATCATTCCTGCCAGACTCTTTCCCTCATATACCGGATCAGTGATGAAGGCTTCTGTGCGTGCGCCAAACTTCATGGCCTCAATCGTCGTCTCGTCCGGAATGCCGTATATCTTGGCATTGAATCTCTCATCCAGAACAACATCAGCCTCGGTGATGTCCGCCTCTGAGAGACCAATCTTGGCAGCAGTGAATTTAGCAATACGCAGGACCTGCTCAAACGTCTCCCTGGGCTTCCCCGAGGCATCAACGCCAATGATCTTACGCTTCGGCGATCCCAGCTTCAACTGCGCCAGCTTGAAACCGGCAATCATCCCTGCCATCGTCGACCCCGTCACAGCACAAACAATGACCGTGTCGAAAAACACGCCCATGTCCTTCTCCTGCGCCTCCACCTCCAGCGCCCACCTCGCAAATCCCAATCCTCCCAGCGGATGGTCCGACGCGCCCGCAGGGATGTAATACGGCTTCCTCCCGCTGCCCTCCAGCTCGGCCTTGAGGTTCGCCAGCGTGGGCTTGTGTTCGATGCCGAAGAGCGACGGGTCCAGGCGCACGTCGCCGCCCATGAGGCGTGAGAGCTGGATGTTGCCGACCTTTTCGTAGCCGGCATCGTCCCAGTCGACCCAGTGCTCCTGGACGGTGGCGGCCTTGAGGCCCAGCTTGGCGGCGACGGCGGTGACGGCGCGGGTGTGGTTTGACTGGACGCCGCCGATGGAGACGAGGGTGTCGCAGCCTTGGGAGAGGGCTTCGGCGGCGAGGTATCTGAATTGCGTTGATGAGGAAATGGCTGTAGTAGGTATATGAGAGCGTGGGTTGTGTTATATTTACTCTAGTTTGCGGACTTTGTTGCCTCCGTAGGCAAAGCCCGAGTTGCAGTCATCGCGTTTGGCGTAGACGGTGACTTTGCCGCCGAGAGCAGCGGATATACGGGGGAGGTGTTGGATGGGGGAAGGGCCGAAGAGGAGAGGTTCGAAGGGGATGCTGGCCAAGGGCTCGGGGATGTTGAGGGTGGCCATTTGGATGAGATGGGATGTGATTGATGATGACGCTATGTTGATATTAATGATGGCTCTTTGTTGCTTGGAGAATGAAATATCGTGATACAGATACTAAATTGAAATCAGATAGATGATGAAGCTGGGTATATCAACTGTTGTTGGAATTGGTTGCTTGAGAATGAGATGAGATGTCATGTAAGTCGGCGAAGAACGTCGTAATCATCAACTTATATACATGTACCTACATCACCAAAGGCTCGTTATTGACCACAAGGACGACTACCAAGACACCTCGCTATCCTCGGCTATCCAGCCACCGATCTCGGATAATGAAACTGAAGCTGAAGCTGAGCAAGCAGTGCAATCATGACATCCACGAGACTATCTTTGCCATCCAGGTTGCGCTAATCCAACCACACAAGACAAGCCGCTCCCCCCCACGCCGGGATGCTACAACGCGGGCAAAGACAGATTATGAGCCACTCCCCTCTGATTGGCACGGCTGGCTTTTCTGGAACAACCACCCAAGCTTTCCAAGAAACCCAACTGGTGCTATCGCTGAGGGAGGAGGGGGGTTCTCTGCCGACTCGGGCATTTAGCAGATGCCGACCTTGTGCTTGGAGGGCGCGGGGGAGTTGTTAGAGGGCGTGGGCGGATAGTGGCGGCTTGGTTTCGCTTTATTCCGCATGGGCCATGATGAATGATAAGATGCTGCAGGACTCGAGATGATACGGTGTAAGTAAATTCACATTGACTTTTGTTTCTTTTTTTTTTTAAAAAAAAAAAGCGATAATATGCCGATATTGTTCTGAGATGCCGTGATAAGGCTTGTGGTGGGGAATTAAGACGGCTGTTTCTGCCAATGTCATGGAATAAGATACAGTATTAACGACTTCTTCCACTAGCATTAACTGCCGCTACACTAGAGGTTATTCTTATAATAGAATAGGGTCTCATTTCGATGCAGATGGCTTGAGCGGAGCACTTGGCCGCGAAAGAACAAAGTCTTGGCGGACATCTGGCGTTGGAGTATCATTAGACTAGGTATATGGCTTTAGGCCTTGCAGGAGCAACAGCAAACTAAATCACATTACAGCTTTCAATTAAGTCATTTCGTTCAAACGTGGCCAAAGATCTGATCTTGTTCAATTGATCATTCGTCGTTGTTTTCTATGATGAGAGAGCGGGAAGCAGCGCGCTTCTTGATATCGACAATCGCGCCTATTCCATGTGCTGAGACATGCTACTCCCAACATAATCAAATGGTTACGGGGCATTTTCTGCCCTTGGCATTCCGATTGGCCGAATTGCCTGTTGAAGTATAAGATTTTCGACGTGCATAAGCTCTGTAAGTCTATTTACGTCGTTGCTGGTGGTAGTGCTGCTGCACAATCTGACTCGCGCACTTGTTGCAGCAATCAAGTGGGCGACTTGAATCTTGGTGATGGATGTGAAGGAGCACCACAGAGATGGAAACGGTTACAAAATGAGATTGTTGGCCTAGAGGGCTATTCTGAGAGTATAAGATACAATCGATAAACGGTGTAAAATGCGAGGTTTTGACTGACAATCATAAATACAAACGGCCGTCACAAAAAGGCAATCCTCGCCACAGAGACAAATCCCATGTAAGCGTGTGAGACGTGCGCGCCCAACAATCTACCGGTACGAGGCACTGCCCTTTCGCATGGCTATTGGGGAACACGAGCCTCATCGGCCTGGCTGGCTCTGGGCTGTACGCACCAATTGATCGATTGTTTAATTGATCCCATGTGCCATCCATTCATCCAGCCAGCCTGCTATTCGCTCCAAAAGCCTTCGCTACTCCCTCCGACAGCCCTCGAGACCCGCTATCGGTCCGTGCCGCTCACCAAAGCGGCGGCACCAACCAGAGGCTGCCAAAAAGGATGAATCCAGCACAGCTCGTCGCCATTGCATTCCATCCACTGCCGAGGGATTCATGTCAAATCGCCAGATAGTACTACAAGGAGAATAAAAAAAAAATAAAAAAAAAAAAAAAAAAAAAGTCCAAAGCACAGGATTCGCAGCAGCCCGAAGGAATGGAACAACTGAATGGCCCGGCCCGCCGCCTAATCGGGCAGCCTCCCTCGCCTGATAGCGGGCGTTATCGCCTTTATCCATTTATCTCACCACCGGGTTCGCGGTCCCACATTCAAAAAGCTTTCTGCCAGGGCCTGACGTCTTTCATTTCGCCTGGCCCTTTTTTTGCGTTTTCACGGCCGTGTTCAATCTGCCTGGATGCCACTCGGATCGTGCTGACAATATCGCTACAAGCTTGCCGCTATTTTGTTTCTTCTTACTCTCCTTTATTGCTCTTTCCAGCATGATCTTGTGGCGGCAGATTGTCGCTCAGGTTCTGGCTCACACGCCCGCAGTCTGACCAACGACCCTGACCGAAGAAAAGACGACCACCCGCTGATAACACGGCGACGATCTGCGCGACGAAGAAGAAGAGCGCACTCGCAGCTCTAGAGACTTGATTGGCATCCACAGACGACGCAAAGGCCGCCAGAGGCTCGAGGCGCTGGGCGCTGGCTGGACATCACATCATGACGCGCCCGTCAATCAGCAACAGCTCCCGGCCTGGGCCTGGCGTGGTCAACAACGCTCAATCCAGAGGCTCCAGATCTTCAGGCTCGTTCCATGCCGGCGCGCCCATTCCCAGCATCGCCGCTCTGCGACGCCCCTCGATCCCGCGATACCAAACCTTTCCGACGCCTCCGCCCAAACCGCCGGGGTCCTCTTCGGACGCCTCCAGCGATCGCTTCGCCATCGACTCCGACTCGTCGTCCACCTCCGCATCCAACGAGGACGATCAGACGCCGCTGCCCATCCGCCAGCTTCTGCTTCTGGCTTTCCTCTCGCTGGCTGAGCAGACGGCGCTCAACTCCATCGGGCCCTATCTCCCCGAGATGGTGGCGTCTATGCCGGGAATACCAGCCGACGAAATCGGCCTGTATGTCGGTCTCCTCGCCAGCGCCTTTGCCTTGGCTCAGCTCTCCACCAACTTTCTCTGGGGGTACACGTCAGACATTGTTGGCCGGAAGCCAGTGCTGTTGGCAGGAACCTTTTCGTTGATGGGCTGCTTCTGCGCCTTTGGCTTCTGCAAGCAGTACTGGCAAATGATCTTGGTCCATGCCGCCATGGGTCTGCTGAACGGTAACGCCGCCTGTGTGCCGACGGTCCTGGGCGAGGTGACGGACCGGTCGAACCAGAGCAAAGCATTCACCTATCTCCCCGTCATTTACTCGCTGGGAGGTCTTACTGGCCCTGCGCTGGGAGGCATCCTGGTAGGACGCATGGGCAAAGAGTTTCCCTACCTTGGACCGAATGTTCTCAGTGCTGCTGTCCTTGCAGCAGCCGTCATTGTGGTGGCCATATGGTTTGAAGAAACACTAGAAGATGTCGACCAGGACCCGTGGAAGCCAACATGGACGACTCGCCTGTCAGCTCGCATCTCAAACTTCTTTAGCCGTACAAAGCCGCGGCGGGAGTCGTGGAGCACGAGATGGCCTCGCCCTCAAGCAGCTAGCCAGACACAGCCCTTGCTATCTCCAAGCTCTGACGAGGCTGGCTCCGATGACAATGATGATGCTCTGGAAGATGAAGAGGGACTGGAAGCGTCAAAGCCACCAGGCAACAACCATAAGCAGCCCACACCGTGGCGTGAGCTTCTTAACCGCACTACAATGACTCTCTTGGTTACCTATCTAATATTCCAACTGGCCAATATCAGCTTCAACAGCCTGTATCCCATCTTTGCCTCATCTCCATCCCCTGCCGGCCGAGATCTTTCCCCTACTAAGATTGGTATAAGCTTGAGCTTCGCCGGCTTAACTACCATTGTCTTCCAGGCATTCTTCTTCCAGCCGCTTAAACGCCGATTTGGAAATCTGGGAACATATCGTTTCGCGCTGCTTGGCCTGTCTATTGCCATGATTACGATACCGTGGGTTGGCTACGCTGACGATGAACCCCTTTTTGGCCTGGGCACTGGGACTATGTGGCTCTTTATTGAGCTTGGCGCGGTGTTGATATTGAAGACCATCTGTGCAGTGGGGGGGCTGTCATGCGTAATGCTCCTAGTAAGTCGATTTCAAATGACAACGAAACACACTCAAATAGCTAACACCACCATCCAGATAACCAACTCGGCGCCTTCCCACAACAGTCTTGGAACTCTCAACGGGGTAGCTCAGACACTGTCAGCCCTCGGCCGCAGCATTGGTCCTTTCGTTTCAGGCGGCTTATTTACACTATCCATGGGAATCCATCCGAAAGGCGAGGCTCTTGCATGGAGCTTGTTCGGAGGCCTGGCTTTTTTGGGCTGCATAGGATCCATGTTTATCCGAGGCAATGGGCTAGAAAGCGATGATTGGTATGATAGCGAGGATGAGGAGGATGAAAGAGATGGAGAAGCAAATGTGGCTGGGGATAGAGACATTGAACGACAGCGGGACTGAGCACAGATGTTGACAGTAAATAGTTGTTGTTGGGTTTTTGGATATAAGGCGTAATGGCAGCTAGGCGGAGAAAGACGATAATAAATAGGGGCTATTTAGCGTGACGGAATTAAAATAATAAATTACATCAAGTTTGAATGATGACTTGGATGCCCAAGGACTCTATCTCTGCCTATCCCACCAGATCGGATGTCGGCTAGACTCTTATATATCGAGCGGCAGCTTAAATCAAGCCGCTACCGACAGCCGCAACGCTTCGGCATTTCACTGTAACAGTTTACTAATACTTGCAAACCCCTGTTGCTACCTACCTACGCCTTTTCATAGGTGGACGGACTCCAGATCTGTTTCCTATTAGTAGATACGTTCAAGCATCTGATTCTGACAGCGAGCCAACCTCCATAAACAACCAAGAACGAGTCCTGATTCGCTCCCGTCAATTCAAAATAGTTCCACTCCTGAATTTGAAGATTTGAGTGATTTGCGTCAGATTTTAGGGTCAGCGGTTAAAGGGATAGTATAACCTACATGTAATCTATTCTTATTTGCCTGTGACTGTGACGGATTATATACGAGTGCATATCACGGCAGCAAGTTGCCGGCTTGGAAGTTGCTGAAGCAAGAGTTTGCGAAAAAGAAGAAAAAAAAGTGGTTATGTACAGTAATTCGGGACAATATTAGTAGCGTGACTTGTAAAAGTTTATTATTTTGTTTATTAATTTATTTTATAAAGATGTTGGATCTTGGGTGTCAGATGTTAGTACAACCGACTGGTTTCTAAATAAAATAGCGAAACATTCCAAGAGCTGTGAACAGTCTGAGGTGCAAGCGGAATAGAATCCATATCGACAAGTGAATTGACATATAATAGTTCGGAATCTCCGATCGAATGCAGAAGCACTGGTTGTTTAGACAGAGGCGTCTGCGGCGTCTGTGGCGTCTACGGCGGGGTGCTAACAAACTCATCCCCAGATTGGATATTTCGCAGGACTAATCTTTGCCAGGATACAAATTGACATGTCAATAGCATTAAACTCATCGTAGTCAATGCACTACTACATAGTTACATCTTGTCATTGCGACGCAGGAGGCTTGGGGTAAAAGTTTGAGTGATTGGGCAGAGCAGCAACCGACGTCGGTACAGCTCACAAGGCACGCAATATGTCTCACCCGTTACACAATATAAATGAGGGACAGCCTGATCCCTATTTGGTATACTTCTGCATGCCTTGGTTGGAGGCCAAGTAAACAAACAAATTGAAGACCCAAACTCATCGTTGGTCAATTATCAACAAAGAATAAAAAGAAGATGCAAACGAGGGCGTTATACACTCTCTTGGCCCTCAGCCTTGGAGTTGGCCTCGCTTCAGCTTGGGATCAGGCGCCCGCTCTCCCCGGCAGAGGCGCTCCCATTTCCGGCTCGGATCGTATCTACACTGGCGATCAGTCTTCCAATACCATCACCGTCATCAAGCCCAGCTCAGGTGAAATCCTGGGCACCATCAGCTTGGGCGACCTCCGGCTGGGCAACAACCTCAACCCGCAGTATGTCAAAGTTGTGGGCTCCCACGGGCTCGGCTTCTCTCCCGATGGCAAGCTGATTGTATCGCTGGCCGTGACGAGCAACACTGTGACGGTGTTCCGCACAGAAGACAACTCGGTGGTTTCGCAGTCGTTTGTGGACCGCAACGCTCACGAGGCCTTTTTCCAGCACGACAATCGGCACATCTGGGTGGGCACACGCGGCGTCGACCGCATCGACATCGTCGACGGCCTCAAGGGCGGCGTGGTTGGCTACGTCGAGTCGTACGGCGGGCCGAGCAAAGTCGTCTTCAGCCCCGATGGCAAGACGGCGTACGCGAACCACATCCGGTCGCCGTCGCTGTCCGTCATCGACGTTGCGCAGCGCCGCGTCGTCGCCAACATCACCGGCCTTGCCGCTGTTTTTTCGTCGGACATGATGATCTCGCCCGACGGGCAGCGCCTCTGGGCCGCGCACAAGATGGCTGGCAAGGTCTCGGTCATCGACCTCGCCGCGCAAAGGGTGATTGGCGTGCTGGACACGGGGGCCGAGACCAACCACGCGCAGTTTGCCGTCATCAACAACACCATGCACGGGTTTGTGACCGTTGCGGCAACCAACGAGACCAAGATGTACTCGCAGCCGCATGCGAGCGAGATGCCCGTCTATCTGGGCGCCATCCCTGCCAGCGGCGTCGAGCCTCACGGTCTGTGGCCCAGCGCGGACAACACCCGCCTGTATGTCGTCAACGAGCACTCCGACACGGTAGACTTCATCGACTTGACGGCCAGCCCGCCCAAGGTCGTCAAGACGGTCAACGTCGGCCAAGAGGGCCAGGCGCTCATCTACGTCTCCGGGGCCGTCTCCAGCGCCAGCAACGGCACGCAGAATCTCGGCAAGCAGGGCCTCTTTGACAAGCCCGCGCTCAACAAGCTGCTTACTGAAGCCAAGCCTTCCAACGCTCAGTCCAACCGCAGCCCGCCACCGACAGGCCTCGTCACGGTGAGGCCCGAGTCTGGGCTGGACATGCTGCAGGTGATTGGACGCAATCTGAGGCTCAACACGACATACACCGTTTCGGCCAAGGTTTCGAACTCGCTGATTCCATTGGTGGATTTCAACGCGACGGCGCCGACGGGCCCTGGGTGCGGGACGGCGCCGCAGGTGTTGGCATTTCTCAAGTTTATCGGCGTGTACGATATTGACAAGTTGGTGTTGACATCCAAGGCGGATTGAGTGAGGGAGACGCTTGCGAAGGGGGTGTGTTGTATTCGCCTGTATATAAATAGCTGGTACGAGTATACCGATGAAAATGAATATATTTTTTTCTTCAAATCAAATAATATTCGATGATTGAAATGCCGTTGCCGTAGAGTTGAAGCTGAAAGAGAAGATGGTTGAAAGGTGATATGCAGGGTAATACAGTGTAATACAGTGACTGGCCTTCTAGAACACGAGCAGCATCGCCGAGTGCTGAGTCAGCCGGCTGTGTTGTCACTGGCACCACGCTGTAGATCGCCGTCAGTTCAGCGGCGGGTGGCTGGTCCGCGTGCCTGGCCCCCCGCTGATGTCACCTGAACCTTGATGGACAGCAGTGTTTAGAGCTCCGACCAACTCGACTCCTATCCATCGCCACCATCCAGAGCCATCGTTATCATCGCTATCATCATCAATCATCGCATCCACCATCGTTATCCATCTCTCCTTTTCTTCTCCAATGGAACCTTGACCTCCCGGCTCTCGCTTCGTCATGATCCAATCCTCCCTCCTCGGCGGCTTCATCGCCGCTGCCGCCGTCCAGGCCGCGCAGCCCGGCGCTGTGAAGCCGGTTGCCGCGCCCATGCGAGACCTGACCTGGGGGCAGATCAACTTTCTGCATACAACAGACACGCATTCCTGGCTCAGCGGGCACTTTCTAGAGTGAGATGATTCCGATTTGAGCCCCCTTTCTAGAGATGCCGGTATCGGTGCTGGTATTGGTGATTCTGGCACTGGCACTGGCACTGGCATCCTATATTTCGCGAGTTACAATACCTAGGCCATAATCATTATTAGCTAACAGCTGTTCAACTTCCAGACCCTCCTTCTCCGCTGATTGGGGCGACTACGTCTCCTTCTCTCAGCACATGCGCAAGCTGGCCGACGACAAAGGCGCCGACCTACTCCTCATCGACACCGGCGACCGAATCGAAGGCAGCGGCATCTACGATAGCTCCACCCCAAAAGGCCTCTATCAATACGACATATTCGCCCAGCAGAAGATTGATATCCTCAGCACTGGCAACCATGAGCTGTATAAGGCCTATTCCATTGATATGGAGCACAACACCACCGTGCCCAACTTCAAGGACAACTATGTCGCGTCGAATCTAGACTACATCGATCCTAAGAGTGGCAAGCAAGTCCCTCAGGCCCAGCGGTATCGCAAGTTCAAGACCAAGAACCTCGGCCTCAACATTGTGTCTTTTGGCTTCATATTTGACTTTGACCTTAATGCCAACAACAGCGTTATCCAAAAGGTGGCTGACACCGTCAAGGAAGATTGGTTCCAGGACGCCATAAAGGAAAAGCCCGACCTCTTTGTGGTCATTGGCCATGTCGGTGTGCGGATGGAAGAATTCAAAACCATCTTCACAGCTATCCGCAAGGAGGACTGGGATACGCCCATTGCCTTCTTTGGCGGCCACTTGCATATACGAGACGCCGTGAGCTATGACTCCAAATCGCTTGCCCTGGCGTCTGGTCGCTACCTCGAAACCATTGGCTGGATGTCCATTGATGGACTCACCAAGAAGCATCCTAAAGACGGTGACAAAGCCGATGACAAGACTGGCGAAGTGGAGGTTAACAAGGGGTTGTCTTTCACTCGCAAGTACCTTGATAACAATCTTTTTGGAATGTACTATCACACTGGCTTGAATGAGACAACCTTTCCCACCAAAGAGGGCCAAAAAGTCAGCAAGATGATTGAAGACGCCCGCAAGAGTCTGAACCTCGGCCATCGATATGGCTGCGCACCCCGAGACTTGTGGATGACCAGGGCTCCATATCCTAGCAAGGACAGCATCTACAGCTGGCTCGAGGAACAAGTGCTCCCTGGCATCGTCGCCAACAAAGACAGGAAGGATAAGCCTCGGCTGGCTATTGTCAATACGGGTGGTGTCCGCTTCGACATTTTCAAGGGTCCGTTTACGCGTGATGATACCTTCACCGTGATCCCTTTCAACAGTGGCTTCCAGTTTGTCCCCGATGTACCCTATGACATCGCCAAAAAGGTCATTGGGATTCTCAACAGCGAAACAAGGATATTCGTTGACGGCTTGCCGAACACGAGACAGTTGACCATTCCACAGCTGATGTACCCCCGTCCCACTTTTGATGGCGTAGACGAGACCGAGACCGTCGATCAAGTTGATCAAGATGCGGATGAAGCAGAAGCCCGCCTTGAGCTCCGCGGGGTCGATGCCTCGGGTGGAGGTGACGATCTCTTTGGCGGCTACACGACCAAGGACGACATCGGCAAGGACGGCGATGACACCGTCCACAAGCCAATTGACTTTTATGCCGTGCCTAACTGCATCCAGGCACAGATTGGCTTCTCGGCCGAGGAAGAGCCCAAGACGGTCGACTTTGTCTTCCTCGACTTCCTGCAGCCATGGATCATCCCTGCTCTCAAGTTTAGCGGCGGCGACTACAACGCTAATGATATAAAGCCGTATATGGAGGGGACCCTGACATCCAAATTGGCCGAGTGGATAGGCGACAACTGGAAGGAGGAATGCTAAGAAGGGGTTTTTGCCCTTTTTCGGCTCAGTTTTGCATATGCGGTTTTATGTTTTATTTATTTTTTTATTTTTTTGCCTTTTATGGTTATCAGTTTCTGACTTGCGATATAATAATGAGATACAACGATCACGATAGATTGCTAAACAAATGATACAATTTCAGCTTGGTTAACAGCCACCTCCCTCTCGGTCTAAAGCAGAAAGCGCCAGTAGTTGCAACTCCAGCATGGGTCTATACGCGTATCCAGGATACAATACCCATAAAACACCCCATGTCTACTCCGTGTCCTGTGTGCGTTATAATAACTCAATACGCGTATTTCGTATACGCCGTGCTATCAAGACAAATATTATCGTATTCGCATCTTGACACTCTAGCAAAAACAAAGATTCCAGACAATGAAAGGAAAGTATATTCAGCCAGGCCAGATCAGGCGCTATCAAGCATCTGGGCGGCCTGAATCCGCCTTGCGAGGTACGGCTGAGGAAGAATCTCAAGTCAGACAAGGCGCGGGCATTGGCAACTAAACCCAGTTCAGAGCCACTACCGATTTTTCTCAGCTGCGAAACCAGCAAGCTGTTGGTTCAATCGGGATCCTCCGCAGGTGCGGCTGAGGAGAACCATTGGGGGTGGCTTTTTTTTTTGTGTGTGTGTCTCACCCCCTCCATCTCATACATACGCGTATTAGCATATAAATAACGCCTGTGGAGGATAGAGAGAAACAAAAAGAAAGGGCCAAGGCGAGGCCTCACACGGGGTGGCACAAACCAGCTAGCTTTCTAGGAGCGGCTTAATGCAGGGGGTGAAGGTGCCTTGTGTGGTAGGGCCAGTTGATCCCATTTGGACAAAAAAGAAAGTGAGGCGGGCTTAGGCAAACGTGTTTGCCTAGATGGGAGATTCAGGAGGAGATTGAGTGCTGAGAGGGCTCTCGTGGGCTCGTGGGTATAAGAAGAGGCAGTGCCGTTGCCTAGCATCTTCTTTGATATCTCTCTCTCTTATATACAACCACACACACATACATACATCACATAATACACATATAATATAGACAAACCGGACTCTTTTCTTTTTTAACATATCATCTACCACTCACACCTAAAAGCATCTCCATCTCACAACCATGCCCCTCTCCTCCAAAGTCGTCATCGTCACCGGCTCCGCCAGCGGTCTCGGCCGCTGCATCGCCGAAACCTTCCTCTCCCGCGGCGCCAGCGTCACAATCTGCGACGTCAACAAGGAGCGCCTCGCCACCGCCTCATCAGAGCTCTCAGCCAGCTTCTCCCCAGAACGCCTCCTCGCGGTGCAAGTCGACGTTACGGACGAGAAATCCGTCCAGTCGCTCGTAGAGCAGACCGTCCAGCGCTTCCACCACATCGACGTCGTTGTCAACAACGCGGGAATCATGGACAAGTTCGCTCCTGTTGGCGACTGCGACACAGGGATGTGGGATTCCATCCTCAACGTAAACCTCACAGGTGCTTACTTCGTCACCAAGCACGCCATGCCGCATCTGCTGGCTCGCGCAGAGGAACGTGGAGGCGGCGAGCAAGGCAGTCTCGTCATCAACATCGGTTCCACGGCGTCCTTCTCGGGCCTGACTGCCGGAGTGGCCTACACCGTCTCCAAGCATGGCCTCGTTGCCATGACGAAGCACACAGCGGGCTATTATGGCCCCCGGGGCGTGTACTCGGTTGCGCTGCAGCCCGGTGGCATGAATGAGACGAGGATTACTGATGCGTTTTCGTCGGGCATGCATAAAGAGGGACTCATGGCCATCAAGGAAGCGCATCCCAAGACGATCAATGTACCCATCAATCATGTGGCCAGATACGCAGCGTTTCTGAGCGAGGACGGCATTGGTCAGAGTTCGAATGGAGGCTGCATCACCATCACTGGTAACTGGCCTGAAGCGTAAGTAACAAAGTGATACTCAATAGCATCAACGGGAGAGGAAGAAACATAATAGATAAACAGAAGGGGACACGGGATACCGGCTAGAATAGATCTGTTTGACAACTTGCAATCCAAAATAATAAAGGAGAAAAAAACCTATCTTTCATATTCTGTTCATACACATTAAAGCGCAAGCCTCTGAAGCAACAGCGCGCGCTACCTATTAATAAATCCAGCACGTGGTGTCCGTGATCTATCACCTCTAATCGCATGGACATTTCTACAAGAACGCCTCCCACTTTCGGTTGATCTGCTTCCTCCGAACCTGCGTGGTAAAAGTCAGTTATACAGCCCATACCATGTAAATTTACAATTGCAAAAGGGGCAAGCAAACGTACCATCGGTGCCAAAATCACCACTCCCCATGTGAGCGCCACCACTGTAGCCAGTAAAGTGATCTTGTTGAATCCCTTGCCTAGGATATCAAATGTTCCACTCGGTGCAACTTGAGATCCGAAGACGTCAATGCCATATGCCACCACCAAGCTTGTGCTCTCGACCACGGCCGGCGTGGCCACGATGCCTCTCACACCAACAACATCGCGCTCGTGCGAGAGCAGGTTCCGACCATCAATCTGAATGGCGGGTGTGTACTTGATAAGACCTTCGGCTTCCATCTCCGCCGCAGACGGGTCCCGGCCGACGGGTCGACGAGGATCAATTCCGTGGCGAGTGATGCCCAGGACAGCATGAGACTCAGGCAAGTAGGCCAGGAGCTGTCGGCTGCTAATACCTTGGCGCGTCTCAGTCACGGTCAAGTTGGTCAGAGGCTCCGAGATAATCCAGGTCTGGGATACCACAAATGGGAGAGGCACGCCAGTTGGGGTATCAACAGGATCCAGAGGCGAGAAGGTTTCCGCATCACCCAGAGGACCACGGTCATTAGGGTTTGGTGACTCATACAAGTCAGACACAACAACCTGGTATCCCTTGATATCCCGGTTTGTGCCGTCATTCAGAGCATACTGTCCAAAGAAGGCACAGCTGTACCAATTCTCCGACAGGGTGCAGGAAATGTCCTTGTCACCATCCACGCCGTCATATACTTGCGATGCAAGCAGCTGGCCGGAGACGGTGTCCACGACATAAATCGAAAGAGCAGATGCAGAGTTATCAATAGCAGCGACGACAATAATGTTGGGGTTTAAGTACTTGTAGTTGACTGTTCGATCTCCCAGCACACGGCCAATGGAGGCAACGGGATCATGGGGTGGGAGCTTGGCGATGCTCGCAATCTTCTGGCCTGGGAGCAGCTGAAGCTGCCAAATCTCGTGTCTCACAATTTCGCCATCTTCATTGACAAACTTGACTCCCTTGATGATGTCGTTCTCGTCTCGGACAACGATGGTCTGGTCAAGAGGGTGATCTTTCAGGGCATCGCCAATTGGCTTTCGATCCTGATCAAAAGCAAGCAGCCATTTGCTACCATCGCTCTCAACAACTGCAGCAGAAGAGACAATAGCCGAATCTTGGCCAGGACGAGCCTCGACAATTTGACCATCAGCCACCTTGATGACAGCAAACTCACCCTTGGAGCCTTGGACCGTGACTGTACCCTCCGAGTCGTTGACCACGATACCCTTCACATCCAGAGCGGCACCAGGTGCTTGAGGGAATACGTCAACAGACCAAACAATTTGGCCGTGATTTCCCGTGTCAAGGGCATAGAACCGACCTCGCCGGGTGGCAAGGATAATGATCTTGTTGAAACCAAAGGAGTCACGGTGAAGGCCTTCCGTCTTTGATACCACGACGGCACCGCCAGTAATGCTCTCAATGACTCGAGTTGGGATAGACGCAAGGTAGTCAGGGAGATACTGGAGATCATTGATGTGTCGAGTGAGGCGGTGGACATAGGCATTCCATGGGTTGGTGTGTGCCTCCTCAGCGAGCACTTTGGCCAGATCCTCAGCCTCTGGAATCTCTGCCCAAGCCGCAGCGACAGCGCCGCTGAGGCCCTCATGGCGACTCCAGTCGAGCTTGCCGTTTCGAATGAGAATCCAGTCTTGTGCGGCAGTGACAGTAGCAGAGCGAATAGCAAACTCTTTGCCGCCAGCCTTTTTGATGACTTCAGAGACTGCGTGGATAGCTCCTGTACGGGCCTCGGGGGCGAGAGAGTCACGGGCCAGGACGCTGTGCGAATCGGAAGACACAACAAGCACCTCGTCTTCAGTTACACGGGTGAAGTAGACATTTGCGCCCTCTGAGCTAGTAGAGAAGGTGCCAAGTCCGGGGAGCAGGGGGAGCTCGTATGCTCTGGTAATGCGGCCAGACTTCAAGTCGGTGTGGAAGACCTCGCCCTTGTTGCCGGTCGTGGTGCGGGTGTGAACCAAGAAATGGGGCTGAGACTGGACCAAGTGAGGAGCGTGGATGGCGATGGAGACGGTATCGGCGAGAAGGGGGAACTCTTGCTTCGTCTTTGTGCCGAGAACATGGACGTTCAGCTTGGTCAGGTCGTTGCTGGCCCATGCCAGAATCGGAGCTGCCGAGTTTGCACCAACAAACATGACATCGCTTGGCTCATGGACTTCGCCCTTGGTGCCAACCGTCCAGTGGTCAACTCGTCCTCCCGTCGCCGGCTCCAAAGAAGTGACTTTCAAGCTGTACGAAGAAGGCGAGCCGTGAAGACTGACAACGTAGACGTTGGTGAGGCTGGTTGATACCTGGAGAGGAATATCCTTGGAGACCTCGCGAAACTCCCAGACAATGGTTCCCAAAGCACCGTGGAGCCTCCGCAGAACGGTGACGCCATCCTCGTCAGACAAGACGAGGACATCCTTTCGCGCGCTCTCGGTGAGCTCCATGATCTCCAAGTCCTTGACCTCGCCGCCAAACTCGACGTCCCACAGATTCCTGCCGCTCAATGCAGCCCACGACTGGACTCGCTGGCCATACGCGGCCGCCACCCAGTTCTCGCCCTCGGGAGCCCTCAAGTGGCCGCCGCCATGGGAGACGCCGTCAGCAATCTGCTGGCGCCAAACTAGAGCGCCCGAATTGGGGTTCACTGCTCCCAGAATGCCAGCATCGCTGAGCGTGTATAGATAGCTCGCTTTCTCGTCCTTTTTCGGCCGGTGGAAGAAGGTGGTTTCGACCTGGGGGACGCCGACCAGGGCGTGGTGGAAGTCGATGTCGCCAACCTCGTCCTTGAAGACGGCGGCCACGAGCGACGACAGGCCCAGCAGCAGGGCCGATTGGAGTGTGCGCCGCATGTTGGGAGGGGGGTTGAGCTGCTATGCGATGTGGTTCATAGCTAGCTCGATGCCTCATCTGGAGGAGGGACGCAGCTTTGGTGGGGATGTCGTCAACGGCCACATTTCCCCGTTCCGAGGATGACTAAGCGGGAGCTTTGTCTCTGTTGCCAAGCTTGGCGGGTGCTCTTAACTATGCACAGCTACAGTGCTGTATCATTGCAGTAGATGCTCCCAGATTTTGTGCACATTTCTGTGATTAAGTGGAAATTCATACACTGTAATTTTTAATTGTGCAACTCATATTGCATTATTGACAGAAGTACATCTGGCTGGGAAATGTTAGCCAAAAACCTTTGCCAGTGCGGAATTGCCGAATACCGCCCGCCCCGAGTGAGGTTTTAGTAATACAGGATGTGGAAAGAAGAACTACTACTATTACAAACAAGGAAACACCACAAGTCCGTCTCAAAAAGGATCGACTGGGGCTCCATACTTTTATGCAATGATACAACGAATTACCGGGCGTGTGATTCGCCTGGTCTAAACGAGCCCGTTATAACGTCATACTGCTTGTCTCTTCGATATATGCTTACCTGGGTAATACACAAGACATCAAGGCAACGACCTAGCAATTGCGTGTAAGAGATATGGGCTGTTTTGTTCTTGACAGAAGATGGAGAGAAATAGTGTGAAAGTTTTAGTAGAAGAAAAAAGCCTTCCGTATGGCCATTCCGATAGTCAAATGTTAAGTGTAAAGCAAATCACGATAGTTTCGTCACCAAACAAGAAAACCGTCCAAGAAACCTCTTCGGCAGGTTCCGCCTATATGAAAAAAGCACACACATATTCACATACTACTCTCTCAAACTGCCAATCCTCTTCCGCGGATATATCTACATCTTCATCGAATCGCCCCAGCCTTGTTCACCCCACGATACAGCTGAGCGAGAGGGAAAAAAAACATACGATGAGTCGATGACTCTTTCTCAGTCTCGGAGTCTATCGCCTTTTCATCCTAACTCGTCTCCGCAAAGACAGTCTAGATCAGAAGGCAACTCGCAAAGATGGGACCCCTGAAACGCCCGATCAACTCGGTTCCGATTGCTTCCATGTGGCCTTCGCTCCGGACCGAACAATCAGCCCACCGAGGTGGAGCCCCCGTCATGCGCTGCTTAAAAAAAAATTATTCAAAAAGCTTGCCGGGCATCGCGTGGATTCAGCGTCTCCGGATCTCCGGTGCCCAGATTAGTGGGCAATGGCTGTTTTGTGGAACCTCGCAGCTTCTGCTGTCGCTGTGCGCTGCAGTGTTGCATACGAGGTTGTCAGCAGCAATAGGCCCACTGCCATTGAGCCGCAGGCGACTATGCGCGGAGACGCTGTAAACGCTCGGGAGGAACAGCCTAGAAGAGAGTTTTTTTTTTTTTTTTTTTTTTAGTAGTTAGGCTATTCGCTGTTCGGCATCCATGAGATGAATACTTTAATATTTAAAAGTATTTAAAAGGGCTGGAGCAGAAGTGAAGCTGGACCTTTTTCTTGCCTCGTTATTCAGACTATCGCTAACAACGCCAACAACTACTTGTTTCTCTTTATTGTTTTGTCTAGTTTTGTTTTGTTATTATAGAATAATCAAGACAAGTCTTACAATTGGTAAACCTTAAAACAGGATACAACGGCAACTCAACTCGTCAGCAACTACACGCATCGAAAACTTATATATACATTATATATATATATATATACAAGCCATCAACCCTCTTCTTGAACAACAAACAACCAAATCTGTTTCCTTTATAACAACACCAAAACCACCACCACCACCACCAACCATCACCATGGCCGCCCTCACCCCCGACCAGATCGCCATCATCAAGGCCACCGTGCCCATCCTGCGCGAGCACGGCAAAGTCGTCGCCACCACCTTCTACCGCAACATGCTCGCCGCCCACCCCGAGCTGCAGAACTACTTCTCCCTGCGCAACCAGCAGACCGGCGCCCAGCAGGTGGCCCTCTCCAACGCCGTGCTCGCCGCCGCCATCCACATCGAGCGCCTGCAGGACATCGCCGGCGCCGTCGACCGCATCGCCCAGAAGCACGTCTCGCTCTTCATCCTGCCGGAGCACTACCCCATCGTCGGTGAGCACCTCATCGGCGCCTTCCAGCAGATCCTCGGCGACGCCTTCACCCCGGAGATCAAGGACGCCTGGGTCGTCGCCTACGGTCTGCTCGCCGACATCTTCATCAAGCGCGAGGAGGAGCTGTACGCCGAGGCCGGCTGGCAGGGCTGGCGCGACTTCACCATCGACGCCAAAGTCGACGAGGCCGAGAACGTCACCAGCTTCTACCTCAAGCCCGTCGACGGCAAGCCGCTGCCCGAGTTCCTGCCCGGCCAGTACGTCAGCCTGCAGATCCCCATCCCGGAGCTCAACGGCGTGTTCCAGAGCCGCCAGTTCAGCCTGAGCCTGTCCCCCAGCCAGAGCACCGACCACTACCGCATCACAGTCAAGCTGGACAAGGACGGCCAGGAGCACACCGTCGAGGAGGTCGTCAGCGGCAAGGTCGCCGGCCTGATCTCGCAGCGCCTCCACGAGCAGTACAAGATCGGCGACGTGGTGCAGCTCAGCCCTCCCCACGGCGAGTTCACCTTCAGCGCCGCCGCGACCCCTGCAACCGCCCCCGTCGTCCTGCTCTCTGCCGGTGTTGGCGTCACTCCGCTGCTGTCCATCCTCGACACCATCCTGGAGAACTCGTCTCAGTCCTCTCGCCCCGTGACTTGGATCCACGGAGCACGACACTCTGGTGCTGTGACATATGGCAAGTACATCCGCGAGGCCGAGAAGAAGCACGGCAATCTGTCTACCAAGATCTTCCTCAAGAACGTCCAGGAGAGCGACGAGAAGGGCCAGCACTACGACTACGAGGGCCGCATGGACCTCGACGCCCTGGAGGCCGACGGCGTGCTGCCCCTGAAGGATGCCTCTGCCGAGTACTACATCTGCGGACCAGAGGAGTGGATGATCCAGACCCGGGCTGGCCTGGAGAAGAAGGGCGTCAGCTTGGAGAAGCAGCACCTTGAGCTCTTCCGCACCGGAACTATCTAATTGGGTGAAAGGATAGAGAGAGATACCTATGAAAAAAAAAAGATTGATTTGGGAAGAGCATATTAGGACGGGTAATAAGAACGAATTCATAGACAAAAAGATTTAGATGGATGTATATATATCTCTCCTCTCGCTGTGGTTGGCGTTTAGAAATTTATAGCAAAGCGTTGGATTTTCAATAAAGAATACCTAAATTAAATAATGAGACCTTCAAGACTTCAACATGGTGATGATTTATTTACTATACTTTCTCTTAAAATAGCCATCATAGCTTAGTGCTACTAACCTATAAGAAATATACAGATTCATGCACGCGAAACAACACCACTTGTGATATCAATAGAAAATCCCTAAATTAAATAACAAAGAGGTACAACTACAAAATATTATTTGCTGCCTATATTATTACTTACTGTTCTCTTAATATTACTGACAATCAACATCAACAGTAAGAATTATACATAATCACAATGGCGATACGATACGACACAAGGCGGTCAAGATAGTTGTAGGGTAAGAAAAAAATATTCAAGCATTTATTGTCTCCAACCAGTCTATCGTTGGTTTAGTCTAAATTCCACAAAAAAATGACATCTACTCTCCTCGAAATAATACAAGTTTATTTACACAAACACCCTATAAAGACCACATCATCGTCCATACGTCATTTTCTCACCCCCATGTTTAGAAAAGGGTAGCAAAGACACCAGCAACGAGAGCTACACCGGCAAAGGCAGCGCCGGAGACTTTGTTGATAGAACCAGCGCTGTGGGAGGAGGTGGAGGCAGGGCTGGAGGAGGTCTTGGAGGCAGAGCTGTCAGAGCTGGAGTCAGCACCCTTGGCGCTTCCAGCGTTGTTTGAGCCAGACTGGCCAGTCTGCGAAGGAGCAGTGACGAGGGTCGAGGGGGTAGAGCCCTTTCCGGTAGCGGTGGGCTTGGTGATGGAAGAGCTAGACTCAGACTCGGCAGGGCAGGTCAGGTTGAATGAGGGAGTGCCATTCAGCTTCTGGTTGATGCCAAACTTGACCTGGTTGGCAGGGTTGGAGTCACGCAGGTTGTACCAGAAGGTGGGAACCTTGTTGAACAGCATGCCGCAGCCAACCTGGTCCCAGTAGGACTTGGCGTTGTCGACACTAGGGACAGCCTCGTCCCAGCTGGGGCCGGTAAGGGGCCAGCCGGTCTCGGTCACCCAGACAGGCTTGCCGTTGGCAACGCCGAGGGTGGTCTGGTAAGCCTGGTTGAAGAGCTTGCCGGCATTCTCAATCTTGTTGCCCTTGCCGGTCTCGTAGAAGGGGTACTCGTCAACACCGATCCAGTCGACGGCGTCGAGAACCTCCTTGTTGGTGCTGTTAACCCAAGCATCCCAGGTGTCGACGTGTCCAACGGGGACGCTGGAGAGAGCAGTGTTGGCAAACTCCTTCTTGTAGGCGTTGATGAAGCTGAGAATCTCATCGGGGCCATTGCCGACACCGGCCTTGTTGGTTCGTCCAGTGGCCGAGTCACGGTACAGGTCCTCGCTGCCGATGGAGATGCCAATGACGAGGTCGGTGAAGTCGGAGCCGTACTGCTTGACGGCAGCGCTCAGGGCGGCAAGCTCGTTGTTGATGTTGGAGGTGCCAGAGGCCCAGACACCGAGGAGAATCTTGGTCTTGGTCTTGATGGCAGCCGAGAAGGCCTGGATGGGGGTGTTTGTGGAGTAGGCTTGGATGTTGGTGTAGAGACGGACGGCGTTGAAGGTGCCGGGAGCGCCAGCAAGCTTCTGGGCCGTGGTGAACTCGGCCAGGAAGTCGGCCTCGAACTTGGCGGACTCGTCGGGCAGGGTGGCGCCAGAGTTGAAGCCCAGGTAGTTGTTCTGTCCAGCAGAAACACCGGCCGCAAGGGCAGCACCCGCCGCAATGGTCGAAGTCAACTTCATGATGAATATGCGAATTGGTAGCGAAGATTTAGAGATGGCAGAGAGCGTGATGTGCGACGAGCAAAATGTAATGTAATGTAGGGAGTGCGATGAATCTATTTTCTATTGAGCAGTGAATGAACGTCTCCGGGATGGTAGACAAAGAATGAACGTCGCAGCAAGAAAAACAATGCAATGCAGAAAGATTAAAGAAAGCTTGGGGTTTCAAGCAAGATAAAAAGAGCGTCTGTGGGTGAGAGAAAGGGACCAGCGCTTTTGAGCTGCAGCGTCGCGAAATTGCAGGCAGGGGGAGGCGACGGCGGCTGGGAGCGCTGCGGTCACGTGCGCTTCAGGGACCAGGTGCCTGTAGCCTGTACAGTAGGCGGTACCTGCATCTCCTGGACCCAAAAAGTTGAAACAGGAGTGCATAGCCCCCCAGCGCCTAGCCGCATTGGGCAGCAGCTGGCACACCTGGCGCTTCTAATTGGCAGCTGGACGGCTATGGCCGAGTGCACAGACGTGGAAACAATACGAGCTCGACCAGCAAACACGCAGTGTGAGCAGAGGTACCGCGACGCACAGCTGTCAGTATTGTGGGCAAGATCTGCGCTGAGACGAGATTTGTTATGCTTCCGTGTTATTGTTTTTTTTTTTTTTTTTTTTTTTTTTCCCCCCTTTTTTTTTTTTTTTTTTTTTTTTTTTTTTTTTTTTTTTTTTTTTTACCCCCTGTTGTTTGTTTCTTGTTTTCTCTGTTTCTCTCACTTTTCTTTTCTCTCCCTTTTTTTTCTTTCTTTTCTTCTTTTCTGAGCCTTGACGGGGTTACCATACTGAGATAGGTAGGCATCTTACCTAATACCTAAGGTACACTCCATACAAAAATGCGATATGATATACCTACCTACATACTATGTAACAGCAGTAGGATGGCTTGATACCGCATTGAAACACCGTCTCACATAGCACGAGTATGCCAGCCACCGGTGCACAATTTGCACATCCAGAGATGAGTCTCGTATCAAGCACTACGGCCCAATGAGAATAGAGCACATACTGGTAGCAGTGCGTAGCAAGGGCTGGTGTCCCCCCTCAGGGCGAAATGAGTGGCGCGCTGGAGCCATGTTAGTCGCCCAGTGCAGATCCATGTTTCCGTTCATCGCACCGCGACGGGACAACATGGACCTTTCATGAAAGAGGGGTCTCGTCTTGTTTATATACTCCGTCGGAGTATGGAGTGCTTCTTGATATTAGCCTGTATTATGACAGCAAGTGCTGCAACAAATAAGGTACATCGGATATCGCATACAGGTTTTATAGTATTAGACCAGCGGCTATTTTTTTTGTCCCCCCACTTGGCATGTCAGCACCAGCAACTATGGCCGAGGTTGAGTGGAGATATCCTCTGGGGGCCGCGAGAAGGCCGGGAACTCAATCCACAGCGTGGCTTCTAATTTGCTCCTGGTTGCTTTCACATGCACCCCGAAACCTGCTTCAGCTACTATTGTTCTATGTTGGTTCTCGATGGGACAAAAATACACTACCCTGACTAATGGAATGGAGATCATTTCGGACAGTGAGGGGGCTGGCGGTGCTATTACATACAAGTACAAGCATACCTATTTAGTTACTGTCTTAAGTTCGCCTGCTGTAAAGGGATAATGGACCCTCACCAAAGCAGGGCAGCACCGGGAGCCAAGCGAGATTGAACATGTAGGGGAAGTTCCAGACTGTGTAGGGATAGAACAGGTGGAAGCTTGAACTTTTGTCTTTGACAATACCTGGGGTGCCCGGTGAATTCACCAGTAGCTTTGGCCGGCAACTTTCGCCATTGGGTGGCTCGCCGGGCAGAATACTGGGACTCGAGCAGCTAGCCTCTAACGGTAGCTCTGAAGCCGAGAACAGGACCAAGACTCGTAGCCTATCTTGCATGAAGTTGAACAGGGTGCATAGGCTCGAAGTCGTATTGGCACTAATTGGCCGAGACGGTTGCCAGAGACCACTTTTTATCATGTCATGACTCTCACAACTCGGAATCATCTCCAGCATTTGGTTGCCATTTCCCGCAGTTATACGGACGTAAACTTATCCATATTACTGATCAGAAAGGTTGGCCAAATACCTTCCATATATGTCGGTAGGTCGGGTGTTAGTCGTTGCCTAAAAACCAGCTACATGGGGATTGTCGCCTTGGCTCTTGTCCAGCGTGAGGCCTCCCTGACTCTGCCCGGACTCTGCCAAAAAAGAGCCGTGACTCAGCGCTGGGACGAGCCGCGAGGGAGGAGCCGAAATGCCCGTAATTGCCGCATTCGGCCGATTGGTGTGTTTGGCGCTCGCTTGTTTCTGATAGGATGGCACAAGCGCGCGGAAGAGGATAGATCCGGGACTTAGCTGCTAACCGCGAGGCAGACTTTCTGCTGGTCTTCCATCTTCATTCTGTCACTCCCCAAGCGGATACGATTATGGGGAAACCGACGAACGAGCCGCATGCCCTATTTAGCCGGGCCAAGGCTGGGCGCGGGCTGTGCTTACGCTGCTGCAGCTCCCAGATAGGCAAGTATTACTAGCGAGCGACTCGGAGAATTTCCCGACTTTCGCTTCAGCCCAGCGATTATTAATTCCACGCTCTCGATCCTGGCTGCGGCGCGTCTAAGCAGCTCGTGCTGTGGCGATGCTGCGTCAATCTGGGCTGTTAAGCGCGCCCCTTTGCCTGTCTCCTCGTGATCCATATTTGCAGCATCGTCTATCAGTGACATCTCGCGGCTGGAAACAGGCCATCGCTACTGGGATATTCGTCTGCTGGTCGTCTGCTAGTCGTGCCAGCTATTTACCGCAAGCGGATACAAGTCATCGTTGGCAGAGAATCCCGCCTGCTGACTTTGGCATAGGCTCGATGCCAGCATATCCAGACGACAAGCGACGGATACGAGGTGCCAGCTTATTGACGACATGGCTGGGCTCTAGCGCGCTTATCGTCTGCCCAGCGTCATTCGGCGTCTGGGTCGGGGCTTATAGCACTCAGATGCTCACCATGTTTCTCACCACCCTTAACCGCGCCGCGTTTGCCCGGTAGCCGTCTCGACCGTTTAGTCTTTTGCTTCTCCCCGCCGTTAGACCCGCCCCAATGCAGCCCTGTTCGGATCCGCCGTGGTTCTATCCGCACGATGTGCCACCTATTCGGCTTTCGGTCTAGCTCGGACTCCAGCCGGCTGGTTCGCCAGGAACCGTTGGATTTGCCGCAGCGGGAAAATTGCCCAAAGTGCGAGGCAGCAACGTACATTGGTTGCATCGTTTGTCGTTTAACGGTCTTAATCTCACCTCGGCGACCACCGTTGAGGCTGGTTTGCTAAAAACAACTAGCCAGTAGTCGCAGTCTTTCTTTACCTAGAGCCGGCGTTCTAAGCCCCTGGAAGGCCAAGCTGAAGCAGCTCAAGCTCCCATTAGTCCACTCTAAACTCCTGTCTATCCCGTTGACTCTGTTCCTATTTCCAATAGCTTCGTGCACGGGCGAACTGTCATATTTTACCGCTCCTCCTACAGGGCAGAAGCGGAGCCTGCCCCATGACAATCACAAGAGAGCTAGGACTATCTTCTCCTAGCAACTGAATCAACTATGGCTTCAGATCAGCCTTGAGTCAGACTAGTTGGCAAGGCCACCAAAGAGAAAAAAAAGAGTATGACAAGATCACAACACTGCAAGGACGTGGGGGAGTTGGGCCAGTTGTCAGCACAAAGAGCCACCCCTAGCTCCCCAAACCCCCCATCCCATGCAAGCTGCAAGCCATCTTAACTTTGCAGACTTTACCTTGTCGTTTCCGCTCATTACTCACTTCCCTTCCCACCTCAGCGGAACGGTGATCTTCCGCTGACAGTCGACCCGTATATTGCCATTCTTACTTGCCCTCTGCCTGGCAACAACGCCTTGCGAAGGATTTCCCATCATTTCAACCCAAGTCACTTGCTACGTCCTACCGTTGTCCTAACTCCCTATTGACACAATAAGCTTCATCCATGCTGGCAGAAGGCAGATTTTCTTGAGAATTGCGGCATTAGGGTTAACACACGCACACCAAAATATCTCGCAACCACACGTACGGTGCATACCTTTTTGGGAATGAAGACAACAAGGCCTTTTGAAGAGGGTCTGTGTGGTAGACCAGTTGATATCTTTCAAGCTTCAACAGATGATATAAACTTGGGATCCCATCTTCTGCCACTAGAACACAAGATATCCAAACAGCCAACAGCAGCGATAACCGCAACAACCTTAGCAACCTCAGCAACCCAAGCAACCAGAACAAGAACAAGACGAACAACAGCGTCGCTTTTTATATTCCATCCCAAGCTCCATCCCGGGCTTCGTTGTGCACCTAAGCGACCAATCATGTCTACTCCTCGAAGCGGTGGTAGTGTGAGTTCCAGGGGCTCTTCGTCCCGATATGTGGAAAAGGCTCGGGTAAGTTACATCTTTCCACCATTATTGCGACAGACAACTTCTTGTTCGACTGCAATGGAAACCATGTGCAGATGGATACATTTGTACATGAATGTGTGAACATGCACGAGTTACTTGCCTAAGGGAGAGAAAGAGAGAGAGAGGGACTCAAGCTGCTCAACTTCAGATGCAAGACGATGCAAGACGATGCTATACAGTCAAGGCCAGATGCTAACATTGCCTGCATAGTCCTCCACCCAGCAACTGGTAGACTCTCTCAACACCCACCGCATCAACACCCTGACGGAGCTCTGCCGCATCGAGCGCATTGCCGCGGCATGCGACTCCGAGGCTGACGCTCGGGCCTTTCAACAGCCCATGACTTCGGCCTGGATCCACTACGTTACGAGCAACCAGTTCCTCATGGAGCTCCGCGGTCTTACGCCAAACTATCCGCTGAGTGCGGACATTGTTGCGGAAGCACATCGCCGTGTGCGTTCAGACCCGGAGAGCAACCGCAGCTGGAATCTGGCCTGGCTGTGCCTGACGCGGATGCGAGACGACGGGCTGGTGAGGATCTTTTCGGACACAGAGGCGCGCAGGCCCGAGATGTGGGGAGGCAAGGTGCCGAGCGAGAAGATGGTGCAGCAGCTGGCCACCTGCTTTGAAGACGAATGGAGGACTGCGATTGAGACGATGTTGAGACACTGGGCGACGCAGCCGACCTGGTATTAAGCGCGTGCGTGTTTCTCTGGTTTGTGCGATGGGATATGGGCCGGGAAGCGGGAAAGCATACTGTCGGCGTGCAGGCGTGCTTCTGGATATCTGCTTCTTGTTTTTCTCTTCTCTTCTTTTCTCTTCCCTTCTCTTCTCTCCTTCTTATCGTTTTGGATGTTTGTCTTTTTTTTCTTACTTGACAAATGTTGTTCTCTTGCCGTTGTTGGTTTTATTCCTGTTTCTCTCCTTTGCGTGTCTTGAGTGTTTTCTGCACAGCCATAAACGATGCCATGTGTGGACTTTTCTTTTTCTTCTGCTTTTTTTTTTCTACCCCTTTGGCTGCATACCCACATAGTGTTGCTTTGCGGGATCTCCTTTTGCGTTCGGCTTTGGCAGTGGAGCGATGGGATTCAGCGATTCTCTCTTGTTGCGCTTACTTTTTTTGGAGGCTGTTTCGTTCCTCTTGTTACCTATTTAACAGCATGTTTTCCTATGCTGTTACTAAAAATGGGAAGATTTAAATGAGAGGCTTTTCTTTTCTTTTCTCTTCTTTTCTTTTCTCTTCATTTTGCCTTCATTTTTCGGACGGCATTGATGCTGTTCCTTTTCTGTTCAGCGTTATCAGTTTCTTGGGGATGGATAGTTGTATATAGTGTAGAGTATATAGATAGACTCATAGTGTAGTTATACCAATGACACGCCTTCGCCTGAAGCTTGGCCCCCCTGTAATGTGAACAACTTCAGACTTACAAATCGTCGACGCCACCCATCATGACGAATGAGGAATTAACTACCTGATCTAGTAATGACGAATGCTGTTGGCACAAGAATGCTGAATAAAGAATCCTTTTCCGTAACTCCATGTTATGTGTTGCTGGGCCACTGTATATACCCCGCTGCCACGACTTATAGCGAATTACATGCACTTATAGCGCATCTCACTTACACCTTATAGCGGGCAAGCCGAGCGGCTTCGGAGTCGGAGTGGGGCGTTTTCGCTTCGGCGAGCAAGAAGAATAAGTGATTGGCCAAGCTGCACTGCTAACCAATCACATTGTATGGACACCCTTTCAAAACGTAAAACGAAGAGACAACAGCAACAACACCATGCCCATCATCTGATAAAGCATCATTCGGCTACTTAGCCCGAGGCCGCGTGCAACGCTGACGCCGAGGAGTTCGCAGACGACTTGTGACTCTTTTCTTCCTGCTTCTAAATTGAATCCTCGCTGATTGGATATACTGCACTGTCTCGAAAGGCTGGACTGTGGATTCTGATGAAGCCCTCTCCACTATTCACTGCAATCAGTCGGGAGATTAGTAGTATCAAGAATAGCCACATAAGGCATTAGGTAGTTACCTTGTAAAGAAAAGGCCCCACAGTCCAGCCTTTCGATGGGCTGAGGTAGTAGTACTCCGTAGTAGCTTCAATGCTGGGACCCGTACTCCGTGTATGTACTCCGTACGTGGCTTACTACTGCGTGCCCGGCGAGTATATCCGGTAAGGTCGGTCTCGAGCCAGACCGGTGAAACGAAAACGGACAGCGCCAAGATCGGACAGATGAGTCGTTGAACGGGGTGCTAAGCGAAGGCGATGGGTAGATGAGAAATGAAGGCTGCCAAAGAGCGTGCGTGGTCGGGATGGAGGAGCCATATCCACGACGGACTGACGTCGTCAATTATGGGCCTGAGGTCGGAGCTTATACGGAGTAATAAACATCAGGATCGGCCCTCAAATCTCGAGCACTGTAGGATTTGACGGTTCCATGTGATAAATGGGAGTAAAATAAAATCGAAAAGTAGTAGCTGTACACATATCTCTGCTGACGAATCCGGCACATGTTGTGTGTCTTATGACACAAACCCATACTCTTCGTTGATAGGGTAAAGATGCAATGAATGCACCAGGCTTCGATGATGCTATACTGTAAGTCTATCAACTTAAGGATATAGTGGCAGATGCTTACAAACCGACCTATCCGGAAGATTGGTAATAGCAGCAGCTATAGTAACGACGGCATAGGAAGGCCTAGACTCCCGGGCTCTGCTCGCACTTGGAGGTGGAATCGCATATGCCCTTTACTAGTAGGTGTAAGTGTCGTAAGATTCACAGCCCTAAACAAACAAGCCTTTTTGGCCCTAAGAGAGCCGCCCCAGTTTAGAAACCAGTTGCTGCCATATACAGCTATGCAAGGGGGGAGAATACAGCCAAAACAGGAAACAAAGGAAGCCAAAAAAACGGAGAATCCGATTTTTTAGCCTCTTGCCTCTTAGAAGCAGAAAGTCGGCTTCGGAGCCAAGAGCCGCTACTCTGGTGGGCGATGGTGGGGCGCGGTGGCCTGTGGTGGAGAGAATCGAGCCTTGCTTACTCGTTTGGACAGCTCAAGACGAACCCTTGTGTGTGACGACAGGCAGTTTCAAGCCATCTAATAGGTAGACATATGACAGACAGGCGTTGATACGCATTGCGTGTATATATATATCAAGTGTGGGAGCTACTACGTATGCCTCTTTCGCGGCCTTGCGGAATCCTTTTTAGCCTGCTTTGAAAGCCTACTAGAACGGGAAAGATAAAAACAGAAAGAATAAGAGGGAAAACAAAAGAAGAGCGAATGCCGGGAAAGAAAGAGACGGCCATGGAAACTGCCATCTGCTCATCTATATCACAGGCTGCGGGACTTGGAGACGCTTTTTGGAGAGCAAACCTACGAGACGTTGCAGTCATGGCCATGCCTCCAGATGCGAACCAGAGCGAGAACAAGCCTTTGAACAAGGGGAAGTCGTTGATGCCAGGTATGCAACACTTGTTTTCTTTTACTTTTTTAGTTATTCATCATTTGATTTCCTTTTACGTTTTTCCTTTTGTAAAAGTTTAAACGAAAAAAAAAAAAGAAAAAAAGACGCCAATGCATGCATGGGATAGAATGACTCACCGTTACTTTCTGTTGACAAAAAGTATTAGTTGTGCCGCCATCCCTTGCGTCGTCGTCGATGTCGTCGTCGTCTGTGTTTCCAGTCCAAGTCAAATCCGAGCACAGCGTGATGGAACTCCTCGCACTGGAGTTTTCATCACTGCCGGACAGAGAAATGGTGCCTGAGGGTTCGGACTCGGCAGCCGGACAGCAGCAGCTTACAGCGCCAGGGTGTAAGTCGAGTTCAAAGTCAATGCAATGCAATGCCACGATTTGAGACAACAGTGCAGTCTCGCCTTGTATATTACTATGAGCTAACAAAGAGAGGAAACAGCATCTAGTCAGCCAATTGCTACTTCAAACACCCCGACGAACAATCTCATCACTAAGACGATCCGCGCGGCCATGTCAGACATCAACAAGCCAACGTGAGAGGGCTTGAAAAGTCTCATTGAGGCCAGAAAAACCAACCAACAAACTGGGTATCCGATTGGGGGAAAACACAAAGCAAAGCATAGCGGGCGTCCCTTTTTCGTCTCTTTCTCTTTCTCTTTCTTTTTCCTATCCTATCCTATCCTTTCCCCTATTCACTCACCGTCTTCTTTCTGCTGGATTCTCAACCGCGGCAAGACGTCGGCGCAATTGGAGTCAAAAGAGTCGGCGCATCATCCTACGACAGAATCGGTAAGTAAAAGCGAGAAACTCAAGACGCCATCGGCACTAAGGAGGAGACGGCCGCCGGCATGTTGATCAGGCAGTAATGCTAACACACATCAATTGACAGCACGCGAGATCGCAATCGCCAACAGCCACTGCCGGCTTGAACGATGCAAAATATGGAGAATGGGGGTTGCATTGGCGCTTGTCCGAATTGAGCTCGCCGAGAGCCGCGCTTTTTGATGGTCGGCTTCGGCTTATTCTCCGGTCGTTCAATTGTTGCGTGAGACGCTGGATCGGCTTCGGACTTTGCTGCGCGGTGAAGGCAGGGGAGGAGCTGCGTCGTATAAATGAAGCACGAAGACACCACGTCGACTGTTTGGATTCGCGCGTTGGCCAGCACTTGGCAGGACGTGGTGGTGTTGGATGCTTGTCTTCAATGTCTCGACGCCGTGTTGCTGAGAATCTGCCAGTAGCTGCTCTTTCAACTGCCGGAGCGAGGGAACCCAAGTCGGAGCTTTTCCCCCCACGCACGTGTTTCTGGAAAGTACGAAGCCATCCATCATGTGACGGGCAGTTGAGGAGAATCAATGACGAGAGCGGGGGAGTTGTCTTTGATGAGGATAGACAGACACATGCATACATGTATGTAATGCTCTGTTTTGTATAGAAGCTGACCAGCAGTATTGGGTGCTGGTATATTCCTGCTACAATGATAGCAAGATTATATGAAGCATCTGACTATATCCTATCCTTGATGGGCTCTTTCCAGCGTGCACCGGGCATGTGCCTACATAGAAATACATACAAACATGCATCATCATCATCAGCTTCTTCTTCTTCTTCTTCTTCTCTTCTTCCCCACACGCTCAGCACCACAAAGTACCACATCGCCACATGGCTCCAGACCAATCAATCTCCATCTTGTCTCAAATAGTAACTCATAGGTAACCACCACCACTACCATCTGAAGCCCTTTTTTTTTTTTTTTTTTTCTTTTCTTTTTTTTCTTTCATCCCCAGCCATGCCACCACTATAACTAGCCGCCTCTCTAGCGAGGCCCAAACCCTCCAATCGCGTCGCTGGCGCTGGCGCATGACCCGCTGCAAGGGTCGGGGAGAGGCCACTAAACGGTTTTGCTGCGGGCCGCTACAGGCGCTGCTGCAAGGTCGGTCTGGTGGCCTGGCCAGGTCAAGTCAGCTCCAGCAGCCTGTCTTTTCCTACGTTCTCTCCTCTCTTTTTATTTGCGTCTGATTTTCAGCTGCTTCAGCCTCACCGAGCCATCTCTTAGACTTTCCACACCCTCCTCTTTTTTTTTTCGCCTCTGTTCAGCTACCAAACACCCGCAATATCGCATGCCATAAAAATACAAATACAAATACACGTACAGACCATCCCCCACGTGCAACAGCCCAACTGATAACGCTTCGCTGCAGCGCCTGCCCCGCCACCCACCCGCTGCTAAACCCCATTCTGCCGCTATTTTACTGCCTAGTACGTGCTATCGCCCGCTAGCTCTCCCCACCGCCTACCTGCTGCTTTCAGCTGTGATTTTTTTTTTTTTTTTCTTCAATAGTGTGATAATAACTTGTTGCCCTCGCCTCTTACCTTCTTCTTCCTCTCTCCTTGTCTCCCCCAATCCTCTTCTCCAGTACAGCAGCATTTGCAACATCTGCTCGCCATTGAGTGGATTTTCATGTGCTGTATTGCTCACTTATAGGATTACCGGCAAGCGACTTGGAGTCTTTGCGCTTGCTGTACGATTCGTACATAGGGACGAAGAAAGACTCCACCGATTCGGAGCTCCAACATCGCATCCAGCATCAACATCGAGATACCCCAGAGACGAAAGCCGTCCCTATACTTGCGCATATCCACCACTATAATCCCGCAGGTATGCTCTGAGGCACGCAATGGGCCACATAAGCTTTTGTCCATCTTTCAGTCGAGCGCATCGTTCTAACGCCACACTTGCTAGCAATCAATCAAATTGAATGACCCGCTCAAAGCGCCTTCAAGCAACAGCAACTCAAGCAACAGCATCCCCAGCAGCATCCTCGGCAGCATCTTCAGCTTCAGCCTCTGCTTCCCAGCCTCTCCTCTCCTCCAATTCCTCCTCTTCCACCTCTGCTCCATCTTACGGCACCACCGCCAGCATGTCCAACCCCGCCCCGCCGTACGTCGAGGCCTACTCCAAGGCCGGCTTCTCCACCACCGTCGTCTCGTCCGGCGACAAGAACGACGAGGGAACCGTCACCAACAACGGCGCCGAGGGCAACCACAATGGCGAGCAGGGCCCCGTCACCGACGCCACCCTCTCTGAAGGAATCCACATCCTCGAGGCCTCCTCCACCCACTGGTGGTCCTACCTGACCACCGTCGACTTCTGGGCCGTCATCGCCGTCGGCCAGGTCCTGTCGCTCTGCATCACCGGCACAAACACCTTCACGTCCTTCCTCGCCAACGTCGGCACCAACATCCCCGCCTTCCAGACCGTCTTCAACTACATCCTGCTCTTCCTCATCTACACCACCATCACCCTGTGGCGCGACGGCCCCCGCGTCTGGTGGGACATCCTGGTCAAGGACGGCTGGCGCTACATCATCATGTCCTTCCTCGACGTCGAGGGCAACTACTTCACCGTCCTGGCCTACCGCTACACCAACCTGCTGTCCGCCCAGCTGCTCAACTTCTGGTCCATTGTCTGCGTCGTCATCATCTCCTTCATCCTGCTGCGCGTGCGCTACAAGATCTTCCAGGTCATCGGCATCCTCATCTGCTGCGGCGGCATGGGCATCCTGCTGGCCTCTGACCACATCACCGGCGCCAACGGCGGTCCGGGTGTCGACATGGTCAAGGGTGACCTCTTCGGCCTGCTGGGCGCCACGCTCTACGGTGTCTCCAACGTCTTCGAGGAGTGGCTCGTCTCCAAGCGGCCCATGCACCACGTCCTGGCCTTCATGGGCCTCTTTGGCATGATCATCAACGGCATCCAGGCCGCCATCTTTGACCGCAAGTCCTTCCAGGAGGCCCATTGGGACGGCTCAGTCGGCGGCTGGCTCGCCGGCTACACCCTCTGCCTGTGCATCTTCTACACGCTTGCACCCCTCATCCTGCGCATGGGCAGCGCTGCCTTTTTCGATATTTCTCTCCTGACTGCCAACTTTTGGGGTGTCATCATCGGTATCCACGTCTTTGGCTACACCATCCACTACCTCTACCCCATTGCCTTTGTCTGCATCATCATCGGCCTCGTCATTTACTTCCTCTCCGGCAGCGTTCTCGGCGACTCCAAGAAGCCCTGGCTGGGCGACAACCAGGAAGATGGTGTGGCTGGCTTTGGTACCGCCAAGCTGCGCGCCATCAACGCCGCTAGGAAGGCCCAGTTGAATGCTACTGGCACCGAGGCTGGTACCGTTACGGATGAGTAAAATACCAAAGTCAACCAAGGTGCAAAGAGGAAAGAGGACGAAGAGGAGGGAAAATTCGAATTGAATTATTATTCAAGAAAAAGAAAGAGATGGGAAAAACGTAATTGTTATTTACAGGGGTCATACATGAAAGAGATATAACCTACATCTATATCTATATCTATATATATATACCCAATACTGCCTTAATATGCTTTATATATGAGTATTTATTTCTTTGGATACGCGAAGAAAAAAAATATATACTCTTTTTTTTCTTTTTTTTCAGATTGAAAGTCTACCACTGTAGTCATTTCACTTTCACTTCTCTCAGTAATGTGACATGTGTGGCATTCTCTCCCTCCAATCGACAATTGCTTATAGACTCCTAAATTACCAACTCAATTATATATATATATATATAGACTAACTTGCTCTTTGTTTGTTAACCCTTTTTTTTTAAAAAAAAGTGTTTAAATCCCCCCCTTAGACCCCCTATAGATAGCCTGTTCCCACTACTATCCAACAGACATTAAGTTCAAAACGCTCATATCGCCAAATTCAGTCCCAGCCAGAGAATCCATTCATCCCATTCATATAATAAACTGAAAAAAAAAGGAGTAACCCCCGACATCAAATGTGTCTTTCAACACCCTCCCTCTTATCATAATAAAAGCCTTTCGCTGTCCAGTCTGCGCCGAAAGATTACCCCATATAGTAGAATAGAATATATATATATATATATAGACAGGCTTTACACACATATCGAGTGATTGATCGATACAAGTGTGTGTATGTATGTGTGTATGTATGTATGCGTGCATGCATGTATACGAATTGTGCATCATATAACATGTGAGTATAAAAGAGCAGGTCTCTGCAATTACATGTCTCCTTTCTTTCATCATTTCATTACTTCTTCTCTTGATCTGGTAAAAAAAAAAAAAAAAAAAAAAAGCCCCTGAGCGCAGCGCACAGGGACATCTTTTCAGTCGTAAGCTGTTTCCAACTTGATCAAGGAGAGAGAGTGTGAGTTTGCCTAAGACAGCACCACTTTCACCTCATCCTCTCCTCTATTTCTGCCATTGATCTTTTCTATGTGTTCAACCCCGTTGGAAGCTTTTCGGGTCGACGAGCTAGAGCTAGGCCGCGCGTCGTCTTTGAGCAGACCCATCCTTGTGTCGTGATCGCTCTGTAGCTGCTTGGTTTCCGTCTTGATGAGCGTCTTATCCTCAAGGCCTTCGATGAAGGATATATCGCCAACTCGGAACTTCTCCCGCAAACCCTCTACTCCAGGCGAAACGGCGCCTCGCTCTGGGGGCGGAGTCACGACCAAGTGGTCGGGCCACAGGATTCTGCGTGCTTCTTCTTCAGTCATGGGGGGGTCATAAATGTCCTCTGCCGACACCACACTCGTTCGATCCGAGGGAGTCGTTGATTCGTCTGAGAGCTCAAAGGAGCGTTGCCGGGGTGTTGTTGGGGTGGCCGTGTCATCGTCTTCTGAACCGTCGTGGCTCTCGTCAACGTTGACGACCGGCAGCAGCGGTGGTGGTGGATTGGCCTCTCTCGACTGGAACGGTGGAGGCGGGTCGCGAGCCAGAATATCCACATCGTCGTCGTCATGGCCAGCGTGCAACCGCCCGCCTTGTGAGGATATAGAGCCATTCCGAGTGAGCGGATCGACGCTGTCGTCGTCTTCGTCCGAGTCGTCCGAATCGTACAGTCCCTCGTCGTCTTCGCTTCGCAGAGTAATTGCATCTGCGCCATCGCCGAAGCCCCTCTCTTTGAGCATATCGGCTTCGGCCTTCAAGATTTTGCTTTCCGCCTTGTCCTCTTCCAGCGAGTACCGTCCTATGCTTCCCCATCGTATCCGATCGGCACGTAGAATGTTACGCATGAGCTGAAGTTCGTTTCTCTTGTACGTCTCGTAGAATCCTCGGTTGATCCTGGCAGCGGCCTGAAGATCCTCCAGGCCCTCCATCTCACCAAGAATCTTTAATCGAATCTCTTCCGGAAATTCGCTAACAACGCTGTGAATGTTCTCATGCGCAGCAGCCATTCGGTTTAGGCCAGCAGTGAGAAGCAACTGTGGCTCTGACACTTTGTGCTTCGACAACGCCCAGCCGTGGCTCTTTCCACTGATATCAAATAGGGTCAAGCCAGTGACGCTGTTGTAGATATCGGCAATTGATGCCCGAAACGCGGGAACAGGGTCACAGACGCCCCCGGGGTGAAGCGGTGCAGGAGGACTCGGCGTTGAGCGAAGCGTTTCCATCATTTGTGCCAAGCTCTTGGATGGAGGAGGAACGTTGGGAAGGTGTGACATGAGGCTGGGCTGTACGATGGTTGGCAGTAAGCCGAGTTCGTTGTACACCAGCATCATCCACCCTAGGTTGGAAGCGTCACACCAGTGGTTGCCCTTGGGACATCTCGGGGTGCTGGTCAGCGCCATGGCAGGTTGAATCGGTGATGCGAGGTGGCTGTCGAGTTCGGAAAGGGATATATGCTGATTAGTTTCCGATGACTCGTCCTGCGCCGGTGGCCGGATATATTCCTGTATTGTACTCCTACAACTTGCGTAGAGTTGATCAACCTTGGCGCAGCGAACCGCCCACACTTTATCCTTGATCTTCTTGGGCCAAGGTTTGCCATGCAAGTCTTTTTCGTCAGCGAGATTGAGTATAGCGCTCTTGGACATGCGAGTAAATAGCTGACGGAGGCCAAATGCATAGCTAATGATGAGGAGTCCATCCGGCATGTCATCAGCCCCCTTGTGCATCCACTGCGGCAGCCACCGGTGCTCGACGACCAGTTCCAACGGCGACGTGCTTTTGTACCGCAGGGAGCACTCTGCAATGGCGACAAATTGCTCAAATGTAACGTCCCTGGGGACTTTATCGTTGTGCATATGAGCGGCGTGGAGCAGGATTTCGAGCGAGCCAAAGCGGTTGAACTCTTGCTGCGGCATCCGGTACAACTTGACCTCGGATCCATCGTCACAGAAGTACGGCACTGGCGGGGGCGGGAGCAGATCCGTGATGTCGTCAGTTTCGTGGAGGTAGAGACTGTTGGGATGCCCGGAAAACAAACGCGCGAAAATGGGCGACGTCTCTGATAGCAAGGCGGAAGAAGCACGGAAGCGCAGCACAGGCTCGTTGCCAGTCGCATCGGGTCCGAGGTTGGCAAACTCGAGAACAACGTCACCACGAGGGGCGATGGCAAATTCCTCGACGACTCTAGCCGGAGAGATGCCCGATTCTCCGGCTTGGAGCAGTTTTCGAATATCATTGAGCTCTTGCTTGACTTTTTCGTAGTTTCTAAATCGTATTTCGTACCGCGGAAACTGTATTCATTAGCATTGCTCAAGACTTGAGAATAAAGAATAGCGACGCTGTCAATCGCTGGACTCACAAACTGGGGATCTGCAGACAAAATCTTGGTGACGCTCGCATTGCGCATTCGGTGGACTGCTTCTCTTCTGAATTTCTTGCTTGAGAACAGAGCCTCGAGCATTTCCGGCGTCGCATCTCGTTCATAGCTCTTGTAAGTCTCGGCAAGGCTGGTTTTGAAGTGCTCCGTCAGCACCTCGAGACATGCCTTCCAGTCACGGATAGGAGTAAGCCACAAGTCCCCGCCATGATGACTCCTGCTTCCGCCATTTGTGACTACCTCCGCCAGGCTGCGGCCGCTGAAGGAACTTCTGTGGTCGAATAGAGCGCTTGGACTGCGAGGGGTGTCTGCTAGAGAGTCGTGGCGAATCAAGGGGAGGGTATCGTTGGTGTCGGAGAGCTTGCGAGGTAGCTTAATCTCCTCTCGCAGGATGGCATCGCAGAGGGCGGCGCATCGCTTGCTAATCTTGTCAAACTCTTTGTAGGCGCCATCAACGTGGTTGGGGCCCGAGGGAGCGCCTCGCATGCGCACCACAAGAGCTTGCAGCTGGTGGTAATTCGACTTTGATGTTTCATGAATAGAGCTGATTTCGTGGATGGAGGGTTCGTGGGAGTCGTTGTCGACAGATGAGCTGCCATGCTTGTTCTAGGCCGGGTGTCAGTTATCAGTTAATAGTGATCTGGGCAGAAGCAGTAGCAGCAAACAGCGTGAGGCATGCCAGACCCAAGCTGAGTTGCTCGATTCGGCGATGCAGCAGATGAGACAGACAGAGGGGCGGCCGCTGGGATTGGACAAGAGAAGGCGGAGAAGGCGACGACACCGAGGCTTGACTAAGGCAAAAAGCAAAAACATACCGTCGCATTCTTGTCGTCCTTGCTGGAGCCGCTGATGCTCCCGAATTTGCGGAGGGCCGAGGGGATGCGCCACCTCTGCGACGAGGCGGTAGAGGAGGCGCCGCCCTCGCTGTTGGTGCGATGCATCATGCCGCTCTTGTAGAGGTCGCTGCGACGACGGCGGGATGCGAGGAGAGGAGGTTAGAGGGAGGGGAAAAAAAAAGGATTTTTCAGAGTCGCTGCTGAGGCGAGGCGAGGTGAGGCGAGACGAAATGGGCCGACCGGCCGAGTCGACAGCGAAGCGAGGGCGAGGAGAGTAAGCAGGAAGAGCGAGGTCGAGGCGGAGAGACGCAGATGGAAGGCAAAAGGCGATTGGGAACAGCGGCGGGCTGGTGATGCTGCTGCGCGGCGTCGTCGTGGTGTGCTCTGTCAAGCCTCAATGTCCAAGGCAGCGTCGGTGCCAGCATCCGTCGGCAGCATCGTTTCCGAGGATGGAGGGCGAGGACCAGGACCAGGACCAGGACCAGGACGCAGAGTCGTCGGCGATGAAGGCGCGAAGAAGAGAAGCAGCGACGGGCGACGGTGTGCAGGACAAGGAGAGGCGAGAGAGGCGCGCGAAAAGACTCGACGATGACATGCGGTCGTTCGATTGTCCGGCCGGCTAGTGTCTCGAGATCGGAGACATGGGGAGAATCCGGGGTAAGAAAGTTCGAGTCCAGTCTTTGTGCCCTGCTGGCCGTTTAGCGAGACCCAGCGCGCAGTCCACAGGAGGGGGAGCAGACTTGGAGGGGGAGGGGAGGGGGGGATTTTCAGCGGGCTGCAGGTCACTAAGACCCAAGTGTTGAATTGCTACAGGCGGTAGTTACAGGGCTTGGCACAGTGCAGTGCAAGAAGAATGCTAGCAGCTGCACGCCTAGGTATTGTTACATGTACATGAATATAGTCCTAGGGAGGCATGTAGAGCAGGTTCTAGTCCTAAGGGTTGAGCACAGTGCTGCTGTCTGCTGCTGCTGCTTATACCGCCGGTGCAGCGATCAAATAGTACTTGAAACGTGCTTGTTCGCCTAGCCAACACAGTCAGCTTGCAATCAGATAGCCAGCCAGCAGTGCGACGTAAGCTAGGCTCTGTGTGTACAAGTACGGGGAGCACGGCCTGCAAGGGACAGGGGAACTGGCGTGTCGTTGCGGCATGCGAGGTGGTATCGGCGAAGGGCCGAGTACAAACAAGGCACTGTTGCTTGGGTTAGTACTAGTAGTATTACTCAGTTCAACTGCTTGCGAAGGATTCGCCTTTGCGTGGGATGCTTGCAAAACCGGCACTGGGGACAAGGCTTGGAAATGCGCTGTGCACGTGAGCAGGGAATTTGCAAAATTGAAAATTGCTAGTACTACCTAGTAGTAATAAGAGAGAGGAGGCAACGAATACGACGACTCATGCAGCAGCTAGTCGGTTGTTAGTTGGCAGGATACAGCACAGCATAGCACAGCAGCCAAGGGGGTTAATGGCTAGGGCTTGCGCCACTGCTGTTAATAGTATTGTAGGTAGTTTGTTTAGGAAGAGGCTAAGGAGACTGGGATACAAGCTTAATTACTACTAACCTCCGCCACACAAAGGAAGAGAGACATCTGGACTCGAGCATCCAGCCTTGGCAAAGCGAGTCCAGTTTCAGCAGGTGGAGAGACCAAGGCCCCTTCGTGAATAAGAAAGAGCCCTTGGTCTGATGCTGCAAACATGCCTACAGGAGCGAGTGGTTTGGCTGGATAGCGTATGGCTTGTAACGAGCAAGGCGCATCTACAAGACTTACACAGCACATGCTCACGACGGAGTGCCCAAAAAGAGCAGGTAAAGGTCACTATTCAGCCCGTACTATTGACAAGAGTTACATAGGGCTTACCATCCAGCAATCACCATGGCCAAAAGCTCGGCATATTTACCATGTGGCCAATGCCGGATTCTCGGCCCGCATCCTCAATCCTTCCAAGCCCCCTCACCAAGCCTCAATTCAGCAGTAACGTTAATGTCCCAATTTAAGAACTTGAAAGGAGTATTATTGTCATCATCTGTTGTAATCTGATGTTGCAGAGGACAAAGTCCAGTAACCTGCGGCAAGAGCTCCCAGCTCCATAAACGCAACCTTCATGTATCCAATTAATAGTGCCGTTGGCGTATATCATGCATTCCACTTCAGCATCCAACCTCCTCCCAACGCTCAGTGTCTGTCAGAACTAGGATCTTGTTTAAATTTCAAGAACAATACTAGCACAACACCAGGTAACATCATGTCTTACGAGTAGCCCCAAAGTTTTCACATTTCACTTGCAGCTGTCAAACACGAGGTTACATCACTGCCCCATCCGTCCCCAGGAAACAAGGATACATTCAGCCCCGCGAGTTGCAACATCACACCATATGACAGATGCAACAAGAGCCATAGGTAGGACGATCAAAGCTAATGGCCGGAAGTTGGAAAACGCCAAGGAAAGAAAAAGGTAATTATATCGCGAAACACTGCCAACTGAGGAGACTTTCTAGGAACATCATCCAAAACCCATTACTGAGCCAGATAAACACAAACACATAGAACCAATAAAATACATCTCGACAACCACCAATTACATCCGATAATATAGAAAGAAGAAGAATACATCGCCATCTTCTCATGCAATTACTAGAGAGCAAGGGCACACACATCTTCCTTGATGATTCAGGGAGCTCTATGCGTAAAGTATGCAAGCACCTACCGATCGATTAACCCCTATTCCCTCATGATCAAGTCAACTGATACAATGATTAAATCAAAAACATATATTTCTATACCATTCTATTCGAGGTGCAAAATGTCATACATGTATGTATATTATAACATCCACCCTCACCATACTCAAAAACAACCTGCAAAAAAACAACAACAAAAATTCCATAACCACCAATTCCATCATCAAGAGCTTCATACAAGTAGAGTGAAAACGTCGAGTCCATCAAGCAAAACAATGCGAGAGCGCGCCACATACATCTTTTTAATTTACGCTTTCATTTATTTGCTGTCCGTAATCTTTCTTAAATGCTTTTTGTAACATTCCATCTAATGCCGCTGGTTTGTGTTTGTGCTCCATTTGCAGACAAAGAAAAAAAATAGCAATAAGGGTAAAAGAAAAAAAAAAGCACAAATAAAAACATGACATAAAGTATTATCGAGTTTTCAGCTCTGAGCTTTCATTGATGCAAACGCCTTTCCACCCTTCCCCAGCCATGATGTATATGTATCAATTCCTCTTTCTCTCCGTTGTTTCCGTCCAGTGTCCTTTCCGTCAAAGCTCTTCTTGGATCTTTGCTGTACTGTGATATATCATTCGTGGACGTTGCGTTGTAATTCTTCCTCTCTTTGTGCGTCTTTTTCTCTTTATTTTTTTGTCATCATTTTTGTTTTTGCTTCATCCGCCAGCCATACATACGTACACGCATGCAACATACTCTGTCTTTCGGCCATGCAATTCACACATAGGCAGATCCAAGGGCCCTCGTAGCTGCTTTGTTGAGAATAATGCAGCTTTTCTTCATCTTTTGGTTGCGTCATTTGTACAAGCCAAACGTTCCCGCCCTTCCTCCCAATACAGGTACATGACTCCGGTTGTCGCGGCCACGGATGCTTCCCCTATCCAACGTCGCCATTATAATCATTTTCTCATATTGATGAGCAGAATTGACGAGCTCCGCGTAGCTGTGGTATCATTTTTTTTTTCGCCTTTCAATTTTTTTGCCGCCTTATGCTAGATGTAAATCCTTTGGAGCATCCTTTTGTATTTTGTTTTTTATTAAAAAGATGGAGAGAAAAAACAAGATAGAAAACCGTCATCGTCATCGCCGTCATTCATGTTGCATACATATATATGTTCAGCCTCCTTTTCGCTCCGAGTCGCTTTTTGGTGGCTGCTCCGCATGCGCGGCTTGCGCAAGCCCACTCGAACCCTTCTTCTTCCCTTTGCCGGCCTTTTGCCAGCCGCTGTCGCCATCGCTCTTGGCACTTCGAACGTGACCATTCTCACGCTGGGTATTGTTACGCTGATTGCTCTGAGCTGTTGACTTTTGCGTCTTTGATGACTTCTGGTTCTCCCGAGCCGGCTGAACTTTGTCTTCAGCCTTGGCCGCGGGTTTAGCCGTCTCCTCATGAGTGATTTTGATGTCTGCCTTAGCGTCTACCTTTTCATGGACAGTCTTGCCGGTGCTGACCGCGGGTGCATCTGGCTTCCGTGTGGCAGTCGGAGATGACGTCTGGGTCTCGTAGACAGGAGATAGGTGGGCTATCTCGGCTACCATAGCTTTGCGGTGATCAGAAATGGCAAGATCCAGAGGAGCAATCACGCCGTTCTGGGCTTGCCTGGACATGAGACGCTGTTTTGTCGAGGGCGGAAGTCTCGTCATGCCATTGGCCTGTAAAACATCTTGCGGCATCCCGTATGGAGCCGTCTGATATGAACCCATCATGGCAATTCTATCTCTAAACGAAGCATCCTCGGCAGGAGGCATAGCTGGCTTGCTATTAGAGCCGTTAACAATAACAGGTGGACGATCTGCCGCCGTCGCTGGCAGGGAAGGGGCTGGTGCCAGCGATGGCTGGCTACTCTGCACGTCTGCGCCAGTCGCTGACGGTATCGTATTGATGTGCAGAGCGTTATCAATCTTTGCCATGGCACACTCCTCGGCTGCCAAGGAGTCCTTTTGTCCCTGATTTGACGCGGCAATCATACTGCTCTTGAGGCCCGATCCATTGACGACTACAGGTCTCGTCGCCACATTCTTGTTCTGAGCCTGGCCAACTCCAGGGAAGGGGGCTGTGGCAAGAGGCGACGAGGGAATCGTCCGAGAATGGTCGAGGGGTGAAGGTGACCGAGAGGTCCTCCTCATCCGCCTGTCCAATATGGTTTGGGGCAGCTGATCTGTCGACAACCGACGCCTTCTTGGGCTGGATGACTGGCTTGCAACGTCCCCAAATGCTATGCCGTTCGTCGTAGGACTATGGCTATGGGGTAGTAGCGAATGCTGGCTTGGACTCAAACCCCGTGCCCCCAAGAGCCCATTATTAGATCTGTTCTCTGTTTCGGACTGTGGCGAATCTGAAGAGGCCTTCGATCCGTCATCTAGATCAGCATCGTCGGACATGAAGTTGGGAATGGTCACGCCATGCATATGTCTTGGAGCATAGCCTGGTACGCTTGAAGGACCAATACCGGGGGTGTAGGCAGCCCGGCTGTGTGCCGTAGACGGCGATCGCGAGGCAGGCTGAGACTGTGACCTTAGTGAGCTCGATGAAGCTGAAATGCCATTATCCGATGTAACCGTGGATCTCTGCAAAGGACGGCGAAACTCTGGCCCGATGCCGTTGGACGTTACCGGCGAAGAGGGATAGGTTCCATAGCCCGTTGCCTGCGCGTAGAACTGCTGATTTATGCCCATGCCGTAGAGGGCATATAAATCAGGCCGCAACGTGGCACCGATTGGGGCAGTATCAAACGAATTTGTTCGGGATCGATCGGTGGGGGGCTGCTGGCCAGATGCCGTGTTGTTGGGAGACATCCTCTGCTGACCCATGGTTTGGTGGGCCATGAATGCCGGCGACTGCTGCTGCGCATAGAGATGGTGCAGCTGCTGGCGCATGCTCTCCTGGTAGGCCATCTGCATCAAGTCCTGCTGAGCGAATGGGAACGGGTACTGGTTACCAGCGGCAGCCGCAGCGGCAGCCGCAAACCATGTCATATCCTGCTGCATGTTGACAGGCTGGACAAACATGTTCGGGTCGTAGGTAGGCGTAGTTGATGATGCTCTCCTGATATTTGACCCGCCGGTGCGGTGATAGTTGTTGCTATGTCGGCCGCCGCGATGGCCACCGCGACCGCCTCGTCCAGAAGGATGAGTTTGCGACGAACTCCGCAGCAGCGCCGGCCGAGGCTGTGTGGCCGGCCGAGACCAAACTCTCTCTTCCTCTTTCGGATAAACGTACTGCTCGCAGGCCTCTTCCAACTTGGCGTTGGAAATCAGGTCAAACGCCCTTCGGAGCTCCATGTGAAGGCCACGAAACGAGTATTCGTCTGCCGTATTGCCGAGGTTGCGAGACGTGTTGAACGGCTCTTCTACGCAAAGCTGGTTATTCATAGCATAGTGCCATTTCTTCTCTTGCTTGGTGATCAGCTTGCCCTGCCGTACGGAAAGGACGTGCTTGTCGTAATCGAATTCATGCGCATAAAATCGAAAGAACTGAAAGAGAAGTTCAGCTTCGCTCGACTTGTTTTTGTTGCCAAACCCCTTGAGTTTCTTGAGGTTATCAGCAAAGTCGCTGACAGCCCCATCCGGCTTGGTAGTCTTATGTGGCAATTGGTGCAGCGCCGGTAAAACCGCAGGGTTCCTCAGCTGCAAAAACGCGATAATAAGACAAATCCAAGTATATGAACTCAGAGTACCTCCAAAAGCTGCAATCATGTTAGGACAAAAAAAAAGAAGGAGAGGTGGCAAGGTAGAAAAGTATGAGTCTCATCATGCAGGCCAAAGAAGAATGGGGAGGCAAAAAGTTCTTACCAGCATCGTTGATAATCCTCCTCCGCGTCCAATGCTTCAAAATCATGGCCAACTGCCGTACGCGCGGGTCGGTCTCAACATATGTCCGCACCATTCGGGTGTTCTCGAGCGCCAGAGTGTTGTTAACGTTCATATCACACGCAAGGCCGAGCTCAGGATCCCATATCTTGACAATGGGAACCTTGGCTGCAGAGATGCAAACAACCTTCTCCATGCCCCCTATATATTCATATTAGCTTCCGAGAAGGAAAGAAGAGAGAGGGGGGGGGGGGGATAAGAAAGGCGGTAAACATACGTCGGGCAAGAAGGTCAGCTATCATGCAGACGTCTTCCATCTCATGCCATGGCGTCGTAATGCAAATATCAACTAAGTATTTACGCGTTAGAAGTCAAGCACTACACTGTGTTTTTGGATGAAACGCAAACAGGGGAACATACCGTCAGAGTCGTCTGAACACAACAGATTACCAGACGAGCCGAAAAGGTGCACTTTGATGTCGTGCCCCGGCCACTCATCATTGAATATCATCTCCAGCTTGTTAACCAGCTTCCGCCTATCCTCTTCAATTTTATCTGTAGGCAGCAGTTTGTTGTAAATTTCATTCATATCTGCGGCCAGCTTTTTCTCTTCGCTCTCTGATAGCTTGCTTTTGACGGTTTTCAAATCCAGCTTCTCCAAGCGCTCGCTTCCAGTCGAGTACGGTATTCTCCTCCTCGAATTTACCTGCGCTGTCTCATATTTGCAGCCTCCTAATCGCGGCGGCAGCGGCCGCAGCGAGGGCAATGCGCTGTTCGTCTCGGAGTAGGCTGAGCGCGGTGAGTGATTGTTGCCGTTGTTGGGCGATGGCTCCCGGGATTCAAAGGAGAATTGGCGGGCATGCTGATGCGGCGTTGATGGCACAGAACTGGAATGGGAGAGCCCATGGGGCGACGAGGATCTAGCTATCGCTCGGTGGTGGAAGTTCTTGGACGCATCGGCCGCTAGCTTCGCAGGCATCTTGGGCGGCACCTCTTTCGACGTTATAACCGTTCGGCTTTTGTCTGAGCCCTGGTGTGTGCGGCTCCCATGGCCTCCAGTCGTATTTCCCTTAGGAGTGGTGGTGCTATCCCTCAGCGATGCTTTGCTAGAAGATCGCGACCTAGACGTAGCCTGTACGTGGGGAGAAGACACAACCGGGGGAAGTGGCGCCGACTGCAGGCCGCCCCCACGAGCCGGGGAGATGAGCTTGTTGTAATGAAGGAGCTGGGCGTGATATAGGGACTGCTGAGGAGAGAGGAGCAGCGGGAGGATGTCGATGGGAGGAGTGAATTGCAGGTTCGCGGCGGCAGCGTCCTGGGACCCGTCCGGGGTATGCGCCGTCAGCCCGTTTGGAGTTGTCGGTGTCGTCGACGTCCACGGACTGGGGGGGTAAGAATGCTGAGTTTCGGACGCCTGAGTCCGAGTGTCCATGGAACGAGAAGCCTTCCGACTCTAGAGAGACGAGCAGAGCAAAAGCAGCCTGCCGAGATGACGTCTGCAGCTGACCGAGCTGGCTGGTCGGTGACTAGATTGCTTGTCTGTCGTGAGAAGGGGGGGCAATACAGCGGCGGTGTTCGCGAGGGCTGCGATTGGTGATGGCTCCGCCTGGGTGTCTCGAGCGCAGAGGGCGAATTAAAAAAAAAAAAAAAAAAAGAGGCAAGAAAAATCAGAGGAGCAGGTTATGCGAGGCGAGAGAGGGGGGCAGATTCGAAAAGCGAGATTTCTGCTGGAGAATCGCGACCAGATGCTGCGCTTTGCGGGCCCACTGGCTGGCGGCAGGAAGAATCGGCGACGGCAGAAGCGCAGCCCCAAGGCTTCGGCGGGCGATGAGGGTATCGGCAGAGGCGAGGGGAGTGAGAGCAGGGCAGAGACGTGAGGCCACAGGCGAGACGCAGAGCCTGGGAAGCGAGCGAGCAATGGCAGACGCAAAAGGGGGGTTCGGTTGGCGAGGTATCGAGGGAATTGACTTGGTCGGCAGCACTTGAGGCGGCGGCGACAGGCGTTGCGGGCTTGACGAGCAGCAGGGCGTCAGAGCGTGCGAGAGGGCACCAGGGAAAAGGGAAACAGGGACGACAAGAAGAAGAAGGAAAGCGAGTGATGACAAAAACACGATGCAGACCAGACAACGTCGAGATGCCGTCCGCGAGCAGGTGTTGCTGCAGGATGGGGAACTTGTGAATGCAGGTCAGCGAGCGAAGAGAGGTGAAGGTGTGGTGCAAAGCCTCCACCCACGGAGTAGCGGTACCTTGCCAGGCCCGCGGCGCATGTAGCGGGTACCCGTGGGTGCAGGTATTGCGGCAAGTACCCGTGACCTGCGCGGCGACCTCAATCGGGAGCCAGCGCTGCCCTCCTGGATCTGGGGCTCACCCCCCTTTCGGCACTACTTCTGGGGTGAAGAAACAGCGCGCCCAATGGCAGCTGAACGCTGCTTGTACAGGTGTGTTGTGCGTTGCGAGTGTTCTTCTTGATGCCAGATTCAGTTTCTGTTGCTAGTAGGTATTCTATTTGCGATGCAGCCGTGCATCTTTCTCTCTTGGAGAGCGAGCAAGCAGACTTTGATGTCTGTGACTCTAATTTGCTTGGCTCTCTCTCTTTTGGGGATAACAACCAATGCAAACTCGCACGCAGCCTATGATGTGCTGGGCTTTACCGTTTTTAGTGGGCTTGCGCTCCAGTAGCTTGTATCTGCTACTCATCGCCGTGGGCAGGGCCGCTGTCATTGGACAGGGTGGTGGGCTGTTCGCGACAGGAGGCGAGACAAGAGCCGGGTTGCTAAGCAGGCCCTTGAATTTCCAGTTGGGTGCTGCGCCAAACCCAGGAACCAGGTCTCCCATGGCAGCTTCGAGCCCTCTCGAGACACAGGCACGCGCATTCAGCTTGGCTGGTAGCCAATGCGAGCCAAGCAGTGCCTGATGGCGCTTGGAGAGTTCATCTGATACCACGATACAGCAGAACCCAAGTTTAACGGAACCAAGGCCGGCAAGTACTGGATACCTCAGCCGTGAGATGAGATGGCCATGCTGGCATGACGCATGTACCGAGGACGAGTACTGGTACAGCGGCCATGCGCCTTAGCCCTAGCGGGACTGGCTGCAGTGCTCAGTGGAATTGACATGTCCACTGCACTGCGCTGCACCACATGCACCAACCGATGCCAGCAGGTGGTCGGGGCGCTAGCAGCAAACTGCCCCGGTGCCTGTAACGCGGAATCTACAGCAGCCGCGGCGGCCTAGGGGCTCTACAACATGACTGGAAGGACGCACATTAGTACTGCAGCGGTGCCCACCGCCGGGGGCGTGCCGGAGGCTCCATTGTGCAGATTCGCACGCTTCAGGTCCTCGTGTTCCAGAATGAAGGAATTTCGCCAATCTTGCTGCTGGAAATGGCTCCCCAGCTGGGAGTCTGCGTAGACGAATTCTAAAAAATTACTAGGCATGAGGGTCTTTGGCGACTTTTCAGTTTGAATCGACATCCCCTACCTGAAGCACGGGAACAATACCTTCCATGCTGTGTGTTATGTCCAACCTACTACTAGGTAGTAGGTGCCTACCTAGCACTAGGTAGGCACCAGGTATTAGCCTATGCCGGGCAGCGTCAAGGAACATTGCTGTAAACATGAAATCCATCAAATCTCCCATGATTGGCAGTGCCGGCTGCTGCTGGGAGATGCATCGGTGCCAGTTGCATCGCCAGCAACCTCCGTCCGTCCCTAGCACTGCTACGGGGTACTCGACGACATGCACTTACTACTGCCCTTATGCAGACTGAGCCCATGCTCTGCAAGTAGCGCCGGCATCCCTCATGGGCAATTGGCTTTCATCCGGCATCCGCATCAAATGATCTTTTCCAAAGCAAAGATTCTTCATTGTCGGGTCTTTTGCTGCCGCTGCTTCCATAACGCAGTCCATGCGAGCCATCAGTCACCGTCATTGACCAGCTGAGCACCTACGGCTATGGTAGTCGTAGTGGGCAAACAAGCATAGTACCTAGGTACCTAGGTAGGTACCAGTACCCGCCACTTTAACAGTCAAAGCCAGGGGAAGCTGCTGGAGAGATCCGGCACGAGAACCTTCAGATGCGATAATGCTGTACTCCGTATAATGTACTTCGCAACTTGTCCATGGTCATCTCCGCAAGGCAGTGAGTGGCGGCCCCCCCCCCTTTAACCCCCATCTTTGCGTTTCTCGTGTCTGGCCAACGAGCAGGTACTGCATACTTGCACAGAAAGTGTACAGGTTGGAGGGGTGACGGCTGGCATGGGATCTGCAAAAAGGTACCGGTAGCGCTGCCCGCGCAACATTGATGGACTCAGCAGCAAAAAGGGATAACCTGAATAGTAATGGCATTGCTAGTAATACGTTTGTGCTGCTGGCATGACCGCATCGTTTCAGACAACGGCAACGCGCTGCAGAGAATCCGAGGCTCAGGATTGCGCTATCCCTATATTGCCTTACATAAGCCGTGTTCCCGTCGATCAGTCACTGCGAATGAATGTTGCATGGTACGGAGGGCAAGGTTAAGGGTTCCTGCTGGTTCTGGTCTGCTACAAGGTACCGACCTCAGGTATCGAGTACAAGCAGCGAGTGCACGCACGGGGATTCGCGCGACGCCAAGACGCGTTTATTTCGTCCGATCTGAGGATATTTTGGCTTTCTCTGAGCCAGGCACTGCGACATACATCCTTTTTGTCTCGTCTATGACGATGGAGGTTCTTACACATACCTGATGCATACTATGGCTCTATCCATGCCACGTGATTGCAAGTGGCATCTAATCTACCTACCTACCTACCTACTACCTAGGCACCTTTCTCGCGTCTGACTAAAAAGACAAATGCCTACAGTACCTTGGTATGTGCTGATGGCAAGGCTTGGAATATCCAGATCTAGAAACCGGTGGGTACGTAGCATCTGATCCTTCTAGTATACTTTCCAAAGGCTGTAACACACGTATTTATCGTCGAAAGGGCTTCCAAGCCCAGAGCGGGTTGGCTGTCCGGCACGACCGCTGAGAAAAAATGAAATGGATGAGGTGGGTTAATATTGAATGAATGCAGTGCCTCGTACCCGGTACATGTTACCCGCACAAAAGGCCCCGCCCATCAAGGGATCTTTACAGCACTCGGCTGGGCACTGGCGATTGCCTCTACCTTATGTAGGACTTAGTCCAGTACTTGATATACGGAGTGTCTATGATTGAGAAGCGCCGAATGTCCTTGTTTTCCTCACAGGGCAGAGCCACGGGTCACGAGCACTACCAGCAGATACAATCAGGGACAGAGGGGGCCTGAAGGGGGAATTCTGCTGCCCTCTTGTCCTGGCGCTTTGCAGATGGTAGGAATGGATGGGGGTTACAAAGGGCGGTTCTCAAGCAAAGGCGTCTTCCTGTACCGTACCGTACCGTGCCGTCTCTATTTACTACTGTTTCTCTCTAAATACTAATACTAAGGTATGGACATGGACTAGCCGAGACTGGATAGCAGCAGTGGTTCGGTTTGGCAGGTGGAATTCAATGCCACCTCTTTGCATCTCTCTTTTCGCCGCCTCCCACGGCCTTTTCCCCGTAATACCTACTAACATGCTACACGTATTGCATACAAATCACCGACATCCAAGTACCAGATACTACTATAATCTACCATATACCAACTGTAAGAGGGGTCAGCGGATGGATGCATCCTGCTGCATTAGTATGAATGCACGCTTATACGGCTGCGTCCAGTACCTGTATTCACTGCATTGATACAGCCAGCCTCGGGGTTGATCAGGGTGCATGTAAGATGTAAGGCACGAAATGGAAAAAGCGGCCGTGTCGAGTACATGTACCTGCCCGTCCTTGCCGCAAATACCCGTTACAGGCTGTGTGCTGCGTACCGCTTACCGCTACCAGCTGCATGTAGCCGGCTGCAGTGCTTGCTTGTGCCTGTATTGTATTGCAGCACTCAACTCAGCAAGTTTCAGATTTATCCATCTCCGTCTCCAACACCAACATCAGCGTCAACATCAACATGCAGCCATCGTCACGTCATGCCGCAATCTGGTTTATCCGACGCTGCGCCTCCGTATCAGGCTCGGAGAATCAGAATCCATCCTTCTGCGAGGCGCTCGTCGCTCCTCGTATCACCGACTCCGTATAGGTAGGCAGGGCCGTAGCTCGACTTTACGCTGCGCCCGCATTGCATAGCGGCTGCTGTGCATGTACATCCTGTAGTATGCAGCTCGCTTCTGGCAACCTCCATCTACTACTCTCTGCACGATTATGTTTCTGGGCTCACCGTGCATGGCAGGACTAGCAGCTGCTAGAGCTTCTACTATTGGTATTAGACTCTGTCGCTTTGGGGTGACACGATGGTGGTCACGGCCACGGAACCGATCCATGTCACGTTTCTCCAACTGCCATCTCTGCCAGTATCACCATCTGCATTTAGCCTAGTTGAGGCCAGGTCGACGTTCTTCTCCGGGATTGCATTGACGATGCTATTGGAGTCGGCATCGGCCCATCCCGTATTGCTATTGGTTTGATGCAACCCGCCTACAGGACCTCTACAAGACTCTCTCTCTCTCTGCGTCGTATCTCGGCCGAGAATCTTGTTTAATCCTTGATAGGTAGTAGCAAGCAGCCATCGGACGAAATGATCCTGACAGCCTCAACACTATCCATGTGATCGACGGCAACACGAGAACTCAACAACTCAACTGAACTCAATCCGAGTCAGGTCCCCGCATAACCCTTAAACTCTCTCGCACACCCACTTGCTGCAGCTCTCAACCGACTTTAATTGCCTAATGGGCGAGCTAAAACGCAAGAATGGGCCAACATCCATCACAAACTCTCGTTTGGGGCTAATTCAGCTGGCAGATCTTTGCCAGCAGCCGATTGACTCCGGCCCATCGCCCTATCCCAGCGCTACACTTCACACTCCTGCATGATAAGCTCTACTCTGGGGTAATAAGTCTACACGTCTGGCAATGATAGGCTATTTCGTTCTGAGCTACGCCCGTCCAATTGGGAACCCTACCACATGCTGGTACCTCAAATCTTGTCTCGATTGGGATATATGCGTTTTTCAAGCTTTTCAAGGCTGAGCTTATATGCAGTTCATGAAGGTATTCGCCACATTGGCCTCACAAACGAGACTCTTGTAATGGAGATGCCATCATCATTCTCTTTTCATAATTTCATTCTCTTTTCATAACTTCATTCTCCTTTCATAACTTCATTCTCCTTTCATTACTTCATTCTCCTTTCATAACTTCATTTCCCTTTCATAACTTCATTCTCCTTTCATAATTTCCTTAAACTTTTCCCCTTTCCACCTTTTGTATCTTTTATTGCTCTTCTTATCATTTTATTCACGCATTACATTACTTGCTATATGCTATCAGGCTGATATTCGTCAAATGCCAAGACGCGCCGCAATGTTGCCGGGAGCCATCCATTTAGCCGCCTGGCCTGGGTCTCTTCAGCTCCATCAACATAAGCGCTGAGGCTGCAAACTAAAGCATCGTTTCAGATGCTTCTTCCCATTTCCATGACGTGTGCCGTCCTGTCACCGTATGCAGTGTAACGGTGTAGCAATGCATTGCATAGCCTTGCCGTGCTGCCGTGCTGCCGTGCTGCCGTACTCCAACATGCAGTATTTCGGCGTGTACATTTCCGGCGCAAAGGGTGCCTTCGCCGCTTCGAGTCTAGAATCCACGACACGCCGCATAATTGCTTCCGCGGCGATTCACGGCGGACCAATGATTTCAGGGATGTAGACGAGCGAAACCACGATATATCGTTACTATATTGGGCAACACGGCAGGGCTTGATCCGATGACACATATGTTAAAGTTGACTTATTGCCAAGAATTACGGGCCTTGGCCAACAAACCAGCCTTGTACAGGCAGTTTCCGTCTTTGTAGAGTTGCTGCGCCTCGTGACATCTGTAAAAGCCATCCGCTTCTTAGAGTACCTAACTATGGAAAAGGTGATATTTATAGGAACGAATAACTAGATGGGTTACTAGCAAGCACATTCAATGAGGCAAACAACTCTCGTATCTGGGTACGAATGTGTAGTACCCAACTTGGCAGCCTTGTCTCCGCCAGATGAGCCTTTTGAAGAGCCTTTATGCCCTTGAACATCGCCATCGTCCATATTCCCTAGCTGATTCTCAGCACACTTGGCAGGGCGCAGGGCTATGCTACAGTTTAGTAGTACAAGGCTACACTATGCTTACATCTCCATCTCATCTCATCTCAAATCAGCTCTTTTTCCATCCCTTGTACGCCATTGGGAGGGCATATGACGCCACATCCGCAAGGCACGATGATACCAGGCGCAGCCAACGCGAGGCGTCATATATCACGATACGCCTCTGATCTTGTTCGGAAGAAGCCGAGCTAAATTTCCACTTCAATCTGACCCACAGAGGAAGAGAATTGAAAAAGTAAGACGGCGTCTCACTGATTTGAAGGCAACACCAAATAAAGTGGCCGAGAGGTGAGATTTCATGGTGCAACACACTCGGCTTACGCAGCCGCATGAACGGAGTTTACTGCGTATATACCTATTCTTCCGTGACACAAGGCAATGCACAGCTTAATAAAGCAGAAATAAGCAATCAAACTAGCCTTACTGAAGCCTCTTGATAAATTTCAGCCCCTCCAATTTTTAATTCTGTATAAGTGAATTGTGCCTTGGATACTATATTACGGTCTTTGGGCTCCAGCAATGTGTCGTGAGGTTTAAGTAAGCACCTCCATGCACTAACGCAACATAAACTAATACTCAAACAGTCATGTTTCTGCAAATTCACAGCCCGTCATTCAGCAATAAACAAAAAGGCTGTGCTACAAGTCCACGGCATCAAATACAAGAGCCACTCCCCAAAAACACCCCTGGGCAAATCCAATCCGCCTCCGCAGTCTCCCAGCCAATCAGCAGCCCCTGACTCGCTCAATTTCGACTAGGATCCCCCCTGAAAGCGCCGCAATAGACTGCCCCCCCAAAATTCCCAATTTCCAATTTCAGGGTTCATTTCCTTTTTTGCCGATTACGCTCAAAGAACAAAGGAGGGCCAGTCACTGCAGAAAATCAAACACAAACCGGAAAGGGTAAAAATGATTAGATGATCCACCCCGGGGGGAGGGGAGGGATTTTCGGTAGTACTTTCAATGACAGGAAACTTGAATGTTTTAAGAGGAGGGGCACACTCTCACGCACACACACCCTACTGTTTCTGATGCCACTGGCGTTGGGAATTGAGCGCCCCTTTGTATCAGATTTGTTTCTTGCATGATAGTACGGGGGTAGTTGTTTTGATAGGTAGTAATGCAAGCAAGCAATCAAATCAGAAGAAGAGGCCGCTGGGAGGGAGCTTTTTTTTTTTTTTTTTTTCTTTTCTTTTTCTAAAAATATTCTATCTGGTAGTGCGTGCGTGCTTTTTTTTTTTTTTTTTGTTTCCATCATACGATTTTTGTTGATCTTTAGGCCCTTCATATAATATCATTTCTGTGTCCTTCTTACATGCTTGATACCCCCTTTGTCATTCTAGACATACAACGAAAACAAAAAAGAAAGTAATATACGCCATTGTATATTACTATTTTCCCTTATTCTGCCAAAAACGCCCATATGACCTGCTATTAGACAGCCATGATCTCCAGCCTCACCACAAAAATCGCCCTCCGCAAAGTCGGCCTCTCAGGCACCAACACCTCCCTAGACTTTTCATCATTCACATCACCATCCTCTTCTTCTCCAGCGTCCAAAAATGACGCCAACAACAACAACAGCAACAACAACTGGTCTTCATGGATGACGCCCAAATCTCTGCCCCTCAAAGTCCACCCGTGGTTCTCGCCGCCACCGCCTCCCGTCAAAGTCGCCCCCGTGCCTCGAATCGGAGACGTCGCGCCGCAAGATCGACAGAGGAGGCTGGAGCTAGGAAGGCGGAATAAATGCCTAGTTGTGTTTCTGAGATGCGTGGGATGTGCTTGTAAGTCAGCAGTCCGGTTCATACATGTATATCTTACACTTGTAGTACAGAAGCCATTTGCCCCCCTCCCCCTCCCACTTACGTTTACACATTTGCACTTACGCCTAACACCTATATAAACATATATATACATCACATTTATACTAACATTCATATAACATAAAAAGTCGCCCAAAAAACCTTCCTCACCCTCCGCGCCATCGCAAACCGCCACGCCGGCTCCATCACCTGCATCGCAATCTCCCACGCCTCCTCCCGCGCCACTTCCAAATGGATCGACATGCTCGGCGGCGCCTGGAACGTCCAGATTGTCATCGACCAGGAGCGCGCCATCTACGCCGCCTGGGGGCTCGGCGTCGCCAGCAGCCTGTGGTACGTGCTGGGGCCGACGGCCCAGGTCCAGGCCTGGAAGGAAACCGGCTGGCTGGGGGAGAAGGTGGCGAGCGCGATTGATGCCAAGAGGGGCAGCAGGGCGGAGGAGAGGAGGGTTGAGGCGATATTGACGCCGAGGAAGAAGGGAGGTGCTGCTGCTGCTGTTGCTGCTGCTGCTTCAAGTAATACTAGTAGTAAAGGCAGTGGTGGTGGTGGTGGTGGTGAGAGCGAGACAATCAACGAAAACAACCCTTCGACAGAGCTGGGCAGCAAATGGCAAGAGGCTGGCGCTTTTGCCATCGACGGAACCGGCACCGTCGTCTGGGGAGGCAAGGCCGTGAGGGCAGACGACGTGATGGACCTGGAGGAGGGGGCCAAGTTGCTGATGCTCTGATATGGCTTCTTATGATGGAGGAGACGCGAGATCGATCTCTGGCCAACCTGGCGTTGGAAAAAGAGGATAGAGAAATGTCTTTTCTTTTCTTTTCCTAGTATATATAGAACATGCTTATATGATAGTATATAAATCATCACCACGAATATTCTCTTTGTCATCAGTTGGACTACTAAGCAGCCGGCTTGAAGATAACTCAGCAGCGAGTGATTAAGCTTCTCTCATAACAGGAACAGCAACAGCAACAGCAATAGTCTAATGGCAATTCCAAGTCACGTCAAAGCCTCTCACACAAAACTCACGAAACCCACCAGCGCATTTCGCAAACCAATTTCTCCCATTACATGTATCTTGTACGTTGAACTAATCCCCGCATATCCATTCCACCACTCTTTCCCAATTGCTCTCTTCCTCTTTTTCACTCTCATTAACATCTTTCTTCTCTCCCCAATCAGCGACTGCGCCTGTAATTCCCCCAAACGGTATATAAAGGAGCAGACCTTTGTCAACAGTGAAAGCAACCCCCCAAAATCCATTCCATCCCTTGAAATCAAACAAGACCTTAAAGAAAAAAGAAAAAAACCGTCAAAGAGCCCAAGCCTATTCCCAGAGCCACCCAAAGAGAGAAGAGTAAAAGAAACACCACGCAAAAATTCAAATCAAGTCCTGAAACCCAAAGCTACCTAGTTTTACGCTCAACCCCATTTTTTCCAGCAATGATTTTGTTATTTCCTTCCTCTTTTTTTCATTTTTTTTTTCTTGGGTGCTTTTATTTTTTGAATTCGTTTTTGCTGCCCCCTTTGGTTATAGAAGCGCCAGGCGTCCTGTTCCATTTCCCTGTCCCCTGCCAACAAAGGCGCAAAAAGTGTATTTCCATTCTTGACAGTTCAACTTACCGACAGCCCAATGGAACGCCTCTCCAAGTTTCCGGGTATTCCTCATCGAAATCCTTTGTTCCACACCAGCAAATGACTGCTCCATGGTCCAAGTTTCCTCTTTCCATCCGTCTCTCATCGGAGGACTTTCTCCTAGTGTCTGTTCAATTTTGTTGTCCCCACCGTCACATATAAGTCGGAGTCACAAAAACTCAAAACAATGAATACGCCGTTATCGTGACCAAGGACGCAACTCCTCGTTTCTGTCCCAATCCTGCGCCAAAAGCAAGATAACTCCTATCCGGATATCTTCATTCCTCTGTCGAGGATCATCCCAATTCCAGATCCCCAGGTATAAGGTAGAGCAAGCCTCCTTTTCTCTTTCCCCCCTTTTGCCTTGATCGTAATCGCCCAGAAATGCCTCGCAATACCTTTCTTCGCCGAATATCGTACCAAAGACTTTAACCCAGCGAAAGCAAAACGCGCGAAGATCGAAATCAACCGCCTTGACCAAAAACGACCGAACCAAAATGCCAAACAGATCCATTCCTTTCCCTCACCTCCAGCGCCTGTTTTTCTACTAATGCAACAATTCAACCTGCTCTTTCTCTTTGCTGTTCAAGCAAGGAAGAAGGAAATAAAAAAAGACAAAAAAAAATCACAGAAAAGAATTTACAACGTCCTTTCAACGCCGCCGCCCAATGTGATGACAAAAATGGACTTTAACCCCAGACGCTAGCCTGGGCGCCGAGGCCAGAACCGCCCCAGACACCGTTACCACGGCCCCATCCGCCAGAAGTGGCATGGGGAGTGCTTGAGCGCTTGGCAGAGGCGTTGGCCGTTGGTGTTCCGGTAGGACGAGTTCCGATGGGGGCAACGGCAGCTCCCTGGGAAGACTTGGAGCCAGGGCCGAAATCTCCACGAGGAGGCGATCCGCTGGTCGGGCTGGACGTGCTGGTACGGCTCTGGGAACCGACGGCGTTGTCAAAGACCTTGTTGGTCGGGCCACTGGTCTGAGGGCTGGCAGTGCTTTGGGGTCGCGAGCCGGGATCAGCCGCATTCACATCAACCGCCGATCCAGGTGTTCCCACGTCAGCCTGGGGGACGCGGCCAATGGTGTCAAACGTGAGGGGGGAGTGGCCTCGCAGGCTTGCAGGACCGCTAGGGCCTGGGGCACCAGTGCGGACAGCGCCAGTCTCGTCAATGTAGCCGGCCTTATCCGCAAAGCTGCCTTCGCCATACAAAGCGCTGCGCTGGCGAGCAATGAGCTCACGAGTCTCCTCCTCCGTCATATGCTTGTTTCCCTGCTGGACGGCAACATCAGACAAGACACCTACGTCAGAAGAAGATCCGTTAGCACATATTGCTCACTATCTTCAAACACTGAACATAAACACAATACAAACAGTAGACAGAAATAAAACTCCAGAAAAAGAAAAACAACAAAAAGAGGACTCGGCCAGATAGGCAAGCGTCCATCTTGAACCACCTGTTGGCCAATAACATTTTCTTTATATATTTTTTTTTGGTTTGCTTGGGAACCACTTTTTTGAATAGGAAGACAGGAAGTGCTACACAGTTGAGGGAGGCCTACTTCGCTGATATTGCTGCTCCGTGTGGAGGTTTCGGAGCTCACGCTCCCGTTGAGCCGCCATCCTTCTCTTTGCCTGCAAGACCTGCTCCGCCTCGTTGGAGCCTCGAGAAGACTGATGACGCTGGGAAGCATAGAAATTATGGAGATTTGCTCCTTGAGGGCCACGACCGTCATCGAAGTTGTTGACAGAGTGAGCACGAGAGCCACCCATTCGACCATCTATAACAAAAGGGAAACAGCTACGTGGTTAGCTATAGATTTCTTCTAGGGGCCTCATTGAGGCCCTTGCTACTTACTACAGGCAGCAGAAGGAGATGGAGAGGAATGTTGTAGCCAGCAACAGCTTGGTAGCAGTAGGGCATGGAAAACTCACGTCGAGCATTCATCATGTAGCCTTTGCCGGACTTTTGCAAGTTTTCGTGAGCACGATCAACCTCTGTAAATCCACCAGTTAGCCTCTACCCATTATGATGCCAATTGTCGAGCGGCGGTAAGAAGAAGAAGAAGAGATGATTGGAGATTGTTGTCATGGTGTTGAACATGGTGTGGACCCGTGGCAGCAGCCCGTGGCGCTTTGTAATGGCAGAAAAAGAAACGGTATAACTTCAAGCAATAGGCGTTTGTATTCTAAGGGATACAGTATTTCCCCGGCACCACACATACCATCAAATTGATAGGAAAAGGCGTAGTCGTCCTGCGGCTGTGGTCCGTTGGCACCTGTGGGCATCAAAAAGTCAGTTGCAGCGCCCAAAGTCGAGAGGCAGAGGGAGCGCGCAACGTACCTGCGCGAACAGGAGTGGTCGCGCCGTGGTGGTCCCAGTTATTGGGGGCCTGGCTCGGGGCCGACCACTGGGGGTTATCGTAGTAGGACATTGTTTCCGTCGGGGGAGAAGAATCGATCGACCGGCGTGGACAGACGAGGAGGGAGCTGGCGATGGGATGGCTATCGTGTGGGCTGCAAGACTCGGAGGAAGTGTTAGTGGCCAAGATGCGAGATAAAATCCAAAAGTTGCGGTCAAATGCAATTTGTGGGGCGATGGATAGTAGAAAAACGTCGTCATATCAGGTTCCCCACGGCCCAGAGATTGGAACAGCCCGTGGGCTGGGGTGCCGCTGAAGATGCGACATGGCCAGAGGAGAGTGCCTAGTGGCGTGTGTGGCCGAGTGTTGCAGGCCTGGGCAGAGCCGGTGGAGGGGGCGGGATAAAGAAGCGAGGGCCTGGATCAAGCGATCCGGCGATGTGGCAGCGCAAATTCGGCTGGCAAGCAAGAGGCAAACGCGGGACTCGACTCACCCCCGGGAAACAAGCAGCGCCGTGCGTTGGAGAGGCGGCGAGGGATTCGGCGAGCGGCAGCAATGCGCAAACGTGAGATGGTGCAAGCAGAGGAAAAAGCCGCGGCGCGACGAGACGAGAAAAAAAGAGGCGTCGAATCGTCAAGTAAAGGGGTCTCGGGAGAAATGAAGAACAAAGCGGGGCCGAGCCAAACCACTGCGGGAACCGGCTTAGCGCACAGGTGATTGCTCAAGAGAAGAGCGAGCACGGGGTCGAAGTCGAAGAGTGAGGAAAACGAGCACGAGTTTTGGGGGAATGAAAAAAAAAAAAAAAAAAAACAGACGGAAACGATGGAGGGGAGAATTTGCAAAAATTCCGTGATGGAGGAGGGAGAAAAAAACGGAGTAAGGGGAGAGGGAGGGAAAAAAAAAAAAAAAAAAAAAGAATTAGAGGTAGGTAGTGGTAATAAACCTGGAAGTGGCCAGAGGATGCAGCACAGGCAGGTGCAACGGGTCAGCGCTCAACAGACACTGTACGGTACAGTGCAGCACCGCTGGAACGATACGCTGACAGGGCCCGTGGAGGAGCAGTAGATGGGGCCTGGCACTATGGATGATTACAAGGTATGGACTACTGCTGCTTGAGCGTCGAGAGGGAGAATGGAGAAAGAGAAGAGGAGTTGAGAAGAAACTGAGGTAATGAGACGGCTGTGTTGCCAGATGGCGATTCATTGGTTGGCAGACGATAGCATCTAATCTGCAGAGTCCAGTCCTCTAATATGCCATGCTTGACTTGTAGCAACCCAACTCAAAGTGCTTACTGCTACTGGAATCATTGGTGCTATCAACAGTAGGCACATACAAGAATGGCTAGCTATACATGAATGTTTATGATTGTCATGGTGGCTCTCGCAGGGCTTTATTGTTCTTTCTGGATAATACAAGCTTTCCCGTCATCTCGTGCACCCGTCACATCCTCAGCGTGCCTGGCATATGAATCGCACCCATCCATATCATCAACCACCTCTCACTCAAGAGGCAATTTCCGAGTACCTGTACCGCTATCTGCTCTGCTCCGCATCTCCACTGCGAATGGCTCGATCTTGGCATGCACCGCTGGCTGACCAAGAAACTATACCTCCGTGCAAGTGTGGCCATGTCCATCCCATCCGTCCATTGCACCCGCAGACTTGCCTTAGCCTCCCGTAGGCTCGGGGCGCCACTTTTGATTCGATAGCGAGCTTCACAGCTGGACTCGCCGATGCAGCTCTTAGGGCTTTTTTGGGGCCCTGTATTGGGGGCCTTTTCTTCATTGGAGAGGCCATCCGGGTGGTGTCATGCGCCGGGAGTCGACGGGGCTGGAGACGCAAAGATTGGGAGACGAAGACAGTAAGCGGGTGCACTGTGCGATGCCAGGACAGGGGGGTTTGGCGGTTGTTCCAGCGGTGCTTCCAGAGCATCTGCGCGCCTGTCCGTCCCCACGCGGGCGGGCAGCATGAGCTCAATGCTATGTTCAGCACTTGCTTGTACTCGATTGCCGACGTGAGAGTGAAGGCGAGAGTGTGAGTGAGGCGAGGGGTACGAAGCATGAGGCGTGAGTTCACAATCCAAAAGCATCACCGAGCCCGGCACAGAACAGCCACGGCACAGCGGTACAGCGTGCTGCTGGAATCACCGCGCCCGCTCTGGGCTCAGCCTTACAAGGCGCAAGGCTTCACAGCGCGGGCCTTGACGCTGCACCAGGACCAGGTGCTGTGCAGAGTCCATGCACAGAGCATTCGATACTGCATGTACAACCTCCCGTAGCACTTCACGTATAGACTCCGACAAGACATGGCCTCAAAGGCAGAGCAGTCGTGATATCGACTTGACCCGTACGCGCCCGGTTCAGCTCACAAGCACAGATACAGGCAGAGCCACAAACCCGCTGTTTTCCACCCCCTGGTCCGCCACAAACCCGCTTGGGGCTTCTACGGAGCGGCCTCTTTTGTCTTCCTCTGCTCCCTCTCCCTTTCCAGGCCCCCTCCCAAGCCATTAATTTTACAAACTCGTATCGGCCTTGGTGCGTTGCTCAGCTGCTCGTACTAGTAGTACTTGTATGACTGATAACAAGTATGGGGCATCTGAACCTCATGTCGACCTGATATTACTCTCATTGCGGTGGACCCTTGACCCGAATTAGCCCACGTAGATTCTGCGACTAGACGTCATGGTTCCTCTCGACTGCCTCGACAGATATTACAGCTGCTGCTACATGTACTCCGCACGCAATATGTAACTACCTAGTACATACTACGAGCAGTGCTGCTCACTACTGTAGCATTGCCACAGGTAGGTTGACACGGACAGTAAAACGACTGTTAGAGCACCATCTCTCTGCCAATCTTCCAGGTGGCCCTGTTTCCTTCGTCGGAGTTGTTTGTGGGGTACAATGGAGGGGCCGCTGCGAAATCTCCAATGTATGCACCAGCGTTGTGGCCATCAAGACGGATATTTGACTCCATTCGTCACGACTTGCGCGCCGCCTGGCCTCGGGCTATGTCCGGATTTGCGGCTCGTCTCATGATTGAGCCGATTCATCTGATTCCAAAAAAAGGGCAATTCCGGATACCTACCTTAGTAGGTACCTACAGTATTACACGTAGACTCCCGCGCGGCGTGACTAAACGCTGGCGATATCTGTAAGTGGGAGGCCTACCCACCAAACACCGGCCGACTTATTATCTGCTTGCATCGACTTTGCGTTGGATTCGAAATGGAAAAAAAAAAAAAAAAAGAAGCAGAGAAATATTTCTCTCAAGCATTTCTGCCTTGGCACAGATAACTTTAGGCCCCGAGTTCCCGCAGCGGCCCGCCCAAGGCGCGTGTTATTTGGGTTTGGCCGTTGTAGCCTCTTCCGCCACGCCACGCCGCAATCCGATGCTCATGTGTTAGTAGGTACATGTCAGCTATGTGCCACCATATAAGCAAGAGATGTAGCATCGTCGTCTGTGCCTTGGGCCCAAGCCTGGCGGCGTGTCAAAAAAGCAAAGTCTATTCGCCATACCGGCCGTCTGGGCCATGACTCTGTCAACTGCCAAATACAGGCAGTAACTTCAAGTTGTAGCAAGTAAATGGCACATGTAGCATGTACATCAGGTACATCATGGCTACAGGTAACAACCAACCTGTTGAAGGCAGGCGAGCTCATCCGGCTTCAACGCCGCCTACCAACGCCGTTGGCGCTGTGCATCTCCCTCTCCGCCGTCTGGCCTCTTCTCTGGCTCACGCGGCAACCGGCGAGGCAGCGTGATAGGCTCGTGTCTGCACTGGCCCTTCGGTCCAAGCCGCCAGTCTCTCCACTCGCCCGCTTTATGCATCCAGCGTGCATGAATCACCTTCAGCCGGGGCTTTTACACAGAAGTCCTCTCTTTTCTTACGGAGTAGGTACTAGCACTCCTGATTTTTTTTGATTTTTTTTTTAATTCCTTACCCGGTGAGTGAGCCAATAGTTGGGAGGAGAGGAGGGTATCATTCAATTTGAAGCCAGGCACTGTGATGACGCAAAGGCTCCGAAACAAAACAAAAAAGCATGATGCGTATACATGTACTTCGTGCAATGCCTGGTCTTATCTTACTACCACGTCCGTGGCCTATGAGGCGGAGTCCATGGAGATGCTACAGAGACATGGAATCAGTTAAATAACCAGAAATCACAGCACAGCTGGACACCCAGGATCAAATATCCGCCTCTTGCTCTCAGCACCAACTTCAGCCAAGTTGGAAGCCATCGTCTGATGTAACGAGTACCACGTACAGTACCTACATCTAGTATCCATCGAAGGTTCCAACACCTGCCGGGTGCCAAGTGCGGGGATCCCAGCTTCATTTATCCTCCTCGCCCTCGAAATGGCCCGAGAAGTAGCACGTTTCTGGCACTTGGACGGCAGCTTGCGTGGTATCTTGGCGGCATAATGTCTCTACTAGCAGCAGTATTGTTACCAATAATACCTCAAAACTTGCTTCCGGGCCAACAGCCAGCAAGAGTGCTGCCAATTACTCGTTCCATACACTGTGCACGCTGCAAGGCGGTGCCGTCCGCCATAAAAGTAATAGACGGGCTCGATACCAGTACTACTAGGGGGGTCTCCAAAACGACCACAACCCCGTGCTAGCTCCACATAGCACGGGGGGCACGTTGAATAGGAAAATGCGCGATGATAGGGAAAATAAAAAAGATACATCATTTATAGTGCATTTCCCATATAAATATAGGTACCTATGTTTTATTGCATACCTTTAGTATTTTAAAATTTCAACCCCTTGAATGTAAGGCATATCGCTATCAAAAAATAATAATGTTATGCAACGCCGCGATTAACACCGTGTTATTAATAAAATAAACAAGTATACTGCACTTTATTTTTATCACAACAACGCCATTTCTTTATATTTTTCTATGAAATTACTGCAATGGATACATCTTATGAAGATCTATCTGCAATTGAAAAATGGATCGATCTTATTATGAATTTATTAAGAATTATGCGAGTTACTTTAGAAAACGTTAAGCAACGCACTGTCGTAGAGCTTTCTTAGATTCTATAACTTCCACAAGTTATTTCTATAGTCTTCATCGCGAGCTTCGTTTTTATTGCGATTTTAAAGGCACGCCGCCGGTCCTGTGGCTACAGACCTACGACCCTGAGATAGTTAAAGAAGCGGTGTATTTTGCAGTTATAGAAGCAGAAAGACGGGCTCAGAACCAAGCTGAGCTCGCCTATGAAGTTGACGGCATAGAAATAATAGGAGAAGACGTTGTTGACGAGCCTGATGAGGGTTTTGAACGAATAAAGGATGAACGTGACGGCTTGTAGCTTTATTTTCGCGTCATTTTCGTGATAGTGGCATTATTTCCTCCAAGGCTGACTTGGGCGGCGTCCTTATGAAAATACTAAAGTAATTCTATTAATGAAGGTACTTATTTTCTCATATAAATTAGCAGGGCTTCGATGTATCTTTATTTTCCCTATCATCGCGCATTTTCCTATTCAACGTGCCCCCCGTGCTATGTGGAGCTAGCACGGGGTTGTGGTCGTTTTGGAGACCCCCCTAGTACTAGTAGTAACACCGGGCGTCCGGAGGGTGTTCCCCGCCATTCTCAATCCCATGTCTCATCCTATCTTCTTTTTATCGTTACAGGTATCGTCTACGGAAAGACTATAGATAGAACCTATATCAAATAGACCGCTTGCACCAGTAGCTGGCTCTTTACTGCCAGACGGGGAAACTCTCCACCATTGCTTCGAGAAGCAGTCGATCATCTGGAAGGGCATCTGCTCCATTTCACCGATATCGACGCATCAGCGCAGAATTAGAGCTGCCAACAACTGCAACCGCATGCACAAGCACATCGCTAATGCACCTCAAGGGGGCACTTCTGTAAGCTGTGAGGCTAAGGTAGGCGATGCATCGCCCATGGCACGTTGTATCGACGTTATGCCGATGTGATGCTTGTTGCGCACAGACGGGGGGCTTAGGATTCCGAAGGCTTATTTAGAGTTTTTCCAACTGTAACTATTCTTCTATCCTGTTGGCCCCGTGAATGGAAGCATCGAAGATATGTTGGCCCCCGTGATATTGTGTTAGTAATAGTAAGCCATGCATCAAAGTCTGTGGCTGGACTTTCATCATGCAAGGGAGCTATATAAGAGTGACCTGTCATATATTTTGGTAAGAAAGAAGAAAAAAAGCGTAATATTTTGCAGTACAGTTCAAGTCTCTGCCAAAATTCAACTGCGAGGCATGGAAGTAGTTCTTTCAGTCTACCAATTGTTACATGTAGTACAAGGATATCAAATTACCGTCGAGGTTGGCTGCGAAACTACTAACTTCCATATAGAAACAGGTAGGGGCTCATAGATTCGTTTGTCCAACCCAATACCTTTACATCCTTCAACTTTACATTCAAATATCGCCATCTCCGTAATTATAATCCATAGCTACTCCAAAAAAAAAAAAAAAATTACTGTCTGGTTGCATGTCTACCTGAGATGTGCCATCATTGCTTTACCACCACTCCGTCGTTGGCCACGAAAGCTGCCAAAGCTGTCGTACCCTAGAGCTGGGCGAGGCTTGCGCGCAACAGCTCTGTATATTGTGGCATTTCAAAATAAAAAGCATAATGGCAATAAGCTCAAAAAGCTTACCTGTACCTTGCTCCCCATTACCTCTTTAGCTCTATATGTGCACAAGCTCTAGGTGTAAATTAAGAATTTTCGTCGATACAGCCATCGGTCAGCTTCTCCTTGCCCAGACTTTCTTATCGTGTAGTGCCTTTTTTTTTTTTTTTTTTTTTTTTCTTTCTTCTTTTCACTAGTAAAAGGTACTTGTCGCAGTACCCAAAGATACCCACAATCCGCCCACCAGCCTTCTAGACTAAGCATGTACCGATTGCTAGCACCATCCCACCTCTGCCTACGTCATCGACCAATCCCGCCGTGCGCCATCCCCCGTACCAGCACCTTCGTCTCGTCCCATTCGCGTCCCGCAAATGCATCTCTCGATAGCCTCATTCGCCGCGCCGCCGCCATGCCCTCGTCCTCCAAGTCGAAGCCCGCCGCGCGCATCTCCGCCCGGGCGCTGCCCTCGCCCGACGACGCCTCGTCCGACTCAGAGCTCGAGCTGGACCCGGTAGCAGCAGACGACGACGACGACGACGACGCTGCGTCCTCAGCGCCCGACTCGCCTCTGCTCGCCCCCACCACCACGCAGCCCAGATGGCTCCAGGCCGCGCAGCCGAAATGGCTCCGCGCAGACCGGATCAGCCGGTGCGCGCGGTGGTGGCGCCGCATCCTCGCCTCGCTGGCTGCGCTGCTGCCGCCCCGGCGGTCCTGGCCGTTCGCTGCGCTGGTCGTCGTCTCGGCCTATGCGCTGCTGTGCGTCGTGCGTGGCGTCCCGCTGCTGGCCTCGCCGCTGCCGCCGTACTCGGGGCCCTACGGCGTCGGGGCCGTCGACGTCGAGATTGCGCTGGAGAAGCCGAGGCGCATCTCCGAGACCGTCTTCAAGAGCAATGGCGAGCCGGCGTTTGAGCACCGCACGACGCTCTTCAGCCTCTACTACCCCGTCGACAAGAGCGTCAAGGAGCGCAGGAGGAGGCATGACTGGTTTGCGAGGCCGTTAAGCCTGCTTGCGGCTGGATATGCAAAGTACGCACACGTCAACAACTTCTTTATCCGGCCGATATTCACATTTGGGCTGTGGTTGGTCGCGGGCGGCATCACAATTCCTGCCAAGGTTGATGCGCCACTGCTGGGAACGACCATCACGGTAAAGACACAAGTAGAGTCGACACAAGGAGAGTCGACAAAAGTCGAGTTAAGAAAGAGAGGGGATGCCGAACAATTCCCCGTCATGGTCTTCTCTCACGGAGATGCCAGCTCAAGAAGGGATTACACCCACTACGTCGGCGAGCTCGCCAGCCGCGGATACGTCATCGCAGCGGTTGAGCATCGAGACGGCAGCTGTCCCGGCTCTCTCATGAGAATCAAGGGAGAAAAGGACAAGCAACTCTTACACTTTAAAGAGGCCGAACTCCTCTCCGACCCTCCAATGGACACAGAAAAGTATAAGCAGGAACAGCTTGCCTTCCGCGATGCCGAAATCCTAGAAACCATCAACATCCTCCGCGCCATCAACAGCGGCCAAGGCGACAACATATTCAACCGCAACTCCCGCTCCGAGGGTTCCTACCTACACAGCTGGGCCGGCCGCCTCGACTTTGGCAATCTCACCATCGGAGGCCACTCCTTTGGCGCCACCGGCGCTCTCCAGGCCCTCAAGCATGCTCCCTCGGACATCAACCCTGCCATCGGCGGCGTCATCCTCGACCCCGGTAAGCAGAGCGGGCCCCTCAACGCCGTCATCGACGTGCCCCTCCTCATCGTCCACTCCGACTCCTGGTCCAAGCAGCACAGCGCCTTCTACAACCGCCCGCACTTCGACACCGTCAAGGACCTCGCCCTCAGTGTCCTCAGACGCATCCCCAGCCACTCGTCCTGGTTCCTCACCAGCATCGGCACATCCCACCCCAGCGTCTCGGATGCTCCCCTGATAGAACCTCTGCTGCTTAGCTGGACTACCGGCGCAAGTCTCGACACCAAGGAAGCCTTGGAGGAGTACGTCGGCGTGACGGATGACTTTTGGCATTTTCTGCGCACGACCCGCACCGTCAACTCGTCTCTCACCGACGGCGTAGTGCACAGGGGCGAGATGCGAGGCATACTCGCCGAAAAGGTCACGCACGAACAGTACGGGAAGTGGGTTAGCAAAGAGCGCAAAGCCGAGTTTCCAAAGCCCCTAGCCAGGCTTTGGGAAGTCCACGTCAGCCCCGTGGCCGACGAAGGCGAGTAAAATTAATGATGGATGACGACTTTTCGCGTTTTTTGATAGCTGGGGGGGGAAGCGGGGGCGATATACTGACTGCCTTTTTTTTTTTTTAAGTATCCTTTTAGAGAGTCCTCTCTTCCCCTAATTTCCTTTGATCCGACTACCCATAGATGTCCCCAAGAACACTCTTGTATAATAGCGAGTTATAAAGCACGAAAGAGATGGCTGGGATTCAGCCTGGTATACACCTAGAATATACCTACTACCCGCCTAGATAATATTTAATTGAATTAAATTACAACACATAAAAACCAACAGTTCCCTAGGCGGGAGATGGAGTCCGATGATGGGGCACAAAAACTTACAAAACAAACTCCTGAGATTCTATCTAGTTTTACTAAAGTAATGTCATCGAGCCTGACCATCAGGACAAATGTATCTATCATAACTGAGGGATCTGAGAATATTAGCTCCGTTATTCTCACATCACAATGCTAAATTATGCGATACAAACCAGAAATAACTGATACTATGCACGAACCCCGTATAATCGGCTTCATCTGCTCAACTCCCAGCCTGCACATTATTACTTGCTTCCCACATTTAGATAAAGGCGGCTGATAGACTATCGCTGCTTCGTCCCACCTGACTACTCACCGTTCTCTTGCGTCGACTACTCAAGAATAAATCGACCATTCTTTTGCTTCCCATCACCTGCGCATCGAGCTCTCGCCTCCCCATATCATCAATACCGGCATCGGCCTCGAACCTAGGCGTGCTATCCGCTTTACACGACGGCTCCTTCGTCGTCCATATCCCAGGCGAGCCGGTCTTGCTGACTCCAAACTGCCTCTCAAAAGCGGTTGTCAACCCAGGACTAGACTTGGCTGAAGCGTCATTGACTCGGAGACGTGTCCGTGACTGACGTTTAAGTCGTATTTCGTCGCTCATAGGTGAGCACGGTTTAGCAAGTGTATTGAGAGAGCGCATTCGCGGCATCTCCAATGGCGATTCAATATTGGTCGTAACACAGGTATTTACATTGGGCACCGATGGGATGGTTCGCAAATTGCCTTTTGAGCCAACTGGGGATGTATCTTTGCTACAGACAGTTTTGGACCGCGCGGCTGTTGCCGGTGGGGAATTTTCATTGGCAACCGGAGACTGAGAATACCAGGGATTCGGAAATTGAAACTTTGGTGGCTGTGATACAGTCGTTGAAGCATGTGGAAGGTTATCTTTGTCGGCTACAACCTTGAGTGGCAAGCCGGCACCCAAGACGTCCCGAGGCAAATCATCTTCTTCAGATTCAATCTCAGTCTTCTCCCTAACATGTTTAGAGAGGCGAGGGGAAGACGACGGCTCTTCGGGAAAGTCTGTTTTCAATGTGGTGGATGAGGTTTCCAGCTTAGACACGTTGGCGCTGAGCCACGTCTTCCACTCAATAGAGCTGGAAGACGACACTTCTCGAGCTTGGCGACTCGGGAGCGAGAGCGATGGCCTTTGTGTTTCAATAGGGAGGAAGATGGTGGCATCTCCATGATCCTTCTTCACCGGCGTCTGTTTAATTGATTTTGACGGAGATGAAAAGTAGTTGCTCTGAATCTGGTTCTTCTCACTAGAGTTGGAGTAAATACTCTCCGTGTATGCCATTCGTTCATCGTCATTGGATCCATCTGTGCTCGAGCGCCGCGTAGGGAGACTAAGAGCGGACAAAGAACTCAGATATTTGGTACCGGGCGTTTGAGGCTGCTCGCTGGCCTGGGTGGCCTTCATCGTGGCCTGTAGTGCGCGGCGATACGGGCTTGTCGTACGGAACAGGTGACACGTTGGACTGGCAAAGAAAGCCGAACTCCGGCTGGAGATTAGTGATTTTTGCGTTTCGGGAGCTACCTGAGGTTCTGCATCACCCTGACTAGGGAGAGCCCTAAGCTTCTCACCAAGACCTTCGTTAGGGCAAGCATCGTGACTGAGGCTTTTCTGCGGCGAGTATGTGGGTTTATGGCCTTTGATGGCGTGACTAGTAGAAACTGACGAAGAACGTGATATAACAGTCTTGTCGGCGCGATCCTGGAAGACATCATCTTCTTGCTGAACATGGCGAATAGTGTGAGTAGATCCTTGATACATGGCCCAGCGAGGTTGGCGTCTTATTGTCGAGTTGCTCCGCGGCGAATCTACTTCAGGGCCATCCGAGGTCGCATGTCTCTCGCTCAATGACTGATTTTGATGCTGTTGTGTTTCCTGCAGTCTTTTTATGAGAGCTGAGTACACACGCTGGCTATCGACTATAGGACCTCTGCGTGATGAATTATCGAATGGGAGCGAGACATGGTTGCGAGATGAAGGCAATGTCGCCATCTCCGCTTCTTGAGAAGAGGATGCATATTGAGGGTTCCAGTTAGCTGACTTTGGCTGATGTGTAATTGTCGCCGCTGTGGAGTCTGTCCAGCTGGTAACTCTTGATTTATCGTCGTTTGGCAGGCTGTCTTCTATTTCCACACTTCCGAAGCTGCCCTGCCGAGACTTGAGCTGCTGACTCACCGGCACCGTATGGAAAGAAGGCATCCTGGATGACACTTGATACATGGATGCTTCCCTAGATGACCGCGTTGGCACCGATGACTGAGTACCATAACAACTGCTATCGTTTGAATCACGTTCTTGGGCACAATTTTCAGCTTGGTTTACATTTTGATCTGTAGACTTGGGGCGGCTGAACAGCCCCTTGATCCTGCTCTTGAGTGACTTTGAGATTTTGCGAGCCGTAGTTCGCAATGTAGGTTGCCTTGGAGGAATGCTGTAAGGGTTATTGGAACCGTAAGGAGATGCTGGAGAGAGCACTGTGGTGCTATTGCTGCTACTGCGAAGAGACTTGGGAAAACTCGCCACGTTTGAACCATGCTTGTTGCTCGGTCGAAAGAAACTTGAGGGTCGACTTTTGAGATGACTCAAGCTTTCTGGTGGCTCATAGAATCCATTTTGGGTCAGCTGGTTAGACATTTCAAAGTTACTTCCAATATTTATTCGTGATATCGATCCTTCGCGGCCATGTGGGAGAAAAGCCATGGATTTTGGAGCCCTCAGTGAAGGCCCACCTAGGCTCCAAAGAGGCTCGTTCTCTTTCTTCGCGAATGACGAATATCGAGACGACGTTTGCCATCCATTGAACACATCGGAATGGTCACTATTCTCCAACGAATAAGTGGGTATTTTTGTTACTGATGGAGCGTACATTGACTTCGATTTGCGTAATCTTCCATATGATGACAAAGATGCAGATGCATCTCCTGGTTCCAAGGAATATTGCTGAGAGTCCATAAGACGCCGTGGCGGGTTGCCTGTTGCCGGTATACTTGCGCGAGCAGCCAATATTCTTCGAGGCTGGGCATTTGGACCAGCAAATCTCACACTCTGCTGTCGATGTAAGCGCGGCGACTTTCGCTCGTTATTCTGCGGCTGAGCCCGGCTGAAAGAGAGAGTCGCAGCGATGTACGCGTCTCTTTCCACCGGCAACGACTCGATGTTGGTGAGATCATGGGCTAGATTTCGGCCTATGGAGACAGACGACTTGCTCCTGCTTAGGGGGTGGCGATTCTGGCTTCTGGTGCTATTCTTGCGAAGCATTGCCGTTATTGTGCGCTCGAAGAGCTAGAAAGATGTTGCGTTTAAGGAGATGCTTTCGTTTATGGCGGCAAGGAGATGATATAACAGACGAGGCGTGGCTTGCAACTGATGATGAGTGTTGTTATAATGAGATAGTCTGGCTATTTCAGAGGCATAGATGGGAGAGAAAACATGGCCGAAGTTGACTCTATGAATGATGAAAATTTTGATATTTCCAGTTGTATCAATGGCCATGAGGAAGGAGGAGGCGAGGAGTCTCGCCTCAGGCATCCGCAGCGTGTATCGTTGCTGAATGGGCGTTGCAGGAGCTTGAGGCGCCGCGTCTTTTCTTTGCTCTTGCCCATGACGGAAGCGAGTTTGGCTGGCAGCTGGCAAATTTTGCTTTACCAAAGAGTTCTTCGAGGCATCTGATAAGAGAGGGCGGATGCTAACAAAAATTCGATATGAACTATCAAAGTAGCGTTTAGAAGAGTCTGGATAAGTCAACAATTCGCGTCATAGAAAGCTTGGTATATTGAGCCATTGTTAATAGCTGCGTTTTGTTTGTGTTGTTGTCTTTTCATTTACGTACAACAATTAACTGAATTGTAATAGATGCTGTGTCGCTGCCTCACAGGTAAACTACAGCTAGTAGCAGGTATAGATATCTAGCATGAACGTATACCGTAGACTAATAGGTAGGTATTCATTAGCGTAAAAAAGGATTATGATTGGCAATGAGCCATGGTTTTCTAATGTCAAAAGCGTGTCAAAAACGTAGCCATTAATAGCCTATACAAGAAAGATTTCGCATGAATACGACGTCACGAGGGCATGTCTAGACAGTGATTGCATCCAAATGCAAATTGTATTGATTATATGATACTCCTGTATAAGCATTCTGTCTGACAAACGTAGGTGTTACAAAGCAGTAGAATACGAAGTAAAGAGGAAAGCCGATACTAAATTCAGTGGCTTCACGCCCAAAGTGCATGCCAATTACCCAAAAAAACAAAGTCTCTCCTGGTCCCGTTCCATAACCCTTCGTACTCGATGTACTCATCGGCGCATTATGGCCATTACAAATAAAAAAAAAGAAAATATATGCTTAATAAAGATTCTTACTCGGAGAGTTCAGAGATGAACTCCTCAATCTCCTCCTCGACGAGATCGTGGATCTTCTTGGCAAACTTCTCAGCCTTGGAGCCAAATGACTTGGCACCCTTGACAATCTTGCCGGAGACAACCTCAAAGTCACCCTCGATGGCCTCCTCAAGCTCTTCAATGGTAGCGGGGAGCTTGCTCTGCTTCTGGGCCTTGGCCTTGGCCTTGTAGCCGCCGGCCTCGATGATCTGAGAGTAGTTGCTGCAGCCAGCACCGTTCCAGGCAAGCAGGTTGGGGGTGTCAGAGGGGATATCAGACAGGGTACCCTGGGTGGCAATGGAGATGAGGTCCTTCTTGAGCTTGTTGGGGGTGATGGGAGCAACAGCGAACTCAGAGTCGCCAGCGGGCTGGAGAGACAGGTAGTAGGCCAGGAGACCGGCAATGTGAGGAGAGGCCATGGAGGTACCAGAGATGGTGTTGACGGCATACTTGGAGCCAATCCAGGTGGACTGGATGCTCAAGCCGGGGGCGAAGATGTCAGTGCACTTGCCGTAGTTGGAGAAGTAAGCACGGCTGTCGTCAAGGGCAGAGGCACCGACGGTGACGGGCTCAGAGGCGGCAGCGGGAGAGTAGTTGCAGGCATCAGCGTTATCGTTACCGGCAGCGACGGCGAAGTGAACACCGGCCTTGACGGCAGCGTTGACGGCAGCGTCGAGAGCAGAGGTCTTGCCACCACCAAGGGACATGTTGGCGACTGAGCCCTTGAAGCCCTTTCGCTTGCCAGCCTTGGCCAGCTCAACTTGCTCCTTGTGAGAGATGGCGGCGTACTCGACGCCCTTTACGACGTCAGACATGGTGCCAGAGCCGTTAGATCGGAGAACCTTGACGGCGTATACATGGGCCTTCTTGGCAACACCGTACTTCTTACCAGCAACAGTGCCAGAGCAGTGAGTGCCGTGGCCGTTGCCATCCTCATCCTCGTCGCCGGCTGGGATAGTCTTGCCCCACTTGGCACGGCCCTCGAAGTCGACGTGCTCAATGTTGGTACCAGTGTCAATAACATAGGCATCAACACCCTCGCCACCGTCAGCAGAGTAGAGGTACTTGTTGAAGGTGCCGAAGCCCAGAGTGTCTCGGTGAGAGATACGAGCCAAGCCCCAGGGAGCCTGCTTCTCGGTCTCGGGGTTGCAGGAGTCCTGAATAATGACATTATCCTTTGTGTCGAGAGGAAGCATAGTGTGGACAATGGTGTCGCGCTCAATGTACTCGACCTGTAAATGATGGATTAGTCTCAATTGACCTACTAGTGGCGATGAAAGTGGTGGCGTGAACTTACATCCGGGTGGTTCCGGACCTGCTCGATGATGTCCTCGGCGAAGTGACCAGCATAGCCCTTGAAGTCACCAATCTTGAAGGTGTGCTTCAGGCCATCAAAGGCCTCATCGGCTCCAAAGATGCTGCTTCGCTTGCGGAGCTCAAGGCGCTGCTGCTCGCCTTCATCGTGGATGCTCTGGATCCAGTTGTGGTGCTTGTCGGCACCAGCCTCATCAACGTGGTCCTTGAATTTGATGATGTAGTTGTCCGGAATGGCGTTGGCCTCAATATTGCTGAGGACGGGAGCAGAGCTCTCGTGGATGGTGCCAACCTGGAACGAGCTGGCCTGGGCGACGGCCGCCACAGAGAGAGCGATAACGGACCGCATAATGATGGCCCCGATAGATGTGATGAATGAGGGAATATGGGAGTTGGTCAACCTGCGACAAACGACCAGAAGAGACGAAAACAAAGGTGACGGAAAGAATCAGGAAAACTCCAACTTCCTCCTGCGAGATGGCAGATGAATGGGAGAAGATGCGGCGATGGATGGATGGGAAAAAGGATGATGGAAGAAGAAGAGAGAGGAGGAAGGTCGAGAGACGAGCGATGGCGCAGTAGATAAGGGCGGCTGGTACGAGGCTCCAGCGCTGCCTCAGCGCTCGCGCCCGCGGTGACGCATCACTGGAGACGGGGGTGCTCAGGGCGTGACGGCGGCCCCAACAGAGTTTAGCGGCGTCGTCCGCGTCCATGTCCACTTCCCGGGGCGATGCGATAAGCCTGGCGCCAGGTCACTCAGCCTTGTACCTGGCCGTACCGCAGCCGCTGCCTTTTGGCTGAGCTGAATACGCCCGGGTACTTGCAGTACATGCGGCAGAGCACATTCGGTACTCGTTGCTACAGTGCCAAGAGTGCGAATTCACCCCATGCCGCCAAAAGCAAGGAAGACCCGCTGTATCGCTGTATCAGCTTAGAGCAGGTACCGTTGACGCGTTTCCAGGGCCAAGTCAAGTCATGACGGAACAATGACTCTTCCGAAATGAGCCCTGGCGAGTCTTTCATGTGCACTTCTTTCCGGCAGCAATGACGGCGAGTGAGACAAAGCCAAGACAGACGGAGAGACAAAGGGATGAGCGCTGCTCGCATAGGTACTGCAGGTATAGGCAGTCCGGACCAGCGCATCACCGCCTGTCTCGCCCGTCTCTTCTGCCTTTGAGCCCAAAGGAACGGTGGCTTCTTTGTACTGAACCCGTGCTGACCACTGCCGCTAGTCTCCTGAGACGGCCCGGCCGGGGGAGCTGGCACTGTATGCGCGAGTGTCGTGTGCTGGCGCCGTGTACCTGCGGTAGCCCTTCTCACACGCCGCAAACGAAACGCAGGCCACGGCCGAAAGGCGGAGGGATTGGATGGCGGATGGCATTTAGGGGGCGACCCTGAGCAGCCGATGCCCATCACTCACTTTTGCGTCCATCCATGTCCCGCTGCTCCCTGCCAGCCAGCTCTACAGTATTGCTACGATGCCTGTATATGCTGTGCGAACCAGCCGGCAGGCCTCACGTCCATCAATCAAGCCAGCGCTATCACTGCGCTCTGCCCCATCTGCCTGCTAGCCCAGCTCGTCCTCCTTGCTCCCCCGGACCAGCTCAACAGATGATAAGCCCTGCATACAGGCCACAGCGGTGCATCTGGGCCCATTTCCCCCCGTCCCATAATGCGGGGATGCATGTGGCTCCGATTGGCCGCCACCGAGCCTTCTGATGCGCTGCGTCAAACAATCCTGGCTCGTGCGTCTTGTCACGAGTCTCTCGGCCTCTGCTCCAATCTCTTTCCATGCCCATTTGGGACGACTCGTGACGGCGGCCAGGAGGGTGCCATTTGCGAGAAGCTGGTCCAGTGATTCCATGCTGATCAACGTTATTTACTTGTACATACGGAGTACAGGCGGCTGGGCTGGCGTGGCTGCATCCGGCTAGAGCCCGCCATGCACGAGATGCACTGTATAAGACGGAGATTTGGAGCCAAGTACTGCCTGTACCTGAGCATTGGCGTACAGTAATGCACAGAGCTCCGTATCTATCCGCACATAGAGTACATTAGCTGGCACGCAACCAACCTTGGTAGATTCGCCTCCCTTTTAGGTACTACGGAGTTACTCGGTAATAGGTACCTTAGTAGTAGTACCACCAATAATATCACCAATGATACACTACCGCCCGCATCAATATCACGTGTGAGCTATTGGCGCCGTGACGCTTGCATGCCTGCACTCAATACGCCGTCTAGACGCTATTACTGGACTTGCAGGTGCCTTTTGTAAGTAAGGCAGCACTATTGATAGAGTGTATCGGTAGCTATTAGGTAGACCACCTCCATACGGAGTAGCTAAACGCCGATGACTGTGTTGAGAATGAATCCAAAGGCAGACGCTCGGCAGCGGAAAGGGAGCGTCGCTTACGTGCTTCTTCGCCAAGATGACCTCAAAAGATGCGACTGGAACTCTTATCAGGTACCAAGTACCTACTACAAGCACTGCAGGCTAGCACCGGTTGGAGCCTCGATTCGTGCCCGGGTAAGCCAGTGCAGGTCACTCAGTACGAGTACGAATAACGTGAGGAACACTGACACGGTGAGCGTTGAGAACCAGCCCTTGGCCGTTTCAGCACGCTTCCACTAACACTCTATACAAACCTGGTAGCGGCGATTCCTCCCCGAGTCGAGTCCCTGTACTCGGACTCCTTACTCCGTACTCGCCTGATTTACATTTGTTTGTACAAGCTCGCATCGCCAGCATAAAGGCTCCTTCTAATCCATAACTTAAAGCAGCCCCTTTCCGTCTCTTCCAAATCCTAATCCAAATTCACGGCCAGGCTGCAGCCAGCGCCGCGATCGGCCGAGAGTTAAATGTTCTCTGAGCTTTGGTTTCAAGGCATTATTTTGTGCATCGCATTAAGTGCAGATACGAAGTACATGCTCCGCAGAGCGAGCGAGCCCTTCATAAAACATGCACTCCTTTTCTTCCGCCCGAATGTTCGCAGCTGCGCTGGACGGAGCCTGTCTTTCTCTCTGTCCGTAGCACAGCTTCTGCCTGATGCGATGGCCATCTACATGTCCTCTGCCGCTATGCCTGTCGAATACTGAATACTAATGCCATCTGTTCTCATCACTATACCCTGGATTAATGTATATGCTAAGCATGATCTATGTAGCTGCCTGCCTGCCTGCCTACCTATGTATCCTCGAGCAGTCTGCCTGAAAGCTGTATATCTTACATGCAACCTAAGCATGTAGGACTTCAAAGCCCATTGTTGTCGCATCGCTCATGGGCGGAACCCCCTTATCTATCTACCAGCCACACATCCCTGGCCTGGGCCGCGATAAGCACTGAAGCTTGCACTGAGGCGCGCATGCAGTCCTTACTCCGTAGAGGGCCACTGGATGGCTCGTAGCGGGGCAGCCGCTGTTGTTGCCACATCCTCCCACTAGCCGCAGCGCCCGAACCTCAGCCACGGTCGAGGCTGACGGCGGATTGGCTGGCAGGCTCCAACCTCATCCAGAGCCCGGCAAGCAACCGTTGAGAGATCGCAAGACCCCCTAAACCCCCGAAACTGAACTGAGCGTGTTCTGGTGTATCCCGCGCGCTGTTCATCACTCCTTCTTGTGGCCCCCTTGTTTGCCTTTGTTCCACGACGCCCTGGCAGTCCCTTCGGCCAGCTGACCGCCGTCCAAGAGCTTCATGCGCCCCGCGCCAGAGCTCCGAGCTGCTTGCCCATCTTGTCCTTCAATGCCGTTGCGGATAGCTGACGGCCTGGACCCTTGACGGGCCCTGGAGGGCAAACCTACTGGAATGAGAATTCGGCCACGACGGGATCATGGCGACACTTCCCACGCGATACCGGTCGTCGACCTCGGCGTCAACGTCGGCCAACACCAACCCGAAATACGTCCAAGTCCTGCAGACATTGCTCGATGATCTTATCCACGAGCAGACATCTCGAAACGGCGATGGCTACCCCGATATCCCCAAGCTCGTCAAGGGCCTGCGAAACCTTGCCCAGCTGGTAGCTGCCCCTCCTGCGTCTATGAACCAAGATGCCTTTCGACTCGCGGGGGGCTTCGAGTGCGTGCTCGACGTGCTGCGTGGCTTTGCGGGCTACCATGACCCGCGGAAGCGGAGCCAGGCCGAGATGATGTCATTGTTCAAGCTGATTGGAGCCTTCCTGAGCGTCTTGTCAGCTGCATTTCGAGACCACTCTGGCAATAAGCGATTCTTCCGCTATAGAGTTGCGGGTGGTGGATGGGAAGCTCTGGAGCAGACCATCGCGAGCATTGGCCTGGGAGGCGCGGAACCTGACGTCTGGGTTAGCTGCCATGTCTTTGGCAAGCTTCTCGCTTTCTCGCTGGACGACGAAGGTTTGGATTTACTATGCCAATCTACCGCAAAAGCCTTGCGATCGGAATCCGATGCCGACACCGAAAACAAAATCAACCAGACTGATGCCCCTGAAAACGAAGTCGAAGATGGGGCCGACGAACAATGGGATCTTGTGCTTGCGCGCTCAGTTGGGAATATCGGACCAAGCGTGCGCGAGGTCGTCACTGCCAAGACGATAATACGCCACCCAGAGCTACTCAGAGCTGTCGTGAGCTTCTGGCGAGCTATCCCCAGGCCCGAGAATTCGCCGCCGAGCCCGACATCACTAATTGTGTTGGAGACAATCCTCAGCGCAGCATCGGTCTCGATATACAACCGTGCCGCGATCCATTCCACTGGCGTTCTTTCGCAGTTTCTCGAGTCTGCTTTCTCACCTCAATCCAACTTGGCGCCGGCAGAACGCGATATCGTTTTGACCCTATGTCGATCGCTCATGTATCTTGGCGTGAACCAGCCTGCAGATGTCCAGTTCCTGTTGTCAGCACCAGGCCAGGAAGCCGCCAACTTTTTCCTAGAAATGACTTCCAAATACACCGGCCCTCCCTTTTTTCAGTTTGACCTATCGCTCTATGGTCATTCTTCGCTGGAGCTACCTACATTGGGCCGTCCATTCCCTCCCCAGTCCTCGGCTGGATATACCTTTACAGCCTGGATACGTGTCGACTCTTTCGACCTAACCGCGCATACCACTATCTTTGGAGTCTTTGATTCCTCCCAAACTTGCTTCGTACTCATGTATTTGGAACGAGATACCCACAACTTCATTCTTCAGACCTCAGTCTTTTCCAACAAGCCCAGCGTGAGATTCAAGTCGGTAACGTTTCGTGAAAAGACATGGTACCACATTGCCGTTGTTCATCGTCGACCAAAGACAATGTCCGCCAGTAAAGCATCTCTCTATGTAAACGGAGAGTTTGCTGAGCAGATTCGCTGCAATTACCCGCACATGCCTCCATTGGCGAACGGAAGCACAGAAACGTTTGCCTCGTTCAACTCAAACCAAAACAAGCACAATCCCGTACAGGCATTCCTCGGAACCCCCCGCGATTTGTCTAATCAGAGCGGCCCGGGCCTTGTCTTTTCAAGATGGTCATTAGCATCCGCATATCTATTTGAAGATGTTCTTAGTGATGATTATATAGCAGTTCACCATGCGCTTAGACCTCGCTACCAAGGAAACTTCCAAGACGCTCTGGGTGGCTTCCAGACCTATGAGGCATCGGCTTTGCTGGGCTTGCGTAATGAGATTGTCCATTCCGGCCAGGACGAGAACTCTGATATTCTCAGGGCGGTGCGCGATAAAGCAAGCTCGCTTTTGCCAGAGTCAAAAATATTGCTTGGTATTCTCCCATCTGCTACGTTTCCAGAAAACGTGCAGTACATCGACACGGGAGTTCTCAGAGCACTCCCTCGCACATCCACCCGCAACCTTTTCCGCATGTCAAGCAAGGAAGCATCACCACTTGCCATCAACTGTGCAGTGCCAAGCCTCACGGATGCATTATTCAGAAGTCAGGGGATAGCTTCCTTTAGGGGTTCTCCAATCGTGGCTGTCCCATCATACTTTGATGAGAACCTTTGGCGTCTAGCAGGCTTCACACCATTAGCCCTCAAACTTTTAGAAAAAGCGACAACCGTTGAGGAAACTGTCCATGCCATCGAGATCATGTTCCACTGCATTCGCAAGAGTTGGAGAAACAGCGAAGCTATGGAGAGGGATAATGGATATAGCATCTTGGGAATGCTTTTACGCTTCAAGATCGGATATGGTGGCTCTGGAACTACCAGCGATACGCCGACGTTTCGACTTTCGGTGTCTCAGGAAGAGCGCGAAAGTCTTGCGTTCCGCATCCTAAGCCTGGTATTGGGATTTGTCGGATATAACCATACAGAACCCATTGAGTCTTTCATCATCAATCCCTTAGCATACCGCATCCTCCTCATCGACCTGGATATCTGGCGCAGAGCAGGGCCGCGCGTTCAGGAGCTCTATTACAAACAATTCGTGACTTTTGCCGTCAACAGTAAATATCATGATTTCAACAGTAGGAGGTTGATACGCATGAGTAAGTAATTGTATCGCCTCTTTCTTTCTCATATCGGCAATGTATCCCCTAACTTTTGTTGCCTTAGGAATTGTGAAACGACTATTAGACGCCATGAAAGGGGAGGCTATCTCTGAAGAGGTCGTTCCACAGTTTATGGGAGCTTTCGAAGCTCTCGTCAGGTCCAATTTAAGTCAAGAAGTTATGAGATCCTTGTCACTCTTCATTACGTACGCTTTTCATTTGCCTACCTCTATAGGCTCACGAACTCCACGATTGTCCTTGACCACTTCAAGATCCAGCACACCTGGCCCCTTCAAGCGCGGGGCTGCAGATGGAAGTGATAGCAGTGGTCTGGGTAGTGGTACTAGAACTGTATCGAAAAAGCAACTTGGAACCAAGGTTCTTAGTCTTTACTCTAGGATTCTTTGCGAAAGAGGCAGCTTCAATAACATCAAAAAGTTTGCCAAGACGGTAACCAATAAGGTGAGTCAAACCGTTGTTATTTGAGAACAATACGTGGACTGGGTATTAGCTGACAATATCTTATTTTAACAGTGGTTACTGTATCTGCTTGCTGATGATGACTCTGAAACTGTCATTCATGGATGCAAGATCCTCGCCCGCCTTCTTGTTGTTCATGGATCTGCTTACACGTCAAAGTTCGCTGGCAAATCTGGCGGGTTTACGATTATGGCAAATCGATTGAAAAGATTTTGGGACCTTCCTCCTCTATGGACCATATGCTTTTGCATATTGTTTGGGCAGGATGTGGCTGATGTCAACCTGGATAGCAGGGCTGACTTCCATACTCTCGCTGAAAAGTTTAACAAGCGCAAAGTTGTCTATCCTGAGTCTCTGGTTATCATCACATCAATGCTTCAGCATGGCCTCAAGGATGTAATGAAGTACCAGGAAGACCCAGATTCTCCAGCTGCCAGTCTTACACCATCTCACGCATTACCCAGACCATCTTCCGCTTACGAGACAAGACCTAGAGCGAGTTCAGATCTTCTCAGAGGACTAGAACCTAGGTGTATGTTTCTTCCTCTTCTTCCAGATAGCACTTTTGTTGATCTTGTTTCCTAACCAATATTTTACAGTAACAATGTCTCGAGAGAGAGTAGGTGCACACGCAGGATTTCTTCAAAGTGCTATCCAGGTTTTGCAGGATCTCTACGAACGGTCTGCCGAATTTAGAGAATTTGCTCTGTCATCTGAGTGGATTCGTTTGCTCTTGGCAGCTCTCTATCCGATCATTGTTAGCGCCGATGCAGTCACACCGGATGTGGAATTGAACTCTCGAGACTCTGCTCTGACGTTTGAAGGCAGTGACGTTATCATTAGGCCCATGGGTGGTAGTTCTATGCCAGCGCCCATCGTTCGAACGACCAACGTCGACCTTGTGCCGTCACCACAGTCAACGCCGCCAAAAGGGACGCCTCTAAAAAGAGCATCGTCCTTTGTTCTTCTGACTGCTCAGAAAACTATCCTGGAACCAAAACCTTCTTCTCCTTTAGCAAAGTCTTTGCCTCAGCAGCAAAAGATTATCAGTGGCAGCCTTGGTAATGCTATTGTAGATGGGATCACGGACTTGGTGATGCGCGTTTTTATGGATCAAATATTCGCCCGCAAAGAATTTTCGGGCTTTGGTCTCTTCACAAAGATGCCTCCTGGTTTCCAAGAACACCAGGCCTATTTTGAGTCATATGTTTTGAAAAAAGCAATTTCCGAGGTGACAAACATGATTCAAACGAAGCGCCAGGGGATATGTGAGCCCAGGATTCTGACAAATCTTGGCCGGCTTTGTTCTCACCTCTGCGAGGCAATCTTCGAAGGCTGGTTTCTGAATGGTGCAGAAGCCATGATCGACTTCAATGGAATGCTGCTAGAATTTCTGCAGCGGCCCGAGATTGCAGCGTTGAAGAGCGTTCGTTTGTGCAGCCAAGCCATATCAACGATTCGCAGCTGCCTGTTGCGAACGATTTTACTCAAGCTCTCAGACTTGGATAACCGACAAACATCTGAGTCAGAGGCCAAAGAATTCATGGACAAGATGGCTTACTGGCAAATGTCTATTCTGGACTGCTTGGGGGCTGACGACGAATACCTAAAACTGTTCTGGTACCAGCTTTATACAAAACTCATTGACGATAAGCCATCGATTCGTAGCGCTGCTGCCAATTTCCTTCGCATCATTCTGGTACAAAAGCCCGAGGAATCAATCTCTTTGATGCGTTGGTCTTCTGCGCCGGAGCAGCGACAAATTGTTCGCGATTTCCAGAAACTGACAGAAATAGACGATGAAGCATTCGTTCTTTGGGTAGACAAGCATAGGCCGGCGTTGGATATGCTCTTTTTCGGCGGCATGGCAAAGACTTGGGAAGATTTTGTTAGCGCAGAGAATCATCGCACCTTTGAGTCTGCGAAATCTCGTCTCAACAAACGCAAAGATAAGCTGAAAATCTGGAATTTAGAGGCAACTGCGGCGGAGCAAACTCTTATCAGCCATGAAATTGGTAACAGCGCTTGGATGAAGAGTATCTACACTACCGAGTACTTCAAATACCAACGCCTGATGCAAGATCAGCAAGATGACTTGGCCTTCCTCGCGGCAGGCTACAGGAAAATGGAACGGGACCTTCAACGGCCTGGAGCTGTGTTTAGTGTGTCGACTGCACCGAAATGGAAGCTGGATCGTACGGAGGGACGGAACCGTATGCGTCTGCGACTCCTCCCTGACTATCCCGTGGGAGAGGACAAGTATCAGCCGAAAGCGAAGGGAAGTCAGTCAGCGACTCCTACAACTGGATCCGCGTTGAGCACGACGCCAGTTTCACGGGGTCGAGCAGCCTCAGCAAGCCGGCCGCCAACGCGGTCTAGCACCATGTTGGATGGCGCCAATGACAGCGATTTGACATCTTTAACCATGGAACCTGAAGTAACGTCGGAGAACCCTGATCCCGTACTCACAGCGGAGGATGATTTTGAACTTATTGATGATCCTAATGAGCGGAACGAAGGCGATGAGAACTTTGAAGATAAAAATCGCAAGGTCAGGCGTCGTCTGGAACATGGTGACCAGATACAGGCTGCCTTCAACATATCCAGGGTTACAGGTCTCGAGGCATGTGAAGGCCTTCTGATCGTAGGAAAGGACGCGCTCTATATCATGGATAATGTGTTCCAGTGCGCCAATGGCGATATTGTGAATGTATGGCAAGCGCCGCCAGATGAACGCGATCCATTCACCCAAGTGGTAACAGGCGCAAAGACGCTCGAAAAAAGACAAAATGCCGGTGGCCGTGAACAAGAGTCGAGGCATTGGAGATGGCAAGATGTTATCAGCATCTCAAAACGCCGATTCCTTTTCCGAGACGTTGCTATTGAAATCTTCTTCACTGATGGCCGAAGCTATCTGTTTACCAACATCTCTACCGCGGTCAGGGATAACTTGTTTGCCAAGATGCTCAACAAAGCACCGCATACCAGTGCGGCGCATTCGCTTCCCAACCCGGAAGATGCGTGGCGGTTCGACATGCTCAAGGGGTTTGAAGACTCTCCGCAAGGCTTGGGGTCTAGGCTGGGAACTCTATTCAATGCATCACCATGGACTTCCATCATGAAACGTTGGCAGAGAGGTGAAATCTCCAATTTCCACTATCTAATGGTGGTCAATACCATGGCTGGACGAACCTTTAACGATTTAACCCAATATCCTGTGTTTCCATGGATTCTCGCTGATTATACCAGCGAGGATCTTGATCTGGAAGATCCGAGAACGTTCCGCGACTTGTCAAAGCCCATGGGTGCCCAAACCCCCAACCGTATTCAAGGGTTTATTGACACGTTCAGTGCCCTCGAAGAGATTGGACAGCCGCCGTTCCACTACGGCACCCATTATTCGTCTGCCATGATTGTATCTTCATACCTCATTAGACTGCCGCCCTTTGTACAGTCTTACTTGCTTGTGCAGGGAGATAGCTTTGATCACGCAGACCGTCTGTTCCAGTCGATTGGCGATGCGTGGACCTCAGCCTCGTGCAACAACAAGACAGACGTCAGAGAGCTGATTCCCGAGTTTTTTTGCCTTCCCGAGTTCTTGACAAACATCAATGGCTACGATTTTGGACGTCGCCAGAGCAATGGTGCCCAAGTCAACAACGTTGAGCTTCCTCCCTGGGCCAAGGGAGATCCTAAAATCTTTATTTCCAAGCACCGCGAAGCGCTTGAGAGCCCATACGTGAGCGAAAACTTGCATCAATGGATTGACCTGGTATTTGGGTTCAAGCAGCGAGGCGAAGCGGCCGTGGAAAATCTCAACGTTTTCCATAACCTCTCATATGCGGGCTCAGTTGACTTGGACCAGATTACGGATTCTAACGAGAGAGCTATATCTGCCGGCGTTATTCACAATTTCGGTCAAACGCCACATCAAGTGTTCCAGAAGCCGCATCCGCCGCGGGAACAACTGAAGTCATCTGTCAAGCGTCTGGACACGGCCGTTTTCTCTCTGTCATGCCTGCCGAATCCGCTGCTGGAAAGCCACGAGAGGGTTTCATCACTTATTTACGCGCCAAAACTGGACCGCCTGCTGTGTGCCTCGCCATTCCGTCTAAATCTCCCCCCATATGACAAATATTTGGAATGGGGATATGCGGATAACAGTATTCGTTTCTTCTTCGCTGACAATCGCCGACCGGCAGGTCTGTTTGAAAATCTCCATATTGGCCAGATTTCTTGCGCTTCCTTTGCTGACTCCAAGACTCTCATCACTGCTGGAGAGGATTGCGTGATTTCAGTACATGCTCTGCATACAGTGCCGGGAAAACCTGTTGAGTTGTTCCTGAAATCGAGCTTATTCGGTCATAAGACTCCGGTGACTGCGATTGCAGTGGGCAAGGCCTTTAGCACTTTTGTCACAGCTTCCTCGGATGGCCAGGCTTTCCTGTGGGATCTCAATCAGCTCTCTTTTATTCGGAAGCTGCCTCTTGTGCGTCACGTAGAGTGTGCAGAGATCCATAATGTATCTGGCGATATCATGCTGTGCTCTGGACCCAACGTGATTTTATACTCCCTAAACGGCGCCCTCATTTTGGAACAGAACGTATGCTCGGACTCTGAAGACTACGTACACTCTTGTGCTTTTTACGAAGGCGCAGGGAATGAGTGGCTTGAGAACTATCTCATCTTCACAGGACATCGTGGAGGCATAGTCAATGTGTGGCGCAAGAGCGCGGCAAGAGGGAAGTGGACTTTGGAGCTGTTACGACGCCTGGACCACATTGATTATAACAGCGAAAAGGGGGAGAACACGGCGGCGGGAATTACTTGTATTAGCCCAATGCCAACGTGCCTCTACACCGGGGATGACGATGGGCGAGTAGTAAGTTGATATCTTGTGTGAAAAAACTCGGGCTTCTACTTTACTGACAGGATACGCTTTTAGTATGAGTGGAATTTTGCGGGTAGCAGAGACAGGTAGAGCCTGAGTATGCCCCGCCGAACCTCTGTGAGGCATACGTATCGCACCACCTCGCGGGTGGGACGAAGCAACGAATGATTTGTATGGAGCAGCAAATATCTTTCTTTTTTTTTAGAAAGGGGAAAAGGAGAGAGGATTTGTTTATGTTTTTGTGTGCGTGTGTGTGAGATTTGTGAGCGTAGCGAGCGGAAGCCAGCGTCAACCATAGATTCTACAAAAAAAAAGGGGCGTGCTTTCAAAAGTTGGACAAATATAGGCATAGTGAAGAAGAAAATAGCTTTGGATTGGTACAAGGTAGAAGAAAAAAGAAACAGAAAAAGCGTTGTAATTTGCATCAATTGTTGAATTTAGGGTTTATATCATCTCCTGCTCTGCTCTGATTTTCGGACTCTAAGGTCCCTCTCTCCTATGTCCTCTTTTACATTGTGAATAACGCCGTGGTTGTGAGTATATACAGGAACCTCTTATTTGCGATTCCAGCTCTTCTCTCTTTTTTGATGCAAACTTCCCGACTCGGAAATTCGATGTTTTATGGGTGTATTTGTTTCGCAGCATGTTTAGTCGTCGTAGCCTGTCAGCTGTTTGCGAGGACCGGCGGGGACTGTATTTATGTCCTCTGGTTAGCTTCTCTCTCTGTCTCTCTCTGTCTCTCTGTGTCTCTCATTCTTGTTTCTCTTGAAGCTTCCTGCCCTTCCTCCTCTCATCCCCATCTTGTTCATCCTCCAAATCAAGAGCATTCGTTCGTTCATTGGCCTTGCAATTGCGCCCACTCGAAGTGGAGAGGAAAAAAAAAGACGTACCGGGATAGGTGACGGGAACAGGCGCAGGGTCGACATCGCCGAGCATGTGGCGGATGGGAGGGACGATGGGCATCAGGATCGGGCCAGCAGCACCAACGACGACGGACCAGAAGAAGGCGGGTCGCTCGCGGGCTGCCCAGCTGCAGTACTTGAGGGGCGTTGACCAGAAGAGGGGTGCGGACATGGTGAAGCTGTCGGGCGAGAAGGCGAGAAAGAGATCAATTGGTTAGCTGAGGGCTCAAGGTCTGTGCGGCGGAGAGGGAGATTGCATCGTACTGTGGTTCAGACGGGAGTCTGCTGGATCTTGGGGGATTGCGATGTTGGAGCGCGGCGGCGGTTCGGGTGACAAACATGAGGTTTCGTCGTGATGCTCTTCCGGCGCCTCGGCAGAACGTCGGCACGGCGGGCTTTTTTTTAGTTGCGGCCAGAGAGCTTCTGTGGCATGTACCTACTGTACGTACCGCTGCTGCAAGTGACAACTGAAACGGAGCGGCTCCACAGCGGGTTGCCGGCGAGGCTACGTATCCCCAAGGCCAGATCGGGAGCTTGAAGCTGTCCTCCCACTGCAAACCTGCAACTCTCACCACCACCGAAACCGTCTCATTGGAGTCTCCTGTTCGCGATGTGGTCGATTCTGAGCGTGGCTGCTGCGCTCGTGTACGCAGCTGCTGTTTCGGCGGTCAGCACGGCGGGCAATCGCCTGCTGGTCGTGCTGGACGACGTTGCTGAGAAGGACTTGTACAGCCAGTTTCTTGGCGATCTTACAGGTGCGTATCCGCGCAAGATGCTGCACCACCGCTTTGATATATGACTGTTTTTTTTTTTTTTTTTTTTTTTGCTTCTTTCTTTCTTTGAATGTACCAATTGAGAAACCAGAATGCGCTGACTTTGATATTTATCGCATCTTGTGCAGGTCGCGGCTATGATGTGTCGTATGAGACGCCGCGGAGTGAGGGCCTGTCGCTCTTCCACCTTGGAGAGAGGAAATACGACCACCTGTTGTTTCTGCCGTCCAAGGTCAAGGGTATGTTCTCTGCCAGCCAGCGCCTCTGGCTGCACGGCTGCATCTAGTTCTTCTGCGCACATGTCCCGATGGCCGGCTGACACTCGTGTACATAGGCCTGGGGCCAAACCTGACTCCCAATCATCTTGTCAACTTCGTCAACGCCGACGGAAACATCCTCGTTGCGCAGACGTCCACCGTACCTTCGTCCACCTCCATTGTCGGCTTCCTCTCGGAGCTTGACATTTCGCTCCCCGTTGAGCGCACAGGCACCGTCATCGACCACTTCAACTACGACACTCATTCCGCTACCGAATCCCACGACGTCCTCGTTCTCGAAGCGCCCACCAATGTCCGCCCCGGTTTGAAGTCGTACTTTGAGATTGATGGCGGCGTTTTGGCTTTCCCCCACGCTGTTGGCCATGTTCTCGGCTCTGGCCCTCTTCTTACCCCGGTCGTCCGCGCCCCCGCCACTGCATACAGCTACAACCCCAAGGAGCAGGCAGAGGTTCTTGATGCCGATGATCTGTTCGCTGCCGGCCAGCAACTATCTCTTCTGTCAGTCTTCCAGGCGCGCAACTCTGCTCGCGTGACGGTTCTGGGATCCGCCGAGATGCTGCAGAACAAGTGGTTTGAAGCCGTAGTTGGCAAGCCCGGCGGAATGAGTTTCAGGACCGATAACCAGAACTTTGCTCAGAGAGTGTCGGGCTGGACGTTCCAGGAGACTGGTGTTGTGCGAGTCAACAGCATTGAGCACAAGCTGCAGGGCTCAGATGAGCTTAACCCCAGCATCTACCGTATTAAGAATGATGTGGTAAGTTTGCACATGAATGAACCTATATTGTATGGCACATTGTCACTGACATTTTTCCTTTCTTTCAATTTTTCTAGTCTTACAACATCTCCCTGTCCGAGTGGAGCTGGGATAAATGGGTTCCCTTTACTGTTCCTCAGGGTGACGTTCTCCAGCTCGAATTCTCCATGCTTTCGCCCTTCCATCGCCTGAACTTGGCTCGCACCCGTACCACTGACGATGCTGCCGTGTATGGCGTCTCCTTCACGCTTCCTGACCAGCATGGCATTTTCAACTTCAAGGTCAACTACAAGCGCTCTTTCCTCACCAACATCGAGGAGAAGAACACCGTCAGCGTTCGTCACTTTGCGCACGATGAGTGGCCTCGCAGCTTTGTCATTTCAGGCGCCTGGCCATGGATCTCTGGCATTGGCGCGACAGTATCTGGCTTTGTTGGATTCTGCGCGATATGGATGTACAGCAAGCCTGTTGGCAAGAAGAACTGAAGAGAGGAGATAAGGAATAGGAATGAAGTATTTTTTTTAGGAGCACAAGACTCGAAGCAAGCAAGGGTGCTGTAGATTTTTTTTGTTTATGTACGATTTGCATCTGGCGGGCCAAGTAATACCCACCCATAGATGGCACATGATATCAGCCGGGCTGGGAAGATCTTTACGATTAGAGTAGAGACCAATAAAAGCAAAAGAAAAGACGAGCTGAATAGAATTTTACGCTTCGAAGAAACCTCGCTTGAATGGTACCGTGCAATAGTATGATATGTATATGTATTTGTTTCTTTATTTATTCCTTCAGTGTATATAACATCGTTCATTCCTATGCCCGCACTTGCTGAATGCCCTGATGGCTGATGGCCACACCCTCCCTTTTGCATCCTCAGTACACAAAGAAAAGAAAGAAAAAGAAAGAAATACAAAACAAAGTGAATATATTGGCCACCCTCAGATTAGCTCTCTTGTGTTCTCACCGGCAACTCGCAGCCAAGGGTGTCACACCTACTGCTGTTGTCTGCAAATTTGGCTTTTTGGACCTTGAATCATCACCAGGTGGTTTCACTTTGTTCGTATGAAAACAAAAGAAAAAGAAAGTTACCGACTCCCCTTTACCCCCCAAATCACCAGACTAGACTGTCCGACCTAGGTAGAAACGCATCTTGGGTTGGTTGAAGCTCAGCCTGCTCCGATTGAAAACTATATCCCACTAGGGAGAAGAAAATCACGAGTCTTTGTTGAACCTTTTGATCTGGTTGTGGCCAGAAAGAAGGAAAGAGACTTTTCTAGGTGCAAAGTGTCTGTCATTGCGGCTACTGCGAGAAACAACCAACAAAGAGGCATTTCTGCCATGAAAGGGAGAAAGGTAGCGAGGTGCAAAAGGGTAAAGGGTAGAAAATCGGTGCTCGCTCAGATCTCTGTTCTTGTGGTGTGGACACTTGCCAGTGAGAAGAATTGCTCTTTCTCAAAAGGCATTTCCCCTGAAAAAAGGATGTGAAGAGGTATCATCACCGAGAGCACTTGCGGAGGCCCAATTCGCGAGGGGGGAGGCACTGAGGGGCAGAGACGAAAAGGAGGAGGGCGGAGGTGGGTTTACGGTTTGAAGAGCATTTTGGAAGCTCGCTGTTGCTTTTTGAGGCGAGGTGCTGTGAGGTGGAGGGCGAGGATAGATAGATAGCACGGGTTTGGTTTGGGGAAGTGAGTGAGAGGGGGAGAGGAGAGGAGAGAAGAGAAGAAGGGCTGGTGCTTTGCTGCGGGAGGAGGCTGGTTAGTGGTTGGAGAAGGATCGCAGGCTACGTGGTAGGAACTGCTTAGCAAAAGAAAAGATGCTGGAAGAAGAAGATGTCGCTGTGCGAGTTTGGTTGATGTGAAGAAGAGAAGAAGATGGCGAACAAGTTCGAGAGAGTGAGCAATAACTTTATACCTGCGAGAAGGAATTCCAAAAAATTCGGGTTCCGGGCCAGCTCATTGTTCCGGCAGCTGTTCAACGGGAGAACACGAAAGAAATTATGAGAGACATTTCGTTTGTTGTGTGGCAGCTGGCGCAGCTGTTTGAGATGTTGAATGACATCAAGGTGAGGCGTTGTTGAGACCTGTTTGCCAGGTGTCGGGCAAAAAAAGGTGAAAGAAAGGTGAGGTTAGACTTGAGGCGCGCTTGGAGTTTAGACGCGCTGGCGGTTTATGGCGATGGGGCCTTTAGCGCTTAGTGTGGGGAGGATTAGGGGGGCCTGTAGGTTGGCAGCTGAAATGGGGGATATTTTGGCATCGGTTGTATGTAAATGGAGACGGGATTGGAAATGCTGGAGTGATGTGTTGGGTGTCGTATTGACAATCGGCGAGTTATCTATAGAAAAAGAGAAAACATTGACGCTCCAGCAGCATTAGATACCGTCGAAGAGCATTGAACTCCATCATATTGAGACGAGAGCCTGGGATGTCACTTGGCGTTAGTAAGCAGTAGCCAGGGCCTGATTCTACCAACCGACGCCGTCTGGTTGATGACATGCACTCTTCGACTTCAAACACCCAGCAGCTCTCAATTAATTCGTGATTCCAATGTGGCAATCTGCATAACTCGCCTGTGCTGTGCTTAACAGAACCCAGAAGCCTCCGCTCAGTCTGGTTGTGAATCTTTTATCGAAGCTTCTGTCCCCCGTCGATCAGAGTGTCAGCGGCCACACAATTGGACCATGGCCCAATCAGACGAGCAGACGCCACCATCATCCACGGCTGCTTCATCCACCAGCAAAAAGAAGAAGCGCGCGTCAAAAGCCTGCTCGTGCTGTCGGGCCCGCAAGATTCGCTGCGACGTGCTCAAGACCGGCGTTCCATGCACCAAGTGCCAGCTGGATGGCTTCGACTGTCTTGTCCAGGCCCGCAAGAAGCGGCGTGGGAAGAATGAGCCTGTGAAAGAGGCGCCATCGTTGGGCGACGAGCTGAGGATCAACAATGCGGCCAGACCGCCGACGATGCCTCGCTCGATCCCGCAGCATGCCATGCTTCATCAGGTCCCGCACTATCCCTTCTTTCGCAGCTTTGCCCCTGACGGCCAGTCGTCGCTGCTGGCCGTCTCTCGAGATGATGAGGATGTCTCGGGGGCCATTAAGCATTCACGGCTGGATGAAGAGGACATACAGTATCTGAGACGCAAAGGTGCTCTCACCCTGCCTCCGAAGAGAGTCATGGATGAGTTTGTGTCCAATTATTTCCAGCTCTTTCACCCCTTCTTCCCCATCATCGACAAATCGAGCTTTCTGGAAGGTTATTATAGAAACGACCGTAGCGCCGCGCTTCGTTCTCACGGCACCAGCTTGTTACTTCTCCAGGCCATCATATTCACGGCCAGTGCGGTATGTTAGTCGCATGTTGTTTGATGTTTTGCTCACTCTGATGCGGTTGTTAGACGGTGCCTGCAAGCACGTTGAGAGATGCTGGATTCACGACGCGGAAAGACGCGAGAAATCAACTACATAGAAGAGCGCGCGTATGTTTCCAGATTGTTGCGGTACCCTAACAGATCATTGGGCTCACTCTTCTTTTAGTACTTGTATGAATTTGATTTTGAATCAGATGACATCACAAACATCCAGGCTCTCCTGCTGATGAGCCACTATTATCCGTCCATGGTTGAACAGAAGCATACTTGGTTTTGGGTACATCAAGCGATTAGCCTCTCGCAAGGGCTAGGTTTACATCGAAGTGCTGGCCAAGAGCCGCAACACAGCCTTTGGGCCAGAATATGGTGGGCATGCCTGGTCAGAGACCGACTCACCACGCTGGGCACGGGGCGTCCTATGCACATCAACAGCCTCGACTGCACAGTTCCTATGCTCACGCTTGACGATCTTAAAGAGGATGGCGATAGCGAAGATGATCGAACGGTAAAGGAATTCTTTATTGACTTTGTGAAGCTCTGCCAGTACATGGAGGGAGTGCTATCACTTCCCCATAACATGGCGACAGCGGCTGGATCACTACCCGAACAGATAAGCCTCTGTGAAGAAACTCTCCAACATTGGCGTCTCAACTTGGTACCAAGTGCGAGGTTGCGCCAGGAAAATAGCAGAGATTTTGACAAGCGAGGTATCTGCACTCTATACAGGACTATTTTGCATCTGATTTACAAGTAAAGCCACCATGACTCTTGGCTATATCATCTGCTCGATAACTAACTTGTTATAAAAGTATTGTCATCATCGCTCTTCACAAGTCACACCAAGTTCTGGACGAGAGTCGCCCCAGTGGCGCACAACTACCCTTACCAAAGGTTCAGGCAGCTGCTGAGGATTCAACAAGACTTGCTGTCGAGCTCGTCAGATTAGATCTAGTTAAATATTGCCCTACAATATGGCAAGTACTGCTTATACTCTAAGCTGCAATGCGAATTTTCGTACTAATATACCACAGCGTGACGGCTATTTTACCGCCGCTCATTGTTCATCTCCTTATGATGCGATCCTCCCCAGATCAATCAAGCAGACAACCTTATATCGATCGATTCAACAAATGCATGGTACTGCTAGAACAGCTCGGCGATATTTATTGGCACGCAAGTTTCTACCACGACTTTTTTACGCTTGCAGCTTCACATTCGCAAGGCCCAACAACGTACGCCAGCGGAATCGAGCAAGATCCACTTGTCGCATTCTTCAATGACCATATGCCAGCAAAACAACCTGCGGGCAAAGGGGCAGAGCTCTCTAGCCAAACGCCAAGTTGGAGGCGCCCACCCACAGCGAATAATGCTGATAGCAATCCCATCAAACCTACAGTGGCACAAAATCAAGATCATGGCGCCGCCGACCATTCGTCAATGCCTGTTACTACTGCTGATATTCAAATTGGATTTTTGGCAGAGGCACCGACGGTACAAACTTCTCCTCCAGCGTATGAGGCTGATCCCGGAGACTTGGAGCTTGCAGAAGCTGCGATTTCTGATGCCGCTAATCTGCAACTGTTCGAAGACTGGCTGGACGAGTTTGGTTATTTTCAGAACATCTTTCAGTCCGCTTGAGCGACATCTTTCTGTTCAAATACCCCGCCTATTATTTATTTCTTATCTATACAAAATGTCTAATTATATCTTTGGTTCGTTTATGATCGCCTGTCCCTGCTCACTCTTCCAGAAGCTGCCCGAAGGGTATGTGTACATCTCAATCGCATCGGGTGTATACTCTACGCTGTATCCTGGCTCGTTTGGTGTGACGAAATGGCCGTCCTTGGTCTGACAAGGGTTTGTCAAGACTTCACGAAACGAGTTGATGTGTTCTAGCAGACTCTTTTCCCCCGCTACGCATAAATAGTTTATTAAAGCGAGGTGCTGCGTGTATTCGTTGAGGCCAATGCCTCCGCTGTGGGGTACAATTGGGACGTTGAATCTGCCGGATTGATTAGATATGTGAATGAGGGGGTTATTGGTGTGTAGTTCATTTATCATGACTTACTTCTTTGCCATTAGCAGAACAGCCATGACTTCGTTAACACCGCCTAATCTGCAAGCATCGATTTGGCAATAGTCGATTGATCCGGCCTGGAGCAGCTGCTTGAACATGACGCGGTTTTGGCAGTGCTCGCCGGTAGCTACGCCGACCCCATGTGGCTTCAAAGCCCTTCTGATCGCGGCGTGGCCGAGGATATCATCAGGCGAAGTCGGCTCTTCGATGAATCTTGATAAGGAAGTTTATATTAGCATTGCTTGCTTATGACATGCCGAACATATAAACTGAGAGTATTTAACTTACAGTGGCTTATACTTGACAAGTTGCAGCATGTACTCGATTGCATCCGGTACGCTCCACACTTGGTTGGCGTCAACCATAAGCATGCGGTCGTATCCAATAGTATCACGAGCAATCTGCAATCGGCGTATATCGTCTTCCAAGTTACCACCAACTTTGAACTTGAATTTATCCATGCCGAGAGCAAGATTCGACTTGATCAGCTGCACCATCTTTTCATCAGAAAAGCCCAGCCAGCCCGCCTGCGTTGTGTATGCCGGCACGGCCCTACTGATGCGTGCTTCCTCCAGCCGTGCAGCTTTGGTCTTTTCCTGCTCACGCAGCAGCGCAATGGCTTCTTCCGGAGTGATGGCGTCGACAATGTACCGGAAATCAATGCAGTTGACAAATTCTTCCGGCGTCATGTCGGCGACAATCTTCCAGACCGGCTTGTTCAGATATCGACCCCAGAGATCCCAGACAGCGTTGACGCACGTGCTAAGACCGAGGTGAATGACGCCTTTTTCTGGGCCGACCCAACGGAGCTGTGAGTCGGACACCAGATGCCGCCAGGTCTGCCCCATGTTCTGTGTTAGTTCCGCGAGCGTCTTTCCGACGAGCCGCTCGGCAATCATCTCGGCTGCGGCTGTGCATAGGTTGTTGCCACGACCAATGGTGAATGCGAAGCCATGGCCTTGTAGATCTGTGTTGGTTTGGAGAATGATGTATGCCGCGCTGTAGTTGGGGCCTGGGTTCATGGCATCTGAGCCAGAGAGATCCAGACTGGTGGGAAATCTCAGGTCTGCTTCTAGTGAGCTTTGAAAGACATGTGCGATGACGAGATATTCTTACCATGAGCTTCAAATCCTGTGATCTTGACTTCTGAAGCTGTCGAGTGAGAGCCCACAAAGCTGCTGGTGGTGTCGGTCCGTGAGGGTGCCATTGTGATTTTTTTACTGCTGGTATCGTGAACTATAGTTGTAAAACAACAAAGGAAGCAGATAAAAAACCGCCGGGCCTCTGGAATACTTATATCTCACTTATTTTACGAAGCTACGCTGCGATATAATGGTTGAGCTATCGCTTTTACAACGCTGAAGCACCAATCATGTCGCTTTCGCCGGTAATTCGGCTACTTGAAAGACCCGGCGGCTGAAGTTGCATTTTGGTTATCGGAGAAATTGCTAGTGGTTTGTTTGTTGGTGATCTCCTCTTTTGTTCTCGGCTAGTCAGCCGACGGGTCCAACTAGCTTCCCCAGATTTGGGGATTTGCGCGGTGTGGAGTCTGGGGAAAAATCCAGTGAAGCTATCCAATCGTGGCACTCACACCGGGTTTTCGGTTATTTCTGCCTTGGCTCTTTTTGGTATATAATTGAGCTGGTGATGATCATGATGGGTCTTGATATGAGATGAGAGAGAGATAAGGAGTTGTTAAATATTTTGAGTGAATGCTTATGTCAACATGGTGAGAAAGGTGAGTGTGTTTCTTGGTCTTTGCGATATTATGAAGTGCGGTGAGAATAAGATGCTAACTCCGCTATCATAGGCTGTTTACTTTTATGGCATTGCGCCATGTACCGGAGGTTTGGCCTTTGGATATGTGAGTCCAGTTATATAACAAGCTTCGTAACTAAGGAAAACCCACAACTAACTAACGTTTGCCATTTTAGGACACGGGCTCAATGAGTGAGTTGGATCGCAAAATCACAAAACAGATAACTTGGCTCCATGCCAACTAACAACACAACTAGGCGGCATCCTGGCAATGCCACAGTTCTTGAACTACTTCAAACATCCCAGCAATTTTCGCCAAGGAGGAATCACTGCGTCCATCTTGGCCGGAGCCTTTGCGGGCTCTCTCTTAACGGGCGCGTTCCTTGCAGACAGGCTGGGCCGAAGGAAGACAATCTTACTGGGCTCTGCGATTTTCACCATTGGCTGTGCCATCTCTGCCGCGGCCAACAATGTTGAGGCTCTTGTTGCGGGGAGAGTCATTAATGGGCTTGGAAACGGATGTTTGACAATGATGGTAAGGAGAGAATTGGCTTTGTGTTATGGATTGCTGCTAATGGAGACAGGTTACCATGTACCAAAGCGAGATTGCGCCTCGAGAGTATGTTGACACTTTCTCTTTTGCTATTAAGCTCTCATTAACGGGTTTACAGGATTCGCGGCCGTATCATTAGTGTTTTCCAATGTTTTGTCAACTTTGGCATTCTAATCGCGTTTTGGATTCAATTCGGAACAAGCCATATCAACGGCAGCGCGGCGTGGAGACTTCCGATGGGACTACAGATGATTGTGAGTTATTCCAAGCAGCTGTCAATTGCTTTGCAGAAAGAGCAACTAATGGGACATAGGCAACGGTGGCTCTGCACATCACCATGTGGTTCATGCCCGAATCCCCCAGATGGCTTGTTCAAAAAGACAGGCAGGAAGAGGCGCTGCAAGTGCTTGCACAGGTTCACGCCGGGGGAGACGTAAACGATCCGTATGTGCAAGCTGAGCTGGCTGAGATTGTGGCCAAGATCTCCTACGAAAAGAACCATCCACCGCCTAGCTACTTTGACATGCTACTTGGAACGCACAGACGCCGTATGTGGATTGGCATTGGAGTTGTATGGTTACCCCCCAAAGGCTCTGCCATTGAAGATTAAAGAACTAACAAGAAAAAGCAATTCTGGCAATCGATGACAGGTATCAATGTGTAAGTTTCCATTATTCATTTGGTTGTAGCCCAATGCTTTTCTCTGACCTGAGATAGGATCATGTATTACGCGGTCTTCCTCTTCCAGCAGGCCGGCCTCGGTGCGACTTCTTCATCTCTCCTGGCAAACGGACTCCAGGGTGTTGTTCTCAACGTCTTCACTTACCCAAACATGTATTATATGGACAAATGGGGTCGGAGAATGCCTATGGTCATTGGTGGTATTGGGATGGGTATCTCGATGATGATTATCGGCATTCTCATGAAAGCGGAGGGTACGTTGCCTTGACTCCTCGTCGTCAATGTCTCTTGCTAACTGTATTCTCTGTCAGGTAACCCCGTCTACGATTCACTTACGCAAAAAACAAATTTCGATTTCACAAACGCGGCTGCATCACGCACAATTATTGCTTTTGTGTACATATATGTTGCGGTATTTGCAATTACGTGGGCTTGCGTCGCCTGGGTGTATCCGCCTGAGATATTCAGCATGAGCATGCGCGGTCGCGCCACGTCCATGACGACTGCTACGAATTGGTTTGTCGTAAGTTGTATATGAAGAAGTTGCCATTGGAGCTTCAAAAACTGATGCAGCATAGAATTTCTGGTTTGCCTTGTATATCCCTACGGCAATGGCAAAGATCAGGTCAGTATACTCTCTTCTATCTTACTTGCAGAAGTTTTACACATATGCTGATGTGTATAATGAAAAATAGCTGGAAACTTTACATCATATTCATGGCCTTGTGCTACCTCATGAGCATCGTCGTCTTCCTCTTCTACCCTGAATCTGCTGGGAAAACGCTTGAAGAGATGGACTTTTTGTTCACAAAGGGACGCTCGCCGTGGACGTTTCTTGATCGCGAGGCTACCAAGATTGGGGCGCTGTTCAAGAGAGATCTTGAGCATGGCGAGGCGCTTACTGTGTTTGATGAGGACGGTATTGTTTCAAAGGATAAGATTAACCAGGTGGAGGATGTGGCTGAGGGTGGTGGTCTTGGGCATGAGAAGGAGTAGATGCTGAGATGATGCTTGGGACAGTATACTCGGATGATGTATAAAGCTGCTTTTTAAATATACATTTACAAATATGCCCTGATTAGTTTTTATACTGCCTGTTAAACATTTTTACACTACTACTTGTTGCTTTTATTGCCCCATGCGTTCATCGGGCTTATGTGAAATCGACTTTTGGTTCCTGCGTACATTTACGACGTCCACCATTTTGACAAATTTTAGTTAGACTATAGCTGAACGGCGTCGCGGTGAAGTCAGATCTTCAACTTTAGCAAAGAACAATGTTACATTTGCCGGGATTGACTGTCGCGGCGGGGGTCATGTAATGTCCCAGGAAGAGCAAAGGCCAATTCTGTATGTTATGACACTCTACATATGTACTTTTATATCGCATGGAGGTTAGTTGACGAAATTGGTGTATTGTTGAATGGGCTGTGTCTCGATCAAAGCGGTCTTGTAAGGTTGTCCATGCTTGGTGTGCTGATGCTGCTGTTGTCACCAGCATGACGATGTCTGGGTGCACCGCAGACATAATCACCATAGCCTGTTATCCTCTTTGGACCATTGGGTGAGAAGGGCGGTCTGTTCCGTTGTAGCGGGTGTTGACATAATGGGACGTGGATTAGTGTTTTCAACAATTCCCCAGAGTTCTGCATACCGAAAGGCAATAGTCCACGCTGCCTTCCATTTAGCATAGTTGTCTCCCCGGCTGGTGAGCTGTGGGAGGCTGGATGGGTCGAGCTTGAACGTGAATGTGTTGTTCGACATGATGTAGCCAGGTCAAGAGAATTTGGAGCGTATTCACAGACGTCGTCGTCAACTGTTGCTGTTGTATGTGTTGTTGTGGGTAATAATGATACAAGTCTCCGGTTTATCTTGATATTGATCTCTTCATTCTATAACGAAGAATTCCTATAGAGGACGGTGGCTGATGGTGCGTGTAAGACTTTTCTTCCTCTACTTCCTCTACTTCCTCTACTTCCTCTACTTCCTCTACTTCCTCTACTTCCTCTACTTCCTCTACTTCCTCTAACAGAGCCGAGGATACTAGATTCAAGGAGGAGGTGCGTCAATTTATGCAAGAGGTTAGGTCAAACATGGATGAAGAAAAGAAGTTTAAGAATGAAGTCCATTAGTATATGAAGGAATGGCTTTGCTATAAAGGATTTGCGGAAACATAAGTAATAAGAGGATAGGACTTTTTTTTTCCTTGTATGACAGTAGAGGACACTAGCTTTCTTAACGACGAGAATACATGCTCACATGGGTAGCTCTATGTAAAAGTAACTTATACTCTGACTTTAATTAAAGAAGACAATACCTATTTAATGGATCTCCCGGCGTCTTGTATATTCCATCACAACCATATAGAGTTTCACTTTGCTATACTACATTGCATATAATTTTAGCGACTGTTTATAATATAAGTTCCAAAAATAACAGACACTGCCTTGCTTTGCATGACAACACCAAATCTTCCCAATGCCAGCTGTCGACTTATACTAAACAGCTGCTCACCACCTGGCAGTACAGTTTCTGTTTATTTTAAATAATGTTTAATGTTCTGCAGAATTTCATTCACCGCCTTAATGCATGCATGATTGTTTTCTTCTTTTCCTTTCCTTTGCGTTCGAAAAACTTCGCCTTTTACTTCCACCATCTCTCTTGAAGTTCGTCACCATCAGCACCACCACGTATCACGACAAGATGTCGTCGCCTCCAGTGGCAAGCTCGCCTATGACAGGTCCTCCTGCTGTTATGTTACCATCGATGACATCCCCTGTCTTCCCAAAGCCAAAGAAGTTGTCTTTTGCGGACATCAACGTCCCGAATGACTACCCATACGACCTTACCTTTGGTACACCCGACTACGAAGATACCATCGCTGTTTTAAACGCGTATTACTCTCAAGCCACGAGAATGACCGCTGACGATCAGCTGGATATGGTTGAAATCATAGAGAGCGGCAAATACCTCAAAACCGCAAGCGCCAGAACGTCTGGAGCATCTCACCGTCTGTATCGAAAAGCCCAGGAAAGGAGCTTCACACCTGAATCCATCAGCTGGGCGAGTTTTCTCATTCTAAACGCCCTTTACAGCTACAAGCTCCCGGATAAGTATCATGAAGCCGTTAGAAAACGATTTGGCACAAGAGTTGTGCAAGACTTCTCGGAAGAATACTTCCGAATCTACCCTAAACAGTCACACATCCTCCCAACGTCAGCCGACGGCGAGACCTCCGATGTCTATACGCCTCCAGTAACGCGTAAGAGATCTAAGGAGGCTGCAGAAGACATGGACCAAGCCAACGCCCCTACACAGCCTCGTGCACAACTTCGTGCTAGAAAGCAGGCCAAATTTGAGGAGGCTCCCATGACGGATACCAGCACTCCGCCTACGTTGCCCCCCCGCAACGGCCAGGAGACGTCGTCCGTAAAGGTCGAGACTTCGGCAGCTCACCTCTCGGATGAGATCATCGGCGCAAACCGTTCTGTTGATCCGGGTTTGTTTACGCGCCAGGGTGGCCTTCAGGGATCGTCTGAGAACTTTGGCGCCTCTCAGCCCTTGTTCGGAAGACTCAGCGCCCCGGAAAGACTATTCGCCAACTACGCCATACCTCGGCCAGCATCCCAAAACTCGTTCCTGAGTGAGATGAGGGAGTGCAACTGGGCCCAGGCGAATACCTCAAATGACCAAGGTGCCAGCAACATGCCAGCAAAGGCAACCGCTACCGATGGATCTCGACAAGAGATGAGCGCTCCTGACGCTGAAATCGGGGGCGCATGCCCAGTGAACCAAGAAGCGAATATGACGTCGATAAGCACAATGGAATGAGGACGTCATGAAAAGCATTTCAGACATGAAGTTCGTGATGGAGGAGGACCATTTCCGTCTCGTTGGGAAAGTAGACAAACTCCAACAAGATACCTCCGACAACACTGCGAAGATAGTCTCTGAAATAGCCAAGCTCAAAACTGAGCTCAAGGCTGAGCTCAAGGCTGGGATTCAAGCCGTTATTGAAGCTGTTGTTCAAGCAGTTCTCAGCAAGTCAGAGGCAGACCACGCTGCCATCCTGAAAGACATCCAGTCTTTCATGGAAGCTATCGTGAAGAGATTTGAGGAGAATTGAGGTTGATGTAGCGAGAGAGGAGGTAGACAACGCTACCATCTTGGAGGGTATTGAGGAGTACATGGCAGGTATACCTTAGGTAGACGGCCGAAGTAATCAAATTTTACGTAAAGACCAACCAAAAGTGAAACGTATCAATTATTTACTATCCTCGGTGATTTGATGTATCTACGAATCAAACAAGAAGTTTTCCCAGAGATTACCAGAGTCCTGATCTGAAATGAATGGATCAATAACACTCAATTGATCCAGCCAGTATGTTTGATTGAAGCTGTCTGGAAATGTCGACGCAAAACTCATTGAAGAGGCCTGTTCTGAAGTTAGGTTGGGTTGGGAAGACGCGGCTTGCGAGCTTAGGGGTTGAAAAAGATCTTCTTGGTTGAGATCACCCATTAGACTATTGAAGATATTGACCGGAGTCTCATACGCAGCTGTTCTTGCATCAGATACACTGCTGGGTGACTCAATCGTTGTCTTAATCCTTTGATAGCAATGTTGAATGATATCTAAGCCCGACGCAGCCATTGGGTTGAAAGGCCTCATTTCTGAGAGGCTCTCGATTGCTTGTTGAAGGCTGTGGCTGACCTTTTGTTTAATCTCATAGTTCTGTGGCGGGAATAAAATCATGATGATGGAGATAAGAAGTGAAGCTTCGATGGTATAGAACGCCAGTCCAAATAGATGATATTGATGCTGTTTGGCATGTGTAAAGGAGATCAGCTGGCAACCAAGCGTCTCAAGTGAAGCTTGCAAAGCAGCTTTTCGGCTCTCCAAATTAGAAATGATGTGCGGCCGGTGTAATGTCATGAGAAACAAATTTGCCATGACTTGTAATTCTTCACGGAGCTGCGGCAGATATGGATGATCCTGGTCCCAGGTAGTGTCTGGACTCTTCTGCCTCAAAAAAGCGGGCAATGTTTCCACCAGCGATATTATGTCGTTGTGGAGCTTTTGGACAACAGAATAATCTTTTGGACGAGGACGATCGGCTTTGACAGCTCGCATCTCATGTACTTTGCAAGCGAGAGCATAACGAAAAAGAGGCGCTGAGGCTGTGGAGATGTTAGGGCTATCTTCGAGGCGCACTGTCATTGGTACAGCCGTAGAGGGATCACCAGGAATGCTGCAATCGATGGGAGGCGTTGTATCACAGTCGTCCATGTGAATCATTCGAGGGCGGCCTAGAATCATAGCCACGTAACTACAAGAGTCAGGTCATGAAGCACAGTAAAAGAATGAAACTGTTTAGAGTCTTACCCATCCCATACAAAGAGATTAATCCATAAGCGCTTCTTGTTTTGCTCGTACCAAAACGCATTCAGCGTTTCTTCAATATTACTTTTATTTGACTGATATACGTCTTTTTGTCGATGCAGTCCAAGTTCCTGAGCCTGTCTATCCAGTAGTGTTGGAAAATTAGTATGAATGTCTTGAAAGTCTTCTTGTGGGATTTACCGACCTAATGGCATGCCCAATCGTATGCCAGGCTTCAACTGCTCGCCCGCAGTTCTTTAGCCACGATGATCTCAGGAAATCCGCTTGAACTGCAGTTATGGCAAGCCCGGGTCTCCCCAAAAGGTATAGCAGCTCATCGCCAAGATCGCTATACGTGCGTGAAGTAGCAAGCTCAAATGATGTACCAGATAAAACATCCCAATCAGGTGGTAAGAACTGCAGGGAGAGAGCAATGATTTGGAAAAGTACAGAGGGAAAGTATCGTAATTCCGTTGAAAGCTGCACGGAATTCAAATACTTGACAGGATCTATCCCTTCTTGTGGTGGCCAGCGTGAAAACAAGTCATTGAAGTAAAAATGTTCAAGGATGAAGTAGTGGGAGTTTACTTCATCAAAAAATAACCTAATCAAGGCTTCAATGACAGTTCTCGGGGGGAGCTTTGCAATAAAGCTATCGATATTTCTTTTCGATGAAGTAAACTGAGGGGCGTCTTTGTAGGACGTTGAAACCTCTTGAAATTCTTCATTTCCGAGGGCCTTGCATGGATTAGTCAATGATTATCGGTCGTATCATGGCTTACATGTATTTACCTCTTGCAAGGCCACAAAGGCATTGCTACCAGATACCAGCGAATACCCAAGATCCACTGCTTCCTGAGTATTTTCGCCTTCGCTCTCAACTGAATGAGCTGTGCTCGGGCCAGCTTGAGCTGTTGGACCTGGTAGCTGTTGTTCAGTTGCTGGCGGGGACCTAAACACTAGCATTAAGATTCAATTGTAGAAGCAGATGCTGGGCAAGGGAGAGTTGATTGTAGACAGACAGACACCGAAATCGACTTACGGCAGCAAAGTATTGAATATGCATTTATTTGGAATATTGCGCGCTAAGCAGTTATTGCATGGGCTTTTACGATCACACTAAAAGAGTATCAGATATGGTGGACGTCTTTGAAACTTGAGAAGAGGTGCGCGACCCTTTGCTTTCTGCGATAACATTCCGAACAAGAGGTTACCACTCGCTTGCGCTTCAACGCCTGCTGTCTGCCGCTAGCCGGGGTTCGCATTATTATGAAGTCCAGATACAAAAGAGAGATGACTATAATTGGGTATAAAGCTGCTGGAATAATTCGAGGTTGAAAATTCTCAAGCTGGAGTCGCGGCGCGAGGAATGTCTTGGGAAGGGTAATCTGCGGGTAACGAAGACCGGAGCCAGCACAGGACCTAATTTAGGTCTTGTATTCACTTACACCATGATGATGATGATTCGTGACGGCTTTATACCCGACTTGTTCCTTGTGGAGTGGCAATGTCTTGTATTCATGATGAACCATAGCTACAGCTCGCTCGCCAGGAGTCCTCCCATTCATTGATTCATGCTATGCTGATAAAATATGCCCCTGACGAACTCAGAACTTTACAAGTCAACATGTACAGCATCAATACCCATGGATATAAACATATTTATTAAAGGTACCATTCAATACACATTTGTACTGAAATTTTATACATTCTACTAACATCACATATAGAAATACAGCAGCCATGTCCTGTTTAGGTTGCCAAGAAAACAACTGATGCAAGCGCTGTATTTAAATCTTTCAAAGTTCAATCTAAAAAACAAAACCCGCCTATTTGGCATCACCCAGGTGCTTCTTCAAGAAAGGCAAAACTTGTTTGAGTGCTGGTTCAACGGCCTCGGGCTTGTCGTACAGCATGTAGTGCGAAACTCCAGGGAGGACCACAATGTGCTTCTCCTTCGAAGCTGCCCGGCCATGAATCTCGTGAGCATCCCGGTAAGCGCCGAATCCTCCTGGCTTGTCACCAACTACGACCATCAGAGGTCGAGTCATGAGTACCTCCGCGTGGTTGAAAGCATCCCATGTGAGGGCAGAGCTGTTGAATGAGAATAGGCCGCTGGTACAGCCATTGGATGCCTGACCCCGGTTAGTTTTGTAGTATTCGGTGGCCTCGCGGATGTCGATATCGGTAGTAGCTTTCTTGGCGTCTTCAACTGTTGGCGGGAGGTAATTAATCACCAGTCGCTCTCCACCTTGGGCTTCAACAGTGCGCTGGGCAGCCATCTTTTCAAGAGCGCCAACCGGGTCGAAGCCGGCAAACCCTTCACGAGAGAGACGGCCAAAGTTTGCAGGAGTAATGCCAACACAGCACTTGAATCGGTAATCCGTCATGGCAGCGTTGATAGCATAGCCTCCTCCACCGCAGATGCCGAGTACGCCAATGCGATCGGCGTCAACATAAGGCAGAGTCTGGATATAGTCGACGACGAAACGAAAGTCCGAGACGCGGAACTCTGGGTTTTCAATAAAGCGAGGCTTGCCGCCAGAAGCACCCTGGAAAGATGCGTCAAAGGCGACAACTACGAAGCCTTGCTCTGCCATTGCTTTCCCATAGACATTGCCCGCAGTTTGTTCCTTGCATGATCCAATCGGATGAGCACACACCACCGCGGGATACTTTTTGCTCTCGTTGAAGTTGGGTGGGAAGTGGATATCAGCGGCAGTCTCCCAAGCGATGTTGGGGATGCTGATGGTCTTGATTGTCTCAGACATTATGGCAAGGTTATGATGTTAATGATGTATTAGAAATCTCTGCTAGAAAATCGGTATGGACACGCTCATTATATATTATCTCATGCGAGAGTCAATACAGTGGCTACATTTCATGACGTAGCCAAGTCCGAAAGCTATCGGGGGAGCCATGCTAGGTGGTGGTATTAGCGGAACTTTGAGATCCGTTGAGATAGATCATTGACGGAGAAGAGCTGAGGAATTTCGGGCGACAAGTTTCGGCCGAAAACCAAATATCCTGTGCTGTGGCAAGCGAATATGACTTACACTAACACCTAACTCCGAAACTTTCGGTCGTAGCTCAAGTCCAGTCCATAGCCCACTCTCTCATATTGATTGGTGGTAGAAACTTTGAGATTAAAGATTTTACATTATTATTGAGTTCGTGTGAGAGCTGTGAAGCGGCCAATAGAAGCGTGAGCAACGCCCCATTCTATCTTCTGCCGACATTGACCATTGCCGACCCTGACCGTTGTTGGGGGCGAAGGAGAAGATGAGGCGCCGTGCAACTGAAGAGCCGATTTTTGCCGTGTCGCGCTTATGATACCCTGTAAAAAGCAGTAGTGATGCTCAGTAGAAAACCGTCGTGATCGAAAAAGAGGCATAAAATGAATAGATCTTATAACGCTTCTCAGCCAAAAACCTCTCTTATAATGGTAATAGCATTTTCCGTATAGAAATCATCTCTTCATCGCTTCCAATCTGCCATCATGACTCATTCAACAGCAACGCCATCAGATGTTCCTTCTGATCCATCAAGTCCAACAGGGCAGCTCTGCACTTGGATCTCATCTCTTACATACGACGACATCAATGAGGATCTCCGTACCCGCGCTAAATACTTCATCTTGGACGGCATCGCTTGCGGCTTAGTAGGCGCTCATTTGCCATGGTCTGAAAAAGCAGCAAAAGCTCTGTTGGACCTGGAACTCACTGAAGGCTCTGCCGGCGTCATTGGCTACGAGCGTCGAATCAATGTTCTCAATGCCGCCTTGTTAAATAGCTCGTTCATTCAAGGATTTGAATTAGATGATTGGCACACTGGAGCTCCATTGCATTCCAACAGCATCATCCTGCCTGCTCTGTTCGCCGTGTCTGATCATCTATCGTTGAAGTCGGGCTCATCATCAACCAATTCTGGTCGAGATCTTATTACTGCGTATATTGCTGGACTCGAGGTTGGCCCTCGCGTTGGACTTGCTCTCCACGGGCCTCACATGTTATCCATGGGATGGCATTCAGGCGCCGTTTTTGGTCCTCCTGCGTCCGCAGCTGCTGTGGGCAAGTTCCTCGGACTATCAGCTGGTGCCATTGAAGATGCCTTTGGCATTGCATGCACGCAGGCTGGTGGTCTGATGTCTGCACAGTTTGAGTCGGAAGTGAAGCGTATGCAGCACGGTTTCGCAGCAAGAAGCGGTCTTCTAGGCGCTCTTCTAGCCCAGACCGGCTATGTGGGCATCAAGCGCGTATTTGAGCGTGAATATGGCGGGTTTTTGAAGCAGTTTAGCAGTGGAAATGGTATGGAGCCGCAGTACAAGACTGAAGAAATCGCCAAAGACCTTGGCCAAAAGTGGCTGATGCAAGGCGTTGCGATAAAGCCATACGCGAGCATGGCTGGGACACACAACACAGTGGACTGCTTAGCAGATCTTCGCAGCCTCTACCCCGAACTATTAAACGACACAGAAAGTATTGAGCGTATCTTAATCGAATTAAGCAAGCCTGCTTTTGAGCATGGAGGTTGGGAGGCAAAGCGGCCACTAACGGCAACCGGGGCTCAAATGAGCAATGCCTACGTTGCGGCCACATACATTGTTGATAATGCCGTCCTTCCGGCACAATTCTCTTCTCATATGATTGAGAGGGATGTGGTATGGGATCTAGTTGGCAAAACGACGTGCGAGTTGAACAAAGAGTTTAGCAAAATGCGTACTCGAGTGACTGTTTGGCTGAGGGGCACGGATCCTATTGTTGTAGATAGGGAGGTGGCTAAGAGTCTTTTGCCCCCAATGAGCAATCATGAGATACTTGAAAAGTGGAGGAATATTACGGCTAATGTGATTGATGATGAAAGGAGACGGAAGATTGAAGAAGTAGTTTTGAATCTTGAAGATTGCAGCGATCTCGGTGTATTGGGTGAGCTGTTGATGGGTATAACAAAGAATCCTATTAGCTGAGAGAGTGTACATGTTCTCAACAAAGGCCGATAGTGTAATATACTTGCTACATTTGCGGAACTACAGTCTTATGTAGGTGTGTTATAGGGCCCGAATAAGCCAAGTCTTCGACAACAAGCTAAGAAGATTGGATATTCTCTAACTACATCAACGCCAGATATGCTACCATTTCGGAATGTCTCAAAATATCCCCAGTAGGAAAAGGATTTTGGGACGTAATGGTCAGCGATATTTCGTCAAAGTATTAACTTTAACTATACGATAATGACTTCGCCTCCCATCACCATTTTAATCAGAAAACATTGTTTCGAAGAGGTCACAGAAGAACACAAACGTGATCCTAAACTTCACGTTAACAAAGTTATGCTCAAACTTCCCTTTAAAATCTTTTGCCAAGCGCCGTCGTTTTACGTTGTATACAATAAGAGTACATCAGCAATTAAATATATTGTTTTTTATACACTTCACGGCAGCCGGTTTCTATATGGAGCCCCGTCATATGAGGCAGCCCACGCAGGTCTTACCTGGAACGTTGCAGCGGCTATGGCATCCGTGCCAATAAAGAACACAGCGTATTTCTAAAATTCGCTCATCATTTTACTTATACTTACGCTAGCTATAGGGCTAGAGTCTTCTTCTTCTTCTGCTTCTTCTGATTCTTCTGATTCTTCTGCTTCTTCTGCTTCTTCTGCTTCTTCTGCTTCTTCTGCTTCTTCTGCTTCTTCTGCTTCTTCTGCTTCTTCTGCTTCTTCTACTTCTTCTACTTCTTAACTATTATATACCTCTTATGTATTTTCATATATCGACTGATAGCCTTATTACAACACGGCTCAGACGCTGGATAATAAAAGTGAGGTATTGAATTATAATCTCTTATATTAAATTAGTGTAACGACCTGGTCACTAAGGT